TGAGTACGGAGTAGAGTCTTATTCTATACTTGGGTATAGACGTATGCTTCTTTGAGAAAATGGATACTCGAGAATATCGGCCTCATTAATAGAATGATTCAGAGGGAGATTGATCCTTCGCCCAGAGAATGGTTTAGCGATGGTCACCGCTCCTTCATCGACAAGATCAGAAGTTGTCCTTTTACCTACTTAGTCCTAGCTCCTACCTAGGTAGTCCGACCAAACCTGACTAACCTACTGTACGATAGACTCGGTACGGTAAAGCTAGGACGAAACCAAGATTGGGGTCACCCAAGGTGAGGACAGACCCTCGTCAAGGTTTATGCCATTGCTCAAAGGGGAAATATCCGGGGTTTGCTAGCGAGCATTCGGGGAGATGTGTAGCGAGCCTCTGATCGGTGTGATGTAAACAACACGCAGTCGTTGGTCGCAAAAAGAAAAAAAGCTCTCGTGAGACTGCCACCTCGTGTGAGAATATGCAGTCAAAAATCCGTCTGTCCTCTATGTACTCCGCATCTGTTGGTCATCACCATGGCTGCTTTTTTTTTCTCTCCCTCGAGGGGGCGTCCTGCGCGTGAGGGATCGAATACATAATGGATGACCCGCATGATGGCATAGTGACCCACGAGGCCAGTGAAAGAAGGGCGCTGGTCGGCCGAGCCGGTGATCGCAGGGGGAAGAAAGACTTCGAGAGCCAATGACTGTGGCTAGGGTGATCCGCGAGTGGAGACTGACTGGTCCATAGTTAAAGGAGAGGGTGCTGAAAAGGATCAGGATAGATGGAATGATATCTAGTAATGGCGATAAAGAATAAAGAAAAGATCGTGGCAAAGAGATTCAGGTATGAATAATTGATGAATAATCACGGGCAATAACTAAGTTATAGAACTACTACTTCTTGACTAAAAGTCATGAAGTTCTTGCAAATGCAGGGTCTTCTGCCCCGTTAAGGGTGGCTTGAGCCGGAGGAGTAAAGGCGTGGGAGGAGGAGGCTGGGCTTTGGGAAAATCCTCCACTAGTTTGGAGTCGACCCAAGGGACAGGCCCTGTCCTTTCGCCAAGTCTCAAGATCCAATCCAAGTCTTAGGTAAGGGCCAAGCGCACTTGGAGCTTCCCTTTACCAGTGGCTCGCATTTAGCACCGAGTTAAGCAATCACTTCGTCTGTAGCTAACAGTAATCATGCTCCGGTTTTCCCGACCATAAAGTCCATCCACGCTTCCAGTGGCACACAACAGCCGGGAGCTGGATGGAACGGGCTAAGATGTCCTCAGCTTAGGGCGGGAGCTAGAGCTGCTTGGGATAGCTAGCTGCTAATTATACCAGCAGTAAGCAAGTTGACAATGCTGATTGGCAGTCAATCCTACCGTAGGATGGCCTCGGAAGACTAACGAAATCGATGATTGGGCGTAGGTAGAGGAAGAAACAACAGCTGTTGACCTGGATAGCGTTACAATCTTTCCGCTTTTTGCCCTCTGTTTGGGGTGTTTATTGTTTTTTTACGGGGTGAGTGCCTGTCCTAAGGGCCTTACATCCAATCTGTGAATACCTAGTACTAGTACTCAATACTAGGGGGTATCCTTGAGGTTGGGCTGTGTAAAGGGCATTGAACCGGATAAGTGAGGGTAATTTCGGTAGTTCATCATATTGCCGTTAGTTCATGAAGTCATTCATTTCGATTTTGTTCCTTCGTCATTATCATTATTCACTCATGATATTGTTACCGTCCATGGTTTTATTCCTTTCCTGCAGCCCTGTTCTTTTTTTCACCACCTGCCGGTCAACCTTCGTGGGCTCCACTTTTCCTCGCGGCGCAGGCCGCCAGATTGGTGTTTATTCCGATTTGCTGTCTGTTCCACGCTCTTCCATTTTTTTAGTCGCATTACTACTCTCCCGTATTTTCGTATTTCTTGTATCCATGGACATTTGCTTGGCCATTCCAGTTGATATGTAACATATGGAGTAGATTGATTGAAAGTTTTTAAAATTCCAGTACCAGGGTTCCTCGATCTTGGTATTGAGAGAATATTCTGATTGTAGATTGAGTAAAAGAAATCGCAACGGTGCCGTCAGACGAGGCATGGCCGACCAGGAGATCTTTAGGATCTGCCCGGTCGGACGCCTCGGAACGGTAACCCCGACGCCTTTGAGTGGCTTCCGAGGCGCTGGGCGAGGTAAGAAGTACCACTACAGAAGACTATGTAAATAATGAGACGGTACTTGTCTGTGATGAGGACTCGGGATATACGCTGGAATAGGTACGATATACCTTGTCTACAACGTACTGGGACCTATCCTGGGTGAGGCTATTACTATGAAATAGTTGCCAGGTTACTATAGAAATGCTTAGTATACTGTACTCTGTACATATTTAGCTCAGCCGGATGATGGTCATTCTATCTCCGAAACCCTGGACCGTGTCACTCGATTATTCGGTCAGGCCTTCTTACCATCGCCAAGTATAGAATACTCGATGACCCTATGGCCGGAGTATATCTCCAGACAAATATAGACCCGGTGCATAGTATGTTCTAGCAACTCTGTGCTTCTAGATCAATAGTAACTTACCTATAGCTGATTCAAGACACGATGAGGCGATCATTCGATCAGTAAGTATGTCTAATAAGACTGTCATCATGCAAAGATGCCAGTTCCTCGATATCATGATGCTCTGTGGCTCTGTGCATCCCCCGCCACGATTTCCCGCTAGTCGGTTAGTGACTTAGTCGTACTGGGGCGAAGGGTGGAACCAACCGGCCCCCCAAAAAGAATATTGGATTTTTAATTTTTGTCTACCCTCCCAGGTTCCCCCCAAAAATCATAAAAAAATAAATTATATTATCAGAAATCATGGAAATCCTGGATCAATTTTCAATTTTCTCTTATTTTCCACACCTTACCCAAACTAGAGAAGCGTAGGAGTCCCGGGACTCCACAGCTCGTGGCCCTAGTGGCCCTGCCCACACTTGTCCACCGTCGTCCGTCCACCACTTCCCCCCTCCACTGCTTGTTCCCCTACCGAGAAGAGTATAGTCGAGGAATTGCACTCTGACCTGCCCGACCAACACTGCTAATAATAATCCATCGCTCGTATATGGCCTTTGCTTTTAACCCTTCGCCATCCTTGCTTCGCTTCCCTTTCCCCCTCTCCTCTCCCCTTCCTCTTTGAAGTATTTCCTTATTTCCAAGGACCCTTTTATGATGACAACTTGAAGGTCTCAACACATTCGCTCCCCACGTTCGCTCTTACGCTCGCTATTTGCTGCTACGAGAACCACGTTCGCTACGTTACTACTAGAACTTTTTTTTGGGCTATTTGGAAGATAAGATTCTGGACTGGAACCCTCGAGAACCAAACCGTCTTATCGGAATTCTCGCTCAAAAAAAGAAACAAAAGAAAAGAACAAGAAGGACAACAAGAAACGAAAAACGCAGGAACCGGTTATAACCCGAATATTCATTAATCTTTAATTATTTTGGCGACGACAATCATTCGCCCTTGGGGATCGTCAGGGAAATATTCTCATTTGCCAGAACGACTCTGAGCCTCGGAGATTGTTCAGTCGAAACGCAGTCGCGGTTCGTTTGCGACTGTGATTTTTATTTGCTTTCCATTTCCCCTACTGGTCGACTACTCTCGTGTAGACGCCCGTTTGTTCCGTTGGACAACCCGACAAGTATCAAAAAGAAAGCACGGGGCAATCTACGATATACGACTACCGTCTTCAACAAACCTCGAGATTTCTCAGCCTCATTCGCTATTCACTACTTGCTCTCCCACTCGTTCTAGATCGCCAGAGACGTCTTGTTTCGTCTTTGGAATTCCGATTTATTTGAGCTATTAGTGAAATCGACTGTCTCGGCTGAAAGCACCTTCGATCATCCCAATCTATTGGAAAGGTCTCGGACGGAAACTACATTTGGGCCACTACTTTGAACTATCAGGATCAGGTAAGTCGCCAAAACAGAGTTAATGCTCCTGTATTACCTGCATGACACTATGACACTGCATCCTTTTTTCTCCCCTTCGTTCCCTCCCCTCATCCCCCCCTCCTTTCCCTTTGCCCACGGTCTCACTCCCCTTCCCCTCGTGCCTTGCATCCTTTCCTCTTTAGGGCATCATGTTCCAGATGTTCCATCTCCTTGCAGTCGCGGGCCCTAATCGACGGGATCGTAACCCGTTGGATCATAGCCAACGGGCCTCTGGGAGATGATGAGCGTCGTTGATGCCCGGCCGGCTCGACTTCCCCGTCTGCTATCATTTTCGATAGTACGGGTTCCCCTTGAGAAAGAGGGTCATCATTTCCATCTCATCTTATTGCATTGAATCTCATCTCCGAGAGAGTGTTTGTTATTGACTCTCCTCTTTTCGTCCAGCTCGTTTCGTCACGGATCTTGCATATTAGGACACACAGACGACGTCAAAGTGTCGAAGGGGCAATTCAATTTTGTCTTTGATCCTGATTCACCTGGTGAGTTTCTTCCCACCCCCTGTCTTCTATCATTGGTCTTGGGTATCGGTTGTGGCTTTGATGGTTCTTTGGGTCCAAGATATTGGCTTTTGGGCTTCGTTGTCGATGAGAAGTTCAGGGTTCTTTTGGTTTGATGCACTGATCCGGTCTCACACTGCCTTTGCTTCTATCCATCGAACCAATTACCTTTTCCTCATTGATCGATTCCCAAGTTATCTCCCTTTTCCCACCCAAAGCCTGAATCAGACACCCAAAGAACAAGCCTGGAACCCTGGACCCTGCAACTTGGAACGTGTTCGTACTCATTGCTGGAGTAGTTCGCCTCCCGATCCAATCGACATCAAGCCATTCCCGAAACCTCACGGGAATTGGAGAAAAGAAAGCGAAATCTCGCCAGTCTGTGGAAATCAACTCTCGTGCTCGGCTTGATGAACCATTGATCCATTGGACTACCTGTACGATTTTCAAATCTCACGCTGCAGCCATCCATCGTCTAGTCCCCGCCCATTCGCGCCTCACGCCCATTGCTGAATGGTGATTCGAGGCCCGTTGGTACCGCCATTTCTCTGAGCCTGACCGCAAAAAGCTTCAAGCTCGTCGCTCGTTCTGTCTCGTTGTCGCTTGTCTCGGAGAACACCCCTTTCTCGTGTCCTCCGCGTGGTCAATTTTTGTGGATAAATTCCCAGTCATTCGCTACTTCAAAGAGTTCAGTCTTGTTGCAGTCGCTGCAACACCTTCAAGCTGGCTTACTCGAAGACTCACAGTGTTTTGGTGAGCCTCCTGTTTCTGTTTTGCCTCCATCTCTCTTTCTGGAAGCCTGCATGGTGTTGCTATTGATCCTGGTTCACCTTGTTTGAATTCCTCCCCATCATCGGTGTGACTTTTCTGCGACTCTCCTGATCTAGCTTGCCTGTGCGGCCTTTCTTGTGTTTCGTTTCTCGAGTCTTTGGCTGACTTGTGTCTGGTTTTTTCCCGTTTAGTTCGACCCGGATTTCCAAACGCCTCTAATTTTAGGCGAGTCGTTGGATTTCTCGGATTCTGAAGAGTCACAGTTTGTCGGTGCGTTTTCAGACGGCCTGTGGGCCAAGTCTGAGCCGATCCTGTCTATGTCTAGTTTCCAGAAGCCCGCTGCCGGCTCCGTACTCGGTATGTTTAGCACACGATGGATGTACTTCGGAAGTGTTTCCCATACTGACACCCTCGATTCAGACTACGCCTCCACTCGCTCTTTGCAGGATGCTGGTTCGTACTCGACATACGGCCAATCCCCTTACGTGACTACTTCTCTCGTCCCCTCTCCCATGGCCGACCAGGCCAGCCAGATCTCGGACTGTGTCCCATATATGCCCAACAACGAGTATGCTAGCTCGTACGAAGAGGCCCAGTCGCCCATGATGGGTACCCGACCCCGCCAAGTCCCGGAGATCGTCACATATAGCCCTCAGCGTGGATGTGAGGGTACTCGGGTAGTGGTGCAGATCCAGTCCCCTTTCGATCTCCACAGCTCGTCCTACGGCGCCTTGTATATTGTCTTTGGAAGCAAGAAGTGCGAGTGCAACCCCCACTTCATCGGTTTCCAAGGCACCAACTTCCAATACTGCCTCTCGGCTGATTCCCCGTCATTCATCTCAACTGGCTCGCCCTCCGTGGCGGTCCCCCTCCAGGTTGTCCTGGAGACTCAGAGTGACTGCCAGCCTACTACCTTGCAGGTTGGTGTATATACATACGAACAGGTGTCGCAGCCCTCGCCCGATGCCGAGTCGCGCAAGAGAAAGTTCTCTTCGTACTCGGACAATGTTATGGCTGGTTCTGTGCCGGCCAAGCGGCCCACTCCCACGCAGGTGGTGCCCAAGATTGAGCAGCATGACAACTATACCTACCGTGACAACCGCTCGGCTTCTTTCTCGCCCTATCTGCAGACTCTGCCCGCCATGACAGGATTCAGCACCCCATTCCACGCTGCCTCTTCTCCCCGTGTTGGCCCTATCCAGTTCTCCAGCGGCTCGGCCACTTCTCAACCTGCGCTGCGTGCTCCATCTCCTCTAACCCCAGCCTGGAGCCCGTCTTATATGCCTGGACCTAACGAAATGCGGAGTCAAAGCCTCGCCATGGTTCACTCCATGTCCCAGCACCGGGGTCCCTCGCCAGCGCGCGCTCCCAACTCTGCCAATCCCATGTTGATCCGCACATCCACTTTGCAGCAGGCCAGCGGCCTTGGTCAGAACTCGACTTTCAACCCGTACGCTATGTACCCGACCAAGGCTGTCTTGAAGCTGAACGGTGACCTGAACTCCATGGCCGCCGGCTGGAGTGCAGAGGAGCGTGAGTCCCAGCGCCGTCTGGTGCAGTTCACTCGCTCTCAAACTGGTAGCACTATCAATGCCGAGTTCAAGCCTGTGACTCTCGAGGAGCGTGCTCCCAACAGCATTTGCATTAGCTGCATTCACTGGGAAGGCAAGGATGAGTGCTTCGTCACCAGCGTTGACACTATCTATCTCCTCGAGTCATTGGTCTCTGTCCGCTTTACTGTTGAGGAGAAGAACCGCATTCGCCGAAACCTGGAGGGCTTCCGCCCACTTACCGTCTCCAAGGCTAAGGCCGACAGCGAGGAATTCTTCAAGGTCATCATGGGATTCCCTGCACCCAAGCCACGTAACATTGAGAAGGACGTCAAGGTATTCCCCTGGAGCATCCTTGCCGAGGCTCTGCGGAAGATCATTGGGAAATACGTAAGTCATCATGCCTCTCATATTCTGCTTCATTCCAGTTTGACTAACTATTTTGCAGTCTGCTAGCTACTCATCCACCGCAGGCGTTCTGCCTACACCGATGACAAACTACGCCAGCCACGGAACTGGTTCTGATTCTGGCACCGAGCCTCACGGCGCTGGTTCCCCCCAGTCGCCCCCTGACTCTGCCCCTGCTAGCACCTACGGCCACCACCACGCCTTGCCTGCCCCGGTCTACGTCTCGCATCCAGATATGTCCGCTGCTCCCGATATGCGCTCGGTGATGCCTCCTATCAGCCAGCCATACTCTTCCGTCGGGGGATACTCATATCCTGCCATCTGCCAGCCTCAACATTCCCACAGCCTGGTCGCTCCGACCCCGCGGACCACCTGGGAGATGCAACATCTCGGCACTCCGACTCCCTCGACTAGTGCAGCCTATGGCTATATGGACCCGGTGTATCCGATCCACGATGGAGCGCAGGGTCACTGATCTGTGATCTCTGAACTCTGGTCGATCTTGCGTTTGTTGCTGTTTTTTTTTTTCTCCATTTCTGTTTTCATACTTCCCCCTCTTGCTCTGTTGAAGATACGATTTTCCTTCTTGTCACTCCTTACGCAAAGCCCAGTCGTCGCCGGTACCTCGAGCAGATCCTGAAAGAATTTCTCTCCCTGGAGAGTCACTCTTTCTACGCTCTGCTTTGACGGCCCGGTCGACAGCTAACTTACGATTTTCACGTCTCTCCTTACACATATGATGCCGAAATGCCCACCTCGACCCAAAACTTATCATTTTGCATATTTGTCGCCACCGCGGTTTGAGACCCTGTTTTGTTTTATCTTGCATTGTTCTGTTCATCTCTAGACGGTGTCTTGTTCATTCCTTTTTTTGGGTTGCATACTCCACATTTGCCGGGCATTTTGGGCTTACTCTCCTTTTTACACCACTTATCTGGGCTACTGTACGAGTACTTGGCATAGCATGGGCGCTGCAGTCATTCCTTATGCATTCGCAGGACGGATTGGGATAGATTTTGGGATTTTTGATTTTTTGATTTTGATTTTTTTTTTGCTGATTTTGGGAACCTTGGAGGTTTTTGGGCTTTGCCTTTTGGGCTTTTTGTCTATGTTCGCTCCCGGCGTATCGGGGGATATGGTGGTTTGTGCAGGGTTGGGCCCTTGGGATTTGTCAAGTTGTCTTTGGACGTCTTGAAGAGTTTCTTGGATCCTGCTTGGTATGGACTGCCTTCTCTCCGCTTGGATTAATTTGGGTTTATCTTGTTGATTTGTTACTTGTTTTGAGCTGAGGGTTGTTATTGCTGTTCACTGCATTGTTGTGGCGTTTTGGGAAGATAGCCCCCCTTGTGCCGAGGGCTTTTTGTGTATTTTGGTTATTTTAGCTCGTTCCAACTGATCGATTGTTTTCTGATCATCTTTGATTCTTTATATTTGAATTCTTCAGTGTATCTTGTATTTGTTTCTTATGTTATGGCAGCAGGCTACACTTACCTGGTATAATCCGCAACACTATGTGAATATTTTACCTAATCCTCATAATTCAACTCCCTTAATCTATGAAATTGTTGATTTAAGCCCCGCGCACTACAATCGTAAAACTGGTCCTCTTGTATAATCAGGTAGGCCATGTTTCCTTGACTTTCTTGGCTAGGGCTTCCTAGCTGCTCCGACAGCGGCCTGCATTATTGATTACGTAAACATTTATACACTGACCTCAAGTATAATGCCCGAAGTCCATAAGTTAGTAGATCTCGGTCTATAAACGTGAAAATAATCCATTCTGGTGGACTGACTTTCTCACACTCAGTATTATGATCCCTATAATCCATCTTCATAAGCTAGTACCATATCACGACTCATCCACAAGTGCCGTTTCCCAGCTTCAGCCTCTTTGTGAAAAGTTCAAGATCTAAGACCTATTATCAAGCTTTCTTCACTGTTCATTTCTAGATAACTACACCGGTGGTTTTCAGCATCAAAGCTATAACACTGAAATCCTCAACTTGACTCTTAATTACTCGCTTCCTCTCTTTGTCTAGCAAGAAAAGATCTTCCGATCCATATAACCACTCGCCACATCCCGATCTGGGCAATTATATGCTGATTAAGCACTATCTTATCGCCACACGTGATCTCGCGGGGCGAAAACGGTGGAAAAAGGCAAGTCCCATTGACTGACTCACCCGGATACCAACTCTCCTCAAACATACCTGCCACCCATTCAAGTACATTGAGCTATTTCGAGTCATTGGGTCACTTGAGACTCTCTCTCGGTTCAATCATTAATATACCTGGCCTCAATTGACCGTCTTTGAGAACTTTTTATTGCCACACTCGTTCTACCCCACGATCCACCACACCTCCGCGCCCACAGCCATGGACGCCATTAAGGAGACCTTTGCCAGGTGTAAGGAGCAGCGCCGTGCTGCTCTGGTTGCCTATATTACTGCCGGATACCCCACTGTTGAAGAGGCTGTTGATATTCTGCTTGGATTGGAGAATGGTGGTGCTGGTATGTCATTTCACACTATGATGCTGGCGGGGTACTTGGAAATGATAGACATAGGGAACTAACCGCTCAATTCGCATTATAGATATCATTGAACTCGGTATCCCTTTCACAGACCCCATTGCTGATGGCCCCACTATCCAAAAGGCCAACACCAAGGCCCTCGAGAACGGCGTTACTGTCACCACAGTCCTTGAACTCGTACGCACCGCCCGACGCCGCGGCTTGAAGGCTCCCCTTATGCTGATGGGTTACTACAACCCTGTGCTGCGCTATGGCGAGGAGCGTTTGCTCAAGGACTGCAAGGAGGCCGGTGTCAATGGCTTCATTATGGTCGATCTGCCCCCAGAGGAGGCCGTTCGCTTCCGTGACCTCTGCGCCAGCACTGGGTAAGTCAATTGGATTGATTGGAATCGGAATTGGATAGAACTAATTCGTCTCATTTTTTTAACGCAGTCTTTCTTACGTCCCTCTGATCGCTCCCGCAACCTCCGACTCTCGCATGAAGCTTCTGTGCAAGATTGCCGACTCCTTCATCTACGTCGTCTCCCGCATGGGTGTCACTGGTGCCACCGGCACGATCAGCGCCAACATACCAGAGCTCCTGAAGCGTGTTCACGAATACTCCGGCAACGTCCCTGCTGCCCTTGGATTCGGTGTTAGCACTCGTGAGCACTTCCTGTCTATCCAGGACACCGCTGAGGGTGTCGTTATTGGTAGTCAGATTATCACTGTTGTTGGTAATGCTCCCGCTGGCCAGGCCGCCAAGGCCGCCGAGGAATACCTCTCCGGCATCACAGGCCTGAAGCGCGAGCGTGATGCCCAGGGTGCCTGGACTCGTGAGATCAATGTGATTGAGGCTGTTCAGAAGGCTCTGCCCGATGCCGAGTCGGCCCCCACCAAGGTCATCACTGAGGCTGAGACCCCTGCCGGTCCCGGCCTGGCCGATCAACTGGAGGCCCTGAACGTCACCAAGGACCCATCTGCACAGCCATCCCGCTTCGGCGAGTTCGGTGGTCAATATGTTCCCGAGTCCCTGATGGACTGCTTGGCGGAGCTCGAGAAGGGCTTCGATGTTGCCCGCAACGACCCCAAGTTCTGGGAGGAGTTCCGTTCCTACTATCCTTACATGGGCCGCCCCAGCAGCCTTCACCTGGCTCAGCGCCTGACCGATCACGTCGGTGGTGCTAACATCTGGTTGAAGCGTGAGGACCTTAACCACACCGGTAGCCACAAGATTAACAACGCTCTGGGTCAAATTCTCATTGCTCGCCGTTTGGGCAAGACCCAAATTATTGCCGAGACCGGTGCTGGTCAGCACGGTGTCGCTACTGCCACTGTCTGCGCCAAGTTCGGTATGAAGTGTACCGTCTACATGGGTGCTGAGGACGTCCGCCGCCAGGCCCTTAACGTGTTCCGCATGAAGCTGCTCGGTGCTTCCGTCGTTGCCGTCGATGCTGGTAGCCGTACTCTCCGTGATGCCGTCAATGAGGCTCTCCGTGCCTGGGTCGTCGAGCTTGACACCACCCACTATATCATCGGTTCCGCTATCGGTCCCCACCCCTTCCCAACCATTGTCCGTACTTTCCAGTCTGTTATTGGCGAGGAGACCAAGCAGCAGATGAAGGAGGCCATTGGCAAACTCCCCGACGCAGTTGTTGCATGCGTTGGTGGTGGCAGTAACGCCGTCGGCATGTTCTACCCATTCGCCAACGACCACAGCGTCAAGCTTATCGGTGTTGAGGCTGGTGGTGATGGTGTTGATACCCCCCGTCACTCCGCCACACTGTCCGGTGGCTCCAAGGGTGTCCTCCACGGTGTTCGCACCTACGTTCTTCAGAACGAGCACGGTCAGATCTCCGAGACTCACTCCATCTCCGCCGGTCTGGACTACCCCGGTGTCGGCCCCGAGCTGAGCGCCTGGAAGGACGCTGACCGTGCCACCTTCATCGCTGCCGACGACAGCCAAGCCCTTGCTGGCTTCCGCGCCCTCTCCCAGCACGAGGGTATCATCCCTGCTCTGGAGTCTTCCCACGCTGTCTGGGGCTGCATGCAGCTTGCCAAGACCATGAAGAAGGGCGAGAACATTGTTCTGAACCTGAGTGGTCGTGGTGACAAGGATGTCCAGAGCGTCGCCGATGAGCTGCCCCGTCTGGGTCCCAAGATCGGCTGGGACCTGCGTTTCTAAGCAGTGTATCCTCCCTCATCCTCCCTTGAATCTCAAGGCCGCAGTACCCTCGGCGTTTCATTATATGATGCCAGATAGTATAGTGGCTTTATGCCTTATATTTCCTTTTCCATTTTTCAATTTTCTTTGACGACGTTTGAAGACTCTTTACTAGATGATTTTGCACGGGAGTTCCAGAAAAGCGTGTATTCTGATTTGTTCCCTCATTTTTATGTGGAGTCTGTTCTCATGTCCATACTGGGTTCTACAAAATACATGGTCAATACTTTCAATGGTCTTCCTCGTAACTCGGTTGAAGTTCTAGCTGGACATGTGGCTGCCAGTCATGTAAAAATTTGGCCACCTCCGTGAACAACCTGTTTCAAGCCCGGGTCCTGCTACTTCGGACTCGTAGGGCTGATCATCCCACATCGTAATTCTAGACGATAATCAATTCAGTGTTTCGTAGTCTATAGATAGAATATTTCATAAGGTGGATCCAAAAATTGTATTGGGAGGGTAGATCGGGTCAAACACGCGAAAGAAAAGCGAGAACAGAAAGCTGAAAACAGATACAACCGCACAGAAGAGTATATGCAATGGGAACAAATGATCAAGCAGGCCCCCACAGGAAACGTTTGGTCCCAGGATACCCACGCGCTTCTTTCATCCCCCATCAAGCGCGAACAACATAAAATCCCGAGATATTCCAGAAAATACACCTGCCGCCACTTCTACATCTACGCATCGATGAGGTTGCTGCTCTGCTGCTGCTCGCCCGAGTTGTCGCGGGTATCCTTGTTGGCGATCTTGCGGGCGGAGCGGGCGTAGAACTCGTCCAGGACGCGCTTGGGGATACGGTTGAGCAGCTCCTTGGGGTAGACGCGGAGGAGGTTCCAGGCGATGTCGAGGGATTCGTGGATCGTGCGAGACTCGTATGGAGATTGGCTGATGAAGGTTCGTTCGAACTTATCGAGGAACTCCAGGGACAGCTTGTCTTCGGAGGAAAGGGCTTCCTCACCGACGACTGCCTTCATGGCGGCTGTTGGGAACGGACATGTTAGAATGTGGATTATATTTGAGGAGATATGAATTTGTATTACCGGCATCACGACCAATGGCGTACTTGGCGTACAGCTGGTTAGACACATCGGAGTGATCCTTGCGGGTACGGCCTTCACCAATAGCGGACTTCATCAGACGTGACAGCGAAGGCAACACGTTGATGGGAGGGTAGACACCCTTGTTGGCGAGTTGACGGTCAATGAAGATCTGGCCCTCAGTAATGTAACCTGCAAGAATCCATTGTATTAGCAGAATACAATTAGTCAAATCGGTGGTTCAATTACCTGTGAGATCGGGAATAGGATGAGTGATATCTAGAGAGGATATTAGTCAGTTGGAGAAGCCCTAACATCATTAACATCAAGGCGAGGAGTATTTCTCATACCATCGTTAGGCATGGTCAGAATGGGAATCTGAGTAATGGATCCGTTACGGCCCTCAACACGGCCAGCACGCTCGTAGATAGTCGACAAATCCGTGTACATGTAACCGGGGTAACCACGACGTCCGGGCACTTCCTCACGGGCAGCAGAAACCTCACGCAGAGCGTCACAGTATGCCGACAGATCAGTCATGATGACCAGGACGTGCTTCTCCAACTGGTAGGCGTAGTATTCGGCGGTGGTCAGGGCTAGACGAGGTGTAATGATACGCTCAATGGTGGGGTCGTTGGCCAAGTTCAGGAACAGAGTGACACGCTCCATACTGCCGTTCTCCTCGAAATCGCGAGTGAAGAAGCGGGCGGTCTCCATGTTAACACCCATAGCAGCGAAGACAATCGAGAAGTTCTCCTCGTGACCGTCGTGGACATCCTTGGTAGGACGCTTGACCAGACCAGCTTGACGACAAATCTGAGCAGCGATTTCGTTGTGGGGAAGACCGGCAGCGGAGAAGATGGGGATCTTCTGTCCACGGGCGATGGAGTTCATGGTGTCGATAGCGGAGATACCGGTGGAGATCATTTCCTCGGGGTAGACCTAGATAGATCGGATTAGCATTGAATAACTTGCTGTTGATTTGGGCGGTATCGCATACTCGAGAGTACGGGTTGATAGGCTGTCCGTTGATATCCAGGTAGTCCTCCGCCAACACCTTGGGGCCCTTATCGATGGCACGGCCTGAACCGTCGAAGACACGACCCAGCATGTCCTCGGACACACCCAGCTTCAAGCTGTGGCCGGAGAACTCGACTTTAGTCTGACCGCAGAGTTAGCGCACTGGTCCATATATCAATCCATGCAAAATAGGCTTTATACCTTCTTAACATCGATGCCTGAAGTGCCTTCGAACACCTAATCGCGAATTGGCTATGTTAACACCTCATTTGTAAGGGGATTGGGAAAGGGCTCGGTATCGGTGCGCACCTGCACAACAGCTCGGTTTCCTATATCAAACAAAAGGAATATTAGTTTCCGACTGACGAATTTAGCTTATACTAGCAGCGGGACAAGCTTACCTCGAGCCTCCAGTACCTGACCGGAGCGCTCCGTGCCATCGGGAAGCGTCAGGGACACAATCTCGTTATAACGGGGGAACTTGACCTATTGGTGGAAATCCATAGTTAGCAAGGGTTCCACGTTTAGTTCCAGGCCGAGCTGAGGGCTGATCTCACATTGTCGAGGACAACCAGCGGTCCGTTGATACCTCCGATCGTGTTGTAGCGGATGCGGGGCTTGATGGAGGACATCCGGGGGTCGACGAAGTCGGCCATGGCGGGCGAATCAGATCAAGATCCTCCACGGACACGGCGCAAGACAGAAAAGGTCGGATGGGGGGTAGAAGATAGCAAGAGAGTGGGATGGCCGGGGGGTTGGCCAAGCTGTCTGGACGCTGAAGCTCGGGCGGTGACGTGGCACGTGATATGGGTGACGACTGATACTCCGCCCGCATGGCTGGGGAGAATCCATCTTGGTGGATTTCAGTGATATTCCGTGCTCTATATTGTTTCTATGAGATCTTGGAGCTGCTTGTACTTTAACCTGAAATTTAGTCCATTCATACCGTATGAGATCCACTAATCATTCCTCACGGCCCATTATATTGCCCAGTGCCCGCTGGCACGGTGTCTTCATCCCGAAAACTCCTGTGGCGGCCAAGGAGCTTTTTTCAAACAGAGCAAGAGCTATTGCCACCAATATTGATTCTGCCATACATCTGGGTCAAGAACTCGATTCGTAGCTCGAGAAAACTCCGAGCTATCTCCATGAAGACACTGTTGATAGCTAATGCGACTCTGTGTACAAATCTATTCTACTTCACGTTTCTACCATATTCTCTTTTGTGATATATGATACTGGTGTGCTATAACCTGACACGGTCACCTCGTATCAAGTGCTGCCATGAATAGTGAGCCTACTTTTTCTTAGCGTCCCTAGCGGAGCACGAAAACCAGACTCTTCAAATACAGCATGCGCTACTCCCTAGGACCTCAAAAGTCCCCAAATCCAATAATTATTACAGCATTGTCGACAAAATATTGTTCGTGTAAGTCCTCTCATAATCCTCAAGTTATCAAAGATAAAGGAATGAGAGTAACATTAGCGTTAGATCCGGTATCTGTGCGGCGTCTCTCCCGCTAGTGTACTACGTCTTCTGCTACTAATATCAAGGAATTGAGAAAGCAACATGTCGGCGGCAGAATAGTGACCTGACCATTATTTTGGGTGGTACTTTTCTTTTTATGTATTTAGTGAATCGCATTTTGCAGTATCTTCCGGTTCGTCGATCTACTTGACCATAATATAGAATTCCTTGGTAGGATGTATTAGGTAGTACCAGGATACGAAGAAAGCATATATGCAAGAACATGGTTGAAAATTTGATTCCTGCTTGATAAAGACGGGACTCTGACCCCTAATGACCGCCTGATCCGGTAGTGGCCCCTTGGCCTATATTCTCTCCGAACGCTGATAGACGTGAAAGGAAGCAAAATAAACAAATTAGATCTCCTGAGTTATCTGCTTCTTCCTTCGGAATCCAAACATCTGCAGAATCTCCGTCCAGAAACCTGGCGAGTACTCAGTGAAAGTCGCCTCATACGCATCAATGACCGGTCGGTCCCAGATCAGATCGGCTTCAGTCGCCTTGATGAACTTGGTGCGCTTGAATATCTTCCATCCAAAGAACAGGACTGGGGCGGCGAGGACCATGGTATAATAAGTGAAGAAACCGCCCACGGTGAACTTTCCAGGAAGGAAGGTGGAATAGCCGTAGCAGCATACGACACAAGTCATCCAAATCAGGCCAATCCAGGCGGAGTATGGCTGGAAGTAGCCGTAGTATGGAAGAGTGCGTCGGTCCATGTTCTGAGCATGGAGGGCACGGTAAAAGAAGAGGTAGGTCACGCAGATAATGATGTAGTCGATGACCTGGGCGGCGGTGATGATGTTTGTGAGCCAAGTGAGAACCTGGGCAGATCCACTGGAAACATTCAAGAAGGCGAGGAAGGGGAAGACAATGACAACGCAGAGACAATAGATGGGGACACCGGCTTTCGTACAGCGTCGGAGGACTTTGGGTGCCTGGCCCTGTAGAGACAGGCCATAAAGACTGCGAGTGCCGTAGTATGTGTAGGCGTTACCCGCAGAGAAGATACTCGTCACCAGTAGAGCATTCGTGACGTGAGGTAGTACACTAATACCGAGGTTGTTCATGGCGATGACATATGGAGACGCAGAAGCTGTTCCCGAGCCACCCGAAGAGCCGCTGAGGATATCCAACAGTGTTTTGTCGTTGTATGGGATGACAATACCCACACACAGGGCACTGCCGATGAAGAAGAAGGCGAATCGAGCATAGGTTGTCTTGAAGGCTGTTTTGAGGTAACGTCGAGGCAGCTTGGTCTCTCCTGCTACCATTGACATGTACTCGGGGCCAACGATGGTAAACGAGGCACTCCATACAGCTCCTAGGAAGCCTTCAAAGCGACCCAAGGGACCCGTTGAGAGATATTCGGCAAACGAACCGGGGTTATTCCAATAGCGGAAACCATAAGCATCGTGCTTGGGATTACCACCGACCATGGTAATGAATGTGAACATGAAGACGATGAGAATGAGCAGCACCTTTCCAGATGCAAGCCAAAACTCTGCTTCACCATACCACTTAACCGTGAAAGCGTTGAGAACACTAATGATTTGCTAGCATGTTAGCAAACAATTTTGATTTTAAAGCGAAGAAAAAATCAAAGACAGAGAATAAGGATTAGAGAAGGAAAATGAGTTCATACAAATAGATGACGATACAGGCAGCTACTACTGCCTCGACGGGAATGTCATCCCGCCAGAATGTCAAGACCAGGTTCAGTGCCGAGATCTCGAATGGAATGAGGAGGGCCTCGTAGATGAAAAAGTTCCATCCAGCCCAGAATCCGAAAGCTTCGTCAACCCAGTGGCCTGCCATTCGAATGAAAGCACCACTGACGGGCATGAAGACAGTCATTTCTGCCATACAATTGTTGACCAGGCCCATCATGCAGGAGTAGATGGTGTATGCCAGGAACAAGCTGCCCGGGCCACCCTTGGTCAGACCGGACGTGATACTCACGAAGGTCGCTGTTCCAATGGAGCCACCAATGGCAATCAATTGGATCTGACGGTTACCTAGGTGTCGTTTCAACTGATCGGTGTTGTCAATGACAACACCAAGATTTTGTTTCTCATCAGGAGCTTCAGTAGCAGAATAACCGCCACCTTTCTCCTCTGAAATTAGCTCTCGTCCTTTCTCTGTGAAGCTCGCCATCATGTATAATCATTGATCAATCCAATCACTCACGAGAGGATGTAAAGTGACTACCTAAAGATCGCCGGAGAATTCGCAGCGATATGACCCTCTATTTAAATGTAAGCCCGGTATCAAGATTGCATTAACCCCCACAGTCTGAACGCCTGAGCCCTATCATACAATCAGCATGGTTGGCTGAAAACAATACCAACGTCATCCTATTCGCTTTGCTATCACGTTAGCCTTCGTACTAAATCGCCAAATCAACTTTAAGACGGTGATCCACCAATCAAAGTCTCCACTTCCCCCGCAATCTTGTCAAAGCCTCGTCTGTAATCGCCATGATAGCCCAATCTTCCTCTCATCCTTGCTATTCCTGACTCGGCAAACTTGGCTGACCACGCTAAGGTTTTGAGGGGGTGGTGGCTAAGATAACGGCTGAGATATGATCGGGTTCTCAGCCGATGTCCCCTTTACTTGTTTAGGACAAGTTTTCCTCTTTTTCAAAGATAATGACCCGTGGATTATCAGTCAATGAGACGTTCAACGAATAGAAGTGAGACTACTCAGTATGCGTTCTTTTCTCCCTTCATAATATCGCAGCATGATAAAGAAACCTGGTGTCATATCAGCCATAAACCACTCTGATAGCTCCTGTTGCCACCCGTCATTGGCGGCGGTACATGACCCCCAATTCACACTCGAACAACCCGTGACGAAGAATCATAAAGGAAGCAATGGAAAGAACAGACATTGAGTACATTATTTAGCCTTCAAGGTTTCAAAGTTTTGAAGAGAGCAAATAAATTATTTCACTCCATTGCCGGCCAGGGGGCTGAACGGCTGCGAGTTGGAGAGCCGATTAAGGGTATAGACCAGGGTAGCCACCCCCTCAGGGACTTCAGGGACTTAGGTACTATTGAGCGTAATTTTGTAAATGGTATGACCATTTGGGGTTGAAGCGCAAGCCACTGCGGGGAAATTCATCGGGTGAGGAGCCGGTTGAGCCGTTTCCCAGGCTTATCAGCCGACCGCGAAGCCGATCACGGGAGGGCCACGGGAAGCCTCCCGTGGGTACTGAGGCAATGTTAATCAGGAGGTGTAATTTAGGGGTAGTCCAATTGGTTCTAAGTGAGCTGATTGCGGGAGCCTGACAAGGAGATATCCCGTCGAGGATCGTATTCGTTGCTAGGTCTTGTCCCACCTCACGGGATTTACCCTGCCGTATACTAGGCCTAGGAGTGGCTGCAAATGGGTGCCGTCAGGTTCTGGATGCCCTAACTTGCGTGAATATCAGTTTCATTGCTAATTAATCTTCGACTCACAGCCTGTGTGGTAGATTGGAAGTGCGGCTAAAGATGGACTTTGATATAACAAACAGTAAGTCAATTTCACTTCTATAGTGACTGCCATCGAGTGCACAACTCACAACTCACAACTCACAACTTGGTTTTCACTTCTTTCCCCTTGGGATGAATACGGACGAGTTATTCTCCAGTGGTTTGCTACCGTACAATATTCTTGCCGAGATGAGAAACCCATTTTGCAACGCTGCACGTACTAACAGGAATGGACCGAACCAAAACATGTGTCCCTCATTGACGAACAGATGCCTCCTATCCCGATACCTTCTTCTTGCCTTTGAGCATCCTCATCACCCAGTACAGAATCAACACCACCGTCATCAGCTGAGCCAGCAAATGAGATACACAAGTGTGCAAACGTAGATACCCATATCAGAAACACCAAGAGGAGAAGCTAAATCAGCGTCCCTCGCTTAGTGCCCTGGTCGGTAGCGTTTGGCATTCTTATAGAAACCGACGGGGAAATAGAACAGAGCCACATAAACATGGAGGCGAGGCTGTACCATGGCATCTCTACCAAGATCTGACTGAACATGAACACTTTCCAGCTGTATGTTTTGGCTGGCCTCTCACGAGCCTCGTATAATGAGCGCTGCGCAATTAAGTGGGGAAATTGCTGGTCCACCAATTGCCCAACAATACTCATCAGCTCGAAAATGACAAACATCTGGTTCTGCAGTCCTTGAATACTCAGTGGAGAGTCGAGGAATACCAGGCCGATGAATAAACTGGTGGCAGTATAGAGGAGTAGTCTGGAGTAGATGTATGAGGGTGTGCGCCATGTATGTTGAAAGGCACGCTTCGTAACCTCAAGGAACTGGCGCCATGGGGGAGTCGCAAATTCATTGTATAGGGCAGAGTCACTCTTGCGATCAGTGACCAGCATGCTGAGTTTTTGGCCCGGAGATGGCCTACTTCGCTTTGAACAGTGCAGTATTCAGGGATAGGGCGCCATGTCTTGCGTCAGTCAATCTCTGAAGAGCTGCTAGGTGCGGCACCTATAACTTCGAGCATCCACTCGCCTGGGTTGGCGTCAGGGGAACACGGGTTGCCACCATTGCGCTCGAAGTAATCGATGTGGGTCTTTGAGTTGTCTCCGATTTCGCCTGGCCAGTAAACTTCTGTTAGCCTCTGCACGCTTATCAAGTCACAAGATACGCGAATTGAGGATGGTCAAAATATACCAAAATAAACCGTATTGACCCCTTCAGTATGTAAGAGCAGACGATCAAATCGTTGAAATAACATGACCGAGGGCTGGTGGATAGTGCGAAGAATAGACTGGCCCGCTTTAGAGACCTTGGCCAGTAGATCCAGGATTGCCCAGCTAGTCTGTGAGTCGAGGCCACAGGTCGGCTCGTCACTGAAGAGTAGTAGTAGTGGTAGTAGTAGTAGTAGTAGTAGTAGTAGTAGTAGTAGTAGTAGTAGTAGTAGTAGTAGTAGTAGTAGTAGTAGTAGTAGTAGTAGTAGTAGTGGTGGTGGTTTAGCAGCCAGTTCAATGCCGATAGTCAAGAGCTTGCGTTGCTCAACGTCGAGACCTTCCCCTGGCACGCCAACAACGGCATCGGCATACTCCTGCATGCAGAAAAGTTGGATGACTTCCTCGACATAGGCGAGTTTCTCTGCCCTTGGTACACTCCCTGGCTGGCGAAGAAGAGCCGGGAACCACAGAGCCTAATAGTGAAGGGCTAAGCTAGTCGGCTTGAATTGAGCCAAGATAATTGTTTACAGCAAGGAGCCACTCACCTCCTGGGCTGTACTCGTCTCAAGATGCAGATCTTGCTGTTGCGCGTATCCGGTCTTGCACTGGAAGCTCTCATCCCGCATTTTCCCATCAACCAGCATCTCGCACTGAGAATGCCCACGCCTGCACGGCAATCAGCTAGACAATCCAACAGTTTGGTCTTGCTAGCTCCCGTCACACCCATTGAAGCCGTCAATGTTCCGGGCTTCACCCAGCCATCGACATTATCCGGGATGCACCGAGGCTCGCCCTTGATCTTGATACAGTAGCACACGTTTAGTATATTTAGTCTGCCGGTTCATGATTCCCATGCATTACTCTTACAGCAACCAAGCGCGCACCAACCCAATCTTTCACTACTCGCGCAGGCTGAATCTGTTGGGATAGGCATACCGGTGGAGTTGGAGGTTGCGCGACTAGCGAGGACAAGCTTGGACTTGTGCAATAAACCACTGAAGACGAGGGAGGATCTAGCTCGAAGATTTCGCCTGATGATACGGGGCTGGCGGCCTCGGGAATGCAAGGTGTTCAAGAATTGGACTTTGTAGGGGTTGGAGCGGACTTTGGGTGGGAGTCTTTCTTTCCGGACACGGGTTTTGCTCATAGTTGGCTTGGGGAATATCGATAGCTGATACAGTCTGAAACTTCGATAAAGTTTCAACATGATCGATAAAGATCTTTCAAATAAGATTGATTGAAGCATGTCCGACTGCCACTGTACTACGACCCTTGGACGAACATTGGTGGAAAAGTTGGTGCAGATATACCGCCGAGATCCCGACGCCGGAGTTTCTCCGATCCATTTATTTCCAGGAATTCAAGCATCACAGTCATGTTGAAAGGTTTAACATTGAACAAGTATAGAAATCTTTCGGCGATATAGTAAAATTTAAGTAAAAGGCTATCTGAGGACTAAAATAAAGAGCCCATCAGCCAGAACTTTATCTATAGATCGGCTCATCCTACCCCGATACCCCGATGGAACCGAAGTCGGGAAATGCCCGCGGGGGACGAGACTTACATAAACCGACCAGACTCCGACCCCCACGCATCTCCCCGCACTAATTCAAAGGCCGTCGAAAAGGGTCGTTCTTGCCATGATTTTACTCTCATTCACAATCATCTCTCATTAATTATACCCGTTACTCCTTATCCTAATTTCTATCTATCACCATGAAGCTCCTCTACCCTACCTCCGTGAAACTCGACGTGCAGAGTCTACAAGGATTCTCCGTCTCTCTCCACCCCTATGATGTCAAATCCTCCATTCCCGAGGAACACGTCGACGCCGAAATCCTAGTGACCTGGGCCAACAGTTCCGACAACCTCAAGGATGCCGCCCAGCGCCTGAAGAACCTCAAATGGATCCAGTCCCTCGCCGCTGGTCCCAACGATGTCCTCTCCGCTGGATTCGATGCTTCCGCAATCGTCGTCACTACCGGCGTTGGTCTACATGATTATCCCGTCGCGGAGCACACGCTCGGTCTGTTGCTGAACGGTGCGCGACACTTTTACGAAATGCGCGACTATCAGTTGCAGTCTAAGTGGCCTGGTCATTTGGGCGGTTCTTTCCCGCGCTCGGATTTCACCACCTTGCGCGGTTCTCGCGTGCTTATTTGGGGATATGGAAGTATTGCGAAGACGCTTACTCCGTATCTGACTGCACTCGGTGCAAATGTGCGCGGTATCGCGCGGAGTCAGGGTGTGCGAAATGGCGTTGAAGTCTACGCTGAGGATAAATTGCCTGAGCTTCTCCCCGAGACAGACGCTCTTGTTATGATCTTGCCCGGCTCGGATTCTACAATCAACGCTTTGAACGCCGAGAGATTGAAGTTGCTTCCTAAGCATGCTTGGGTTGTTAATGTTGGTCGTGGTGTTTCCGTCGATGAAGATGCTCTTGCGGATGCACTGGAGAAGGGTGAGATTGCTGGAGCCGCGTTGGATGTGTTCAAGGAGGAGCCTCTTCCTGAGTCTAGTCGGCTTTGGAAGACGCCCAACCTTATTATCTCCCCTCATGCTGCTGGTGGGAGGCCCCAGGGTTGTGAGGGCCTGATTGCGGATAATCTACGACGGTTCTTGGCTGGACAGCAGCTGAAGAATGTCATCTAGAATCACTAAGAAAAATCTAGGTAACGAATAAGGAATAGAATAGACGGTTTTCCAATCAAATATCAGGACCTTGCACAAAGTAGTCCACGGCATGAATAGTGCACATCATATCCAGGACTTATCCTAGAGTCTTATCAGAGGATTAGTTAATTGGCCCTTCTGGTTGTAATTCTAATGCTTTTCTCCCTAACGGCCATGTCAGGGTTCAGAATAGACCCTATAATGCTCTTAGAAGCCTGCCAATGATGAGAGGAGAGTAACGGACGAGTGAGTCTCCCTTGTATCATAGAATCGCTCTGTTTTTGACAAGTGTGCCGCTATCACAATCAGTATGCGTACTACGGGATATGAGTGGTGGCGTGGACAAGCATAGCGCCCTTGGAAGGGTACTATCAGACTACATTGAACTTTCTACGATCGCTACAAATTATTACTACAGATTGAGGGAAGAAACTATCGAAACCATGACGAAACGAGGTCATTTGGGCATGACTAAAAGGGTATCAAAGGAAGAATCAAACAGGTGAGAAAAAAATCGAACCCCTTGTCCATGCCGCTTCGTTAATCATACAGAAGAATAGGGGCCTCGTCACCCTATCCTTCGGGGGGAAAAAAGAAAAGAAAAGAAAAGAAATGCAGGAGCACACGCTCTCCAGCGTCGTGCCTAGTTGGCCCTCTCCTTTCCCTTTCCCTCACCCACCTTCCCCTCGGCCCAGGCCTTGGCTCGGGCCTTCGCTTTCGCTCTGGCCTCTGCCCTGGCCTCTGCCCTAGCTTTCTCCAGTAGGCTCTTGGGGGCGGTGAGGTTGTTCGCCAGCCTCTTATTCGCCTGCTTGTCTGAGAGCTGGCGCTGGAGCTTGTGACGGGCAACCATCACCGGGACCGAGGAGTTGGAGAGGAGGTAATTTGAGAAGGAGCCGAGCAAGACTCTGTAATTCGTTAGTTTCTGTAAATCGTTGAAGTATCAAACATGTCGAGCAACTCACCCCTTCAAGGCACTTTGGCCACGAGCGCCCACGACCGCGAGGGTCGGCTCCAACTCGTCGATCTAGAGAGGGCATGTTAGTTCACAGTAATCTCAAGGCAATTTAAGATGATCAGTCTTCACTTACGGCCTCAGTGATCATCAGCTTTGGGCTCTTGCAGTGAATCACCTCCACTGCAACACGGACTTGCAAGCCCGTCTTCCGAAGAAATCCGATGCAAATGTCGGAGATCTTCTTCACGGCGCGGACTCGTTCGGCCTCCGCGGCGGGAGACGCACGCGCATCGGCAGAGCTCGCCTTACTGGCGACTCCGGAACCCAGCCGACCCAAGATGTTGAGGGTGCCAGGGCGAGAGGCACGGGTGACCTCCTTGGTCTGGCTGCCCACGACGGCCACCGCGTCTTGCATGGCCTTGGCCCCTTCGCCGACCTGAACGGAGGAGGAGGCGGCATCCTCATGCATGGCGTAGATCGCATACATGGTGTCGCCATCCCGCAACAAGCCGCCGATCGTCCACTCCAGGGCGTTCTGGGACTCTTGGCTGAGATCCGTGGCGACAACGTACTTGCGCTGGCGGCGGCGCCCCTCGTCAGCCTCCTTCTGGATCTCGTCAAACTCGCCCCGGACGATCGTACGGATGGAGCGATTGGGCACTCCGTTGTCGATCGTGGACACGTAGATGCTGAGTCCCTGGGCCCGGTTGATGGCGGCCTCCTCTTCTTCATCATCTGATCCGCATGGGGTACCAGCGGCGGATCGGGGGCGCGGGGTTGGGATCTCGTAGTTGGTCTGAGGACGGACGACTGTCTTCAGGACCGACTTTCGTGGCTGCTTGTCCATGCCGGGGATGTTGTGCTTGGAGGATGACGCTTCTAGATATTTTATCAGTATAGGTCAAGATCAAAGTGAATGAAGATTGATTGATACTTACGCTGCTCCGTGATGTTGAGGTTGGCGTCCTTTGGCTTGGCGAAGTCGCTGGCGGTGATGCTGGTGATGTCGTCCTTCTTGTTCTTAGTGCGGCCTCGAGGGACGGTCACGAAGGTTACTCCGGGGATGGACTCTTCCTCGCCAGAGGATTCATAGTCGTCTTCATCATCGTCGTCGTCGGAGTCATCATCATCATCGCTGCTACTGCTCTCGATGAGGTTGTTGTCACGGTCGAAGACGTCCTTTGCCAGGCGCTCGCCGGACTCGCCATGTTCAGTTGGCTGCACGTAGCTTGGCATACTGCCAGAAGGCTTCACCAGAGCTTCGTCGGATCTATTGTGAGAGCCCTCCATTTTCAGTGTGTTCTCAGTGTTGGGGGTGGTGGAGGTGGTAGAGATGGTGGGGATGGTGGGTTGAGATTCAGAGGTGAGATTGAAAGTGCGAGTGGTGGTACGAGTGGTGGTGCGATTGGTGGGGGAAGCAGAACGACTAAGCTCTGAGCCAGAAGTGGGAGAACGCAAGTCCAAAGAAGAACTCCGGCGAGATGACGAGCCCCGACTGGACTCGCGCCCACGACTCAAACTTCGGGGAAGCAAACGCCCCTCCAACCCCGACATCATGGCAGCCACTGCCTTTCGTCCTTGGGTCAACTTTTTCGATCCCGTCTGCTCTGATGAATTTGTAGACACATCTGATCTGGCATCCTCATCAATTCCAGATCTCCGAGCAGCAGGAGCTTGGCTGTCATCCAGAGACGGCTGACCAGATGATCCAAGCTGGACATCCTCAACATGGGCGACATCTTCAACATGGGTTGATTCCCTCTCTGGAGAACTTGCTGCAGACCGCATAGCCGATGCTGCAACCCGCGGTTCTCTCTCCGGAGAACTTGCTGCAGTTGAAATTGACATAGCTGATGTTGCAAGCCGCAATGGCGATTGGACGAATGGCTCGGCGGCGCCTCGAGCTCCACGTCTCGACCGTGAGCTAGACCAGTGAGAATGACGGTTGCTTGCAGACTGCGGGGGTCTCAGTACGTTCCGTACCGCGCGGTGCAAGCCTAAAAACCCCCATTCACGAGAAGAGAAGGTCGGGGATTGCGATGAAGACTGAGGAGTCGGACCCGGGACTTGGGCGTTTTCCTCAGGTGCAGACTGGGAAGCTGGGGAAGAGGAAGAAGATGTGGGGGAGACTCGGCCGTCAGCTTGGTACGACATCTCGTGCGGTTCCGCCTGCGGCGGGCTTGACCTGTTGTGGAGAACTCGGCACGCCACACAGCCAACGAGAAGCCTCGGCGGGACAGGAATGTGGAGCTGATCGCCCGGCTTATGATCAATAAGGTCTTTGCGCTCAAGGGGGTGAACCCTGATCAGCTGCGCTAGATCAGCCAAGCGAAGGATTCCAGAACACTCAGTGGCTGCAGCTTGCAGTTGGCATGCACAGGCACAGAATGCTGGGGAGGATGTGGGGAAGCGTGAAGAATGAAGAAATGACAAGAATGAAAGCGCTCTCTCATCGAAAGCTCTGAAGAAGGGTGCGGAGAAGCGATTGAGAAAGGAAGAAGCGACTGAGAGGAGAAAGAAGCGCTTGAGATGGAAAAAAACGTGGATGGGAGGGTGTCGAGGAAAAAGATCTTGGAGAAGGCGCTGCTGTCTGGCCAAGCTGCCCTGTCCCAACGACAGTCCCAACGATCTGATGGACTCAAGGACTAGTCGACTAATCGCGGCGGCGAAAACGACTAAGCGGATGGCCTGGCGACCTGATATGCTCATATCAGGGCCTCGGGGAGTAGGGCGCACATCTGCCTATCCATCGCGGTGGCTATGCGGTCTCAATGGCTACTTGTTCGTGGAGGGCATCGAACTAGGGCACCGGAGGTATATGAGGAGTATACAGTGCACTGGGCTCATCCGTACGGGCTACTTGTGGGTTATTCTCGATTGAACGGAGTGATACATTGAGCAATTCCTGTGCAATGTTGGAGAAAACTACGAGGCTCCTCCCAATCCTGTACTAAGCACCAGGTATGGAGGGAGGAGCGCTAGAAATCGGCTTCTACACGGATTTTGACGGAGAAAATGTGTTCAGTGGAAAACATATTGAAAGCTATGAAATCATGGAGCGCCTCCCAGATTCCAGACCAAGCACCAGATACATACATACATCAGAGGGGGAAAGATATACCGGATTGTGGATCAGACCAGACCAGACCAGATGCAAGCGCAAACCAACTCCCCGGGAACCAAAGACCATCAAAAAAAGGAAGCGCTCAGTAAACATCATGTGAATCATGGTGGAAAAGTGCAATACAACAGCGGTGCCAGCTACTTGGCAGATTTCTTAGTCTTGGGTTTCGCGTCCTTGGATTTCTTGCGGGCACCAACAGCAGCAAACGCCTCCTCCGATGGTTCATCCATTGGACCGCGCTTCTTACCCTTAGGCTGGCCATATTTCTCCTCCAATTGAGCAAGGAAGCCCTGTCCACGTTGCTGCTGACGCTTGGTGATAAGCGCAAGAAGATCATCATCTCCGCCTCCGCTAGTGGCCTTGGATGCCTTAGCAGCCGCAGCAGCCTTCTTCTTCTTGTTATTGTCCACCTCCTTGGCGAGTTTCTCAGCTTCTTTGGCCTCCTTCTGTGCACGCTTCACTCTGCGCTGGCGTTTGCTCTCGGATTCCTCGCTGTACTTTGTGTACTTCTCCACTTCGCCGTCGGCAATGGCCTGGTTGATGATAGCCCGGAAGCGCTCGTCGTCATCCAGGACGTTGGACAGCATTACAGACTCATAGATGCCATCCATATCACCTTCGTGCTGATCATAGGCCTCCAACAGGTCCCTCTTCTCTTCATCGGAGCCTTGGTATTTCTTTTGGAAATCGGACACGGCGCGAGTGTCGAGCATTGCAGATAGCTGCTCGCGGTAAAAGTCCAACCAGTCAAAGTCGCCATCTTCACCGAGAACGTCATCGGTGTTGCCGGTGCGATCATAAATCTTTCGGCGGCGCTCGTCGGAGAGGACGCCGTAGGCGAGAGCGATTTGTTGGAATTTCTTATGGGCTTCTTCGCGGACGTCTTCGCTGACCTTGTCTATGCTTGAGTGGTTAGTTGAGTTTTCGGATGGAATTTGAGGATGACTAGGGAATTAGGAATTACCAGGATGATGCTTCAAAGCATTCTTCTTGTATGCAGTCTTGATTGCCTCCGGGGTCGCATCGGACTGGACGCCGAGGATTTTGTAGAGATCTTCCTCGACTGACGGCGGCTGCTCGTCAACGACGTTTTTTGTCTTTGCACCTTTCGCCATTGAGAATATTCAAGTGTTGGAATGGGATCAAAATGGCGATGTCAAAGGGCGCTTCGGACTGGCAGAAGAACATGCATTAACCAATCTAGTAAGATGGGCAGGCGCGGGTTGAGTTTACGCGAGTTCGACGCGCCGGACCCATTCCGTCATTGTTCTGCTGGAGCTCCCCGCTTTCACTCGTGAGCTTCACAATCTCACCTCATCAACCTCGACCTTGCTATTTTCCCACATAGTCATTTCTATTTCTTGGACTTTCCTATACCTTTGAAAAGTCAATTACCTCAATTTTACTACAATTAACCTGCCATTCTACGCCAATCCCATCTCGCAATTGGTCCAACAAACACTCTCACCACTACAATGACGAACCCATCCCCGCACTCTGCTTACATCCAGAAATGCATCTCCCTGGCCGAACAATCCCCTCCACGCCCAACAAACTTCCGCGTCGGAGCACTCCTCCTCTCCCGCAAAGACGATGACCCAACCGGCTCAAACGACCAAATCCTCTCCACGGGCTACACAATGGAACTCGCGGGTAACACGCACGCCGAGCAATGCTGTTTCGCCAACTTCGCCGCCGTCCACAACGTCCCCGAAGACCAAGTAGCCTCGGTGCTACCCGGCGAACCAGGCCGAAAGCTCGTCATGTACGTCACGATGGAGCCATGCGGGAAGCGATTGTCGGGTAATGCGCCGTGTGCGCAGCGCATTGCGCGGACTCGCGAGGGCGGGCGGCCCGGTATTCATAAGGTGTATTTTGGTGTGAAGGAGCCGGAGACGTTTGTGGGAGAGTCGGAGGGGTGTCGGATGTTGAGTGAGGCGGGGATTGAGTGGGAGCATGTGGGTGGGTCTGAGAGGGAGATTTTGACGGTTGCTGTGGCGGGTCATGAGGATCCTGAGGCGGAGGTTAGGGTTGCTCTTGGTGAGAAGGGGAAGGAGAAGGAGACGAATGTGGATAATATTAGTCCTGAAGAGAGGAAGAGGCAGGAGCAGATACCACGGAATCCGAAAAAGAGGATGATGGAAGGGGAGACTCCGGTGTGAGGTAGAGGACCCTGATATCAAATCCTATAGATTGTTGCTCTTTGGCAGCGCAAAAATTGGCTTTTTTAGCCCATAGACAAGATTTTACCACCAGTCATCGAATAAATCCTTAGCACGAAAGTGGTCCATAATAAGATCGCTAGGTACGCTAATCAGTAGTTTCCTCAGCTGGTATACTGGGTTCCACGTGACCCCACGCATCCTCTTCCTATCGCCAGCAACCTGTTAAACTCCGATCCCTCCATCCTACCAAGTCAAACCCATGGCATACATGAACACCCTGATCCCAACGAGAAAATGACCCGATGGCGACAACCCAAAATGTGGACCCAATTTTCTACCCCGCGTTCTGCTTCAAGGCATCGCCAACGCACTTCGCCTGGGTGAAGATGGCAGCCGCTGATGTCCATCGACTACAGAGACCAAGGAACTTTGAAGGTAGGCGCGGATCCACTTTTTCTTGATTGGTGTTATACCCAACAAGCTAGGAGGCGTTTCTTTCATGCGTACCCTTGTTCTGCAGATAGCCTTGTCTGGGGCCCAGGAATTGAGACCTTCTCCCCGGTTTCTATGGAAAATAATGAGACTCTTGCTACTTGCCCTTTTCCGCAAAACCAAGATTGAGATCAATGATCCCTGCTAATACTCACCAGGCCAAACAATCTTCTTCTATAAGAACCACCCAATCCGCTTCGTCAGCGTCGTGGGCGTGATCGTAGCCCGGACAGAAATCACCAAACGTACAATCCTGATGCTAGATGATAGCAGCGGCGCCACAGTAGACGTCTGTGTCTTGCAATCCGATCCCAAAGAAAGGCAAAAGACAGAGACAGAGGACACCCAGGCCTCAAATATCTCAAAAACCGAGCCAGATGCATCGACATCCCTGGATACCCCAGCACAAACCATCACCACAAAAACACCACTATTACAAACAGAGCACGTCTCAGCTACAGACCGCACAATCCTCGACATAACGCACCTAAAACCTGGCACAACAGTCCGAGTAAAAGGCACATTATCCCGCTTCCGCTCAATCATGCAACTCAACCTCGAGCGATTCACGGTAATCCGCGACACAAACGCCGAAATGCAATTCATCGATGAAAGACTCCAATTCCTCGTCGAAGTTCTCGCCGTGCCATGGGTACTATCCAACGAGGAGATTGAGCAATTACGAGCTGAGGCGGAGAGGGTGGATGCCAAGGCTATTGAGAATAGGCAGCGGGCCGAGCAGCGTGTGAAAAGAAGGGCTGAGCGGGAAGAAAGGGATTATCGACATATTCAGAAACGGTATGAGAGGGAGGAGAGGAGGAGGGCTAAGGAGGCGGGTGTTTGTAAGGAGGATGGTATTAATTTTATGCGGGATATGAGGCGGAAGAGGGTTTTGGATGCGGATGATGGTGGGGATGGGAGACGGTGATGAGGAATTATAATATGATATAAGGCGAGCTTCTATATTACATTACACTGTGTACTTGCAAGAGATTCCCGAGCGTACACAAAATAATAGATGGGAGGGATATGAATCTTACGCGATGTTGTGGAAATCAGACCTTCCCGAATATCTTTCGAATGATCTTCCTGGGCAAGCCTAGGCTATATCCCTCGATTTGTCCTTTCAAGTACCATTTATAGTTTAGTTCTGTGTTTCAAGTAGAACCCTCCTTCCTGATAGTTTTCTGTTAACTAAATAAACCTTTTGATATTTGGCCGCTATCAAACGCCATAGAAATGTAACAAATTTTTTAAAAACATGTAGTAAAAATGATATATTAATAGCGCCCAAAACATCAAGTATCGAACATGGTTCATCAGTCATCATCGCCAACCCCAGAGACTGGTGGGTATATTCATGTCACACGAAAACGCCAAGCCGAAAAGTGATGAAACAGCGTGGAAACCAGGAAGCGAGAGCCGAAAAACACAGAAAGGACAAGGCTTGGAAACAGAACCAACCAAAGAACATTTTAATGATACCGCTTGTGCTCGTGCACAGGTCCACCACCCTGCCCACCCAACAAGCCGCGGTAGTACTCGTCCTCACTGGCACGACTTCCACCGCGATGGTGCTCTCTATACCGACGGACATCATCCTCAGGCAAAATCGAGGTGGGCGAGTCCGTGTATAGATCACCGGTGGAAACACCACCGTATCGAGGGGGAGCCGCATCACGGCCAAGCAGGTCACTCTCCGAATGTCTATAATCATGGCTCATGCCGCGGGACGAACTGCGTGATCCTCGCGAGTATCGCCGCCGTGGATGTCCAGTTCCCGAGCCAGTCCGTGACGAGTAGAGACCATCGGCAGCACTATATTTGTCTGAGGTGGAGTGTCGATGACTTGTGACCGAGCTTGGGACGTCTAGTGGGCGTCCCGACGAGAAGGATTCTGTGCGGCTGCGTGTGTGGCCGGCCTCTTCGTATTTCTTTCCTCCGCCGGGCTGAGCCGAGTATGGTTTTCTCTCGCGCTCGATTGGTTTTGAGGGAGCGGGTTCGTCTTCGTCGTCGATTACGGCGGCGGAAGATGATGCCGAGGGAGGTGGTCGACCCCGTTCAAAGGATCGGGATCGCTCTGTCGAGCCGGATGTGGTGGGAGTTGCAGGCTGGGAGGGTTCGAGGTGAGATGGTGTGGGTTTCTTTGCGCGAGCTGCTTGGGAACGCTCTTCTTCTGTGATACGGGGCAGATCCACACCGCAGTGCTTCATGATATGTTCCTCAACTTCCTCTCTCAGTTTAAGGTCGGCGACGTCGGGGAACAACCGGCGTGGGATTTCTTTGGGGAAACGCTCTTTCTTGTCGTCTGGGTTGCTGATAGGCATGTTCAGAACGGCCTTTTGGAGACGCTCGTATTCGCGCTCTGGATGAGCTTGGATCATAATTGTGGCCCATACTTCGAAGCCTTTGGGTGTGAGGCCGGGTATGTCGGGCCGTTCCTTGAGGTCGTCAAGCTGGACAAGATGGTGCTGCGCTTTTACCTCTCGGAAGAGCCTTGAGACTGAGGATGTTCGGTCATCGAAGATATCTGCAAATAAACATGTTAGATACACTGCAGCGAAGCGAGATGGCAATCCCCGTTGAACTAACCTTGCCACGGATAAGGGTCCCACGACACATCGGTATCAGCGTAGAACTTCTGCAGCTTATCCGGAACGATCACAATGGTATTTCCCGGCGGGTAATCCTCGATCTAGAATAATAGTTAGCTCTCTGATCGGACTGGCACATCACATATAGCATTCGTATTTACCAGATGCATTGCAATTCCTCGCAAGAACTGCCCCAACCTCTTCGTCGGCTTGCCATCCACGAACAGTTTCCCCCAAATCTTCTCCAGCGTAGTCATCTCCATGACTGTCGCGTCTCTGGATGGCGGCTTCGGCCGTTCCATTTTCTGACTCCCATGGCTAGACATCGATTCGCGCCTGCTACTCAGCGGGTCGGGTGATTGCTTGGGAGTTGGGCGCATATCACGGGTATCACTCGCATATCCTGTAGACGACGGTGCCTGAGGGGCAACATATGGCTGAGTAGATTCGAAGCTACTAGACATAGGATTGACCTGGGGCATCGAGTCGGCTCGCTGTGATACATTCGGCGGCGACTCCGAGTGCGGACGAGGCGCCAGATCTGGACCTGCGGACCATGAAGGTTGCTGCGACTGCGATCGCGGCGGTGCGGGCGCAGAAGATCCAGGGCCCTGGAGGTTCCCCAGGCCTGTGGCTTTGAGCTGCTGGATGACGGTTGCGGTGATCTGGCTTAGGACGTCTGGAGAGAGATATTCGGAGGAGTTTGTCTGGTGCACCGCCGAGCTAACCGCATCATTCAGATACCCATGACCTGGTCCAAAATTCTGCGGTCGGGGTGTATCTGAATCCATGCTCTGAGGGGACGATGTGGGCGGGGGCATCTGCGGTTGAGGCATATTCAGACGGTCGGGCTCGTAGTTGTTCGATGGGTATGGGGGTGTGGGCGTGTACCCGTGAGGGTCATTTGGATCCGAGTTCATGTTGCCCGGTTGATAGGGGTTTGCTGACGAATGGTACCCATCGTAAGCCATTGAAGAGGTAGTTCAAGGCCCCTTGGGGGAAGACGAGCGGGCGCAGAAGTGGGGGAGAACAGTGGGGAGAGTCTCTGCGCACCGAACAAGTACGGTCGATGCGCTGAGGAGAGGTCACGATGAAGGCCACAAATAGCAGAGACACTTGAGAGACAGAGACTGGACACAGAAGCACAGAAGCGAGAAACCAAAACAGCAGCCCGAAACGAGGATGTCAGGCAGAGAAATTGTCAGCGTTGGAGGGGCTGTGGGGAAAACGGGTGGCGATCTCCAACAGGTCTGGCGTCACTAGACTTGCTACAGAGTACTACAATAATAATAGGGGAAGATAATGATAAGAAGATAGGGGTAGTCTCGTCACTGTTCTGCTCTCCTGTATAATATTGAACACAAGTAAACCAGAGAGGGAGGACAGCAGGAAAGAGTCCAACCACAGAGACCCAAAGACTCGACGTCACTGCAAATAATCTTGTCTTGTGGTTGATGTTGAATGTGGCGCACATTTTAATCTATTCCAGTGCCACAAGAGGGGGGCATCTCTTATTAACTCCCGTCATGATCGGCATACTCCCATATGCCTATATGGATCTTCCATGCGATACCTGCATCAAAAGACGTAAACGATGTCAACTACGATGCATTCCATACCCTATCAGCATTCCGGCCGACCACGTTTCATCTGGTGAGTAGCGTGGAAAGCGTGTCATGATGGCCCATCATGCATACGAGCAGTCGGGTTCGCTCCGTAGGATTGACAACATCCAATCAGCAAGGACTCGATGACGATCTAGCGATTAGGTGTGACTATTCTTATACTGTAGAAAACAATGTCATCATTCCACAGATTTGCAATGGTCGGTCACTATTGTAGATATTTTCAGCCCTCTGGAACACTCATGGCTGGGCTGCGTTAGCGTGGGGCCAAGATATATTTTTGGCACTCTGGCGTACTTTCTTGAGACCTACATTAAGCCCTACGGACAATTATAGTAATTCATTGCTTACAGATTATAGAGCTATTATATTCTATCTTTTCGTGCTGTAGGTACAAAAGGAGATAAAAGTACACAAAACATGGCGAACCGCTGGCTCAAGTGGGGTTGAACCATCCAGCGGACGTCATATCCATGGGTACACGCAAGGGGCAACCCAGAATGCTTTATACCGTTAGACTTACTATGAGTTACTATGAAGTTTCACGCAAATATCGAATTTACCTAACCCCATAAGTTCCAGAAATTCTTATTAACCCTAGACTGGTCGTGTACTGCTACCACTAGGGACAAAAGGGCTCGTAGCCCACCACATTTCGTATCCTCCCCGCAGCAAGGGACCGCCGGACAAGAGAGGAAAAGAACGAGCACTTCCAAGATCCTTCGATCACACACCGAGCTTATGTGTTCCGATCATGTCCATCAAGTCAAGCTCGATTCGCGGCAACGCAGAAAATCACCACTGGTAGGAACTGGTGTAGTACACATCATCATCGTAGCCAAAGACAACCGCAAACGACATATCTCCGATGATGTTCTGGTTCTGGGTGGGAGCTCGAATGGCCGAAGCGGAACTTGCGCCGCCGCTCCACTGTATAAATATTTGGATCATTAGTATATTCACAGCCTTCCAGATATCTCGTAGGAAATGATGGAAACTTACGCTCTCCGCTCTCATTCCGAAACGACGATTTGTAGGCACGAATGTATCCTCGTTCTCCTCCAGGGCGGGTTCCTGGCGCATGATATTCTCAGCCATTCCAATAGTTCTGGTAATGACGGGGGCGGACTCGGAGTTCTAGAAGAGCATAACAAAGTTGGCCACTTCTTCCAAAGGCATAGGCAGCTTGGAACATAAACAAGACTCACCTTTTCAGTCACTCGACCGGGATCCAAGTTTGCCATAGCGCGGGTGAGCTCGCTGACCGGCTTGTCCAGCTCGTCCTGCGTAGCAGTGACATTGTCACCCTCATCGAGCTGCATGTTGTCCTGGTGTCCGAGAACCAGATTTTCCGGACCACTTGGGGGAGCTCAGTGATCTCGTCCGGATCCTCAGCCATCTTGTCACGCTCATCAAGCTGCAAGCTGTCCTGGCATAGAAGGCAAGTCTGTTCAACGTCACCATATGTATCAATAAACTGTGCATACCCCAAAATACATTCAGATAATCAACATACCGGCTGCTGAAGCTGGCGCTGGGTGTGGGCGAACTCGTTGATGGACCGGACCTGATTGCAAGTCATGCAAGGAATCTCGGAGCGCGACTGGGTGCCGCAACAATCACATCGGACAACTTGCTGGTTATCCAATACCTCAATCCCCTTCTTACGGATTTCCGCGAGGAGGCGCTTCTTTGCAGAAGGGCTGTATCTCTCAAGTGGCAGCTCTCTATCACACAGCATACAGGTGATGCTGTGGCCGGTTAGCACTTGATATGACCGCAAAAAGTCAGACTCATGATATACTTACGTATCTGGAAGAGAGACTCTGTGTATGACTCTATCAGTAAATCTCTCATCAAGGGTTAAATGAACTCTTTGGAACGAACATACGATTCGCGGGCATCTCCCTGCCATCCACCAGATGGCGCCGCGCCAGCAGCGAATTGGCGGCTTTCCTTCACCATTTTGCCTAAACCTTTGATGAGGGGCTTTTGAATGGCCTGAAGATGTTGAGGAAGATGAGTTCTAAAAAGGTTTGAAAAGATCGAGCGACTGAGGTTGTGGGAGGTTGATGGAGGGGTGCGATGGCAGGGAAGGTACCTCGGACACGCCCAGAAGGAAAGTACCGGAATATTTAACCTCGTTGAGCTCAACAGGCACATTAGGCAAACTATCTAGAATGTGACTGAGCTATTTCTATAACAAACGATACATATTGTTGTGTGGAAAGACTCGCCGAGTAAGCGATTGCTGTGTATTTTTGATGTTGAGGGTATAGAGCAATTTCTCGCTTTACTGGAATGTTCTGGAGCGAATTTTGCTCATTAAGAATAGACGAGTGACTCTAAGAGACAGATAGATGTTTAATATGAAGGAATTGGACGATTTCAGGTTCGTTATGATACTAGTCATGGAAGGTTGGAGGTCAGACTCCCGTGGAAGTAGGAACTAGGGGCGCATACCAATTAGAAACCAGGTGAATGTGAAGAATATTGAAGAAAATATGCTTTAAATTATGACATGAAGACATCAGCTACCGTAGGAATTAGAATTGCATAAGGTGGAGTGTTAATAGAGAGCAAGCGAGTAGATATGGATCTTGCCGACCAGGATGGTAGGTATGCCATTAAAGGATCAAGCGGAATTTTTAGAAAATACTATTATAACCACGACTCAGAGGCATGTCACGGGAAATAATAGAGCTGCTCGAGACATTGCGGTAGCAGCTCAACCTAGAATATCAATATCATTTGGATGTCACATAGTAAGGAGTATCACTACTTCCTGGTTGCTATGTACTCTATCTAGCAGGGATTATTTCACAGAAATCAGAGATTGATCGTGTATTCCAACTGATTCAATTGTAAGAAGCAGTTCTATTCATGTAGTTAAATAACTGGCTATCTAATGACGCTCCTGGTAGGCTAATAACTACACCCAGAGAAGGCATGGTTTCTCTGTGGCAGGAAGATTGGCTGAGAAATTTTGGTTACACATGCTTTTCGGCGACTTTACAGGGTAGAAAGTTTTCGGCTGTTGCAATCGTCTCATCCAGATAAACTGGTTGTGGTTGAAGGCAATTTTTGCTCATTTTTCTTTGATGATAGTACAGAGTATAAAGAGTACAAAGACAGGGGATATATGGAGTCTACCCATTCATTGAAGAAGCAAATTCAACTTCATATGTTTTTCTAATACAGGAGCTGGATAGCCACAAAATGATCAATATTTATCATGTTTCTACTCATAGTATCTCTTCAGCCGTAGAATAGAATAGCATAGCCAGGACTAGGGATATTAGAACTTTGAACATGACAGCACAAAACTTAGCAGATAATTGCAGTCGCCCGTGCTGCAATCCGTCTACTTTTCATCATTTCACAAAGAAGCCAAATCACTATCATGGTGTAGACCTTTCCCCCCTTTACCATGCCGGCACTAAGCGACGAACGGCGTACTCCGTAATAATACATAATGACTCCTTGTCTACTCTTTACAAAGTTTATCATAATATGATAAGAATAAACAACATCCATCATCCCAAAATACCTCAAAACAAAAGCAGATCCAAGCCCACAACGGCACTTCTCCCTCTCCACGACCCCATCAACCCCTATTCATCAAATCCCCGATTGGCTCCCACCCAAGACGCCAAAACCTTCCAGAAACTTCATCAGGGGGAAGGGACCACTACTAATTTCCCATCCAACCAACCTGAACACTCAAGCTAAGTTGCAAATCCCGTTAGAAATAAACTAGCCAAGACGGTTCGGTCCATGGAGACGGTCAGACCCCTCCGGTAGTATGTGGAAAGTAGAAAAATCAGGTGTATATTCTGCGCATAATTAGAACTTTCTAGGAAGAGGGAGGGAGGGCAACGACGAAGGGGGTGCTGTCAATTCCCAATAGATTGGAGTCTGGAGTGTCCGCGCATCCTCATCAGTCCATCTCCATAGAAGCCTTCAGCCACGGTTCCAACCTTCCAGAAACGCTAAAATGTCGAATAGGAGGTCCTCGTTAGTCGTTTCCGCAGTGATAGTGGAGAATCCCGCGGACCGCAACCCGGTGGTTCCAGGATTTCCGGTCGTGCAAGGCTACTGTAAAGAGTAAGGTTAGACTGAATGAGAGGGAGCTACAACCCTCTAGCGCGGAGGTTAGATACAGAAACGGTAGGTGAGGTCCCAGGGGCCAGGGTTACCTCGTGGTTGTTTCCTAGACAGCTACCCCGTATGTAAGGCTAAGTTACTTTAGGGGGACACTTAGATACTGTTGGGATGGATCAATAATGGATCATGGTGACGGGCGACCCTCGATCGGGTCCATATTAGCGGGAGAAACGGGGGCGAAGGTTGGGTTTGACGTGGGTGTTCTTTTCCTGATACGTGCGCTGATGCTCGCGGCGTCCCAGATGGTGGGATGGAAACTGAAAAAAAGGGGGGACGGAGATGATGCATGAAATTGGGTAATTTGTAGCAAATTGTTTTGTTCGGCGTCTGCTTGTGGGTCAATTTGATGAGCTGCAGCGGCTGCTGCCTCCATTGATGGTTGAATTAATCTAAACTTCTTGTTGACACGAGCAGGGTCTGTTTTGTTTTGGGTGCTGTTTAAGGGAGCCGAGGGTAGACTAGGATTTGGCGTGATGGAGGGGTTAGCGGAGCCCCTAGAAGATAGAAGAAGGGAAAGAATAGTAACAATAATGGAGTGTGAGGCAACACAGGCGCAGTGATACGAGTCTGCTTTGCCCCAGTGAGAGCTATTCTTGGACAATTGATTGAGGCAGTGATCAGGAGATTTCAAATAATCTCCTTTCTGGATGGAGGTGTGGTGGCAGTGGCAGTGGCAAAGCCAAAGTAATGGTATGGTAGTAGCAACGATGGCAAAGTTAAAGACCTCAAAGTACAAGAGCGTTGCCCAGCTACGGAATCAAAAACAAAGTCAGAGACCGCATCATAAGTTAGATATCTACCGTTTTTTGCGTTCGTGAGAGACGGCCCCAGCACGACCTTCTCGAAGGCCCAAGGAACATCAAAACACGCCGGCGCCTCCCGGCACTTTGGCAGCGGTGCAATAGTTGCTGTCATAGCGCTGGGTCCTGAGTGGCGAAGGAGGGATCGCTTCTCTCCCTCCTTTCCTCTGTGGCACAGTCGCCGTGCTCCAGAGGACCAGAGAAACTGAATGAAGGAGACAGCTCTCCGACTTCCGGGCACGAAAAGGGACGGGCCTGGACGAGGCCCACGCCAGTGGAGCATCCGTCGTCCCCCGGGGACACGGCGCGACGCTAGGCCCACATCCGCAAATGCATCCAGCAATGAACGCGTGCACAATGGAGCAGAAACGACGATGCTTGGAGGGTGTGGTGGATTAGTGTCCATTTTGTGACCCGATGAACTGGTTGCTAACTGCCTTCTCCCCACTCTCCTTGAGTCCACCCAATGGCTTTGTTGGCGTGTAAATGGGATCCATCGCACTATGATCTTCTGGTTTTGATAATTGGCGTGTTGGTCAAAGCCGTGGATACTGCCGACTCCACTACTTTCCACATCGTGGCTTTGGAGGCGTTGTTGTTAGGAGACGCGGTGTAGATTGTGGAGGAGATGGACGGTATTTGGGGGAGACGCGGTGAGTGCCACAGTCTTGGACGGTCACGATGGTGTTATTGATGGCGTGGCGAGGATGGAGAAACATTGAATGGAGGATTATTGGAGATGTTGCTCCATGGTGATCGTGATCATGATTGGAATGGTCTCCGCTGGTTGCTGTGAGGATGCCCAAGCTTCTCTCTTTTCTTGCTTAAGCGCATTACGCTATCCTCTCATGGTGGAGACATGGTCTCACGATTGTTTTCATTATTCTTTTTTTCTGGATGGACTTTGTTTTGTGCCTGTTGCTTCTTCGAGTCAATTCATGATGGGGGCCTTGATCCACTGGTAATTCATCGCTGGGACGACTCCGTATGCCGTCGGTACGGCCCTTGTGAGCCATCCGCAGGGACTGGGTGGGCGGTGGACTGTGAACCGTGGTCAGGACATAGACTGTAGTCAATGTACTCTGTACTTTCTCGATCGGAAGAGGGAGATACTCCCCCGAAAAGCAGATCTGTCTTCCATTATTTTAGTTATCTCTTTCTCATTGTTCGTACATACTCAACATGTCGCGAGGGATACCGGTGAACTCGATGAAGGCGATACAGTTGAGAGGCGACATGAGAGGAGTCAATCCGTGGAGTGGACGCGGCAGGGCAACACCCTGACAGGCTGACCGCGATGTGATTTGCGGCCTGGAAGGATCCTTCCTTGCGGGCCAAACGGTCGCCCCAGGGTTCGTCTGGCCTGACAGATGCATTCTTCCAGTACATCTCGGCTGCACGTAATAAAATGGAGAGAATGGGGGTGATGGATCATGGGGTTCTACGGAGTCAATAGGGATTGTACCTTGCACTGGTTATGATCTATCATCTTTGACAATTTCTATAGATGATTGATTATATACTGTAGGTATGTCCGCATAAACTGTACATTGTCCTGTGTTTTGACTGTACCATTTAGAATTATCCTCCAGTAGTACTTTGTACTGGCGTGAGCGTGCACTCGAATACGCTATGCATCAGATTAACCATGTACTGATTACTTGACCTGTACTCTGCCGCGCTCGTTACATATCGTTTCATACGATTCATAATTCCTCCTCGACCTTCACCTGACAGGTAGATTGGGCTGCGATGATCGTCCACCCACGTCTGCGTTCTCGGGTTCCTGGCAAGTGGAGCAGCGCCAGAGTCCTGGATTCCCGGAAAGGGTATGTGCCCTGTAAATCGATAGGTGGACAGGTGATGATGATCTCTAGCGATATCGGGATATACAAAAGGTGCCTGTTTTTTGTGTCGTTTTCCTTGTCTCCCCAGCCGCCCGTCGAACTGGCCGTTTGGCGACCGGGGTCATGATTGGACGTAGATCGCTGTTCATACGAATCTCCTCTCTATGAATCCTTCGGGCACACGGGAAGGATCGGTTGTGTCTTTGTCTCTTGAGATTTTGAGAAATTTTGTAAACTACGACATTTACTAGGCCCGACCGGGTCATTAAAGCGAGAAAGGGGACGGGGATCGTAAAATTGAAAAGAGCCCCAAGTCACAACCAAGAAACGACAAGATAGAAGCGAGAACTAAATCGCGCCAGATCAAATCAAATCAACAGGCATTCAGGCAAAGGTGGGAAGGATTATCAGTCGCGTCTTGGGGGACAGCCCAGTCTCAGTCAAGTAAATCATGTCGCGCCATCTGTTCCCAATCGGCTCCGCGTCGCATCGGTGTGTCCAACCCGTATTATCCAGCCTGCCGGGGCTGGCGCCTTTTCGTCCCTCCCCCGCGCCAGCAAGGCAGACTGGCAGAGGGGGAAATGGAAGGATTCAAACATACAGAGGGAAAATAATGATTTGGAATCCAGAGCAACGAGAGTGCAATTATACCACTGATGTACAATGTATTTCTGCATGTCAACCAATGCAACAGACCACAGTCAATAAACAAGGCTGCCAATGACAATCGCTAGCAATAAAATGCAGGTGGGATGCATTGCCCAGACCCATGGTACTGTCCGGCTTAAGCTTACCTTCCCCCCAGGTCTATGCGAACGCCTCCGTCCATCCGAACCTAATGTTGCTCCTCATTCTTGCCTCCGTCTGGTCTTTTGTTCCGTCACAAAGACCAAAACAAAGTCCTTCGTAAATATGGTTGTACTATGGAGGACAGAGCATTGAGCTCTGGTTGTCCTTTGCTTTCAATAATCCGAATATAAATCATCATTGGTGGATATTCGGACCAGTCGGAGCTCCGTCTACCCAAAACACAGAAAAAGAAAAAAAAATGGTACAAAAGTAATGGAGTATTGAGAACTGAGAAACCCGGAGTACTGTTTCCGCTTTTTCCCCCAGGAAATCTCGGATCCAACGATGGACGATCCGGTGGCAAGACACGGCGGATGCCCGGTCAACGAGCGTCAACAATCGCCGTGATGGGGGGTGAAACAGGAGAGATCTTGCAGTTTTTCCGATGCGAGGAAGGGAATGTACTGCATCATGTATTATGCTGATAATCACACTGTTGATTATTATTGATCGATCTCTACGATGTAAGTAGCATCAGATCAGTACAGTACCCATTCAAAGATCAGCCCCCAAAATTCGAAACCAAAGTAGGGCATGACATAAGGCACAGTGCTGCCAGATGGGATGCTCCTTGCGGATCTGTACAGAGTACAGTACATAATAGGCACATCGTACGGGAGTACATATCAGAAGTCATCACCTGGTTGATTTAGTCTGCGGCTTGGGGTCGAGGCCCTGGACTAAAAATGATGTGTCGGACAGAGGCTGGAGGGGGCAATACAATACGGGGAGGTTGTTGTGAGAGGGCTGGGGGAGGGAAGTCTGATTGTGATGTGTTTACCCACGTCATGAGTTTTTTTTGATTCTATTAACTCGAACCTACGGAGTACTTTTTGTGATGAAATCAGTCTCGAGGGCACGGTACCTGTCGGAGTGGTGTGGTGCTATAAAGTTCCACCACTATAGAGTTCTACCACGCGGGTTGGAAAAGCATACCCGAACCAGAACCAAATGGCCGCGAGATTCGAGGCCCTGGAGAGAGGATGTTTGCTAATTCTCATACCCCTTCTCTCCATAGGATGTATAAAATACATGGGTTCCATACAACGGGGCAAGCCCTCTCTCTCGGGGGGCCAACCAATAACTAACCAACCAACTACTGGGCCGCTACTTAGTCTACTGGGCTACTGGGCCCCCTTCCACCGGCTGCGTGGGCGACCGCGACAGGCCCCACGGTGAATGCCCAACCACCCTGCAAATTAGGCGCTGAAGCGTGCAGGTCTATTCTTGTTACCGAGGCAGATGATACGATACAGCCATACCGCTATTCAAGAGTACCACTCAGTGGCTCCGAATCAATGCTTTTGGGTCATTTGATCAGTTGATCACAAATTTATCATGGAGGGGAGGTGGGGTCTCAATAATTAACTCGGTAGTGGATGGAAATTAACATGCGGTATGTTGAAGAGACTTGCTTTTCTCATTCTTATTTTGTGTCCTCTGAAAAAAGAAGCGTGTCCGTTTTTCCTTTTAGCGCGCTCACTAACTCCTTTAACTAATCGCCACTAATTCATGAACCAGGACGACCGTTTGAAGCAGTCGACGCTAGAAGGTGACTAACTCGGACATACCATACCGGACATAAATTACCATCGATGATGCGGGCATCACACTTATTTACTGTGGTCATTCCTTGTCGTTCCTGTATTAGTCATGTATTATAGCGGTATCAGGAACCCGCGTAATCCACTCGGGAGGTGCCATTGGATGACGCGGGAGCTGCCCGTTCTTGGGACTTGAGTTTGGTGTTTTTGTGTGGAGAAACACTGTTGGGGGATTTCTTTTCTGGGTCTAGCGAGGTTCGAGTGGTTTTTCCATCGTCATAAATACTAATATATACGGAGACTATGGAGTAGTAGGCTATGAATGGGCGGGTCATGATGAGGCCCGTAATTCTTCACGCAAATTATTACCGCGGAATTACACCCTGGTATGTACTTTTTATTTATTTTTTTTTTTGGTTTCTCTCCCGGGATTTAAATCGTTTTTAGTTTTTTTAGTTTTTAGTTTTTCGGTTTTATGGATAAAAAAACCACGTTTATTATTATTATAGACAGAATTAACGCGATGCCTCCACTGGACACCTCCTCTTCCCCCCTCTTCCGGGCCTCGTGCTGGTGCAGCCCTTTTCTATCAGCATTTCGCTGTTCTTCTCTTTTGACTCTATACCATCTGTATTCTCAGCTTCATCTTGCTCGCATCATCTCCTGCCTGCCATTATTTTTGCCTCCACGAAGGGCCAGGATCATCCAGAAACCCGCAAGTGGACTGATCTGCGTCTTAACGTGGTTTAATTTACCGTCCCCACGGCCCCGTCCGAGAAGTGAGCTCGAGAGCTGTCAGCGCGTCAGGGGCTCGACTGGCTCGAACTGGACTCTCTCGACTAGGCCCTTCCCTCGGCCTTCCGATCGCTCCACGCCCTCTGCACTGGAGTGACGGAGTCCCTGCTGCCCCCCCCTCCTAGCCCTCCCTAAACGGGTCGACGGGTCCTACGGGGCCTCTCCTATTCTGGCGAGAATTCCTTTTTATTGCATCGTGCCCGGACTTGACGAGGGTTCTATGACTGATTCCCTCCCTCCCCCTCCTCCTCTTGACTTTGATCCTCTCTACAATCTCTCTCCCCTCCCCTCCTCCTTTCTACACCATCACCACCACCAACTAAAATACCAACTACTCCGTCACTCCTTACATACTATTCGAACCACTCTTCCCACACACCGTATCGATTCCAACTAATGGGAGCAACGCGGCCTCCTTACTCGGTACAACTGCATTCCTAGATGCGCGTCGGCCCCAATTGACTGCCTCCCCGAACTGTCGTGGGATCTCCGCCCTAAAACCCCCCTCTAATGTACGAGGCCCCCCATCTTGAGGTGTCGGTCATCATGTGTTGCTGTTTGTTTGGACTGAAGAAAGCTGACTGAACCACAATGAAGACCTCTCTCTTCATCTGCTGGCAGACCCCAAGAGATACCATCCACCATGACCGTCACATACGACCCTCCCTCTCGGGGGACGAACGCATCCATGGCTAGCCTGGAAGAGCGATTTCAGGTGATGAAGGAAGTTGGCGATGGTAGCTTTGGCAGTGTAGCCTTGGCTCGTGTACGGACTGCTGGTGCCCACATTGCGCGACGAGGGACGATGGTATGCATCCGAAATTAAATAACTGTGGTGGGTGATCGTGAACATCAATACTGATCTGGCTATTCTAGGTCGCGATCAAAACAATGAAGAAGACCTTCGACTCACTAGGTCCATGTCTGGAGCTCCGGGAGGTCATCTTCCTACGCACCCTTCCTGTCCACCCTCATCTCGTCCCCGCGCTCGACATCTTTCTCGACCCCCTAACCCGCAAGCTGCACATCTGTATGGAGTACATGGACGGTAACCTGTACCAATTGATGAAGTCGCGCGACCACAAGTACTTCGAAGGCAAGCACGTCAAGAGTATTCTGTACCAGATCCTGTCCGGGTTGGACCACATTCACGCCCATCACTTCTTCCACCGCGACATCAAGCCCGAGAACATCCTGGTGTCAACATCCGCCCCCCCAACGACTCAACCTTCAGCCGCTACTCTAACCTCGTCACCCCTCCATCCACTCCTCCCACCTATACCGTGAAGATTGCCGACTTTGGTCTTGCGCGTGAGACGCACTCTAAACAACCCTACACCACCTACGTCTCGACCCGCTGGTATCGGGCTCCTGAAGTGCTCCTGCGTGCGGGAGTTTACTCCGCCCCCGTCGATATGTGGGCCATTGGCGCCATGGCTGTCGAAATTGCCACGCTGAAGCCCCTGTTCCCCGGAGGTAACGAGGTCGACCAAGTATGGCGCGTGTGTGAGATTATGGGTAGCCCTGGAAACTGGTACAGCAAGTCGGGCGCAAAGATTGGCGGTGGTGAATGGCGCGAAGGATCTCGACTGGCTCACAAGCTGGGCTTCACCTTCCCCAAGATGGCACCGCATTCAATGGACACCGTTCTCCAGCAGCCCCAATGGCCCGCCGCGCTCGCCGAGTTTGTGACCTGGTGTCTCATGTGGGATCCCAAGAACCGCCCAACTTCAACACAGGCACTAAACCACGAGTACTTTGCCGATGCGGTTGACCCATTGCGACCCAAGTCTTCTACTTCCTCGCGCCTGCTGGGCCGCAAGCCGTCCGACCGGAGCTTCAAGTCTCCCACACTCACTCCCAGCGACTCCCCAACTCTTTCCACCAAGCCTTCGTGGTTCCGCCGTTCATTGATTGGCCGATCTGACAGCCCTGTCCCGACTCTGGATGGAGACAGTCCCGCCAGACCTCCTGCTGTCACTTACAACACTGTCCCCGAAATCCAGCCCGTCAAGCCCCGCCCGGCGAACGCCAAGCGGGCCACCTGGGCCAACGGTGCCCCCATGCCCATCCTTCCTTCGATCCGCCCCGTGTCTCCTCTCTCCAATTCTGTGACCGCACAAGCCAATGCCACCGTCGCGCATGGCGAAGCATTGAAGCCTTCCGAGGCCGACCAGGCCAAGACCAAGAAGATTGGCCGTCAACTGTCTGTCAACTCCAATGGCAATCACTACTCCGATGTGCACCGACAGGAGGCTGAGCGCATGCTCAATGGCTCTGGCAACACTACCCCGACCACCAAGGAGAGCTTCTTCTCGCACCTGCGCAAGCGCGCACGCCGGCTTTCTGGACGCAACCAGGCCAATCCAACCGCGGAGGATATCGAGGCCAACGCTGGCTGCAATCCCTGGTCAAACCGTTCGTCCATGGCTCTTGATGGAAACACCGGCGAGTCTAAGCCTCATCACTCCGACCTGAGTGAGCTGGACAAGGCTCTCCAGAGCGTCAAGTACTCTCTAGACACCTCGTCTCTCGGCAATGTGCCTGTGCACTTGACGGGCAGCACTGACAATGTCACCAAGCGGCAGTCAATGCCCACCAGTAACCCCGGCCCCATTTCAAGTCGGACACGGCGGGCACTGCAGATGACTAGCCACCCTGTCCACCGATACGAGACACCAGAGGAAGAGGATGAGCTCCTGGATGAGGTTCTACACTCTGCTAGCAAGGCTGCCAAACGCCTTGCTCAGGCACAGTCCCTGACCTCCCATGCTCCAGATGGCAGCCACCGACACACTGACGGCTCGCACGCCCTCCCCAGCCCCTATCCCACTCCTTCACCAACTGCCAAGGCCGATGGCTACTTTGAAACCCCTGTCAAGCACAGCGTGGGCAAGACCTCCAATGAAAACTCCAACCGCCAATGGCCGACTCCTCCCTACGAGGAGACCGAGTGGAACAACAAGGCGACTACCCTGCACTTCCCTTCTGCGTCCAACTACATCTAAGCGAGAAGCATCTCGACTCCTATTCTCAGCACACCACTTCCGAAACAACTCCTTCCTATCTACACCATCACCATCTACCATCCATCTACGTTTCCATTTCCATCTTCCTCACTCGGGTTGAAATGAGAAACACCAAAAATCAGGCGATAGAAAGCGCCCAAAAGGGGGCACAAACCGAGTTTAGGCGTATGGGACTTTATTTTCGTTTCGGGTCACTTTCTTTTTCCATCACTCTCACGGTTGGGCTCTTTCCGGATTTGATTTGATCTTTGCGTTGGCGGGCATAGTTTCTGATTCCCCTCATTTCTTATCATTTTTCTTCTTCTCTTCATACCCCCACAGGCCTTTTTTGATATAGATGGATTCCGGCCTTGCACCATGTGTTGATTTCCCCCACCTTTTTTTTTTTGTCTTACCATTTCCCATTTTTCTCTCGGGTTATCTGGAGTCCTTTCGTTTGCGATCCTCATCTGGCGTTGCACATTGTCCATTTCCACTTCCTTTTCTTTCCTCTCACTCGTCTTGATATCCTCCCCGCGCAAGCCGCATTATATACCACTCCCTCCTACACCCACAATCCACATCACATCCCTGCATTGCACATTTTGCCTATCGGCCCTCATTTTTCCGATGAACATGGTTTTTTTCATTTGTCTATACTTGCTTCTTACACTGTACATTGTGCTCATCCTCCTACTTTTGTCTATCACTTGTCCCCTTCCCCTCTCTCTCTCTCTCTCTCTCTCTCTCATATCTCTCACTCTCACTTTTTCATTGGTCATCGTCGATCGGGGTTCGAATATCTCGTTCACTCATTACTTTCATGTACCATTTTACTATACTTTTTCTGGGCTCTGCCTCGACTGATGCACTAGACTGGCTGGGATTCCGGTCTGGTGGGATTTATTTGTTTGTAATATAACACCTATGGCGATTGGACATTTATATATACTACCCGTCGTGCATAATATTCATTCTCTACATATGCTCACTTCACTGATTCTCCTTCACAAAATTACTTGCAGTTTGAAGGCCCATATAAGATTACAGTAGTTCGCTGTGCTCGGAGTGACCTTATTCTTTGTCCCGCACATGTTAGCTTTATTTGAGTCTGCCTCGAAAGTTGTGTACTTGCGTATTTGGACTCGAGTTGATTTTCTAGAGAATGCCTGGTTTCTTGAGAGTACTCGGAAGGGCATCGCAGCTATCCAGGTGAGACTGATATTTGTGATGATGGCTAGCTCGTAGGCTGCACCAGATTGGCACGAACCCTCAAGAAATCAGTTGGAATAAAGCACTCGTACTGAGTACAACGTTATTATAATTTGTAGCTTCCATCAAAGGACTCGATCCATTTCTTCTTTCTCGATATCATTAGTTACAATATAGGGTGGCGCGACTCACAGGAGCATCCTTCGAAACCCTAAGAAAGTCCCAAAGAGGAGTTGATTAGGCATTTGAAGACTTCAAGCACCATACTCCCAGTTAGAAAACAGAAATATATTCATTTTAATATCTGCACAGATGTTGCGACGTCTCATATCGTTGTCATGTCGAACTATGCAGCCAAATCGCCTCGGAGCAATGATGATCCGGCGGCCATCAAGATTTCCCAATCGAGCAGCTCTGCTTCTCATGACTTTTTTTTCCACGATTGATAACTCAACAACTTTGACAATTGTACAGTGGCTGGTGTCCACTGCGCAGTTTACTTGCCACTACTGCTTGACTCGCCGTACCTTCATTTACGAAGCCCCGCAGAACGCATCTTGATCTTCTCAAACTTCCATCCATCAAAAAAGAATCCCGCAGCTCCGCCAGCTGCGCTGCGCACTCTCCACCCTCTCGTCTCTCCTAAATCGACAATCCCACATATACCACATCATGTCCAACCAAAGACAGGCCTCATCAGCCTCCCAAGTCCCCCACATCTCCCCCGCCGAACTCTCCTACCTCTACACCTCGCTCTCCCTCCCCAAAACACCCATCCGCCCCGATGGCCGGTCACCAACGCAATTCCGGCCCTTAACCGCCGAAACAAATATCCTGCCCGGTACGAACGGCAGTGCGCGCATCGGTTTCGCAGACGGAACACAGGCTATTGTCGGCGTCAAGGCCGAGGTCGAGAAGACGGTTTTGTCGAACGAGATGCTTGCGCGGAATGATGGTGGTGCGGGCCATGAGTATGGGGATCAGGAGGGGTCTGCTGCTGCTGTTGGGGGCCATGGATCTTGGGTGCAGATGTCTATTGAGATTCCTGGGTTTAGGGATGATGATGCGCTGCCGGTTTTCTTGTCGGAGATGATGCGGGAGAGTTTGGTTGGTGCTGTGGGCACGGATGAGACTAGTGATATGACCGGTGGGCTTAAGGGGCGGCTGGTCATTAATAAACGGTGGCATTGGCGGTTGTATATTGATGTATGTTTGCGCAGGCTTTTCGAGTATGGGTTTCAGTTGATAAGTGCTAACTCCGGTACAACAGGTCCTTCTTCTCTCGCAACCTCTCGCATACCCTCTTCCTCTGCTCTCGCTGACGACACATCTTGCTCTTTTGTCTACGAAGTTGCCTAAACTCAAGTCTCAAGGCGAGGAGGATCCTTTCTTTGACGATGACTGGGCTGTTGCCGAGTACCTCTACCCTCGACCTTCTCTCTCATCAAGTGGAAAGAAATCCGTCCGGTCATCATTTGTTCGCCCACCCGTGACGCTTCTTGTAATTTCCGTCGGTGACAATATCATTTTCGATCCCAACCGTGAAGAAATCGCCGTCGCGGACGCCGTGCTTGCTATCTCAATCACGCGCGACAGCGAGGCGGGTAACCTGAAGCTACTTGCTATTCGCACGGTTGACCCTCCTTCCCGACTCACTCAGCCCGCTGTACCTAACTCAGAGAACGTGAGTATGCTGGGCGCCGTGGCACCTACTGAGGATGTGGCTGTTTTGAACCCGGCTACCGGCGAGGAGGAGGTGCCTGGTGTGTGGCGTCCGCGACGGGGAGGTGTCAAGCGCAGCGTCATTGCGGAGATGGTTAAGACGGCACTGAAGAAGGGTGGTGTTGGTGAAGAAGTGTTGGAAGGATTGGAGGGTGTGGAGGTGTCATGAGACTATTTCTAGATACACAAAAAAGAAGATCTTGTTCCAATTATACCATTTTGCTTTCGAGAGACGTACTAGGATGTACTAGAGAGGTGATTCATGATCGTAGTTGATGAGTTGGGGTTTGAATATCCCCCAGATGCAAGTATCTAATCTAATGTACAAGGGAGTAGAACTTGATATCAACAGATATCAATCCAATCCAATACACTTCCAACCCGGGAGTTAACCCACAACCCCAGGTTCAGACAGTAGAACTATCTATAACATCCCACTCTCCCATATGTCAACCCCCTCACCAAATCCCAAGCCACTTCTTAACAGGCTTCTTCTTCCCCTCCCAATCAACAAACTCCTCACCCGCCGCGTCACCAGCAGCAGCAACCGCCACATCGGTCGCAACGGGCGACTGCCCATCATCACCACCCTCAACGGAGACGACCGAACCCTCCTTCTCAGGAGCGTCTTCCAAGCCATGCGCAATGCGGTACTGCCGACGCTTCTCGGCATCCTCGACACGACGGTGGCGCTGTTCACGGACACGCATGGACTCGTGTTGCACGTGCATGCGGTAGACGTGCATTGCTTGGGAGCAGGTGCCGATTGGGTGGGTGAGGAGATCGGACCAGGAGGGGAGGAGGTGGGCGAAGGGGGAGGTTGCTTTGAAGTTTGTGGTGAAGGTGAATGTTGCTAGGGTGGTAAGGGTGCCCTACACGATTTAAAAGGTACAAGTTAGCATATTTGAATTCCAAGTCACAAGCAAGGTAGAACAGCCCTGGGAAGAACCAGGAATCGGGGGACGGGGGACATCTCACCATAGCAATCCAAATATGAATCCACCTCGAAGTCAAAAACTTAAACATCACCGTCCCCTCCGGCGGAAACATATTCGGATACTGCTTCTTATCCTGTTCCGCACGCTCCTCCGCACTCAACGCCCGCCCATAATTGACCGGTTGACCCGACGGCGCCGTCCGCGCCGGATTAACCAGACGCTGCGGGTGCGACGGGGGACGAAACTTGTCTGGCTGGGAGAGAATGCGCGATTTATCCGTTACGCGCTTAGGTCTTGCGGCGACGGTGCGAGTCTCGGAGAAGCAGCGGCGGGTGGTTAGGCCATTGCTGCTGGCGTGGTGTTGTGTTTGTTGGAGGGTGCGGAGGGTTCGGGCTGTTGGGAGGCCTCGGGGGAGGAGGAACGGGGGGATTGAGGATGGAGGCATTGTGGTGGATGTTGGCACCGGGAAGCAATTGTTGTTGGCTTCTGGTATGGTATGGTATCACGGGTGTCTTGGTTGTTGGTTGAGGCGGTGGACGGGAATTTTCTGTATCACGTGATACTTACATGGTACGATCATATGGGAGAATTTAGTGCCTGCAGGGGAAGTGTCGTCACTCGTCACAATTTCACATTCTGCCGAGCGCTAAGAAAAAAAAATTGATTTAACCGGAGCTATGAGGACATGCAATTTGACTTTGTGAAAATACACATGATTATAGCCTATGACAAGAGATTAATTAAGTAATTCTATGAGGTACATTCTACTCTGCCTTCCAGAGCGTCGTTGTCACCCCAGGATACCACTGCCATAATCTACTTTCCGGAGCCCCGGGAGACTACACTACTCGCAGGCGGAGTTGCCGAGTTTCCTCCGCAGCATCAAATTGAAAATTCCATGCTTTTCCTGTGGCTCGGGTTCCACAATCGGATCAAGACCGGCCCTGGGTGGACCTGGACAACGAATGACAATGGGTGCATTTCGCAGCCTCGGTGGACCAGCTTCGGGGGAAAAGGCCAAGTGTACTCCAGTCTCCAGGTGTCAAGGGGTGTTATGTAGAATGAGATGTGCCCATGCTTGTAATGTCAAGGGGCTGGCTAGATGAGCTAGATGAGCAAAGCCCGTGCGTATGAGTACCTAGCACGGCTTCTGATTGTGTTTGGTTCTTTTTCTTGGACAGTTCAAAGCCACCCGTTGTAGCCGAAGGGGAAATGACCACGGATGAGATCATTGGGGAGAGGCAACACATGCGGCTCTCATTAGTATGTATGTAGTCATAGGTTCTTCAAGCAGGTCTCTTATTATAACTTGGATGTTAGTGTGGTAGTGTTAACCCATTCAGCACAGCAAGTATCAAACAATTGACCTCTCCAACGAAGGTAACAATCCCGCTGAACCAAACCTCGTGCACTTGACTGATGATGGATGGATCACTCCGTCCTCACCGACGAGACTCAACCCGGTTGCGCCCGTTGGGGGTGGAAATAGTCGGATGCTGATTGGTGGACGGGCGGATCACGGGAGCTGAATGGGGCGACGGTACAAATACGTGCGGAAAAGTTTGGAAAATCTTGCTTCTCCTTCTTTTGCCGTTTTCCAATTCCTCTCTGTACAGTTCTCATACTTTCGTCAATTCCTCTCACACTCTTTCAAAATGGGCAAGGAAGCTGCTAAGTTCACTCCTGGTACGTTACTATTCCCTCACACTGGTGACTGCTGCAATTGGTGAAGAGGCGAGTGAATGAATGGGTGAGCTGGTCGAAGGAGAGCGCGCATGATGCCATTGTTCGGAGGTATGCACGACATGTGCGAAAAGTGAGAGAAGGTGATCGAAGGCTGCGATTCGAGATGTTTGCCGGGTGGACGACCGGAGCCTGGTGTTGAGCTTCAATCGAAGGAGGTAGCAGCTGTTGCCTCCAACCTCACCTCACCGGCGACCCTCGTCCAACGTCTACATCTCTACCTCGCGTCTTCCTCCAACTCTCACTTTTCCACTCGCTCTCCAACTCGCTCTCCCTCTCGACTTGCCATCCATTCAAACCTCTCCATTCTCCAATTCCAGCCACTGCGCACCCGCCACCATGAGCACTTTCGACATCTTCTGCGCGATGACTCCCATCTCCGTACAGGAGGTCAACGAGCTGCGTGCAACCAACAAGAAGCGGGCCGAAGAGGAATCGCGCTTCCTGGCTCAGAAGTTGCCGGACCAGCAGTCGCAGCAGCCACCAGCCACCACCTCCAAGCCACAGCCAACTAATTCGCTTTTCACTCCAGGTGACTCTGCGAAGGGCGCCAAGCTTTTCCAGACTCGTTGTGCTCAGTGCCACACCGTCGAGGCCAACGGTCCCCACAAGGTCGGCCCCAACTTGCACGGTCTGTTCGGCCGCAAGACTGGCTCTGCCGATGGCTACGCCTACACCGATGCCAACAAGCAGGCTGACGTGACCTGGAACGAGGACACTCTGGTGAGTACACATTTCCTACTGGTCAAGAGGGCCAGCAGAGGTTCAAGAGAGATTGTTAACCACCAACTTTTCCAACAGTTCCCCTACCTCGAGAACCCCAAGAAGTTCATCCCTGGTACCAAGATGGCCTTCGGTGGTCTCAAGAAGGCCAAGGAGCGCAACGACCTGATCACGTTAGTGTCCACCATGAATCTTTTATCACAAGTCCTTTTGTTACTAACATCTCCTTCTCTCTACAGCTACCTCAAGGAGTCCACCGCTTAAATGACCTGATGTGCTATTATTCCCCTCCCACGGCCTTTTCGTTCTGTTCTCTGTTACCCCGTCTCGTGGAATTTCAATAGACGTCGGGGGATTGGTTTGGCGCCGTGGGCTGATTTTCCGGACCTCCCGAAGAACCGGGCATGTAATATTATCCAAGACTATTCAATGGTTGACCCGCAATAGATTTGAAAAACTTCTCCTCTTCTTTTCATCATCTAGCCTTGTTTCGAGAATTCCTTATTACTTTATTTTTATCTGGCGTACAGTAGGTGGATGCACATCACTGCAGGTACTGGAAGGAGCCGATTGCCGGCTGCAGAGGGACGGAACAGTGGGGAGAGGAGAGGTTCGCATGGTTTACAACAAGGTTCACAGAGGGTGGCACCACTGGTTGATTGGAGACTGAAAACTGGGGACTGGCGACGAATGCCAATGAATGCATCGAGAAGATACCATGTTTCAGTGTTTCAGCATGGGCGACTCCTTCAAGGGAGAGAAGAGAGGGAGAGAGACTCGTCAGGCGCCAATGGCGGTCAGGCACTACCCGGCGGTGTACTGATTGTATTGGACAAGTCCCGAGCACACTGTTATCACCGCCAAAATGTACCTCTGGAGTACTTCCTCCATGTACTACGCAAGTACCTGGCGAATGGCTCTCTCCCACCCTCCCAGGCTGATTGGCCCAGCCTCCTCTGCAGGTGAGGAGTTCCCTCGATTCCCGCATTATTGGGCGAGGCGCTCCTCTTCTTCTTGCCTCCGTCTTTGCCTCTGGGTTCTGTTAAATATCGTGGATGCTCGATTGTGCCTGAATCAGACCCAGACCCAGACTTGAACAAGAGACAGACCCAAGGATCTATACTCCTCAGCTACCCGCATTCTAGAAGAGGTGTACATAAAAGTACTGCCTCTCACCCCCACCAGGAATCTCCGCGACTTATCGCATCGCATCCTGATCGATCGCATCGCAGTTGGGCGCGCGGGGTTGATTGCCTCCCAGCCATTCTCTTGACCTGAACCTTGGCCACTCTTTTCGGTATCAAGGACCAGCGCATGAAACCCTCTTTCGAGGCGCTTACACTAACCGCCCTGCTCTGCCCATACAGTTATCCAGCCTCCCGCCTCCACTTCTGTCGCAAGTGTTCGCGATCGCAAGAACACTTCACTACTGCGCGCTGTCGCTGCGACTCCAGAAACACCCCTCGCTCTGAAGCGCCTACACCGATACACGCCGTCCGCTATGCTGGACGAGCTAGATAACGTCTTCGACGACCATCCGTCGCTGGATGCCTCGCTCGAGGACTTTGAGAACAACAGTAATGCGCATCGCTCCCCACTCTTCGGCCTCCCGTCCCAGCACTCTGGATTTCGGTCGGAAGAGTCTGATGGTGAGCTCGATGACCCTACCGTGGGAGATCGCTGGTCACCGCCAGGCATGCAGCAACATGACTTCGTTCAAGGTAGTGGCTGGTACCGCCATCAGCCCTATGGGCGCAATGCGCACCTCCATGCAGACCCGTTGGAACTCAAGCCCACGGTCGGGGTGAGCATCTCGCCATCCATGTCGCGCGAACCGAGTCCACAGTATGAAGATGCCCTCGAAGGTCCGACGAGGCATAAGCCCAGTGACGATGGCGATGTCACTATCGCTGCCAATGTACCTCTACCCCATAGCGCAGGTACCCCACAGACCGGACGATCCCCCAGCCCAGTTCCACTGCAGGGCCCAGGTGCAGCGCGCAACCGTCCCGAGGATGATGGATCCGGGTTTGGTGCAGAGAATCTGAGTAACTGTAGGCCTTGTCTGAATCTCTGGGTGACTCTTTGATTTTCGAGACTATGGAAACACTAACGTCTTGTTCGCATGGCTGATAAAGACATTCGTTTTGCGGTGCGCGCAGAAGTCCAGCATCGCGAACCCTTTGCTGCCATGTTTGGCTACTTGCGCGGCAAGTTTGATAGGGTGACAAGTACCAAATCTAATACCACCCTGTCGGTTATAGTCCTCCTCCTATCTGTCGCATTTATGCGCGCGCTATTTCTTCCCGGCCTGCCCCAGGCAATTCCCGATCTGGTCAAGCTATCGGGCTTTGCGCGCTCATTCGAGCCGTTGATCTATTACTCCGAGAATGGAGTCCAGCAGATTGGTACTCTACAAGAGACTGGAGTTGCAGTTTGGGACCTGAGCGAGTCAGTACGTGGTACGAACATGACCAGTGCGCCCATCATCGTCCGGCAATTAGACGAGCTGTCCGACTCACTCAAGTCGCTGTCCCTTGAGTTGACGCGATTTTTCGCCAACGTCGACTCGGATGTCGACTCCATCCTGATTGTGATGGACTGGGCCAAGCGCGAGCTCGAAACGCTATCTGCACAGCCACCCAGCACCCTTCCCACCATCGTCTTCGACAACGTGCACAACATGTTATCCCGCCTTGGTGCCCTGGAACACACGACCGAAGTCACCGACGGCGGCACCACTGCAACCACGACCACCCTAGGCCACGTCGTCATGGCCGTCTTCGGTCCAACATCAGCCCAGCGCACCCGCGAGACACTCACCCGCACCTTCACCGAGTTCCTCTCCGTCCTAGAAGAGTCCATCAACAGCGAATTATCCCACTCAACCGCACTCTTCGCCCTCTTCGAATCCATCGACCGGCAATTCCTCAACCTTCAACGCACCGTCGTCCGCGAATCAGACGCCCAAGAGCGCGCCGAGGGCGAAATGCTTAGTTCCCTGTGGACCCGCGTGCTAGGCCCAGACGCAGCCGCGGTGCGCAAGTACGAGAAAAACAAGAAACTCTTAGCAAACGTGCGCAGTCGCACCGTCGCTAACAAGCATCTCCTGGTTGATCACCGGGGTCGTCTACTCACATTAAAGGTGAATCTGGAGACGCTGCGCCGGAAACTGGTCAGTCCGCTTGTGCGCCGGAATGACTCGGTCAGCTTTGTGGGTATTGAGGGTGCGTCTGGAGTTGGGAGCTCTGGTGCTTCGGGCCGTATGCTCGGTCCCGTCGAAGCGGTTATCGATGGCCAGATTAAGGGATTGGAGGGTACTTATGAGTACCTCCGATCTGTACGGGAACGCCAAAAAGCCAAGCTGATGGAGATGGTGTACGGGTCTGGGAGGAAACCATCTTCGTCGTTATTGGGTGGTGTCGATGGACAAGATGAGGGGATTGATGGGGTTTAGCGGTGTCCCCGCTTTTCCTTTCCATTCTTTTTCTTCTTTGTTCCCATGTCCGGCATGGATGCGTTCCTTTGTCTCCTTTGTCATGTAGCATCGGACCCGGTGTCATCTTGACTTTCTGTTTCTTGGCTATTCTCGGCGTTCTGGACTGGGATCTCGATGGTTAGGTTCGGTGGTGTCTGAGGCTTCTTTGCTCTTGCTCTGTTGGGAAGGCGTTTTCCCCGGTCTTGACCTTGGCCTTGGCCTTGATCTGTTGGCGCAAGTGAATGGCGAGCAGGGAGGAAAGGCGAGGCGTCTGCAAGACAAAAGGGATAGAGATCATTGGTGGTCCACTTTTTTCTGAATATTATTTTGATTTCCGTCTACTTTCGAACCTTGGATATTGCTTTAATAGTATGTGCCATAGCACCAACGTCTGTAGTACTTTACTTGGTTAACTCCACGTGCTCTACTCTATATTACTGAAATAGATAGAGATGAAAACGGAGATAATGGAATTGATGAAACTTTCCCATGATTCCAGCTTGACTAACCCTTACTCAACGCGCAACAAAAGAAACTCGAATCGAAGAACGTTCAAACTTACCTTAGCCCCAACCCCGGCTTGTGAACATCTAGTACCAGCAAAGTTTCTTGCACTGCAAACACCCACATTCATGCGCCAGTTTCGTAGGCAAAACCCGAACCCAAAAGACCTTTCTATAATGATCATCATCCTCAAACCACATACTCTCAGTTTCCAAAACAGCAAGATTAGCCACCCCAGTCTCATCCGCAAAGACATCCGACCCATCCTTTCCACGAAGCGAAAGACACCCAATAGCCGCAGCAATAACCGCAATATTCAACCTAAGCGAGTCATGAATCGTCACAACCCCGTCAGTGACAATGTTAAATCCAGGCCCATTCCTGCCTCTCATCGACGCTAGAACACCGTTAACTTCCACCTCCTCCCGCAAACTCGAAGCATCAATAAGCGTCCGCTCACCAGCTAATCTCCTCCGCTCACCTCTCATACCACCCCGAAACTCAATCATCTCTTTAGTTTCATCGTCGAAAACGGAGTGTTTCTCTCGAAGTTCCAATTTTAAATACTCGCACAGAGTAGCAGCTACTAACCTGACACGCCGGCATCGATCGGGGAAACACATAGCGGCTTTGGGAGCTGCTATACCCTGGAAATGATCTAGGCAACCGACGATGCCGTGCTGCAGGAGGGAAACTAGGTTAGAAGGTTTGAGGAGATGGGTATGGTTTGATAGATCCTCGAGACCGGTGGACATTTGGTTGCGCCATTCTGTGAAGGTTGCTTCGGTTATTATTGTGGTTTGAGTGGTCCATGATAGTCTTAAGAGGTTGTTGACTACTGTTTGCGGGTTGTAGTTGTTGTTGTTTTGGGGTGGGTTTTGGGGTGGGTTTTGGGATGGGGTTTGGATTGGAAGGAGTTCGTACGTAGGGGGTGTGAAGTCTGGATGCATGATAGGCGAAGGTGGAGGGTATAGAGGCCGATGTGTATGGTATCAAGGTGAGGGAAAAACTGGGGGATGATGAGTGGTTTGATGTATGGGTTTAGAGAATTTATAGTATATTCGAGGCATACTCCATTTCTCAGTGAACAACGGAGAACAATGGACTTGTGTATCTTTCACAGTCTTTGAAGTTTAATTTTAGGTCTTCTTGAATGTTCTTGTTCGGTTCAGCTTTTATGAAAGGCCTTTGATTGAGCATGCAACAACGCGGCATCAGCCATACAAAATGGAATACTAGTCCCTTGTTCGGGATGAGTTTGAAAGCCTTTGTTACTTGATCATTCAAGTCTATTTGTGGATGATAATTCCGCTGACACCCATTTTCTGATCTCAGAAGACTGTTCCATGATTGGATGCCTTCATAATGAAAGAACAACATCCAGGAGTTTCGGCACAACATGAAAAATCGAGCTTCTCAAGTAGATGGGAGAAAGAAGAGCTTCACACTTTACCTACAGAAAAGCGTAGAAGAGGAGGCCTCGATGCAATATCATGCCTACAGCAATGATAACTAGATACATACATGCTTACTGTTACCGGGCTGAAGCTGTAGAGATTATTGGGCGTTCCAGATCGTATTTGGCGAAGGCGCTAAAAGTTGAGGTGTATTTGATTGTGGTAGACAAAGGGATAGACAAAATATGATGAAGCAACTTTTTCCTTCCTAATACAGCCCTGATGTTCGTGGATTCGGCCGCAAGCCCACCATCTTACGGTCTTCCTCCAATTCCACGTATGGTAGGTCTCTGTAAACTTCACCAAGATCCAACGTATCAAAGGGGGCAGCCGGTCGTACCGACGGATCTGCCAAGCACGCATTAGCAAGATCCCCCCTACTACAGATGCTAAAGCATCGCCTTCCTCCTCGAATCCAACCTGGTCGACAGTAACCTCGCGCACAAGGTTGAGATCGTGATACCCGATACCAACCATTTCCTGGGCGAGCAAAGCCATCGGCCACATCTCTGTCACGTCAGGTCTCTGTGGCCAAAAATATGCCATATGCTCAGGGCACTCAGTGGACGAATCAAACACAGAAAGCTCAAATCGATCTAGTCCCAGCTCCATTGCTTTCTGTTCAATCTGCTTAAGATAGTAGGTATTTGGAACCTTCTCGGCATCGACCCAGAGGAATATGTCCGGGGTTGCATCCAAGCTGTCGAATAAGTCTTGATAGTTGGCATTTATACAAGCGCGTGCAATCTGCGGCGTCATCGATGGTCGGCGCCGTGCCAACTCGGTGGAGGTGTACTTGCTTGCAGGTTTTGGATGCCATATTAGAATCGGTAGATCGGAATCTGGCGTACTTTCATTCAACCAGGACAAGTCGTTATTCATTATTAATCTGGCATAGATGGCCGTTCGAATGTGCTGCGACACATTTTCCTGCCTCAACCACCACTTAGCGAAGAAAGGGTGGTGGTAGATTCCTCGAACAATGCACTCCATCTCGCTGTTGATCATGCTTGGTCGGCGCAGCCGTACGTAGCGTTCGATTTGCCTGACCATGCTGCCATCAGGATGAAAAGGTCTTTATCAACAGTGGGTAGATCAGCGGGCAGTGGTTCGCAAAATAGCTGGACAGCTTTAGGATCAACCGCCCGCGCCCACGGTAATGTGCCATCGGCGTCGAGGCACCAGTCCTCAGTTATATCAAATGTAGGGCGTGGGAGAATAAGGCAGCTGCAATTTCCCAGTGGTAGTGTTTTATCGAGCATGGACCGCACACACGTATCGCCGTTCAACTGCGCCCCAGGGCGCAGAGGTGAATGTAGACAACGGTTGTAGTCATCCATGCAGTTCCACCTGGTCGGGCTTGCGATGATGCTCTCGTAGATTGCTTGCCCGGAGGCCAGATTGTCGCGAGCTACCTCTGCAATGGCGACATCCGGCAACAAGTCCAGCCCAAGGTAGAGTGAGGTGTAGCCTCCGGCAGCGCATGCTCGGCCGATCTGGTATCGCAATAGGTCTTTCCTAAGGTATCGCTCCAGCAGATCACGGAGAGTCTGTTCAGCTGGGACATCTGGGTGCCAGAAGCAGTAGGGAAATTCCTCCGGTAACTTCATGTCTGGGACCCGATCGCTCATAATTGCGCGCGCATTCAAAGCACGGGTGAATTCAGGAAGCTGCCCATGCAGTTCCTGAGCGAAGCCATCGTGGGTGCGAATTCCTCGCACCAGGCAGAGCCGAGGCAATTGAAATGCCGGATGAGCAGGAACTCTTCTCCTCGAATGACTGCTAGATTATCACCGGGTTCATCGACCCCCAAGGGTCGAGACGGAAGGATCGGTGTCATGCTGAGGACTGACCCTGGGAATGATGACTTCGATGGAAATGGGTGATTTCTTCCTAGCACGTCTTGGGTCGCTTGACATTCATGACATAAAGTGATGTGACATGAAGTGATTATGTCTTATCTTTTTGGAAGAAAATAAAATGCAGAACACAAAGTGGTAACTATGTTGTATTGTACTAGTGACAGCCTCCACCAGTCTTGGCAACCTGGCAACCAGGGTCCAGGACCCTGGCCGGTGCTTGCCAAGACGCCAAGACAATGTAACAATAGTAAGCGAGGTGATCCAGGAGATTCCCTAGCATGTAAGTACAGTAGTAGTAAATTAGTAAATACTAACTATCACCATCAAGGGAGTCCGGAGCCTTGTGTCCTGTCGGCAAATATCATAACCAGATATTTGAAGTGCACTTGTCTCGATTGAGTACATTCGCCGAAGATAATTTCGCCTACAAATGCCAAATTGCACTAACAAATGAGGTCTCTCCGGCTGGACCGGCTAGAAGTCCAGGATATCTGCGTTAGTGTCAGCGTAGGTGAAGATAGCATAGACACCTGATTAGTGAATAAATTTATTCCATCGCTCCTGTCCCTCTTCTCATAATTTTTGCGTCGTTCCCTATTTTAGCACTTGGCACATCATAATGAATCTCAACGCACTGCCCTGGCCGACGAGGCATCTTCATACAAGCACCATGGACGGCTCGACATGGGGCTATGTCATTTATCACACCACATACACTCCCAGTTCTAATGTCGCATTTCTTTAAATTGTCGAGCTTCTCAACTCCTACATCAAACATGGCCTATACTCCGAATGCAGCTCCCCCAAAAACAATACCCAAAGAATACAGGCCTCACTTGGTATCACGAAATTTGGGCTCAGCACCGGTCAATCATCATGGACCATCCGGGTTTGACGGAGCATCGATAGACTCGATTCGAGCTCATTTCCGGCGTTGGCTTGATACACAGGAGGACCAAGGTCACTGCACTCAGTATCGCATGTGTATGGTTATCAACGAAAAATCTTTACAAATGTTGCTGGATGTTCCACCACCGGGAGGGTGTTCGAATGAGAAGTCCATTGATCCGATGCGATATGTGAAGATAGTAACACTACCTCTTGCGGATAGTGAGGATGAGTTTGATGGATTTTTGGGAGGATAATAAGGATTTTCTTGATCTTGGAGGAGAGAGAACATAGAGGCAATGGAATACTTAGCTATCTATTTGTCCAGGGCTATTACGTTTCCACAATGCTAGTTCAATGAATGATCACCCGACAACTGAGTGGGACATGAAACGTATCTGAGCGAACTCGGGTACATTTATTCTTTTTTTACATCCTGTTATCTAGTCAAACGGCTCACAAACAATATGTTGCAACTTCTAAGGTGCATTTCAATAATTGAATGAATGTTTGTGTTCTTCTTGCCTTCTATATCTCACGTCCCGTTAACACCGGAAAGGTCGATTTACAAGAAATTATCGGAATAAACATTTTCAGTATCTTTAATCTTACCACCTTGTATTACTCCATGAGCCTAAGAGTTATAAACAGGTAGAGCTAGATATAGTCAAGTGATTTTATTGCCCGTACGCTGGACTCGAACATTCCGGCCCGTACTCGTACCCTCCGCCCGCCCTGAGTCACAGGAAACAGATAGTTACCAAGACTGCCAAGACAAAAAATCCTCAAACAAGCTCCAAAAGGCTCCAAAGGCCACGTTGAGAGTCTCAGATAGGAGCTTCAATGTTTAAGACATGACTTATATGAAGAACCGATTTCCCAGCCATTCACTGTCTGTCAACATGCTTCATTCAGCCTCCCAATGACTCCCACGAAAGTCCAACTGGCCCGTCGCCGCAGGCTAGCCACCAACCAACGAGGTCGCTATTCTGTCTGCAAGATTGTGGGTCTGCTATGCATGGCTTTAGCCTTTGCAGGAACAGTGCGAGCCAGCAATAGTCAGGTTGGAGTTCAGAATGCGCCGCTAACCGGGGTGCAACCTAAGCAAGAGCCTCTTGGTGGAGAAAAAGATCTTCAAAATTCTCAATCAAATAGAGTTGCCATCATCGGTAAGTGAATCAATACTAAACCGGTGTCCAATTTCTTATCTTACAGTGGGAGGGGATTAATGTATCACTTCATTCTAATAACTTCCTAGGAGGCGGCATCGGCGGTATATCCGTCGCACGTTTCCTAATAAACGACGCCAACCAACTTAATTCATCACTACAAGTAACGATCTTCGAAAAAGAGCCACAATTCGGAGGACGAATTCGATTTACACAACTATACGGCCATGGCACGACGGTGAACACAGCCGGACATACCTTTGACGCAGATGACATGGTGATCGAAGAAATCGCCAACTCTACAAGTATAAGTCTCCGAAATTGGTGGCATAATGACTGGAATACAGAATCTCGGAGTTTGTTGTACTGGATGAGCAGACGTATCAGGGAGAAGACTACTGGTTGTCCGGCGGAAGAGTCGGTTGATATGACGTGGATGGAATTCGTAGGACTTCTGCGACGAAATGTGGCCGATGCTTCAGTTTGGGTCAGATATTTGGGGTATATCCGCGAGGCGTTTTCTCAGAGTGGTATAAATAGCGGTCGGACCAACAGCTGCAACAGACGTACCAACCCCCCCATGTGGGCAGGCTCTCGGGCAAAAGCCGGCCAGAGTCTAGACTTGAGAAGTCGATTCACAGGAACGGATGGAATGAACGCGAACCCCCAGAAAGAACTTCTCTGGAATCAACATGACCGGATATTCACTGGGCTCCTTGGCGAGCTATACGATCGTGAGGAGTTTTCGAGTCACCTCAATTCTGTGGTGACAAGAGTGACGAGATTCAGCAATGGGACTTTTGGGGTACATTGGACCCAGAATACAGAAGACGGGTCTCAAGAAATGCACATGGAACATTTCGACAACGTGGTTATCGCGGCCCCTTTTCACCAAACAGCGCTTGAGATTGAACCTCCACTCGCGTCGGAACCAGAGAAGATCAAGTACGCGCCGATTCACGTCACGAGCATTGTTTCCGAAAGACTACCAGACAGTCTTATCCTCCAGCCTCATGGGGAACAATGGAGAACGTCGGCTGCATTTCTGTGGCCTAAACATCTCCGCCGTCAAAGCAAAGGCTTGAACACAACCAGTCTCCCCTTTATTTCCATTTCCCGGGATCAAACTGCATGGTATGAATACGATACCAGACCTAACGATCTCACAAGAGTGGTTGCCGGGGAATTATTCTCAGACGATGACATTGCGGCCATATTCCATGGGAAAGATGAGGCTGTCACATTCCCGAATCAATCTTGCTTTTTCCCAAGACAAGCTGAGCCAGACTTGGTGCGGCCGAATTGCGACAGCGTCAGGAAGGAGTTTGTATTGGCAGGTGGAGCAGTTGATAGGTCATCTGGATGTGTGGATAGGCCAACGATAGCTTGGATTTATCGAGATTATTGGCCGAATGGGCTTCCTGTTATCACGCGTGATGGAAAGCACGTTGATGATGCTGAGTTGGTTCCGGGATTGTTCTATGTGAATGGATTTGAAGGGCGAGAGGGAGCGTCTGTGTCGAAGAGTATTGCGAGTGGAAGGAAAGTGAGAGATTTGATGCTGGTGAAATACTTGGGCATGCAGTTGTAATTTTCCTACAATCAAGCAGGAAAAGCAAAGAAAAAGCTACCCGAAGCCGCTCAGCAAGCTATGAATATAAAAATGCGTGAGCATATTTTGAAGTTACCCGAGAATAAAAGCATGCGCTCAAACAGATATAAATGACAACTCCATATGCCACTCCACGCACTGCTATGCTTAATCAAATAGCACCACGGCACTATCTTTCACCAGCTTCGGTCCAAGCACCGCAGCAAGCTCAGCAACGATACCCTTCACCGACTGCGGACTATCCATGGGCATTCTATCCCAGCCAACAAGATCCTGCATCACGTCAGAACTCGACACACTATATAAGCTAAGAGACAAAATGCTTACCTCCATCTGCACGAACGAGCCATGATACAGCAGATACCAATGGTTCAAGTCCAGAGCTTTCACCTCGTCCAGCGTCAAAACACCCGGCATGTTGATGTCAAAGAGAGACAATTCCGTTTCATCCACGTCGGGAGCAATGTCTGGGAATGGTTTGGCGTCCCGTGGAGCTCTTTCTCGGGACATGGAGACGTAGGGTTGGGCGTCAAGCTTTTTGGAGAGCTCGCCATCGAGTGGGTCCCAGGCGTAAGATTCGGGGTCTAGAGACCAGTGGTTAGTGGCGTTTCGAGGGAAAGTTTCGTTCAACGACGGCGCAGAATGACAAAAGGCGGCGATTTGTCTCACCAAGGATGTATTGGGGTCTGAAGTTGCCCTTGTAGCGCATCTTGACGCAGCTGTGAATGTAATATCCTGTGTGGATTGTTAATTGACGCTGTCATATGCCCTGTTTCAGTAAAAACTCACCCATGTAGTAGTATGCATAATTGTTCTCTTGCGCAAAGGCAATCTCACGCATCGCGCTCAACTTGCCGAATTCCCAATGTTCGTAATCAGGATCGTAGCTTAAATCAGACATTCGTTAGCCAGAATGACCACAAAAACGAACAACGGCAACTTACAAGATGTACACCGAGCTCACTCCGCTCGGAACCAGGTCCAGCACCGCAACAGCAACCAACTTGCCATCCAGTCGGTAACACTGATGCCATGATCCCAGCTTCTTCTCAGACGCATTCGACTTTGTGATCGGATGGGGAGACCGCTTAATGCCAGAGCACAAGAACCCCTCAAAGTCCTTCGTCTTCCAGCGAGAAACGTCCTCTTTGTGAACAGTCGTCTGATACTTGACAAACAGATCGAACTTGGCCTGAGAAACCGAGTCGGCCTCGAGGTTGACCTCAAACTTGTGCGCCGGCTCCAACGGGCGTTTAGTTACGGGATCGATGGGACGCTTAACATTGCTGTACTCTGACGCATGCACCGCAGACTGAAGGTCAAAGTTACACTTCCGATGCCGTTTTTCCCTGCATCATGCTGTGAGACAATGGACAGTCGACAGGCCCGGTCATGGAGCAACGTCGGAAAGCACTTACTCTCGAGTTTGCGGGCAGAGGCGGGCTGCCTTGCGGATATACTCTGGGCCTAGAATGAATTTGTTCCAGCGATTGATGGCCTTACGCTGGTCACGTCGAGGCTGGTAGGCGTTCGCCTCCAGCCTCATCGTGTAATGCGGACAGCATGACCGTTGCAGGTTCTGCTTGTAGTAGAGCTTTCCCGATCTAGATTATCATGATTGTGATTTGTATTAGTCATGGGAATCAGTCATGTGGAGTGTCAAGATCGATGATGCATACCGTCTCCATCCCCGATGGATGAGCTCCTCATAGTGCTCGGGCCGCACGACCACGGAGCTGGTGTAATATGAGACGCCTGGGCAGAAAAAAAATGACGTGTCAGACAATCATTCCCAAAGCAGGGCTGTGGATCACAGTCAGATGTTCGGAAAAAAAATGCAAGACCTACTTCCATCGTCGGATTTACAGTAACCACAGGAATTGCGCTGGTAACCTGTCAAGGAAGGGCAAAATTGGTGGCCGGTTAGTTTAGTTCTGTTGTTGTCTGACGATGTTTACGTGCGAGGGGCGGATCGGCCACTGCTGCGCGCCCAGTCGAGGATCCCCCGCCCTGGTAGAACCCGAGCAGCCACGCAGAAGCCGTAGACGCGCCACGGGGACTCGGGGGTTGGTCTCAGTGGCTCGTGGTTGGGGCGCAAGTGGGACGTACCTAAGGGCCGGAAGAGCGACAGCTGTCGCGCGCGTTCGGCGTCAACGGGCTCCATCCGCGGAATGACTGGCTGCCGATGGTCGGCGGCCCCGGCGGAAGCAAGAAATTGTGCCTGGGAGGGATTTGGGAGGCAAACCAAGAGGATTGTGGCGAATAGAGAAGGAGAGAGACCGGGGGGGGGGAGGGAGTTCGTATGTTATGTGTTGTTATTGCAGGACAGGAACGGGGTTGAGGGTTAAGGGCGGGGTGGGAAATTGAAGAGGGGAGAAGCTGAAAGGAGAAAAAGTATGGGCCACGTTGGATGAAGCGTTGGCGGGGTTGGCTGGTATTACGCTGGAGAAAGATGAGTTGTATGGGAAAAACAAAATGGAGTTCCTTATGCAAGTAAACAGAATCATGAAAAAAAGGGAGACCATTCCAAAATTAATTTTTCTAGTATGGAGATGCATAACATATTACAATGATAGCTGTCAGTGCAAGCAGATCAATATCTGATAGCAGTCTATTCCAGTATAGGTGTACGGTACTTGTACTTTATTCTAGTCAGATCGACCAGTCATAGACCAGTTAGTAATAACAGCAGTAGTCATTAACTTAACTAACTAGTATTCGACGGACTACGTAGGTGTAGGTCTGAGTTTGAATGATCTCATCGGCGTGCCAACTTACCGAATCGGCGATCCGCATCGAATCGCTCCGAGTTTCCCAGGGGACCTAGCCCATCGTAACTAGAGTAACTCTCTGGCTGTTTCTGTTCAGGACTGTTCAGTTTAAACCAGTTCAGGGTTCGGTACCGGCGGAGGGTCCCAGTCGACCCGAGACATGCTTTAGGGCAGAACCACCGCTAATACCGGAACTCGCGGTCATCGTGGGAAATGATTACATTTGTAGACCTGCATTTCTATTATTATGATCGAATTAAATGGTAAATTGAGATTCATTCAAATCTAGTAATTACAAGACACATTTCATTTCTTGTAGACCTTGAATGCTCTTCTCTTTCTTTACGTAGCTGCTACTGGAAAAGGACTGCCGAGGGAGGTCACATGACCTACTATAAGGCCAGGGGTGTTAGTCGAAGGCCATCCCCAGACGAACTACATAATTGCTTTGGAAAAAGAAACGAGCTCACTAAAGTGGATGCAGAAAGTCCAATTCAACGACAGAGAAGAACTAGAAAATCAAAAGAGCATTCCTATGAAGAGATCCCCTTCTCAGAAGAAGCCCTCTCGATAGTCTAATTCATGGTTCCCGCCTGCCCGTTACCGTTGAACGTTAAACTATAGTTAAAACTAAAGAGAAAATCCAACTCTACGCCTCCGAAAAGAGCTTCGACACTACTGTAGTCACTACTGTACTACTGAAAATAATAATTACCCTAACCCAACCTTGTAACAAACGGTAATTTGTCCATCTTAGTCAGGTCCCTTTCCAGCACCGGATTGCGCCGCCGGGTCTGCCTGCCCCTCCATTCCCACTTCTCTCTTCGAATCCTCATTTCCATCTCTCTTCTTCTTCTCAGTCCTTCCCACTTCCGCCACTTCCTTCAATCTTTCTCTTTTTTTCCTGACGACCATGCCTTTTAATACTCCTCCTCAGTCCAGGTACCCGGCCATCACGGGCTTGAATGGGAAGACCTAAGAGAACCTTTGACTCCAAGTGAACAATTTTTTTTCTATTCCTTTCTTTTCTCCCCGCAGTCTCGACCGTTCGCGCCCCAAGGGGAAGAAAAATTTCCCTTCCCCGACCGCCCACCAAAGCAAAAGTGGTCAACCAAATCCGACCCGCAGAACTCCAAACTCCGGGAAGCTTCTCTCTTTCCCAAACTCCCCCGAAGTCCTACTGGCTCCGCGGGAGCTTGAGACTTCTCTCAGTTCTAATTCCCCTTCATTTTTCTTTTCTCGACGGCCTTCGATCTCTCCCGGTCTTGCCACCTCTTTTTTTCCCTTCTTCCTTTCTTCCACTTGAACCCTTCTTGAGCCGTCCCACGGCTTCACCGGGAGCCAATCGAAAATAGCGCCGAGACGGATTGGGAACCGACCATCGCAATGGCACAAAATCGGTCCATGGAGTCCCGAGTCGGGCGCAAAAACCAACGTAAGTGTGCCTTCCGGCATGTGGAATTAATTGGCATCGGACAACCTTTTTTCTCGAATGAATGTAATGATCGGACATTCTTGCTGACCTGATCTCCTTGTGTAGGCTATGGTTCCAAAGGCGAACGCCTCGTGGCCGGCGTGGTCCCCCTCTCCGCAGACAAGACAAAAGTCCTCATGATTCAGTCCGCCGGTCCCGGAGGCTGGGTCCTTCCCAAGGGAGGATGGGAGACGGATGAGTCAACAGCACAACAGGCCGCCTGCCGTGAGGCTTGGGAAGAGGCCGGTGTCATTTGCACCGTGCTTCGCGATCTCGGCTTAATACCAGACATGCGGCCATCCGGCCTGTTGACCGCTCAGGCGCCCAAGGCTTCCTACCAATTCTTCGAAGTCAGCGTGGACAAGGAAGAGTCACAATGGCCAGAGATGCACAAGAGGAAACGACAGTGGGTGAGCTATGCTCAGGCCGCCACAGCACTGGCCAATCGACCCGAGCTGCTCGAAGCCCTGAACCGCAGCTCTCTGAAGCGATAGCCACCGGGCTTTCGCTTCGTATATATTGTCTTTTATACAATGGTTCTCGTACATTTTCCTTCTGGAACCCTCGGGAGCAGTGAGCTGCACTATCCTGATGATGACTCGACATGACCCCCAAAAAAGAACGGTGGCTCTGTGCTTTCTTGAATTCTTTCACCTCGCCAGTCCTCCTCTTCCTCCTCCTCCTCCTCCATTACTCCCTATATCTTTATTGCATCGCATTCGCCGCTGTGGTTGGGCTGCTGCTTTACCCGATCACGCCCCCGGTTGGTGCTTTCCTGTTTTCATTGCTATCATACCTGATAGACGGGTGTCCCGATATCAAGGGGATCATGAAGCAGATGAAGAGAAACTGCTGTCCTGTGCTCAGATCTATTTATTGCAGACTGTGTGAGGCTTCCTGACCAGCTGGAACAGGAAAGAGCCCACACGTGTCACTTGAAGAACTGGGTATATCTGTTCTTGCCTTGACTAGTTCTTGCTAGTATCTGAACTTTTAGTCTGACCTACACACTTTACTCTTCAATAACTCGAGCCCCCGTAGAACTGATTTGTAACCATGTCCCCGATTTTGATCGAGGAGGCGAAAAAGGATGTTTTCATCGCAATCAAACATGTCTCACGACACAAACTCTTGCCGCCAGCTCACTAATGCATGTCTACCTAAGATAATTGGTTGCTTCTAGGTTCCTTCCATCTCGGGCGTATTCGCCCACTCCATTTTCTTTGGAGGGCAATCTCCCACTGTGAGGTGTATACTGTACTATCACAATATTATCTGCGTTATTATTGATGCCTTCCAACACGGTGAAGAAATATACCCTCCTATCAATTTGTCTTTTTTTCAGGAATAATGTTCAAGTATTGCTGCTCAGATTGTGGTCCATTGTCCTAAGGCTGCCTTAGATAAAAGATTAAGCTTGCTAAAGACATCAGCTACGGCACTTTGAATTTTTCTTCACAAACATTTCTCCCGGAGTAAATCATGAAGTTCGTTGAGGACGGATCCTATACCTTAGCAGATCATCTAATCGCAGGGATTGTCAACTGGAGCCGCATGTCTAGATCACTGACGGCTTGTGAATCACGTGATCAGAGGCCCTCCTAACTATTCTGGAACGTTAAAGAAGCAGCCCAAACGTATCAGAGCGCAATTGTTAAAATAGTCAACTGAGAAAATTGATCGATAGAAAACTCAACTCACTAAATAAGTGATTTACCTGTTGAGAGCAAGAATTCTCTCAAGCCTGCTAAACTATGTAGTGACTGCGCAGGTATATCTCCAGGCATACCGCCCGAATAGGAAAAGCGCCAACTGCTGCCCCGAAGGCCCAAAGCCGCGCGATCTTCGCAGCGAACAGATCCAACAACCTCATCCCTCTCACCACCACCCCTCACCACTCTGACCCTGCTCCCAAGCGGTGCCAGCTCTCTTCCATATTCTCCACTCATCGCATGAGCAAGAGATAGATCCGAGCTTCAGACACGGGTGGCGGCGACCAGCGCGCCCGCTTTCACAGCATGGATTATGAGATGGACCTCGAGCCCGCGGGGCCGCAGGTCACCGTTCGCGAGGTACTCATGCCTCAATGCAAAGTCAACAAGATTCGGAGGACTAATATGATCGCCCCTTAGGTGGAACCCTACCGTGTCGATTTCAGACTGAGCTCAGTTGACCTCGCCTTCGCCAACTCCCTCCGCCGAGTAATCCTCGCCGAGGTGCCAACCGTCGCACTCGATCTAATTGAAATTGAAAACAACACCTCCGTCATTCCCGACGAGATGCTGGCCCACCGTCTGGGTTTGATTCCCCTCAACGCGAAGAACTGCGAGCAGGACCTGGACTACACCCGTGATTGTGATTGCGAGGACCACTGTGTGCGCTGCAGCGTGACGCTTTCGCTGCATGTGCGCTGTGAAAGTGGCATCATGTCGGTCTATGCGCGCGATCTGATGGTCCAGGGCGAGCGGATGAATGATACCATTGGTGATCCTGTCATTACTGATCCCGAGGGCAAGGGTCCGTTGATTTGCAAGTTGGCTAAGGGGCAGGAGATCAAGTTGACTTGTCTGGCGAAGAAGGGCACTGCTAAGGAACATGCGAAGTGGGCGCCTACTGCAGCGGTGGGCTTTGAGTATGATCCGCATAATAACTTGAAGCATGTGGATTATTGGTATGAGCAGGATCCAATTAAGGAATGGTATGTTGCATCTAGTGTCCATGCGGTGTCTGTTTGGGTGTTTTGCTGACTTGGGGATTTTGTCAGGCCTATCTCTGAAAACGCTGCATGGGAGCAGCCCAATAACCCTGACCTGCCATTTGACTACGATGCGGAGCCCAACATCTTCTACATGGATGTGGAGAGTATCGGTAACCTTGAACCGGACACGATCATCCAGCAGGGAATCTTCGTGCTTCAGAAGAAGCTTGCCCTGACTGTCTCCGAGCTCACTGGCGAAGGCGAGAACGGCCACGCTGGTGGTCCAGAGGATGCCGAGATGATGGGCGCTGGTGATGCGGACGCCTACGAGCCTCCAGAGGGTATCGATGGCAACATGGGTGGGTACGGCGGTGCCTCCTGGGGTGCCAGTGCCCAGACCCCATACGGTGCCACGCCATACGGCCAGAGCACCTATGGATATTGAGCAAATGGTGGTGAGGTGATTAGCGGGGGTGCTATGATGGTTACAAAACGGGCTTGAGCATGCTGGATGGAGTTTTATTTTCTTTCTTGCTTGTCATTGACTGGTGATTTGGTGGCGCAATTTGGAGTTTTTACCTTCCCTTTCTCATCTCGAGTGTGATATCACCATCGCAGGTGGTAAGCCAACTTGACTCGGTTCTTCTGAACCACTGTGTCCATAATTCCCATAGAAAAAAAAGCGTCTCAACTTACGATACTGCTACAATGTACACTCTTGATATCCAAGTTATGCTCTAATCTGATTGAAATGTATTCATCTTCTGGAGTCCTGCGTAGATTATCCTCAATCAATTCACACAAAACAAACACGACGAAAAGTAAAACTCACCTGATCTACTGAAACCAAAAATTCACACTAGAAGCCTTCCTCGACCTCGACTTCGACACCGACCCCTCGGCCACATTCATCGGCCACGCATTCTCAACCCCAGACTCACCATTCTCCTCCTTCCCCTCCCCATTCCACCCCAAAACCTCCGGTCCAAGAGTAAAATACTTACCAAAAACCATCTGACCCAAAACATGCACCTGTCTCTGCGCCGAAGCCAAAATATCATCTTCACCACGGAACATACCCCGAATTTCCATCATAAACGCCTTGACGGGTGCATCCGCCGGATCATCCACGATGAACGCCATACCCCCAATTTCCATTGCATGATCGAGCGCGGTGATAAAATCGCTGCCCTCTTTGTAGCGCTGCATGAATTTTAAATCGAAACCTACCCAGTGTGTTGTTTTAGGCAGGGTGCCTGCCTTTTCGATTTCCCTGCTTGGTGCGTAATAGCGGGATAGTAGGGGGTGTAGGGTTCTTGGGAGGAGGACGTGGGTGATTTTGATTGTCTTGTTGGCTGGGTTGTTGTGGATTGTTAGTATGGGGAGTTGTTGAGGGGATGGGTAGGGAGAGGTGACGTTTTCTGCGGAGATTAGGTATTTGGATTTGAAGTCATCGGAGAGGTAGATTGTTGTTGGGAAGATGCTTTCTTGGAGGCGTTGGACCAGGAGGCCGTCTTTTTGGAATTGGGTTAGAGGGCGGTCTTCCTTGGCTGTTGGGGAGATTATGGAGGACATGGTTTTGATCAAGTTAGAGATTGATGGTCCAAGGGTTGGAGCCATACCTGATTGTCTAGATAGATCTGAAGAGTTTCTTTGGGGAGTGTATTGCATGTAAACTAGGTTGAAGCTGGTGGGTAAGAGACTTCATTTTGCGAGGTCGGGTCTTGGTTTTTATAGATGCAGCATGGTCTAGGAAGTGAGGGGTTTGGGTGTATGAATAGTACAGTCTTTGTTCATTTCGACTCTGTTGCATTTTTCGCAATTGGAGGCTGTACTTGCGAAGACTCGTCTTGCTCAAAGGATACTCATTGTTTTGACAATGGCTTTATCATTTGGTTGAATCCAAATCGAGGTAGCCAAAAACAATATCTTTTTGTCTGGAACAATGCCTAGGTATCTAATAATGTCAGGGTCAAAAATAGCCTTTTTGGGTATAGAACGGTCCATTGTTTAGACGGGTCAACCTACTTTCCTTTGGTAGGCAGTACTTGAAAATAGACTACGCATATTGGTTAGCAGTAAATGCTGTAATCAATCTCATTTTAGCGGCTCCGAGACTGATGGCATAGGTACTTAGTAGTTTGACCAGGTTGGGCAGATGAACATGTCGGGGGCCATAGGGAAAAGACTCAAAATTGAAGAATCTACATCTACAGTTTACCAATACGCAATCTGAACGGTCGGGCTTTAAACAGTATTTTCATGATCATTATCTATCCAGTAGCGCCATTAACTGAACAGACATTGCTCAAACAATGGTATCCATAAATAAACACGCTGGGTGAATCGCTGTAACATTCAAACTCTACAGTTGTCGGGAATCTCGGCACGACGGGTAATCTAGCAGCAGCATTCGCAGCACTCAAAGCAGCAGAGACCAGCACAACTAATTGAGAAATCAATTGTTAGTTATTATCCATCTTAACGACTGGGAGCTCGATTATACTTACATTCCACAGCAGACATCCTCGCCCTCACCACCACCACGCATGTGAACGTTCATCTGCTCGGGGCCGCCCTGTTTTGTATTGTCAGTCATACTTGATTCATTGAGGGGATCATTGGCATGCAGAACAAGAGATAATCATACCGGCTGTTGATTAACCGCCTCGTTGTTCATGGCAGGACCGGCAGGGCTGTTGGGCTGCTGGAGTTCCACATTGCGAGCATCCCACTTGTTCTCATTCTCCTGAGCAGGAGAGAACCAGTTCTTGATAGCGTCGAACATTGTGTGTGAGATAGGGGGTATGGAATTGAATTGATTGTTGGAAATGTGTGTTTCTGAGGTATCTCTTGATTTAATAGCAGAAAAAATAGGAATTGAAGGAAGACGAAGAAAAAACAGGAACAGCAGCTGAAAATAAAGCAGCCTAATGCAACCAAGCAACAAAATAAGCACAGCTCGGCTGGGTATACTATGTCTTGGTTTTCTTGGCTGCCTGAAATCCACAAACGCAAGTGGCGCCAAGGGACGTCATGAGGTCCACACCGAAGGATCAATGGACCCCCCTCTAAGCCTTTTAGCGTGGTTATCGGGTAGGGCTGAGTGTAAGGAGTGGTCAGGATTTGTCGCTCAGTTCCCGGCCCCTTTTACGAATCACTAGATAGGGCGGATGAGCTATCTCCATTTGGTCTAACTTGGAAGATCCCTTTCTGGAAAGAGATTCGGAGGGAATTCAATTCATCTTTGAATGAGATCATTGTCGCCGTTAGCCCGGGGTATGGGGATGTGAGATGACCTACAGAGGTGTGTTGGCGTTTTCGTAAGCTTTACAGCCAGCCACACGTGTGGGATTCTCGCTAATTCAGTCGATGGCGCATTGTACTTGCATAGTGTGGCTCAGCTCGTTTATGTGGTTGTACTGTAGTTTAGCTCTCCCCTTTTTCAGGGGACTATATCGGACCCCTCGTGAATACTGAATACCTCGGTAGAGATGCCTTCACTACAAGGGGGGTTTTACAGTCAGCTAACGGCCATCTAGCAAAATAGTCAACTACCTATTATAGTTGTCGAATTTACCGACTAACATGCCATATTCATAAACCCAAATCCCCGCGACTTTTTTCTCTATTCATGCGTTGAACAAAGACTCCAGTTGTGAGATGACCAGCAAAATGACAGATAGTTTTAGAATCCAATCTACTGTCTATTCTAGGCACTGTGAGGAGGTCTCTGCCAGCAGTCTGGTAATTCTACTCATTTACAACCTCAATTAGAACTTCAGTCCACGAAATGAATGGTTACTAGCCTCCATATCAGGTAGAGAGAATAGCCAATACCTTAGGGTATTAAGATTTGCTTTGGTTCCTTTGATGCGGTTCTATGGGAGCACCTCTTGTACTCGACTCCTAACTTTCATATTAAGCGCCATTTTCAATTCAAATGGCAGGACATTCTGGTCCCAGGCGCCTTGTATATGCGATGTTCAGTTTCCATCTCTTGCGGCGTGATTATCTCGCTCATACAGAGCGGCACTTTCCCTGCGTTTGTGGTATTGCAGCGTTCTTAGTTTGTCCTTTGCCTCATGGAACTTTCCATCAAACCCGAGTGCTACCATGATTATGGTCCATAGAGAATTTATACTCTATCTTCTCTTTATTTTCCACTTCCTCTCTTCCTCTCTCCTACCAACCTTCATCGGGTTTTCCATCCCATACGATCATTTTGAACACAAGTTCTAGCCAATCAAGAACAACTCCATCGCAATGGAGTCTAATAGAGGCATAGCCTTTGTTGAGTAAGTGACCTTTCCCCCGAGAAGCCACACATATCTAACTGTACGTCTCACAGGTTCTTGGGCTCAGAAATCGTGGAATTTCAAACCGCGACCCGATCCGAATCCATCAAGATCCATCGAAAGCTCCTCGAATCGAAATGCAACACCTCAGTCGCAGCCCTCAGACACGACTTCAAAGGCCGTGCTATGCGAATGACCTTTGCAGAGACACGCTACGAGACCGTGGCCCAGTTCGTCGAATGGGCATACCGCGGTGACTACAGTGAGGTAGTAACTCTGCCCGCGGATTCGCCTGGAGAAACAAAATCTGAGGACTCGTCTTCGTTGGAAGGAGGGGTTAAGATGTCGGTGGATGACTTTTCGAAAGCGAAAACCCCGTCACAAATCACTCTGGCCAGTTCCCCGGACGGTTCACTGTCGCACACCTTGTTGTGTCACCTACACGTCTACATTTTCAGTGACCTCAACATGATCCCAGAACTCAAGGACCTCGCGTTTGAACAGGTCACCGCCGTCCTCAAATCGATGGGCAAGCCACGTTCTATGACCGAGCAACTTGCCGTCGTTGACTGCCTTGAGTTGACCTTTTCGAAAGTCCCTTTCCGTGATAAGCTTCCTGGATGGTTGGTCAGCATGCCTCCCGGTGCATGGTGGAGTTGCATCTGCAGGGCAAATTTCATGATCTACTGCGCAGACTGCCGGGGGTTGGGTCTCGTATGATGAATTCGCCGAGACCGTGCCAACTTCCGCCTTGGGAATCGCAGTTGCGCGACTACGCTGTTCAAATGTATGATGCTCATGCTTCCTCGGATGATTCTGGTATCTTCTAGGATGAGGCTCGAAGGGGTTGGGCGGGTCTTTGTCTGGTCTACGATTTGAGGGCTACTGAGAAGGATCAAGATTTTTGGGGGTATGGATTTCACGCAAGAGCTTTAGGAAATCTGACTGTCTTCATATCCTCAGATAAGCCTTTCTAGAATGTATCTCAATAGATAGGCTCGAAACTTTCCAGAATATTCCTGAGATATGCGGGTTGATAGACATCCTTCAAGCTATTTTGATAAGGCGACCTATTATGAATCTCTTGTATGCAACATTATCTCTTTGGCTGCCTCAACTTTAATAAGTAACACAGACTATATTTACGCCTGAGTGAAGATTTATGTTGACTCTATTTATGGGATTTCTTTGTCGGTATACAACATGGCCCAGTCCTAGTTTACCAGTAGACAATGAAATCGAGGAATCCGACTTGGCTGTCTTGCACATAGTCACAACAAAGCGCCTGCTCTGATGAATGCATGCCAGGCCACCCGATGGAGATATTCCATCAAACAAAGACAAAATCCCAGTCGCCATGGACCTTCGCCATCCCACTACTTCTCTCCGACAGAACTCTCTCACGACTACCATCTACACAACCTCCACCAATCCATCCATCCAACCCATCCAACTACATCCCTCTAGTCACTCACTACCAAAATGTCATCAATATCCTGGCCAACCTACTTCGCCGCCGAACGCGCCACCTTCCAACGCGACCTCCGTATAATAATCGACATCCTCCTCACCCCCGGAGACAACGCCGAACGCCTCTCCTTCTGCCACACCATCGCAGACCGATCCTCCTTCCCCGGCCCCCTATCAACCCTCCACACCGCGAACAAACCCGCCGGAAGCACGAAAGAACACCTTGCGCAGCGCCATCTCTCCGCAAACATAAACTGCCTCATGTACATGTTCATCGACCACCCCAAAGAAGGCCGGAGCTCTTGTTTTCGATCTCAACTCATCACTACCTAGATTATTGTCGACGACTCTGTGAGCAGTTGCGGGATGAGCGGGATGGGGGGCGTGCGGAAAGATTGGCGGGGGCGTTGGATTTTGTTGTTGTGCAGATTGAGGGTTTGACGCTTGATGGGGTTGTTGAGGGGGATTGTGAGGCGTTGAAGGCGGTGGGGATGGCGAGGGAGAAGGAGGGTTTGTTTAGGAGGTGGAGGAGATCTAGGGAGAGGGAGGAGTTGAGGTTGGTTTGGAATGCGTTGCAGATTCAGGGTTTGGGGAAGGGGGGTGTGAGTGGTGTGAGTGTAGACCTTGTTTGGAGCTTGAGAAGAGAGGTGAGAAGATGGAGAAGAGTGGATTGTGTGGGTGTAAGGTTGGATGATGCTAATTTGGTGTTTATGAGGTTGTCGAGACGTCGATCAGGTGAATGATGGAGTCTGTGGACTGGTGAACACAAATTGTACAGTATGGGGTTTGTGTGTAAAAGTGAGAAGTAATCTTTCGATGTATTTTTACCAGTGAGGCTAAATATGCATTCAAGTTAAAAACTCGATGTGAATAATGTGAATTTGTGAATACGATTGGAAGAGTGTTTAAAAAAACTCAAGATAGAGAAATGACATAGCAAGATATTGTATTATAGCCATAGGGCTTGCTTTTCAAGAGAAAGCTAAAAACAGTAACAAGCCCGAATCCCAGATAATGCTCTAGAAGAAAAATCAGTCCACCCTTGGTCCAACGCCGAATGCTCACATGCCACCGTAATACACGACGGATGATATATGCACAGATATAACCAATCGCTAAAAAAGCCAAAGAAGAATATACAATCCACCATTCCCATATCCCATCTAGTTCATCAATTCCACAGGGGGACGCGCCGTCTTGGGTGGCAGCTTGTTAATCGACGTCTCGACGGGACTCAACTCCACGTCCATATCGACATCCTCATCCACCGGCAAACTCATATCCTCAACCATCACAGCCGGCAGATTCGGGCTGTGACCGTGGTCCTCTGGGTTGTAGATTATGGTACTGCTGCGGCTGCGCTGCTGCGAGCCAGCCAGAGGCCAGCTAGGCGTGCGCTTATCGGAGGTGATGGAGACGGGAGTGGCGGGGTCCACGTTCATGGGCTCGGGCTGATCCGTCTTCAGCATGGCCAGGGCAGTGGCCAGATCACTGGCATGTGCCTCCTTGTTGGGCGGGTCCTCGTTGCGCATCTGCCATCCGTGGGGAGGGCTGGGTGGCGGGGAGATGAAGAAGAGCTTATCCAGCTGCGGAGCTTCGAGCAGCTGCTTGCGCTGAGCCTCTTCCTGGCTCAGGATCGGGGTAGGCTCGCCAAAGTAGATGCGCGGGCGCACGTTGCGGTTCAGCAGGCGGGTGCCTTCGAGCATCTGGCGGACGGCGATGGCGTCCTTATCGGAGTGGAAGGAGCAGATGATGCGGCGGAAAGAGGGGAGTGGGGAGAAGGAGTGCAGGCGGGCCACGACGGTGATTTGGTTGCGGATGGCTTCTAGCGAGGAGGGCTGGAAGAGGATGAGGTCGTGGAGTTCGGTGATTAGGAGAGTGTTGGAGGGTGGTGTTGGTTGCGATAGCGGGGGAATGCTGGAGAGATCGATGGAGAGTGCTGGTCGCGAGGATGACCGCGAGGAGGAGCGGCTCTCGGTAATGGCAGGCAATGAGCCAAGATGGGGTACAGATTGAGCCATGGTGTGTGTGATAGTATGTGTTTCCTTGAGAGAATGTGGGAAGTTTGCGAAGAAAGGATGTTGTGTTGGTCTTTTAAGTGGCGCGGAGGATAAGAGAAGAGATAAAAGGGGAGAAGAGTTGCCACTCGGATAAGGAGGAAGATCGGATCGGCTTTTAAAGTTCTAGACTTTGCGGAGGCAAAACCACTTTTGTTTCAATGTCGGAATTTTCTGGTCTGGTCTTGGAAAATAATGAGACTGGCGACCGCATGCAGATATTTATCCTCTAAGTTTTGAAAATTCCTTTTCTTTCTCCGTGCCATCGCTTTGTGTCTGGGGGGAGGCGCAGCGGGCAACCTTCGCCGGAGTCGTCTGGTTAGCAGGGCAGTGCAGTACACAACTCGGTCCAGTTGGTCCACTCGGACCACGCCGCAGTTCCCCCTCATCTATGCTCCTGACCCACTGTCTTTACTCTTTAGTCTTCTAAGAGAATCTCCTCCAAGCCTCATGACTACAGTCTCAGCCTCCTTGTCATTGGCCACTGCGTCAAACTTGACTCTATTCGGGAGGCCTTCCGTGCAGTTATTGATTGCATGCGCCACAGATGCATGCGCCACACCTTGTTAGGCGCATTGCTCGGTTATGCCGACCGGGAGAAGACAGATTTAAAGTACAACGGATATACTAATTGAACTAATTGAATGAAGTGGACTCTCCCCTGATCTACAATATCTATTCTGTTTGCAGTTGCAGTCCGCAGTACGCTGTACAAGTTGTACTACATACTCTCGGGTCTCGAGGTCTATACTGACTGACTACGTAGGTGGCCTCCACTAGAGCTCCGCCTCTCTCTTTCTCCAGCTCCCTCTTCTCCGCCCTCAGCCACCCCAAAAAAGTCATCTCCCATCATCGCGCTTGTGAATGACTCTGCCTAGAGTCCTACTACTCCATACGGCATACGCACGATATCTTGGCTTAACTTCGCCTAGCAATGCCACGCGGAGGAAGGTCGCATGCCTGGCCATTTACAGTATCCTCGCTACTACAGGGTCTCGGCCCGGAAGCGCGAACGACAGCGTGCAGGGATCAACAACTCTATTGTCTATTTTTCATTGGCAGGAAAATGAGGCTGCCTTCTAATCTGATGAACTATTGACAATTCCTTTTTCCCCAGCCACCCCATTCGTCCACGCTTACAAGGTAGAGGCCGCGCGCACACGATCTGTGATCGCCCTCTGCGCCGCAGCTGAAACAGGCGCAAACATATCATACCCATGCGGTAGTCCTGGATAAATATGGACTTCCACCTCGATATTGGCCGCTGCGATCCGCGAGGCGAAGCTCAGTCCCTCGTCACGGAAGATGTCCAGGTTGCCGATTTCCAAATACGTCGGGGGTAGGCCCTCAACACTGGCTACTCGGGCGGGGGCCGCATACGGTGATACATTGTCACTACCAAACTCCGCCCCCAGGTAGGCTGACCAAGATACGATGCTTGACTCGGTTGACCACATCACCAGATCCTGGAGGGCTGGGTACGGGGCCGTGTTGCGGTCGTCCAGCATCGGGTAGACGAGAATCTGCCTCGCCACCGGGGGCGAGAGCCCACGGTCGCGGGCCATCAAGGTGATACCAGCGGCCAGGTTCCCCCCAGCACTTTCGCCCATCACCGCGATGCGATGCGGGTCAATGGAAAATTGGTGCGCGTGTTGGTTCACCCAGACCAGGCCGGCGTAGCAGTCCTCCACGGGCGTGGGGAAGGGATTCTCGGGTGCTAGCCGGTATTCAACGGAGAAGATCTGGATGCCATGCTGTTGGATCTGCTGGCTGAGGTATCCGCGGAACATTTCCACGTTACCTAAGATGGTGCCACCGCCGTGTGTGTGGACAATTGCTGGACCGGGTGTGGTTGTATCTGTATGGGGTACTTTCTTCCAGAACCGGTGAATGGCAATCGTATGCCCATCGTAGGAAGTGATATTGTGTATCTCGTGCTCGATGTCTGGAAAGTTGGGAAGTTCTTCCAGGCATTTCGATAAGCTGGGCTCTACCACCGATCGGATGGTCAAGGCATCGGTCATCGGAGGTCGTGGATTGGCAGCCGACTCAGCGAAGAAAGGAGCCATGGCTTCGCGCCACGAGGGGTCCGTTTGTAGAGACATTATAATAACAATGAAGAAAGAAGATGAAGGAGATAAAACAACTGTGTAAGAAATGCTCCTGATGATGCTTTTGAGAATCGGACAATTCATACAGGACCTACAACCTTTTATGTACCTTCTCGTTGAGCGTATTCGCCATTCGTCCTCATTTCGGATGGAATGTATGAGGATGAGTAATTGAGTATCTTTAGTGTGGATCGGCATTGGCCCCCGATTTTTAGGCCGACTCGGCGACATTCACGTAGCCTTGCGAGTCATGACCGCTTGTATTGGGGCCAAAAAACGCTTCAACAAGGCAGTAAGGTCGCACTCATCCTTTTTAGTGGAGTTACTGTTCAATCAATGATCGTGATATTATTTGAGACATTCCTAATCATACCCCAATTGAGCCCATTTTTCACTCATTATACTACTACTTACAAAGCAGAGCTACAAAGTGGAGCCAGACGACTGACTCGCACACTCGGTCTTGCACATCACAAATCCGCATCCTTAATTTCTAAACAGCTTCGGTGACATAACTTCCATTGTACTTCACAAAATCAACTAGTGCATACCGATGACAGATGTTTCTAATCAATAAACAATCCACCCGACGCAATCAAATGCTCCCCATTAATCCACCGCGCCCGCTCTTCACAAAGGAACGCAACTGCATATGCAATCTCGTCAGGCCGTCCCATCCTCGGTCCCACCGGTGTCTGGTCAATAATCGGTTGGAGGATCTTCATCTGTTCCTCGCCCGCGGCAGCAAAGCCTTCGGTCATGGTTGGACCGGGACTAACGGAGTTGACGGTACATCCGTATTTAGGAGGGAGTTCCTTTGCCCTGTGCATTTATTAGTATGAAAGATTCTAATCATTAGAAAACGTGTGCTAAGATTTGTGGTTGACTTACCAGCACTTGGTAAAAGAATCAACCATCCCCTTCGTCCCAGCATAAATAGTCTGATTAGGCGGCGGCCCCCGAGCAGAAATACTCGCAATGTTCACGATCCGCCCACTTCCCTTGGTGAGATGTGGTAGAACAGCCTTTGTCAAAAGAAACGTTCCCCGACCATTGATATTCACCAATAAATCCCAGTCTTCAAGTGTCTGCTCTTCTATAGGCTTGTTCACGGCCAGCGCGACGCAATTGATCAAGATGTCAATGCGACTCCATTTCGCGAGTGCTGCGTCCACGAGTTTCTGTGGGGACTCGATTTTGGACATATCAGCCTCGACGGCGATAGAGTCGGTTCCTAGGGAGGCAACCACGGTGTCTGCTTCGGTTTTGAGTCCGGGGAAGGGATAGTTGACCACGGTGTTGGCGCCGCGGGAGGATAGTTCTCGTACGATTGCGGCGCCGATGCCTGAGGATGAGCCGGTGACGATGGCTACCTTGCTGGTGAGTGTTTGTTCGACCATCTTGAAGGAATGAAGGAGATGGGATAGACGGATTTGGGCTGTGCGATTCAGCTTGACGCTTTCGAGGGTGCTATGCTGGGTAGGTGTCCTTGAATGTGGTGGACTGCGGATGTTGGATAATGCTGCACGGGATGATATGCAACACAATGCTCTATTAATTTGGCTCTTCTTTAACTGCGAATAATGTCCAATTTATTCTCCCCGTGGACTTGGACACATCGGACAGATATCCGACGAGTTATTCAGAATATTGAGGGCGTCATCTCCACATCCCGAGAAAACCTTACCACGCGCACCCCGGTACCCCACATTCTTCAAAGGCGATTGCTGGGGATTACCAGGCCTCCCAGTCTGGACTTCGAATATCAGTCAGCACAGATATCTGGAATACTTTGAGTCATTTTCAGTCGGATCAGCTAGCAGCAAATGCAGCGGGGTATAGCATGAGCCTACCTAGTAGGTCTAACGTGCGTTTCTTGTGAGGCAAAAAGGCTCCTGTACGTATACATCCGCGTTTATCAATTGCAATTTTTATAATAGCTTGAACAGAAAGTGTATGTTTCTGGCAATCTTAAGGCAAAGTACTGTATGTAATTACAAGCGTTTGGCGCGGGATAGCGAATTTATTATTTTATTCTGAGATAATTGCTACTTTGATTGTACTTATATAAGTTAGAGCAGACTGTATGTGGGATAATAGATAGATAGATTGCTCTAGACAAAGTGTTGATTTCACTGTAGTTAGACAAAGTTACAATATTAATAGAGACGTTTTTCTGGGAGCAAAAAGTCAAAACCAGACCTTGGCTCCAAATGCATTAAGCATTTAAACACTCATTCAGTCATTCAGTACGAACGGCAGCGGAGAGACCAGATCCAGCCTATCTCCGAATTAAACCACTGATAGGCAGTGGTGTCAACCCAGGCAGAGCCGCTTTCGTCGCAGTTATCGTTGTTATAAAATATGCACTGCTGTACGCCATCGGAGATTTCAAAAGACGACATGCCCTGGGGCATATTATAACACCCCCCGTTATTCCAGTCAGAGCCCCCATTGTACTGATAGATAGCGCATTGATCCGTGTGGTAGCAAGGTTTCATCCAAACAGCGCTTGCAGATGCGGTTGGGGCTGCAATCGCCAGAGACAGTCCAGATACAACTGAAATTCTCATCGTGTTTATTCAGGTCAGTGTCCAAGTTTTCCATTTTCTCCTCACATCACTTACCTTGATGGAATGTAGATACGTTAATGGTTGTCAGTGGTTGATGGACCAAGGTATTCAGGTAAGTTGAGCAGTCGCTTCATTCAATTCCCTGCAAATCTTATCGTTTTATAGTGTTCATCATATATAGACACACATGTTCCTGCTTAATTTGGTCCCGGAAAGTCCGTTAGTGCTTCGCTAACAGGACAGAAAGATGCACCTTCTGTTTTGATGGCATATGCGATGAAAGTTCGGTCCACTGGCCCGGCTGCTCAGACCGAAAGTGGGATGGTTCAGATTGAAGTATCGTGTGATAATCAGATATTAATAGCCGAGCAAACCTAGGGCGTAGAGGCGAGTCGGCATGCAAACACGTCAAGGATGCACTTCCCAGATCAAGGAATGCGATTTGGCTCCCGTGATTAGGCTTCAGTCTGGCAATATTTGTCGAATACCGTTATCGCAACTTACTAGATGAAATTACTTTGACCTACACTCTCAAATATTATCCTTCAGCGGAGGTTGCTGCTAGTCCGCACTTCACCCCGAAGCGACTATTGACTAGTTCCCTCAGCTTACCTACAGCGAAACCGAAATCTCACAGACCCTTGATTTACGATTAGCGGGGCAAGGAAAGCTAGCGCCGGGCTATTTCAGATGCAAATTTGTCACTAAATTATTATTCAAAGACCCGAGAGTTGATTGTTCTGCCTCTACTTGTCCAAAATTGTGTCTCCTCACAACGCCTTCTACGTTCCTAATTTTGTCTTGCGTAAACTCGCTTCTCGAAATAATTACAATTCAAAATGCTCGATCGTCTACTCCCCAACCTGCTCAGTGTGTAGGTCGTTCCCAGCTACCTAAGTTTCAGTGCCCGACATTAGCTAAAATCACAGTATCGTTCTCTTCGTTACCTCTATCTCGTTCCTTCCGCAGCTTACCCACATATGGACGAAAAAGACATCTTCGGGAATTTCCCTATACTATGTCCTCTTTAATCTCATATCTGCGACTGAGCAGCTCGCAGTTTGCATCGGCCTGTTTGTCACACCAGACAAGCCAGACCTTTTCCTTCACCGACCCATCATTGTCACCGATTGGCTGAACTTATGCCAAGTCATTGTCTTATGGATCCTGTTCTTGGTATAGTTTGTTGAGATAAGGATTCCATAGCTGAAGAGAAATTTTCATAAATCTAATCATCGCTCAGTTTCGCATCATGCCTCCGATTCGCTCCAGAAAATCATAATGGGCGGAATAAACATGTCATTGGCATTTATATCTCTTTCCTTCTCATCTCACTGGTGCCTGTCTTTTTCTTTGCAGCTTGCCTTATAAAGGGTGCAACAACGAACAAGGAACCTCTCCGATGGCTCACCGCGCTATTTCTTGGCTTCCATAGCCTTTACGCTACCTATATTGTCGCTCTTCTCACATTTGCCGCAATATACTACCAAGCACGGGAAATATCCTCGCACCTCGCACCACCGCCCGGGCTGAGCGTTGCCGGACTTGCTGTCCAGTTCATGGTGTTCTGTCTTGTTTCTGTCTCGTGGGTATTTAGAGTCTCCTTTCCTTACGATGAGATTGCACTGCATCGAATCTCGCTGCAGGCTTTGGCAACCTGGTTCACCACGGTTGGGTGGGTGGTGGTATATAATGGTGTCTACGGTCTTGGTCAAGGGCTTTTGTTCTGGTTGGTTATGAGACAGGGTTCTAGGGCGTGGGCTTCAAATGAAGGGGAGACCCGGCCTTTGCTTAGATGATTCTGATGAATCTTACTATACGTGCTGATCTTGGGTGATGATCTTGGGATAGTCTTAACAAGAATTTAGAATCTGCATCGATAATCTTTAGTGCAAGCATGTGGGTTTTAATACGTGCTCTCCTCAATCATGGCCACAGAATCATGGCGCGTCAGTATAAATAACCCTGATGATGATACTTAAATGAGGCACAATCACAGGTCACGCAGTGGCTGCCTTGCATCGTGTTCTTCAGCAGATGTAGTAATGGACAATTACTAGGCCATGAATTAAAAGAATAACCCACAACTTCTTACAATATATATCTCTCACTGAGTATTCAAGGAACGACAACCTTAGTGGGCATTGAAACTTTCCAAAACTCAGCACTCGTAACTCCTAAAGACAGGAAATAGAAGAGCACCTACCTCACAAAGAAGAAATGTGCCTTGTCTGTCATATTGGGATCAATAGTATATATATTTTGACAGACTAGGTGAACGCACCCATTTCTTCTACCCTTCATTCATAGTTATTGTTGCTCCCTTTAAAGGCCATGGCCAACTAGTGACATCGCCATATTATGGCTTCTATGACTGGTCAAAGTTTCCACGGCCATTAGCCAACAGAGGATTACAAAGCTTGCTGCAGAGTGTCTGGCCGCCCTTTGACCTGGCGCATTCAGGATATTACAGATTTTCCTGCTTTTCTCAAGACCAGGCCTCTTCGTCTAAACTACATTTATCATGCAATGATTCGATTTGAGTTCTTTGATCACCAAAGACAATGGTAACGTTCCGACCTGCCGTTGTCACTACATTCTTCATCCGTACTACAATCCATCGGTTTGTGGCCGGATCAGTTACGTGTATACAATAACGGCCTCTAGCAGAGCGATGGTGGTCCCCCTCAACTACAGTAATGCGCCTTGGCTAGTGCTCGTCAGTGAGGCTACACACGTTGGTACAATCGTGCTGGTTGATATTATGCTTAGCAAGCGGGTTGCAAAGCTCGCCAGAACTCAACTCGCGTATGTGAACTTAGTGTTGCAGATTTATAAGGTGGTTATTATTATCAACTCAGCCAGATTTAGAATAAGAATGCGCGAGCGCTCCCTTTAAGAGCGGGGGCGATGAAGCCGCATTCTGAGGGTGGAGGCTACGTGCTAAATAAAAGTACGGAACAACTGAATCACTATAAGACTAGGCTGTGGTAACATGAAGATACTAGTTGCTAATTGAGCTCTGCACTATGATCTTAATTGTAAGTTCCTCGTAAATAAACATCTTAATTATCGACTGCTGATAGGGAAGAGTAGACCAAAACTGCCAGCTAATCCCCTGTAATCAACTCTGATAGATGAAGTCAGATATTGTATCCACATGTCAAATGGTCTAATTCTTACCTATTTGCCAATTCACCCACTCCCTCACTACGTCTGAAACCCTCTTCAAATTGAATCAAGTCCCCTTGAAGACTAGAGCCAACCAATATTTGAAGTATACCAGACAATTGGTGCATAATCCGAGCGGAATGGGCACGGGACAAACCTCAACGGATAAGTACCGAGTTGGCTCTAATAATTACGGCGAACTGCTTCGGCAATGGTTCAGCTATGAAGCGGACTTCAGCTACGAGCGGCTTTCTTGCTCAGGAGATTCCATCGACGGGCAAACAGCCAGATTGACCAGTGGAGCACTGTAGACAAGTCCGCTTTCGCTACTCTCACCATTGGGGGTCACGACCTTGGTTTCAGCGATATTGTCTGGCACTGCGTTATCACACCAAATACTGCGCGATGGGGCTCGACAAATCGCGCGAACTGCGAAGATGCCGAGAGTAAAGCCCGCGGCCTTCTTCAGGGTGAACTTCGCGGCCGACTTACAGAGACTTATCTTCGGATCCTCAAAAAAGCAACCAAAGAAGGCTTCAAGCTCTACGTCGCTGGATACCCGCAGTTCTTCAACGATCAGACCTCGGACTGCGACATGAGCTCCTTCCACTACTGGTGGGGAGGGTACAACGCGACCACCGACTGGCCATCATATCGAACTGTCTTCCTGACGACAGACCTCGGCGCCGAACTGAACGCTCTTGTGACTGGGCTCAATGACGTGATTCAAGCTGCTATCGGAGACGCAAATCAGCAGTATGAATCCCACGCTGTCTATTACGCCAACGTGGACACGGGGTTTACAGGCAACCGCTGATGTGAATCAGGCGTCCGCGAGCCAGATCCCAGCCAAGCTTGGTTCTTCCTGAGCGCCTGGCCCGATCTCGAGTACGGTTCTGCCAGTGAGGAAAAGGCCGAGGTTTCTGCCCTGTTTTCCCAGGGATCCATTCAGCTACCCGATTCCGGGACTTTGCTTCCCTCGATCCTCAAAGCAGACCCATATATACGAGCCATGTGTGTGGTTGCGACGACGATTGAGGAGGATCCAACCGGCCCTGAAGCTGCCCGTTTTGCCAAAGCAAATAATGCTATTGCGTCTGGGAATGTGAGTACTCAGGAGGTCTCGCCGTATGTGCCCACTCAGCAGATCAAGACGTTCCATCCGAGGACTCCAGGAATGGTTGCGTATCGTGATGCGGTTTTGGATGCGATGGTTGCGGCTGGGCAGGTTTGATTCTGCTCAAGCTAAATGTACGCCAAGGCTATTTTGACTAAGTTTCCGGTGTGACTTCCAAGCTGTTTAGTGGGGGATAAACTATTGTCTTGTTAGAAGAGTGAGGAGAGCTTGGAGCTGTGAATAGAGAGGCAGTCATAGAATTAACACAAGAGAAAATTTATAGAACACTGAAATTTCGCTTGACCCCAGGATAAGCACCGGAACTCAATCATTTGCATTCCACTTTCCCTGTGTAGACCCGAATCCAGCTATTATGGCCAAGAGGGTCTTGGATGTGATGCTGTCATTCTTGGTTCTGTCGTGAGTCGCCAAAGATATCTCGCCTGCGCTAGATTCGGAGCATCCTCGGGTTACTCGTGTTGCATAAAGGAGTCTTCACTGTTCTAACAAATGAACGAGTCTTCCGTAGAACACCTTTGAGTTCATGCGCAGAGATGTTAGCTACTGGGATGTTGTCTCCCAGGACCGGCGTGTTCCTGCTGGATCTTTCACATTGAAGGCTGGATTCAGTAGTCGTGATTTCCGCAGCAATATAACTGCGACTCTTGTCAAGGCATGACTATGATTATGAGGTAACAATTTGAATTTATCATCAGATAGCCTTGGCTCTTGTTTCGAAGGTGAATGTACAGATGAATAGCATTGATGAAACTATACAGAAAATTGAGTCCCCTTTCCCAATTTGAGGACGCTATGTAATCAAAGCCAGGGCTAATCGCACGACAACTTGTGATCAAAAATCATTTCTCAGTTCCGCCATATCATAAGCGTTCTCCGGTAGCTCTACTCCCTTCGGGACAGTCAAGATACCAAACTCATAGGTGAACCCACAGCCCTTATCGCTCTTTCCATAGAATCCAACAATGACCTCATCCTCTGCTGGTTCCAGGATCACGATATCAGATTCATCCTTCTGATCATTCTCGTCAGAGCTATCGTTGTCGTCGTCCTCGTCCTCATCGTCGCCATTGCCAGTAGTGTTGAGAGCACCCCAGGTCTCTCCATTGCTCAGAGTCATCCGAATGCCCGACAGACTTCCCCATCCGTCGTCTCTCTTGCAGATCTTGACCTGGGTGATCTGCTCGCCAGCAGGGATGTCACGTCGCTGCGACGCGTGTCCACCAAAGCGGTGCGGTTGGCCATTGTGACTGTTTCGCGCCGGACCACAATTGGCGTGCTTACCATCAGCGTAGTAAACAACGGCTCCATCCATGGTGCATCCGACCCGGAGATCAATTGATGTAGCAGGATGCAATTTGCCATCTGCGCCACGGTGGTGAAGAAGCATGGCCCACTTCATGAAGTTGTCATCGTTTTCAGCCGCTTCGAGATTTCGGGACCGAACAGATTGCTTCTGAATAACAACGTCGCTGTCTGGAATAAGAACGAAAGGAAGATCCTTGAGCAAGGCCCAGAAGTCTGCAACGACACGTTTGTTGCCATTCAATCCCAGAGCAGTGATCTTCAGAGGTTTGGTCTGGTCAAATTCCTCTCGAATTTCGGTAATTTTGAACTCGGTGCAAGGAGGCTTGCCATCTCCCATAAAGTCATGGACGACAGGGTTACCCTCGCCAGTCTGGATCTTCACCTGCGCAAGTCCTGCAGAACACGAAATCTTCAGGCCCTCAGTCTTATCCTCAGGATCCATGGGGTCATCATCTCCTCCCAGAGAAACTCCAATCTTCACATTAGCCTTCTGGAACGACTTTGTCACGGGATCGTCACCGGGAAGAGCGAAATGCGGTAACAACTTGAACTGCAGCGTGTCTTGCAAATCCCATTTCGCCTCGTTCTTCATCGACCCGTTGTCCTTGTGTTGAATGAAGTTCATACCCCAGGATTTGCTATAACCTCTGGCCATGATACCCGTGGTATGGCCAGCACCAAATGCGTGGCCCACCTCGTGCATAAATGCACCTTGGCCGACGAAGCATGCGCCACGCATGGTGTCACACTCGCCATTGTCGTTGCCAACGGTCTCTCCAGGATGAGTCATGTCTGTCAGGCAGGCAGGAATCTCCTCGATGAAGCGTGGCCAGGAGTAGGTAAGATGGCTTCCAAAAATTCCCAGGGAGACACCACCGGGCTTGTGGCAACCCAGGGCCGCATGTGCCGTGATCAGGGATTGCTGGGTAGAGTAATGGGAATCCAGAATCAAACCAGCAACGATTGGTCGACTCTTGGAATCGAAGGGAGCACCAGCATCAATCAATGCTTGTTCGAAATAACCGTGCAAGGCATCTCGGTCCCGGCCACGCGGGTTTTGCTGCGCAACGTTGGCATTCCTGAGCTCTGCGACGGTCTTCTCCGACCGGATAATATGAACCTTTGCCATAGGGCCCATCTGATTGCTGTCACCTGGAACATATTGATGGGTCTTTTGCATGGTAGTATTGGGGGACCATTCCTCCTCCAGGCGGAACGAGCGTCTTCCGAGTCCTTTCTGGCGGAAGTCCTCGGCAGTGAAGGCCTGCCACATGTATGCTGACATGCGAAGCTTGGAGATTGCTGCATCAATGCTGCTATGGGCGCTAGACACTCCCCCATACTTTGCTGGCGGGCAGTCGATAAGTAGAGACGAGTCCTTTGCAACGAGGATAGCGAGATGTAGGGGAGGCAGTTGCAATAGGGGAAGATAGTTGACGGAAATTTCCAGAGAACCTGAAATTCCTCCAACGTGATGAAGCTTAAAGGACAGCTTGTTGGTTCCCGGGGAAAGCATCACGAGTGCACTCCACTGGCCTTTGTTCAGTGGCCAGTTTTGGGCTGAATGAGACCGCTTCAGGATATCAGATGTAGAGACCGAAACATAGTTGGTTTCCTCGGCATAATCAAAATTCTGGCATTCGCCATGAATAATAAGGGAGGTCTGGTGTACGACCTCGCCATCGTCCAAGTTGGTGATCTTGAATGGCCTCCAGTCAACGAGAGTAGGCTTGACTCTACGTTGTGTTGTGGAGTCGGAGTCGAGAGTGCGCTTCACCATGGTGATTGAATTGAGCAATTGACTCAATTGAATCTTGCAGTAGATAATGAATGAGAATTAAAATGATGAACAATCATGTCCATTCTTCGATGCTAGTTTTATACTCCATTTCGAACGGCTCAGGAGCTCATTGAGACGGGGTCCAGTTTAGGCAACTGCTAGCTGTTGCCTGGATTTTGGCCTGAGGTGTCAACGCCATTCTGCATTGGACCTTAGACCAAGGCAGCGATGGGGTCAGAGCTCGACAAGCTCATCACTAGCTCGGCATTTTCAGTCCATGAGAAGCGGTTTGAGTCAGTTTGCAGATATCCTGTCGTTCTCGTGGCAGTAATAGCCGACAAAATAACAAACTCATGAGCTCTCGGCGATGCCGTCTCTAAGCGAGCACGACTCAAGCACTTCTTCTCATCCTCAATGGCTGAAGACTCTCGCAGAGGCTGACCTACCATGATTGTGGCCTTTAGAAGCTTAGAATAAGATTATTCTTATCTTTCTTTATTATTTATCTGATGAATTCAATCTGTCTCATTCCATAGATGGGTGTCATTGGCCCGATCATACAAGACTATCCCATGTCGGAATTCATTGCTGCTAAAATTATGTAAGTGATCATTTTAAATTTACAGCTCCAAAGTCATTGAGTATACTCAGGCATTTTGACTCAAGTTTTCAGTCAAATATCAATACAATTGACTGAATTACTTCATGACGACGGAGAGCACGATCTACTTCGGCCCAGCGGTTTTCCCGGAGCTAAAGCGGGTCAGGTGATATTCCACGAAATTCTTCCGGCGATCAGCTATCGCAATTAACCCTACGCACCGAACAGAATCTTTCTTCCCTTCTTTCCTCTACTTCCACTCTTGCCATACCTCAATCGTAATTGTCCATTTTTACACAATGTTCCAGCGCACCATTTTCAGACAAGCACAGGCCGCCCGGTCGGTCCTGGCTGCTTCTACCTCCACATCTGCGGCGCCGCTCGCTCTCCGCCGGACAACACGGTTGCAGTCACAGCTTCCCTGGGCTATGAGGCCATTCGCTCCTCAGCCTGCTGCTCGCCGTCTCTACTCCACCGAGAATAACGGAGAGAACAAGGAGGCCGCGAAGGAGGGCGAGGCTGCTGAGAATGCCGAGGAGGATCCCGTCCGCAAGGAGCTCGAGGAGAAGGAGAAGGAAATCACTGAGCTGAAGGTATGTTGAGATATCGTTATCCTAACCAATGTTCCTTGATTTATCCCTCGAATATTTGTACTCACAATTTTCAGGACAAATATCTCCGCTCCGTCGCCGAGTTCCGCAACCTGCAAGAGCGCACCAAGCGCGACATGGACGCTGCCCGTAATTTTGCCATTCAGCGTTTCGCCAAGGACTTGCTGGAGAGCATTGACAACTTCGACCGCGCGCTGCTGGCCGTGCCCGCGGAGAAGCTCAGTGCTGAGCGCACCGATGCCAACAAGGAGCTGCTCGACCTCGTCGACGGCCTCAAGATGACCGAGCGGACACTCATGAACACACTCCAGAAGCACGGTCTGGAGCGATTCGACCCCAGCGAGCAGGTTGAGGGCAAGGCTCAGAAGTTCGACCCCAACTTGCACGAGGCCACTTTCATGGCTCCCTCTCCCAACATGGAGGATGGTGATGTGATGCACACCCAAAGCAAGGGTTTCCGTCTAAACGGACGTGTCGTTCGTGTAAGTTTTACCAAAGTTCGCCATTCTTGGAACTTTTATCTAACTTTAATTCTTCTTCTACAGGCTGCCAAGGTCGGCGTCGTCAAGAACGCCTAATTTCCCTCCTCCTACTCATAATGTCTCGTCTACTCCCGTCTTCCTCCTTTCCTCATCTTCTTTTTCTTCTCTCTGTACCATATATCATACGTCACGATCACGATAGGGATTCGCACTCGGTTGCGGCTGGTTGTTGGACCCGGGAAAAATTCACCTTTTCTTGATGTTTGCTTGTCTCTTGGATCTGTATGATACACCTTGTTCTGTGTTGCATGTGACTGGAGGCGTCTGGATTGTCTCGCGTTGGGGGATCTTTCTTTACACTTTCGCGCAAGCAGTGTCTTCGGATAAAACTCTCTTCTCATCTCTTGTACAATAACAATATACACCCTGGGCCAAAGCCTCCCGTTGTCATTGATTCTTTTCATCTTGTAGAAATCCGCATGAGTCCTCCTGTTGGCTATTTGCAAGGTTTAACCATGCTTCGCGATTGATGGAAGGAATTCTGTGCTGCATATTTAGTTTCAACGGCGAACCAGCCCCGGGTGTTGTACATGTAGAGAGAGTATAGTAGCAGATATCATATAATACAAATTTTACATCTCCTTCAATCACCGCAATTCCACTCCAAAGTCATCAACAAGCTGAGCTCGCACCTTCTCATGCATCTCATTAGCTTCCTCATTAGTCAGAGTCCGCTCCAGACTACGATAGTTGATGCGGTAACACATGCTCTTCCGTCCAGACTTCGGGTGTGTAAACTCATCAATCAGAGACACATCCTCGACAAGATCACCACCAATGCCACGGACGATTTCCATCACATCGTTCTCGTGGAAGGGCACGGCACCACCTGCTGCACTACTTCCGCCAGTGACAGCGGCTGGAGGTAGCCAGAAAGCAACATCCTTGTAGCAGGCTGGGTGTTTGGAGAAAGGCTCGAAGCGGGTGATGTGGCCGGCACGGAATTGGGACAGGAAGCGCTCATCACGAGACCAGAAGAGGCGGATATCGGGGATGTTGAAGAGGAGCATGGCAATGCGCTCAATGCCTAGGCCAAAGGCCCAGCCGACACGGTTAGGAACGTCCGAGTTGATCAGGAGGTCTTGCTTGATGACACCGCATCCGAGAATCTCCAGCCAGTCACCTTGCCAGAAAACTTCCAGCTCCCATGAGGGGCTGGTGAAGGGGAAGTATGCCTCCACCCAGCGCACCTTGAGAGGCTCGGGGTCAACGTTACCGCCAGAGCTTGCAGCAGCAGCCTTGCTCCCTTCAGTAAAAACTTTGATAACCATACGCTCCAGCGACCGCTTCAGATGCGCCGCAATAGCCTCAACCTCCTCCTCGCTATGGTGCTCCGCCTGCAACGGGTTGCGCTGAGGGTGAAGCGTTGGGTTGGGGTCTTCGACTGGAACGTCATGGCGCGGGATCAAATGCACGTCCGCATTGATCCTGGCTGCGGTTTCTTTGGAGGCCTCCAGCGGGTTCTGGTCCGGCCGCTTCCACAGCATAGCTCCCTCCATCTGGTGGAAGACCGGGTAGTGGCTCCGGTCAATCGCATCGCGTCGGTAGACATCGGCAATCACGGTATATCCAACTTCCTCGGGGCGAATCTTCTCATTGCGGTTGATTTGCTGGAAATATGCCTGCTGGTGTGCGCTCGTATGGGTGCGCAGCACCGTCTTGTCGTTGATGTAGTAGGTATCGGTGCGACTGCGACCCGGGTGGTCTGGTGGGAAGCCCAGAACATCGAAATTCTGTCGAGTTGTGACGACGGGGTTCTTTTCAAAGTAGTTACCAAACACCGGCGCAGGGAACTGGCTCTCGATGAGCTTGCGTGTGATGGCGAGGGGATGGTTCTCATCGAGGTACAGACGTCGTCCCACATGGGAAAGGATTGTATCAGGAGTATTAGTCCATTGGTCAGTCTGGTAGCTGTCGCCTTCAATTTTAAGAGCTGATCGTGCGTTCGGTGCTTTTTTGGGCTGGCCAGCACTGGAGCTCTGATCAGCGGTCCGTCGAGCCGATGTTGAGCTCCAGTCGCGAGTGACAGCTGGGTGTGTTCGGAGAATGGGGATTCTCGGACGAGCCGCGGAAATGGACCAGCGCCCGCTGCTGGCGCGCAGGGCTCGACCGGTAGCAAATAGCCGCATTGTAGAGGCGAGTCTGGGGTCAATTGAGTCTGGCGGTGCTGGACTGCGGAGGATTCTCAAAACATGTCCGGGGCCGGGGAAATGAGTTCCCGAGGTACAGCCTACTCATACTGGCTATATGGAAGAGAACTGGTAGGCAAGTTGATAACCCGAGGTGTTTGAAATTTGAAATTTATTTTGTTCATGGTGATTTTTCAACAGACAAGGGTTCGAATGAACGCATACTATGCATTTACAGAGATGATGTGCCCTGAATGATATCAGTTAGCCCGAAGTATATATCTCAGGTGAAAATGAGACAACAGTTATCTAACTACCCAAGTGCTTGCTCTTCGTCTTACAACTATAGGTTCAAATTGTATCATATTTCCCTCATACTATCAAATAAGCCTTTATTGATCGGTTATCAAGATAAGATCTTATATTCTCGTCTGATATCGTGATTTGCGACCCCTCCCTCGGTACTCCGACCCTCTTCCCTGTCTTCCCCGACTTCCGCAATTCCACCGAGGATACCCGCCCGCAAACCATATTTTCAGAATAACTTCACCACTTTTAGTAGTCCAAAGACTCAAAGTTCACAGTATGACGAGCCGAATGAGAGTCAATAATTGAGGAATATCTCCTCATCTCTCCTCTCGGTGTCCAGTTTAACCACCGAGTCCGAATGCAAGTCCACGATCTCTCAGGGCTCTGGGTACAAACAGTAGGATGACTAGGATCCATCCGAGGGCGGTATGTTCCTTACAGGCTGAACACTCCACCGGCCACAATCAAAACCGAGACGATGATTGGATTTCACCACCACACCCCATCAAAGCACCGATCGTGATTGGCCACGATGCGCCGTCGGCTGGGGCGGCCGAGCGGCGCTTCGGCGGCCTGATTTGTCTCCGTCGGTATTGGCGATCCAAAATTACGTCAAACTTGGGAAAAAGCCGACCTGCAAAAAAAAAAGAGGGCCAGGCTCTTCTTTTAACGACGCCCCCTCCCCAACTCTCCTCCCCTGTGTCCCCAGACTCGAGACCCTTCGAGATGGCAGACAGCGGCAAGATGTTGGAGGCCCCGGTCGCTCATACGAGAATGGCTCCCGTCTCAACACCCGTGCAGTCCAAGTCCAAGAAGGTGCATTATCCATTCTGGTTTGGAGGTTCGGCCTCATGCTTCGCCGCTGGTGTGACGCACCCTTTAGATTTGGGTATGTTTGCTTTTGAATTGCTCTGATGTGACTCTGAGATTCGAGCATCTGCTAACCTCACTTCGCTCTCACAGTCAAGGTATCTCTAACCTACTCCGATTTAACTCCGAGGCATTCGCCCTCCGACCCTGTTGCTGATCATAGACCCTTGTCGCATACTAGGTCCGGCTACAAACACGCGCACCGGATGCCCCCAAGACAATGGTGGGCACCTTTGGACATATTTTGAGGAATAACGGATTCACTGGATTGTACAATGGTGTATGTTTTGCCAATCGCCGAGTTTCGGGAGTGTCAGGGCCACTCGGCTTTGATGCTCCTTCCCGACTCGGATTTTGCATCTTCTCAAAGAATTGACGATCTGACTATACGTTTGCTCGAATACAGCTCTCCGCCGCCCTCCTACGCCAGATCACCTATTCCACAACAAGATTCGGCATCTACGAAGAGCTCAAATCCCGCTTCGCCAAACCCTCTACCAACTCGTCCTCCTCTACATCACCCGGCTTCCTCACCCTGCTTGGTATTGCCTGCGCCTCGGGCTTGATCGGCGGCTTTGTCGGCAACCCAGCCGATGTGCTCAACGTGCGAATGCAATCAGATGCGGCTTTGCCTCCCGCCCAGCGCCGTAACTACCGCCATGCCTTCCACGGCCTGGTGCAGATGACCAAGACCGAAGGTTTCGCCTCGCTCTTCCGCGGAGTATGGCCGAACTCGACGCGCGCAATTCTCATGACTGCCTCACAATTGACTTCGTACGATATCTTCAAGCGCCTCTGCATTGAGCAGGTGGGCATGGGCGATAATATCGGCACTCACTTCACAGCTTCCTTCCTCGCCGGCTTCGTCGCTACCACCGTCTGCAGCCCCGTGGATGTGATCAAGACCCGTATCATGACTGCATCCCCGGCCGAGAGCCGTGGTCACAGCATCGCGGGCTTGCTGCGGGATATCTGCCGCAAGGAGGGTCTTACTTGGACCTTCCGCGGCTGGGTTCCTAGCTTCATTCGCTTGGGTCCTCACACCATCGCCACCTTCATCTTCCTCGAGGAGCACAAGAAGCTCTACCGGAAATTGAAAGGCATCTAATCTATCTCTCTCAGATGTCAAGCTTGGCATTTCTACACATTTCGTTCATCTATCATTTCGCCCGACCTATTCCCCGTATATATGACTCGAATTTCTTTTTCATTTCTTTATGACTTTGGGCGGAGCAATTTCAAGGGTCATACAAGCATTGTTTTTTGGCTTGTACATATTTTGCATTGTCTTTGGGATTTTTCTTTGAAGAGGGTTGGGATGGTACCTGGCCAAAGCTGCGCGCAGTTCGATGGCTTTGAATGACCAGCGTATCTCATCCGGTCCTGTGTACAGGGGGTGTCGTGGTTGTCGCATTTATTTCCCCATGGAAGACTGATATCATATAGACATAGATACACCCTGAATCGCATGCAGACTATTTCCGCGAGGAACAAACTGGTTTTTGGAACCATAACCGTTTTTTGATGTAATGAATAATATCAAGGGAAACTTTGGCAGATCTCTTCTCGGATATTGGTCCTCGTGGACAGTACTGTCTGACACTTTGGTCAGAATTTCGACTAGGATGTTTGGATAGTGTCTTTCGGTACACTCAAAGATCATCTAATAAAAAGTAAGCTGAGGGTCATCCAGTCTGTTCTGCAGAATCTTAAGGTAAAGCTTTATCCGTGACTGCTTGCAACTCGTGTACTACATGCATGCAGAGATGTATGTGGTGGCTACTCGAACGTCCTACGAAGCGAGGTGCTTTACATCAGAAGCGCGAGTGTCAGCTAATAAAACACGTTTCTCTTTGCAAAACGGCGACTTATAGACACCCCTTCTCCAGTATATCAGATGATCACATCCAGGAAGAAAGGAAATGTATCCCCGTGCGACCAGGTAGAGTACATTGGAAATTTGTCAATACACAGCATTTGAAGAAGCCCAGTCTAACCAACCCAAAAACGGTCGTTGGCTATCTATTTGTCGAGGTGAGCGGGGAAGTTGCCAGCCTCTGTAGGAATCCGAATGTTAGTATACTCGTAAGAGCTTTGCGAAGGATCGTATGATACGTACCGCGCTGAGCGTCCCAGCGGTCGGTCCAGGCCTTGGGGCAGAGAGAGCGGTAGGCGTGGTAGAACTGTAAGATGCGTTAGAGATTGCGATTGACATGTCGATAGGCGCAGGGTTTGATGATACCTGACGGCAGGGGCGGAAGTCCTCGCCCTTGGCGTTGACACACTTGTAGTAGTCGACATAGTTCTGCCAGCAGTGCTTGGTCCTGCAAAGGTGAAATTGGCGTTAGATAGGAAGCGAGCTTGCAATTTTGACGAGAGACGTACTGGTTCTGCTGGGGGAAACGAGCATCATAGCCTGCGATCACGTCGGAAAAATGTTAGTCTGCCCATATCCCAGTCCCGATCGGGAGAGGTCCCTCCGAAACCGTATCTCGAGCGCTGTTTCGTATCACGGGAAAATCGAATATATAGACGTACCAGCTGCGAAAATATTAGCCATTGACTCTGCTGCAGGGCAATTGACCCCAGTTTTCATAGGGGAGAGAGGGGGGGGGTGTTGCGTGGACTTACCAGTAACGAACTTGAAGGGCTTGGTCTCGACGGGCTCATCGGGGTCGACTTCCGGAATGGCACCCATTTTGGCGATGTGTAGCTTCTACCGAAGAACACAAAAAAAAGGAAGATTAAAGGTTTGCGGGGGGCGGATTGGAGAGTGGAGGAGAGGGAGGTAGAAGGAGGGCAAAGAACGGACGTTGGGTGATTCGAAGCTGCTCGTGCCGGGTATGACCGCGGGCGGTCAAGCGAGAGCCACTGAGCGTCTCGCTTTTCCCAAAACACCCGAGCCACTGAGAGCGACGTTCTTGGAAAGCTGCCCGTCAACCTCGTCTTCATCCCACTGCCTCTTCTGCTCCCGCAGCCTTCGATCTTCGAACAACTCCCATCTCAACCGTCGCCATGTACCCCTCCCGTGTCCTGCGCATGCAGCCCTCCCGGGCTTTCTACAGCCCCGCCCCCGTAAGTGACTCCTATCGCCGTCCTCAGTCGGATGGTCATATGATGCCGTCTCGGCTAATGCTAACTCCTGTCTGCAGAAGGAGGCTCACTCCGGTACGACTATCCCCACGACAGCACGACCTATCGTGAACCCTTTGATTCAATCGGTCGATTGGAGGAGTTTTGGAACGGGGCATTGAACTGACCGGTCGCATATAGCCCACACCATCTCTCAGCGCCTGCGCATGATCAAGAAGTGTCCTCCTGAGCTGATCCCTCTCGGTAAGTCTTCTATATTGGGGTTTTACGAGAATCCAGAGGTTTCTAATACATTTTTTGCTATTTAGGTATCGTCCTTGGGTACGTTTCTTTCTGATATCACATGCCCGCCCGATCCCGCGACATATATGCCCGACTTTTCCTTCCTTTCCACCCATGACCTAGTGTCGAGGTCTCGGACCAATTTCCATACTAACAACATTATCTAGCGTTGCCGTCGGTGCTGCCATCTACTCGAGCACCAAGAAGCTCATGACCGACAAGACCCTGCGTCTCTACCGCAACAGCCCCGAGAGCCGCGACCACTAAGTGTACCATCATGTTTATCTGAGCTCCTGAGAATGCGATCACCACCTTTTTAACCTCTTGCCGCATGTATTTGTTTGTGTCGGGTTGATGTTCCGGTAAGACAGTTAGGAGAATCCAAAAAAAATCAAGACGTGCTCGGAACTGGAGCCTGTGTACATAGCCCGGCTTTTTGCGGAGGGGAAACCCTCGAGCGTGTGTTCTCGGCAAAATGTATTGTCATTCGTGGTCTTTCGTTATGATCGTGGCCATCGTAATAGAGTATTTCATTCGGGCTTGGGTCCTGCAACGTCAAGCTGCTCTAGGCCTTGCATCGGATCTTGAGGCCGGTTGCTGGCCTGTCGAGCCTCTTCGGCTGCTTGCCTGTCCTCCTCATCGACAGCATACTTGGCTAGGTACCCCTCCTATAAAAAGACGTACAGTTAGTCATGGTGCGATCATATCAAGAGAGAATATAATATCGCCCCACATACCTGTTCCCAGATGGCAGTCTTGCTTCCCAGTCCCTCGTTGGCATCCTTTTGAGGTTTGGCGGCTGCAACTTTGATAGTGCGACCGTAGATCTCACTTCCATCCATGTTGTCGATAGCTTCCTTGGCATCCTGGGGAAGATCGAATTCGACATACCCAAAGCCGCGGTGGGCGTCGCCAGAGTTGGGTGCATCGGCCTTGGGCAGAGTGATGTCGACGACCTCTCCAAAGGGCACAAATGCCTCTGCTAGTGTTTGTGTTGTCACGGCCTGGTCGAGACCACCCACGTAGACCGTGCTCTTGAGCCTCGTGCTTTCGCTCATGGTGTGTACTGGATTTTGATATTGGAGCTCAGGGATAATTCAGGGATCTGATCAAACACGGGAACTGATTGTTGTCATGCAGAATATTTGCTAAAATTGGTGAAATGGGTAACAAACACTCTGCAGGTGCCGGTTGAACTCGTTATCTCCTTCACTGGTTGCATACCCGCGAAAGAGAACTTGATATCACGTGCGACAAGCCTCGGGGTGGTGTTTTGGCGAGAGCCCAAAAGGGTTTAGCGCGGGTTCCCCGGTCCCTCCAAGTCCAGGAGGCCACTTGGTTTACTGCGGCCAGTCGAGCATCACACCCCCCGTTGTCAATTCTGTACAGGGGTGGGATTTGCATTTACTGCTTATACTGGATCTTTCGTTTGTCTTGGTTTCAATTTTACCACCACAAATTCCCCTCCCCGCTAACATGGTCCGTCTGCGGGAGATCCCAAGGACGGCCACCTTTGCCTGGTCTCCTGGGGCTGCATCACCATTGATTGCTACCGGAACCCGGGCGGGTGCCGTCGACGTTGATTTCTCAAACAAGACATGTCTTGAGCTTTGGGATTTGAGTCTGGAACGTCAAGATGCCAGTGAAGAGCTACAGCCTGTAGTTAAGATCGATACCGACTCTGGGTAAGCTGCTATCCCCGGAGCTCCGTGATGGTTTCTTTATACTGACCTCGAGGACTGATTAGATTCAACGATCTGGCTTGGGCCGATTTCGATGATACCAAGCGGGGCGTCATCGCAGGTGGTTTGGAGAATGGTTCTTTGGATCTGTGGAACGCCGATAAGCTGCTTGCTGGATCTAGGTGGGTGGCATCTCGATACTAATCGTCTAGAGATATGTGGGCTGACCAAGTATAGCGATTCATTGATCTCGAGAACCACGGAACACTCCGGCGCTATCAAAGCCCTCCAATTCAACCCCAAGCACTCCAACCTCCTGGCCACCGGTGGCGCGAAAGGCGAGCTGTTCATTTCCGATCTAAACAATGTCGAGAACCCCTTCCGACTGGGCACAACCACCGCTCGCACAGATGATATTGAATGCTTGGACTGGAACAAGAAGGTCGCACACATCCTGGTGACTGGTAGCAGCGCTGGCTTCGTGACCGTCTGGGATGTCAAGACTAAGAAGGAGAGCCTGACCCTGAACAACATGGGCCGGAAAGCTGTCAGCGCTGTTGCATGGGACCCCGCGAAGGTGATTAACTCTCCCGTGGATCTACCATCTGCATTGTTGCCGTTACTAACCCGTCTCTATAGCCCACCAAGCTGATCACCGCTACCCCTCTCGAGTCAGACCCTCTCATCTATGTCTGGGATCTGCGAAACTCTCATGCCCCCGAGCGTGTAAGTGGCGCGTCCATTCGCGAAGCCCTGCCAATTGAGATACTAATAAATATCTTGTCATAGACCCTCAAGGGCCATGAGTCCGGAGTGCTATCGCTTTCTTGGTGTGACCAGGATCCGGATCTTATGCTCTCGTCTGGTAAGGATAACCGCAACATTTGCTGGAACCCCCAGACCGGCGAGGCATATGGCGAGTTCCCCGTTGTCACCAACTGGACCTTCCAAACCCGCTGGAACCCGCACAACCCCAACTTCTTCGCCACTGCTTCCTTTGATGGTAGAATCTCCATCCAGACCCTGCAGAACACCAAGGACAACTCTCAAGCCATCGCCGACCACAACCAGGCCCTGGACGGTGAGGACTTCTTTGCCAAGGCCCAAATACAGCCTCAAGTTTCCAAGTTCTCTCTTCCCAAGCCTCCTAAGTGGCTTGAGCGTCCCTGTGGTGCCTCGTTCGGCTTTGGCGGCCGCGTTGTCTCCATTGGTCTTTCTGAGAAGGGATCTCGCGCATCCAAGGTTCGAATCACTCCTTTCGAGGTGGACTCAAGTGTCGGCAATGCCACTGAGAGCTTTGAGACTGCTTTGAAGGAGGGTGATCTCCGCAGTCTCTGCGAGACTCGTGCTGCCGGGGCCTCGACCGAAGAGGAGAAGGCCGACTGGAAGGTCTTCCAGGCCTTGCTGTCCGAGAACCCGCGCAAGACCCTCGTGGAGTACCTGGGCTTCCAGGACTCGGCCGACGAAGCTGCTGATAGCTTGTCCAAGCTTGGCCTGGGCAAGAAGGAGGATGAAGAGACCAACGGAGTGGCCGAGAAGCCCAAGTCAAGTGCCAAGAAGCACAAGCGTCTGCAATCAATGTTTGATGCTACCCCCGACAGTGACAACTTCTTGACAGAATTGGCCGCATCGAAGGGTGCCCAGACCAATAACCCATTCCAGATTTTCAATGGCTCCGAAAGCCCGGCAGAGCAGAAGATTACCCGTGCCTTGCTCCTTGGCGAGTTTGAAAAGGCTCTTGATGTGGCCCTTGCTGAGGACCGTATGTCTGATGCCTTCATGATTGCCATCTGCGGTGGCCAGAAGTGTATAGAAAAGGCGCAGGAGTACTACTTCTCCAAGCAAACCGGTGGCCCCAACTACATGCGCCTGCTCGCTTCTATCGTTGGCAAGAACCTCTGGGACGTCGTTCACAACGCCGACCTGTCCAACTGGAAGGAGGTGATGGCTGCCCTTTGCACCTTTGCTGATGAGAAGGAATTCCCTGACCTCTGTGATGCGCTCGGTGACCGCCTTGAGGAGCAGGTTCGCGATTCTGGTGATAAGACTGCCCGCAAGGATGCCTCGTTCTGCTTCCTCGCTGGTTCCAAGCTCGAGAAGGCTGTGTCCATTTGGGTTGAGGAACTCCGTGAGAATGAGCAACGAGGAATTGAGAGTGACACGGATAACTCTACCTTCTCTATCCACGTTCGTGCTCTGCAGGGTCTGATCGAGAAGGTGACCATCTTCCGCCAGGTCACCAATTTCCAGGACGAGGAAAAGAACAAGGACTCCGACTGGCGTCTCAGCACCTTGTACGAGAAGTATATTGAGTATGCCGACGTCGTTGCTACCCATGGACGGCTGCAAGTCGCTCAGAAGTACCTCGACCTTGTGCCTGCGAAGCACCCCGAGGCCGAGGTGGCTCGCAACCGTATCAATCTCGCGATGAGACAGGCCCCGCAGAAAGCGCAGGCCGCTTCCACTGCGAAGAGCTTCAAGCCTCTCCCTCAGCAGCCCAACATCTACCAGCCCCAGCAGACCTTCTCACCAGTGGCCCCCGCCATCGGTGCGCAGACCTCTTATGCGCCACCCACCGCTGCTGTTCCTCCTGCGCAGCCGCCAGCGAACGCATTTGCGCCCCCGACTGCCTCACAATCCCAGCCTGCCAACCCATACGCCTCAATCGGTGGTGCTGCCCGCAGCGGCTACACACCAGCTGGTTACCAGCCAACCCAGGGTATGCAGGCACCTGCCTACGGTCCTCAGTCTACGTTCGGTAACCAATCTGCTGGTACCGGTGTCGTTCCGCCTCCTCCGCGCGCTGGTACCCAGTCGCCAGGTAACACCATCACCACATATACCACCGCTACTGGCCTCGATGCGTGGAATGATCTGCCCGAGGGCTTCGCTAAGAAGGCTCCCACCCCCCGTCGTGGTACACCTGTTGCTGCCGCTACTATCAGCTCTCCGTTCCCTGGCCAGTCTCCTCCTCTTGCTCAAGGTCCACCTCCCCCTGGACCGCCTCAGCGTGCGCCCTCTGTTCCTCCTCCACCCAAGGCCGGTGCTCCTCCTCGCGTGACGTCGCCTCTTGCATCAAGCATGGCCGGACCATCGCCGCCCCCTCCAGTCAACCCTTATGCTTCCCTGCCCCAGTCTCCTCCCACATCGACCATGTCCCCGCCTGCTTCGATCCACCGTGGGCCATCGCCATACAATGCCCCGCCTAGTGTGCCGCCGCCAACAAACCGGTATGCCCCTAACCCGGCTGCCCAGGCCCCTGGACCCCAATTGCAGGCTCGCCCACCGGTTGCACCTCCCCCACAGGGCGGCCCCTCGCCCTATGCTCCCCAGGCGGCAGCACCCCCTCCGGTAGCCAGCCCGTACGCCCCTAGCGGGCCTGCCGTTGCTCAACCTCCCCCCATGGGCTCAGCTGTGCCTCCTCCTCCCCAGAGATCAAGACCCGGCACTGCCCAGTCTCAAAGAGCAGCAGCACCCCCTCCCCCAGCGACACCCAAGTACCGTACGTACCCTTGAAATCTTCATACTATCATTGAACGAACTAACACATTTTATAGCCCCTGGTGACCGCTCCCACATCCCGCCCAACGCAATGCCCGTCTATGAGATCCTCTCGTCAGACATGCAGCGCGTCAAGGCCCGTGCCCCCACGTCTTTCAAGGCCCAGGTTGATGACGCCGAGCGCCGCTTGAACATCCTCTTTGATCATCTGAACAATGAGGACCTGATCAAGCCCAACACCGTCGAGGATCTTGCCAACCTCGCGCGTGCTATCCAGTCCAAGGACTACGAGACTGCTCGTGTGATCCATCTCGACATCATGACCAACCGAACGGAAGAGTGTGGAAACTGGATGGTAGGTGTTCCCTTCTAAATTCCATTTAATCTCTTGCTAACAATTGCAATGCAGGTCGGTGTCAAGCGTCTCATCAGCATGAGCAAGGCTACGCCATGAAGCCCCGTCCAATTTAGATAGAACGGGGCTCATATTGCATAGCCCTTCTCTCAGGACTATGTATGCGTCCCAGAAAGAATGGACAGGAACTTGATATAACGCTTTGTTTTGGTTTTCCCTCATCTTTTTCGTCTTCTTCCTTGTTCATGTTACTATTAATGCCTGTTTCCCGTTGCGTTTTGTGCCCCGGGGGTTTAGTCTGATCAAGTACTTGTGTCATGAAAAAAAATCCCCCCTCTCCACCTTTTTCATTTCCATTGTCCGTGTTTAAAATGGCTTTTCTGGATAGTCGTGCATGATGGGCCAGAGTGAGATAGACGAGACCTGAAATTAACATGAGTAGTAGGTTGATGCATCTTCTCAGTTGAGTAACCGGAGATAAGTACGAGGCTGACAATCGGTGATATACAAATTCCTATTTCCAATTCCAACGCTTCATGTACACTTTATCCAGCCATCAAAATGAAATCGATCTTCAAGTAATCTCAGTCATCACCTCCCAGACGCAGCTACACCACCGGGCAGTCTCCCGCCTCGACTAGCGGGGAAATTCCTAGCACTGAGCAGCGCACCCTTCACACCCCGAATCTCCGCCTTGAAGCCTGCAATAGCGTCCTCCTCGGCCTTGTGCACACCAGACGAGCTGCCGTCTGTCCCGCTGCCGGTGTTTCCAGAGTAGAGACCACCGTAGCCGGCGGTGGTCGTATTGTAACTCGGCGCAGCGTATATTAATCCGTCAAGGTAGTGGTGGAGATCTGTGAGACGAGTGCGCATAGAGTCATCCAGGGTACTAGAGTCCTTCTCGAACTCGTTGATTTCTTTCAATGAGGATTGAATAGACTCTAGGCGGGTTAGGTGTTTGTTGACTGCGACGGTGGGCGCATCCGCAGCCGTCTCTGCTGGGTCCTTTGAAGACGAAGACCGCGAGGTTGTCGACACGTCGGGAGTAGTCTGGGTACCGATGTCTCGGTGGAAGAGCTCTGTCGGGTCTGAGATGATAGAATCGGTGTCGCTTGAGTCTTCGTCTCCCTCCTCGGTTCCCTTGTTCTTCCGCGCGGTGAGATGGGCGGGTATAACGGAGACATTCTGTTCGAGCTTCTCGTTTAGCTTTTGCAGGTTCTCCTTTGCGGTGCTGGCGAGATCGAGGCGTGCGCTGGTGAGATTTGCTAGCATTGGCTTGACGAGGTATTCGCTGGCGCCGTAGATGCTGGCGCCGAGGCCTGCGGCACCATAGATTGTGTATAGGACTCGGCTCATGGTCACCAGTGGAGGTGGCTTGGCCGGCTGGAAGAGGAATTCCGGGTAGGTGATGATTGGGGGCACGTCGCGTGCTGTGGTGGAGGAGGTTGTGGAGGTGGCGGGGGTTGAGCGTGGCTGCGACATTGTGGTAGAAGAGGGTGAGGTAGACGCAGTGATCGAGGGCGATTCAGACTGGTTAGATGAGGAGGAGGATGAAGATGTTTCTTGTTGCTCAGGTTCGGCCGCGGTCAAGTCGGCGCTGCTCGCCTCCGGGTTTCGGGAGACGCCGAGGAGTTGTTGGATCTCGTCAGAAGTCAGGCCTTTCGACTCAAGGAAGGAAACTTTGCGATCTGTCGATGCATCGCGGATTGATTCGTCCTCTAGGAACTTGGATGCTTGGTCAATGAGATCTTGTCGTGAGGCGGATGCAGGCGCATCGTCGGGGCTCGGCGATTGTGACGATGAGGACCGCTCGGTTGGAGCAGAGCCAGGTTGCCGCTGCCACGGGGGGATGGACGGTGGCTTTGATGAAGGATCAGACATTGTGTCTGTTATCTGGCTATGAGAGTCAGAAATGGAAGAAGAGGGTAGGTTGGATTGAAAGGCGTTGGAGGAGTTGGAATAGGAAGAGGGCCTTCCCCGGACTTGGGGCAGCTGAGAGTTGGGGCCATGTGAGCCCGACCTCGGCTGTCGCACCGACTCGGCTGGCTCCGTCTGTAAGTGACCGAGTCACGACGGAGAACACATATACCGGCAGTAGAGGATAATCTCATGCTAGATACTGAAACTACATATCTACGGGTATCTCAAAATCATTCAATATTTGACTCTTTTTTGGTAGTCTGGTATCAACCATTCTAATATGATCGCAAAACCAAGATAAGACTAGAGGCTTAGATCAGATGACCTTTTAGTTATCCCAGGTAAAAACTAGGCACTAAGGTATATAAGCACCAATCTGACCTTCAAGCTTGTTTCTATCTTGAATGATACCCACTAGATCTAATATAATCGATCCGTCTAGTCTAGACTAATACTTCAGGTGTTACTGAAGGTTGAGACGAGCATACACTGGTGGTGACCGCCCGGCAGAATGGCGGTGATTACTTCATTCGCTCGTTCAGCGTCAGCGACAGGATCGTTGAAGAATGGCAACTTGAAAGGGAAATAAGGAAAAAGTACAAGTAAGTCCCCTCAATTGATCTTGTTGCATCTGTCCTTTTGTCCTCCCCCGCATTCATGCATCTGGATCCCCCTTTTCCTTATCCCAGTTCGTCCGAGAAATCGGGGAACACGGCAGCCAGGAGGAGACCATTCGAGATCCCTGGAGCTGGGGGCGCTTTGTTCGTGGAAATCTCCAACGTGGCGCCTGAGACAGCCCAAGGCCATGCACCTTCCCGGTTTGCTCAGCTCAGCTGTCATTCGGACGTATTGGGACAGACTTCGTGCTTCTTTCTTCAATGACCCGGCCCCCCTCCTCCTGGCTCCCACCAAGCCAAAACAAGCACCGGAGGCTTCTCCCCTGTACTGCCACTCACTCTACTGGCCTCCCCGCTTTCTCGTGGACGGCTGAATTCATTGCACCCTCTCCAATCAATCTGAGCATCATCATCCACCATGGAACTTCGTCGCTCTCGTCGCCCGCGTGCATCTCTGGAGGAACCCCCAGATATCGAAGCTAACATGGGCACCAGATCTACAAGAATCACTCGTGCTTCTGCCGCTGCACCTTCAGCATCAGTGACAGTCTCCCGATCTTCTGAGGACCCACCTGGAGAGGCTACCAGAACTCTCCGTCTTACTGTAAAAATGCCCGCTGGAAAGTTGCGCGAGGCCACAGGTGGCCGTGCCGCTCGCCGCACTGTCAATGTCTTCCAAGAGAATCCCATCGTGATAGGGCCGCGAACTAGTCGCAATAAGAGGAAGATTGTCGAAGTCCCCACATCTGATGATGATGATGACGACGACGACGACCTTGAAGACCAAGAAGAAGACGAGGTCGATGACGAGGATGCTCCTGGAGAAGATGATGACGAGGACGCCGATGCCGACGGTGACATCGACATGGATGATGTCCCCCCTCAGCCGCCGGTGAGGCGAGCCACGAAAGCAGCCGCCCCTCGTGGAAAGGCCGCTAAAAGCGTCGAGGCGAAGGAGATGGAGTTAGACGAGGAAGAGGAAGAGGAGGATGAGGTCGACGAGGACGAAGACGATGAGGCTTTGTCTGACACTGACACCGATGCTGAGGGTGAAATCGACGACCAAGAAGAGAGTGCCATTCCAGATGTCAATGTTGATGACCTTGATGAGGAGGATGAGGAAGATGAGCTGGATGAAGACATGGAGGACAGCGATGCGATGGCCTTGAACAGTGGCAAAACTACCAAGCGCCAACGCGGCAACCTTGGTAACGATTTCCTACAACTTCCTATGGGTAAGTATTCCAATGTCAAAAACCTCCTTGTTAAAGAGCCACCTGGAGCTAACAAGGACACAGAACCTCAAGTGAAGAAGCACCTTACAGCCGAGGAGCGTGCCATGCGTCGAGCCGAAATGGCCCGCCGACGTAAGAACCTGAGTGAGAAGCGCAATGAGGAGGAAAAGGTAAGATCGATTCTCTATCCTCTATCATTAAGAACTAGCTCGCTAGTCAAGGACTGGGTCGCTTGTTGAAAAGCCGTTACTGACTCAAAGCAGATGGACACCATCAACCGCCTTTTGAACAAACAGCCGCCCAAGCGCCGTGGAAGACAAGCCGCTGCCGATGGCGCCGAGGCCACGCCCGCGGATCAAGAACCTGCCGAGCCCGAGAAGGCCGATCCAACTATGGTCCGCTGGATCAGCAATAAAACTGGCTGCAGGGTCAATGTGCCCGAGGAGTGGCTCGGTACCCCTGCTGGCCGGCTATTTGGTGCACCCATCGCTTCTGGAAATGGCAAAATGGTGGAGGAGATCTAATGCTGCACTTATGGGAGATTGGAAGGGAACTGGGCGTATTGGAAATCATCTACAACGGGGTACTTGGGAATTGGGTTACATCCCTTGAAGAGAGCTGGCCATATCCGGCTCCTTTGTTATAGCCCTGGAAGGCATGGCGTTAAGGATCGTGTTCATCGAGATAAAAATACATTCACATCTTACAACATTCATGGTCACAGTACTTTACATTATATACAACCGCGAGAGCGTTTCTGAGGACTTTCCAGTTCACTTGCCGTGATTAAGCTCACCGAGTTTCGACAAAGCTCGAATACTCAAATTCCCAGTCAGAACAAGCAGTCGCTTGCTGTTCCGGCAGACCGCATCTGTGCCAACTGAACACAGCGCAGGACGATGGCCATCGGGAGGGTGGGTAGGCCTCTATCGTTGAACCCAATGGTACCGGAGATGTGGCATCCAAAGCCTGGATACAAAAAAATGTAAATCTCCCCTGAGAGTAACGCCCGACATCATCTTTATTCTCGGCTCGTCAAGTGTGGCTAACATCTCGTAGGAGCTCACTTGCTGCCCTGAGCCTCGGCCTTTGAGCCTTCGGTAGCGGTATTGGCAGGCGCATTAGTCTCCTTCTGAGGAATACCGGGAGACTGTTGCTGCTGAGGAAATTGATCCTTTTCGACCGCCATCTGTTGGAAAGTAGGCTGGAAGGTGTAGTAGCCTGCGGAGAAATTTGGAGTCAGAGTCAGTTGCTGTGAAAGCAATTGAAGGCGGAGGTAACAGGAGATAATAATTACCAGTAAAGACACCGATACCAATAGCCATGACCACAGGGAAGAAATTGCGACTCATAGCGACAGGCCAAACAAGAGGTAGAATGCCAGATGGAAGTGCTGTTGGGGAGTTGAAGGTGGACTCGGAGATGCTGCGGGAATGGGATGGGCCCGCGGGTTGTTATCGTCCACTGATTAACTGATTAACGATTAACGCCGATTAGAGGCGCGTCCACCCCAAGTTAATCTCTTATCGACGCGTCAAGCACTCCCTGCACGCCAACATCCAAAATTAAGGCCCCGCTGGCCAGTTCAATTCGTTTGCTACTCGTGTCTTTTGTCTCGAGAAATTTATTGCGCGCGTTCCATTGTCTAGCGACGTGACTCGATGACTCCATAGAGACATGGGACATCCCCGCCGAGGATGCAAATGGAACCATGGCGGAAACGAGGGTTTGTCCCAGACTCAGACGAAGAAGATGGTTTCGATTCCCTTGATACGAGCGAACAGGCGGATGAAGATGCGAACGACGAGGTCGACCTCAATTATATCCCCCTCCCTACTGCGACGACGTCGAACCTCGAGCAACGTCCTGCAAATGCCGAAGATTCAGAGCTGCGGGATGCGATAGAACCCTCGGAGGAGCATAATGGCGGTGAATTAGTTGAAGGCTCTCAGGAGCTGGTGGATTTGGTTTCGACGCCTGCCGCCAAGACAGGGCTAGCTGTTAAGCAGAGACCAGAGCCAACGAGTGCGGCAAAGGAATCTCCAGCAGAAGCACCTCCGCCAGCTGTTTCATTGGATGAACAGCTAGTGAAGCCACAACGGGCACCTAGGACGTATGGGAAACGACACTCAGCAACGAAAACGCCTGATGGAAAAGCCAACGAACCCTGCGCCTTGCTGGCAGAGCTTAACGATGATATATGGGATATTCCTAGTTCGCCAGTGACGCAAGTCAAGCCTGTCCGGAAAACAAAAATCCAAGAAGCTACCCCAAAGCCATCTATACCCGCACCAGCTCTACAGGTTCAAATACCTCGAGGATTTGAGGCCGTGAACGGCCATCCGTCTAGTGATATAGGGAGATCGGGAAGTTCTTCCCCGGATGAGCTCGCCTTTATCCTACCACCGCCGCCAATGACATCTACTGCGACCAAGCAGGCCAATAATGTACACACGGGAGACATTGCACCAGAAGAAATGTCAGATAATGACTCTCCCTTGTCATCGCCCCCGTCGTCGCTTCACTCGCCACCTCCGGATGCCGACGAAATTGAGACGGAGACAACGTCAGCAATACCCCCATCAGAGAGTCTGAATCCAATTGTCCCGGATCTCGACATCCCTCAGGAACTTCTGACGGAATTCGCTCAACCAGTGCGGAGATCCTTTCGCGAGCGTAATGCGATTCAATTGCATCCATATGCCCTGGAGATGGCCAAGTATCAGAGGCTGATGCAAGAACGAGGCATTCGCCCGGTGCGAATGGCTATGCCGGCAGAAAAGAGCAAGCAAGATGAGAGAACGGATGAAAGCCAGGAACAAGATGATTTCAACCCTAACACACTTCGCTCGAGTCCTCCCCTAGAGGAATTTCTTCCTCCGGTTAGGTCTGCGCGGCGGTCTGAAGGTGATTCAACTCGGCAGCCAACTCGGCAGCGTGTTCATCAACCCTCTCCCATCCACCGGGTGCATTCACAAAAGCGGAGAAAGAAATCATATTCTGGCCATTGGCGTGAACGATCGCTCGAAAGCCGTGGCAGACCCCAAGTTGTCATCAACGTCAATACTACGCCAAATAATCGGCAGGATCTGTCTATATTTGACATATCGTCCAGTCCGCCGCACTCGAGGAGTGTATCATCAACTTCAAGAACGCCACGAGCATCAGAGAGCATGCGATTTTTGTTCGAATTCACACCACCTCCGACTACAACCCCGGGTGGTGATTCAAAAACGGCGACACCCGGGATAGATGAAGCCGGTGGGAAGGATTTGGACCACCCAGACGCAATCATTGAGATCGATGATGACTCAGAATCGCAAGGATCTCGACAACCATCCGCGGAGCCCGAGGCAGGTGTAGAGGATCGTCATATTCGGGAATTGCAACGAAGGACTCGGGGTGTTCTTCCTGCATCCTGGGTTCGGCTGAATGCCGAGCAATCCGAAAAGCAAAAGGCCAACCAGAACAATCGACATGCTCTAGCGAGGATAGACGGGAAAGGCGTTGCCAAGAAGATAACTCGAAAACCTGAGAAGCCAGGGAGAGCGAATCCAGGTCCGAGTCGAGTTTTGTTTGATTTTGCAGACTTTGACGAGAGCGAGGATGATGATGATCAACGCACCAATATCTCCGTCTCTGCCAGCACCAATGCCCAGGAAAGACAGGCAGGGAGGTTGGAATTAGAGGATGCATTCGACCGAGATGGAGACGCTATGGAGGATAATCGTATTGACTACATGCTTGCAACGACCTCTCGCAAATCATCCGGTCCCCGTGAGAGGCAAAAGGAACTGAAACGAGTGAAATCGAAGGAAAGCTCAGGTCAAACCGAACGTCGCTTGAAGAAGGCTCGCTTGCAAAGACAAACCAGACTCACGGACTCTTCCTATGGAGGACGTCGAACGAAGCAGACTTCATCAAGGTCAGCACCACGGTTGGGTATCTTGGATGCTCCAGACGTGGCTGCTAGGCCTCGGAAAGAACAGCCACAGTTCTTGCGAATCGCTGCAAGAGGAGCTCGATCACGTCAAGATCAGGGTCGCCAAAGCCCGACTCGGAAGTTCGTGCAGCTGAGCTCGAGATTGGACACGGCAGAGGCAAATCAGTCTTTGCGTGACTGGAAAAGAGGAGCAATACCTCGGGCCAGGACCACACGAACTCCGTCAAAGCCTCGCAAGCGCCAGACGCTGACAGCTCTTTCATCTGGCAGTCGTCGTGCTGCCCCTGTTGTCCGGAACCCGCGTATCACCAACCATTTCGCTGCTACCGAGATTGAGACTATCTCAAACCATGACGATCAACCTGTGCCTGTATCGGCGCCGGCCAGGGATTCCTCGGTTCCTATTGAAATCGCAGCCCCTCCAAGCGCAGTTATTGACCCTGCACCGGCTGCACAGTCAGAGCGACGCGGTCATCAATGGATCGTGCAAAGGAACATGCCAATAACATCATTACGGCGAAATGATCCCCGACCCGCTCCAACAAGCCTTGCAGCGCCTCAGGGGAACCAGTCAGCTTCAAAGGACATTTTCCGTCGGTCTTTGACTTTGCTCAATCGAAGCTACCGACATGAACATTCGTCCAAGACTTTCAAGCCTAGTCTGACGCTTGATCGGTACATTTCAGAGAAAGGCGCGGCAGCTTCTCAAGCTCTCTCGGGACCGTCTCTGGCGGCTATCGAGACAAGAGCATCAGATGCTAAATCTCAATCTGCTCGTCGCCGTATGAAGAAACACCGACCAACTCGCATCAATCTTGAATCGGACGAGTTTGTGCAGAATCAAGATCCAATCACAGCGATTTCTGATGACTCGGACTCCCCAACTATCACTCATTCTGCTCCTGCTCAGACATCATCCTTCAGCCTGGGTGGCATGTTCAATTGGCAACGCTCATATTCGATTGACTTCGGGATACTGCCTTTACGTGACGGTACCTTTTTCCACGAGTCTACCTTGATAGGCAGTGGGGATTTCTCTCGCTCACTACATGTTACAAAGCGAGACCTGGACAAGGAGGCGGGCTTCTCATCAATAGCTGTGAAAGATCGGATGCTACAGTGGGGAGCATGGAACGAAAGGGTTTCCTCGGAACTGGGGTCTGTCTTCGGGATGATACTGGAAGATGTTGACAAGAGCGCGTCGTCATCACTGGCTGCTAATGCAGGACCAGGCCTGATGGCTGCATTTCATGCATACCGGTCGGTAGTCACCTATGTGACGGATCATCTTTCATTCACCGACCCAGTTGATCGGACAAGCTTCATTGCGCGAGCTATGGGATTAGTCTTCTCACTGAGGGATCCTCTGGCTGCTTTTATCGCTGGGACCGAATACAACAGGACTGGTCTCGTGCGAATCGCGTGCTACAACCTGCTCTTTGCAAATCAGATTCGTCAAATTTCCTCTCACAACCTCGCTGGAGGTGTGCTTACCGAGGACGCTTTGAATCTTGTCAATATATGTGCCACGGATACCATCGCATTGATTGAGTCTGATACGGGGATGGCCGAGATTCGACGCCTGTTCGAGGAGAACAAGAAGCCAGAACAGCGAGAAACTGGCCTTCGCGAACAATTCCCTACAGCAGAAGCTTATGTCATTATTGAGACACTATTTCGCAGCTCGGACATGTTGGAGGGGATATTCAATGATCTTCAAGTCGATGCATGCACCAAGAGTATTGCTCGCAATGACAGGGATGTTGCTCGCATCGAGACAAGATGGCGTCAGCTGTTCTCACTTCTCCCCTTCCATGATATCGACAATCATGGCATTGCCCGTCGAGAGACCCGGTTCAAAGCTGTGCATGATAATTGGCCGCTCGTCAAAAAGCTTTTGTCTCCCGCACTAGACAACTACGGCGACAACTCTAGGACCCAGCCCATTTCATACAATGTGTACTGCCGAGCGCTCTTCCAAAGATGTCATCGATTGATCAATGCCTGGGGGTGGAGAGAATGCAGACCTATTCTCGACACTCTATATGACTTCTTTGCGCAGAACACCCTGAATAACTTGAAGCTCGAGGAGAGCCGTGGGTCTCCTTCGTTCCTCGATGAGCTCGATCAAAGCCCGTCCTTGGAGTTGCAACCGGGGGAGCCATGCTTTCATACACTGCTGAAGATCATTGCAAGCGGTCTGCGCTTTTTATCCGAGCGATACAATGATAAGAAGGTCCGGAACTTTGCATGGCGACTGTTGCCAAATCATGGCCGCGTCTATCCGAAAGAGAAGCCTCTACTTCGTGAAGATCTCGATGCCTTGAGGAATCATCATGACCTCCTCTGTACGTTGTACTGGGTTATTCCTCCCGGATTGCGGTTTCGAGTTGAGATCATCCGAGATCTGGTCCATCCAGCCAGGTCGCACAATGAGACGTGTAGCATCAATCTCCGCGCATGGACAAGACTGGTTCGTTTCAAGCTGTCAACAGACGAGGACATGTCGGAGTTAGAGCCGTTTGCCAACTGGCACAGCTTTTTCGTAAGTGAGCTTCGACATCAGCACGCTCATGCTCGAAAGGAAATTGAAGCACAGAGCAAGAATGGCGAACAAGTCTCTCAACATCTCATTGAAAGCACTATCGCTCAGAACCAGCGACCGATCGAGAATCTGTTGTCCATGGCACTGAATGGCATGCAGACTGCTGTGGAGCGAGCACCATCGATTGAGCATGCACTACGCCTCATCTCGATGACGCCTTTCGAGCCTCTGCTCGGGCTTTTCAACCCAAAGCTAGCGCGAGTGAATGTGGTCGTTTCTGATGCGTTGCAGGTGATTGAGGCTTATGTTCAGAAGGATCCTGCTATTGCATCAGGTGCTGCTGCGCAGAGAGCAATCCCCGCGGCTGTTGTATCAACGGAGGATGATAGTCAGGAATTCGAGGATGTTGACTGGGATGAAAGCCTCGATAACGCCATGGTACAGCCAGAACCTCCAAGCGAAGGCGTCCAGCATGTTGAGCAAGTCCTTCATCCTGTCGTTTCCCGTCTGCTTTCCAATTGTTTCGGCGAGGACCACTGTCCCGAAGACGCTATTCTCACTAGCGTTGTGGATTGCTGGACGTCGGTTGCCCAGATTATGGTCTTCCACAAGCTGAGACAGTGGGACAATTACTTGGATCCTGTCAGCGTTGAGTCCTGGGCTAGTCTCCGGGAGACGGTGCAGACTCGGAAATTCACACCGCGTTTCCTGGCAGGGTGTATCGAGAAAGACGGCCGCATTCTCTCCGACAGTCGAGTCCTTGTCATGGGTATCTGGATTTCTTCCCTGGTGGAGCGGTCTTCGATGTTGAAGTTCCAACATCGTCTCACGGAGGCGCTGCTGAATGGGAGTCCCCATGACCCGTTGCTGCAGAATCTTCCTTTTACCAAGGACAAAAAGAGTGAGCGGTACACGATTACGCTGGAAGAATTCAGCCAGCGACGGATTTCTCTCCTCTCGAGCATCTTGTCAAACATGCGCGAGCATGTACTGAGCCTCGAAGCCTTGGACAGCCCAGACTTGAACGTCACCAAACAAGATTACTCCGAGATGCTTCAGAGACTGATGACCGCGATGCGAAGTAATTATCAAGAACTCGGCAACGGAGCTGTTAAATCTGCCCAAGGCGCATATGTCGACTTTGTGCACCGCATCATCAGGTTCTTGCAAGAACTTACCAGCGATATCCGGCCTGTGGACCCCTTCTTCACAGACCCGGCTGTATTTCCCCTGCCATCCTCGGACCCACGCTACATTGTTGCAAAATTGAAGCGTTACGAGCCCAAGTTGTCCTCCAGCAAGGAAATGCAGGCCTTGACCATGTTCATCCAGAGTATTGTCGAGAGAGCGACTATGGATGGTCAGCATGATCATCTAGTCAGTCAGCTACACTCGGCTATGAAGGATAGCTATGAGTCGGGATTGCTCAATAAACCAACGCTTCGAGCTGTTCTTCTACAATGTGTGTTCCCAGCATACATTGAGCTCGCTTTCAGCAATTCGACTGCTTGGTTGCTTTGTTTGCCTATCATTAAGAGCATCTCGCTCGTGTTCAATGACTTGTTGTTCAACTTGAACACGATGGATTCTTCTTGCGTGTCCTCCGTCTTGCGAATTTTCGAAGCTGTTTTCCAATCAGCCCATCAAGCACTCCGCCCTCTCTCCAATCGACCAGCCCGACTCAAAGACCCTGTTGTCTTGATCATGCTCACTGCATTCGTCGATATGATATCCTCATCTCTCGTCGTGGTAGACTACATCGACCGTGTAACCGATGTCGCAGAGGGTGTGCTCTCATACATCGAGTGGTTCCGGGAATTCTTCAGAGCGGTGTCCACATTACAAGCGTCGGATACAGCTGTTGCCATTTTGACTGTGTCGCATGCGGGTGGTTCCACCAATGATTTACCTCCCCAGCTGGCCACTGCTCGGCGCCTTGCCTTCGAGGATCATCAATCCTGTCTCAGGAACTGGTCCTTCCATGATGGCAGATACTATTACACTCGCCCTGGACACGACTCAAAGCTCATCACGACGGAGCCCGAGGTCACTGCCATGATCGAGAACTCGGATATCACGAGACTGGAGTTTGAGGATGCTGTCTCGGACTTTGTGGACAGGGTCGAACGGTTCAATATGCTCCAAGAGTGAGAAGGAATGATGTGTGACTGGTGTGGATGAAGGCTATATAATCCATTTCGTTTGAGACTATATGATCTCACTTTGTTGCATGTTTAGCATTGGCGTTTGGTGATGATTATGAATTTGGATCGGTGATAAGAAGATATTATGAGCCCGAATGCATTGTATTTGCATAGTATGTTACCATTTAAGAATACACTAAATTCCATCAAGGTTCGTCAAGACCTGCTTGTATGAGGCTATAAGTAGGATCCCTCGAATATTAGATACTTGTGAGAGACATGCATAAATTATGACATAGCCGCGTGAGGAATAGGGTCATGAGAGTATTTGGATAAGAGATGTAGAAACAACCCGCCCGCCCAGATCATGAGGAAATGAGTAACAGGTGCGCGAAGACTCGAGAAACTGGAACTGAAACCACCCAGAAAACCCACGCCGAATGCATTACGTAAAAGGACCAGACATAGAATTAGCGCGAAAAAATGAAGGCACAAAAGAGACCCCTCTGTCGTAACTCGTTAATCGCATTCCTGCGGTACAGGAATTTTCGTCCAGTAGAGAACGGGTTTAAGCGGCAGTGCCGTTGGCACCGTTTCCGGCGCCGGCATCCTGGCTAGTTGATCCACGGCGATGGAATGGATGCGCGCCCATATGGAACACCTTGCGCATAGCGTTGGTGATACTGTTCTTTCGCCTTGACTGTGGAGCTCCGTCTGCAGGAGAATCGGCAGCCTTTTTCGGAACAGAGGCGTCATCTTGGAGAACGATGGATGAGACAGCTGGCTTCGGGGGCCACTGTCCATCTGCCTTCCATCCTTGAACCATTGCCTTGGTCAAGTCGGCCAGATTGACGGGGATGGTGGGGGTCATACCCTGTACGACGACTTTGGTGTAGATGGAAGGGTAGATTGAAGGAGTGATTGTTGCGCGGACGGGGTTGGCAGATGAAATAAACGGAGGCGCAACGGGAATAAGAGGCTCGTCGAGCTCTTCTTCCTCTTCACAGTCCGACTCTTCACCCGAGTCCTTATCATCAATTTCAGCAGTGTTGATGCGCGGAGTATAGCCGATGGTCTGATCCGGCTCGGTGATGCAGGTTTCTGTGGACTCCTTGCGCTTGGTCTCCTCGTCGGGCGCGGTTGATTGTTCTTCATCTTGGTCTTGACGGCGCAGTTGCTCTTCAACCTTCTCCTTCTCTGTAATAGAAAGACATGACTCTGCTTTGTTTGCAAGCATACTGGTGTCACCAGTCTCACCGTGGGCCCGGGCGTCCGTGGGCGGGGGAATCCCCGCACCACCGTCCTCTGCGGCGTTCACGCCCTTCACATCAGACGACCCGTTTGTCTGATCTTGCATAGCAGCAAGCTTGCGCTTCTGTTCTTTTGCGCGAATCTGGCGCTGTGTCCTTGCCCCAGACCATGCGTCCCGTCTAGCCATGAACATTCGCAACCCCTCGTTCCAAGCCATCTCATCTTCTATCTGCCGCCGGCGCTGGCGCCGTCTGTCAATCGCAGGGTCCCCTGAAGCCCTCCCTGGCGATTGCGAGTCCGAGTCACTATCAGACGATTGCGGCTCAAGCTCTGAGCCTGCGCTATCGAATTCTCGACATCGCCATTCAACAACCTGACGACCCTCGCAAAGAGTTCCGTCGGTGAGAGTGGAGGAGGTCGAGGGGCCAGGACGTTTCCCATCAGCGTATAAAGTAGAGTCGAACTCCCAGTCATTTCGCACGACTTGGCGAACGAAGATCTTGGCCTCTCGAATGGCCTCGTCGCGATTTTCGAGTGACATGATTCCGACAGTGGGGGTGGTGGGGCCCTTTCTTTCTTGTTCTCGTCTCGTTGGAAGGTAGTTGGATTCGCGTGTGAACAGGACAGGAGGGGAAGAGTAGAAGATATAGACAGCTCTCACTACCCCGGCACTGGAGTCCGCTCCCTCGATCGTCCCGTTGGGTTGGAAAAGGAAAAGAGCTCTTCTTAGTGGCGGGTGGAGCGGAGTGCGATGTCATCGGGGGCACGTGCCTTCACCCAAGGGTTCGTGCCCTTTGGCCAAAGTGACCCTTAATTAAGAAATGAGCTTATTAGATGGAGAAAATCCGAGATGAGGGATATTTTCCTCGACAGCTGTTTTAGAGTCTCTACCACTGATTTCCTCGAGTACGTGGGGATATACTATCTTCCATATAATATCTGGACATCATAGATCTGACATCCCCATCTGGATCTATATCAGTGGAGACATTCACGCGATCGCATCTATTGAGTTATGCAACATAATGTAGCTTTTTGCAGTCTACGAAAGCTAGTCTTTGAAATTCCACAAACATATCCAACTTTATCAGTCACCCTTGTAGCGTATACTATGATCTTGTTCGTCTCTACGTCATCAATACAACACAACATCTATGCTGGGATATTTCTCCGTCGACTGGAGGCAACATACAACTCTGAGATGCCTCGAAATGATTTCATTTGTTTCTATCAAACACAATCTTGTGAGTAGATACAAAACATCCGGCTGAAAGGGAGCTATCGTCCCAGACATGGTATGATTGCGCGATCACACGATCACTTATCTTCGGATAAGGTGGTCGATGTAGACGATGAATTCATAGTTTGATTGGAGGATCACAGACACGGAAATTATACTTCTCATGCTGTGCCACAAGACAATCAAGGTGACACCAATGCTATGTCCCTGCGTGGACATAGCAGCGTATTCCCAACTAGGGTTTTGAAATCGCCTGGTTGAATCAGGGATATGCAATCTTAGTAGGACCTCGAGACAGAACAATGTATGAATGTAGTCGGCTTGTACCTAGTAGATGATATAGAGGAGAAAAGAAAAAAAGTGTCAAAAAGAATGACAGTAGACCAGTAACGTAGAGTTCACAGAGCACCAAAACACCAGCCCTCATGTCATATTTACTGTTGCGGATATTGTTACATGTCTATCGTATCACTAATATTACAAAAATAAAAGAAAACTCCCCAATACCAGAGTCCTGTCACTGAAAATCCCAGATCAAATCAATCATTTCCGGACGCGCGCGGTATCAGCGGTGGTCTCTTGGGTTGAGGGAGCAATGAAGCCCCACCCAGGACTCTTCTGACGCCGACCCTTGCGATCACCATATTGTTCGTCGAATTTCCTAATGGCAGACAGAGAAGACATGTCCTCACTGATCGAAGCACTGATCTCTTCCATTCCGCGCTCAAAGTGGGCGCGAGTCAGGATGCGACGGACCGGGTACTCATAAGGCTCCTCGCCCTGGTGCTGGACCGCGGCTTGGTTTTCCTCACGTACACACGCCAATGCAGCAGCGACGGACAAGTTCTTCAGATCGGAGCCGGAGTATAGTGGGGTCCGCTTGGCCAGCTCGGCCAGATCGACGGCGGGGTCGAGTTGTTCGCCCTTGAGGTGGATCTTCAAAATGGCCAGCCGGTCTTCCTCAGTTGGAAGGTCCACGAGCAGTCTGCGGGGAAGACGGCGCAGGACGGCGTCGTCCAGGTCAAAGGGTCGATTGGTGGCTACCATGATGAAGGCAGACATGTCGTTCATTCCGTCCCATTCACGCAGGAACTGATTGATGAGTTCGCGGTGAGAAGTACGGTTGCTTGCACCTGTGCGCGAGCAGAAGATTGCGTCCGCCTCGTCGATGAACACAACGCATGGGCTTAGCTTCTTCGCTAATGTGAAGATGGCCTTCACATTCTTCTCGCCTTCGCCAACGTACATGTCGTATACTTCGGAGCCGCTCACCTCGAGCACAGTCGCGCCACTCTCGCGCGCAACAGCCTTCGCCAGGAGTGTCTTACCGGTGCCGGGAGGTCCGTAAAGCAGGAGACCGGGGATCTTGTCGGTAGCCAAGACACCATACGTGAACGCCTCGGGGCGAATGAGAGATAGTGATGTTAAGGTCTTGAGAGCGTCGATGGTCTCGGGTGGAACATGCACGTCCGCGAATGTGGTGCGGAGACTCTTTGCATCCACGACGCCGTTGAGCAATTTCTTCTCATGGGAGTTACAAGTCTTCCGTAGAGAGGCAAGCAGCTGCTCTCGGCTCTGCCCACGACTAGAATCGGTTTGCTTAGATGACTTGCCCTGCAACCAATCGCTTGTGACTCGATCTCCTCGATCCATGAGTTCAATTCCACGTCTGATGTGTTCAAAGCTGAGATGCTCATTGGGCTCCGCACTACCAAGTGCAAGAGTTGCAACCCAGTGCACCTGGTTATAAGACCAGAATCGATCTCTAATGCCGGATTGCTTGATAGTAAGCGCATCTAGCGGCCAACCCCGGTCACCAAAGATGTCATCCTTCACGGTGGACGATGTTTCATTGACACGGAAGCGCAGCATGTTCTGGAGATGGCGGATGTTGATATCCATCGTCCGGTTCTTTTGGTCCTCCGCGAATGTTTTTTCAACGGCCTTGGACTCCATCGCTGGTGTGATGACAAGTGTTTTGGAGAAGTTGTCATCAAAGACATTTTGCAATATCCTTGAGCCGTCTTGTGAAGGGGAATGATGAAGGTCCTGGGATGTACTACCGACGAGCAGTACCCTTGACCCTGCGCGTCGTCGATCTTGAATGACCTTTTGCAGTAGGGAAATCACCCTAGAGCCCTCTCTCGAGCTCTGGATATCGCGATAATCTTGTACATGAACGATGGTATCGCGCGACAAGACAGACTTACTCGCGTCCGTCTCCGGCGCAGAAGGCTCTTCCGAATCCTTAGGGACTGGCTGGGCTGATTGTGTTGACTGAACGGCTGAGGAAAGCACCTCGTTGAGAAGGCGAACCCATCGTGTCTCCAGACGCTGGCCAGAGCCTCGCATCATGCTTGGTTCCTGGTCCTGGCCGTTGATAGATGCCACGAGCGACTTCAACCCTAGCCAGTTTGGCAGCGGAATATCACCTGAATCTCTGCTGGCCTCGATTGTAATGAACCGAGGGGTACTGACTTCAGGGCGCACTCCATGAGCACCAGCAATGTCCGCTATATCGTCCTCGCCCTCTCCTTCACCCTCATTGGGCTCGGGCCAGGCAGTGACTGGAGGCCGATATACATCATAACCGAGAGATCGGATCCCGGAAGTCGCGCCAGCCTCGGCAAGATCTTGCTCACTCAGCAGCTGAGTCAAGTCCTGGGCATTGAGAGTAACAAGGTCGGCATTTAGCTCGTGGGCAAGGCGTTGAACCACTGCGTCCAAAAACAAGATGCCGTCCGGGCCGGGGTATTGAAGAACCAGATGCGACTTTTTGGCAGGTGGTTCTCCCGCGTATTGCGCAGGCGGCAGTCTCAGACCCGCTTTGACTGACGCGCGCAATTCATCCCATAGTTCCTCTGCCACGGCATAGCGGGTCTCCGATTCAGATGACCCGCCTGTGGCAGAAGGATCCTCCCCGTCACCACCAGGCGCCGACGCTCCTTGAGCCGCAGTATCTGTCTTCGACGCTGCCTTCGATTTTCGGACCTCGACCTGGGACTGGAATTGCACAGCATCCTGACGTCCATCGGTACCATGGGTCACTATGTTTCGCTCGCGGAACCAGCTAGGAATTGTCGCAGCCGTTGATCCTCTTTGCTGTTGTTGCTGCTCGGAATGTCTGTTTCTCATGGCTCTGCGAACGGCGGATCCGTATGGTCTCGAGACGGGCTGTACAGTTTGTTCGACCGGTGTAGAAGGAGAATCAGGGTTCACGACATTATCGTTGGAATTGGGCGACTGGCGGCTATCCACCACGTCCCCTAAGTCGGTGGCCGGCGTGGATCCATTTTGGGGATCATTGGTTGGCACCGAGAGCCATTGGCGCGACAGGTGAAATTGTCGCGCGGGTGCAGGATGGCGACGACGAGCGACGAAGCGACAAGGGCGTGCAATGGATCGCCATACCTGTGGCATTGACGGATACATCCGGGGCAATGTCACGAAAAGTCGATGGCCTCGTCGGTCGTGAAGAACGGACAGCGCTCTCGTTTGCCGCAGGAGAAATATCATATCACGTGATACATGTCAATCCACGCCTGGGCGGAAGGCCATTTGTATGGTCCAGTTCATTCGTCCATTCGTACTACGAACATTCTTCGACAGCATGGGTTTCAGCATGGTTCCTTTTGCACGTCAGTCTGTTGACCTAGCTTCTCAATTTCTTTATACTTTTTGTCTATGCCTTTTTCAGAAGGCGTAGGAAATTGAAGCAACCTCGAAAGCCTTCGAAAACATTCCCTAGGTCACATATGACCTGTCGTGTGGTATCGATGCTTCAGATCGATGAAGATATCAATTTCGAAGCGTGATTTTGCTTGTCCCTCATCGGCCTATCTCTGAGGAGTTACAAGAACCCGATAGTCATGAATGATGGCCTTTTAGTGCCCGTCAATTCGAGACATAACATCTCGCACTAGAGGTGATCTTCGGCCAGGATTACATTAAAGTTTGTGGATCAGACGCCCTGAAAGGTTTTACGGCGGAACACCAAGAGTGGTACAGGAACAATTCCCAGGCCAGCACATATCAAGTTGAAATAAATATATTCGCATATAGTAAGAATGACTATCTGATGGGTCGTGCATGCAAAGTGGTTCCTATAAGCAAATGCTGGGTCAGCCGACTGTCTCCTGCAATTGCATATATCAAAGCAAAAGTTGGTATTTTCAAGATGGTTCTCAGACAAAATATACTGGCAAGTAGCAGACCAACCGGGAAAGGGAGTTCCGAACTGTCTCGTCATGGTCGATTTGGTGGGTAAAGAAGTAAAAAGGTGTTGTCATCCTTGAACCGGGGGAGTAAAAAAAAAAGCACATTCGGACTTACCATAAGAAATCAGTTGCTGTCAGCATAACCTGGTGATTAGTGGCGAGATCACAGTATCGAAAGACATTCCATTCTCATCCCGACCAAGGCAATTCCTCCAGTCATTATTGAAGAGCCAGGGAAGTCCTGAGAACAGTGGCGAGGAGCACAAGATGGCAAAAGAGAAAAGTGCAGAAAAAAAAAAAACGGCTAAAATACATAGCCCAACACGTGACCTACCTAGTCGGGTTAGCGCGGCAGTATTGGAATCGCTGGGCAAAAGGCGCGCGAAAAAAACCCGCTTCAGGGTGAAAAAAAAGGGTGGAAGGTGCCATTTTCAAGTGATCACCGAGCAAAAAAGACATAGCAGACATTCTTTTCTTATCATCGAGATCATCACAGAGTGTCTCGACGTGTTCTGCTCTGAATATCTGGCTATCTGCCCATCCAATCTGCTCGGTTACATCCTCCACCCTCGGAGCCGGATCCTCCGTCCCCAGTTCCCTCTTCGCTCCCACCGGGCGATCATCATCATTCCCTGACCGTATGGGCGCCCGCGACAGCCGTCCCCTTTGAACCACTTCGACCTTGACCGACTTTGGGCTTTGAAGTTGTGAGTTCTCCTCATCCACTCAGCCTATCTATATCCTCCTTATCCTTAGGATTTCCCGATCCACCATTCAACCTGCAGACACCCAGCCCCTCCACGCCTCCCTATTACCTGGGCCTGTCCCGTCTCTTTTCCCGTCTCTTCCCCCCCAAAACCCTCACCTACCGTACCGTTCTCTCTTATCTACCACTCCCCACCACTTCACCCACTAACGCCAACCCCCCTAGGAGAATAGAGGCCTTCATTGAGGCGAAGTGGGTGAACGACTGGGAGGAAGTAACGAATCGATGCTTCGGTCTTGCGCGTCTACTGTATCCCAGAACCGCCTCGTCGTGGCCTCCACTCCGAACGCTAAAAGCGGCCTGTTGTCTTTCTATCGTACGCGCGCCAGTAACACCGACTATTCTACCCCCGGTCGCCTTCTTGTCGCGGTCGCGATTCATCGCCCTCAAAGTCTCCTGTGCGCGGTGACTTCCGCCTGCTAGCAATGATGATGGCGCAATCGTTTCCTGCCCATCAAGGCATGCCGCCACACGGGCTTCCCCCGGCCACCACCAAATGGCCGCTCAACATCCCAACGCTGGACATCCGGGACCTGCGATGGTGCAGCAGATGCATCCCGGTGTTTCGGCACCAGGAGGGCCTCAGGTGAGCCAGGCAGGCCCAATGATGGGTGGAATGCCCCCAGGTGCTGGGACCGCCGGTCCGGGTGGCCCTATGCCGAATGCCCACGCTCTATCCCATCTAAACCCTACACAAGCGCATATGTTTCAGCAGCAGGCGTTTCAGCAAAATTGTGAGTGCCTATCTCTTCCTCTCGTTCCCGAGGCCGTGTAATGAACGTGCGCGGGGATCCCTCCCGTTATCTGTCCACAACCGGTCCATACGGGAACCGTCATAGACGACACAACCATATGGAAGGCGCTTGCTGACCGTCATGCTTCCAATGTAGTCGCGAATAACCCGCAATTACTTCACCAGCAACAGCAACAGCATCAACAGTTCCTTCGTCAGCGTATGATGATCCAACAGCAGCAGCAGCAACAGGCACAGCAGGCGCAACAGCAACATGGTCTGCCCGTATCACTACCGAATGGTACTCAGGGTGTGAGTGCCGCCCAGTTGGCTGCGATGCAAGCAAATCCTGGTGGCATGCGGCCAGTCAACGCAATGATGCATCTTCAACAGCAGGTCCCGCATGGCCAACCCCAGAACCTCCAGCAACAGCAGCAACAGCAGCAGCAGCAACAGCAACAGCAGCAGCACCAGCAACAGCAGCAGCAGCAGCAGCAGCTCTTCGCTCTTCAGCAGGCGCAAGCTCACCAAGCGCAGCAGCAGGCTCAAGCCCAGGCCCAGGCTCAGGCCCAAGCCCAGGCAAATAATGCACAGGGGGGTCAGCACACACCGCAGCGCGGCTCAGTGCAGCCTCCCAACATGCACGAGAATCAGGGTGCGACTCCCCAGTCCCAGCATGGTCCTCCACCGCAAAGCGGTACCCCCCAACCAAACCAAACTCCTCAGCCTCCATCGAGTCAACCTCAACAGCCACAGGGCGGACCTCAGCAAGCCCAGGCTACTCCAAACCCCCAACCGCAGCAGTTGCCTCAAACATCACAACCTGGACAACAGCCTGGACATCCTGGACCCCAGGGACAGCCTCAGCATGGTATGCCGGGCCAGCAGGTCCAGCAACTCGGCCAGCAGGGTCAGCCAATGACTGCTCAGGAAGCCCAGTTGAAGGCCCAGCAGCAACAGAATGCCGCTATGATGATGCAGCAAAGAATGAATCGCCAGGGCACAACAATTCTATGCTTGCATGCGTATGCGGAACACCTAAGTGGATTCCAGGTACGAAGATGACCTCGAAATTTACGTATATTTGATCAATCCCCGGACTAACAAGGTTGCAGAGTCGCGGCGAAGCGCAGGACCTCATGTACTGGCAGTCCTTTGTTGACCGATTCTACGCCCCCGGTGGTGTGTTGCGACAGGGTGTATGGAATCCCCAGGTCGGTTCTAAACAATTTGAAATCTCGACTCCGGCATTGGCACGGTATTACCTTACTCAATATACCAGCGGCATCCGTCAGATTCAAATGGTCGTTGAAGGTGCCCGAGAACGGGATATGCCTAATGGAGGGCACATGGTTGAAAGTCCTCGGACTTCATTCATCTACTGGTTCACGAATGATTGTCAGGTATGTTTTGTCCTCTGCGGTCGTGAATCAATCTTGCATAGACGTGGTATTGATTATCCCTCTAGCTCTTCACCCATGGTCAACTACGTGCCCATTTCGACATGGCTAACAAACTCGAGATGCTGGACATCACTGTGACCAGCCATAATGAGTTTATTCCTCGGAGTCTGCTTCAATCTTTGGAGCTCTCTGAGCAAAAGCAGAGCCCCAAGGTCTCTAAGAACACGGCAAAGCGGGCTCAAAAACAAAGCCCGCAAATAACCTTGCCCGAGTCGATGGTTACCTATAACGGTGTGCCGACACAAGTCATGGGATTCCTGGAAGTCGCCGAGACTATCTCTCAGATGCAGCTGCTGTTCCAATTCTCGCAACAAAACCCACAATTCTCTCCTCCCGAAGCCCTCCACAATCTGGTGGGCACCCTCCCGATTCAGAACCCTAACGCCGGGTTTGTCACGCCAATGAACCCTGGCATGCAGCAAGTTCCCAATGCCCGGAATCCCAGTATGGGTGGACCCTCGCAGTTTGCATCCCCTGCCATGGCCCACCTTGGGCTACCAGGAGCCCAGGGATCGCCTCATCTGACTGGTTCAGGACATGCGAGCCCTGCCCAGAGCCAGCTTGCCGGACCTCCAGGCATGCAGGGTGCTGTTCAGCCCTCACCCCAAATGGTAAACAACAGCCCCAATGTCGGAGGTAACAAGCGTCGACGGGCAAGCACCGTCAAGAATGAGCCCGATGATGGTGGTGCTGGTGGCGAAGTCAATGGCACTGCCATCCAAGGCGGTGCCGGCAAGGTCAAGGCCAGTCCTCGAGTGCCCAAACGACAGAAGGGGGCGGCGGCCTGATCGGAGTCGATCACACACATTTTCATGCCCATTATTCTCATTTTTTTTTTCAACATCGTTATAAGATGCGAGGAATTGGCGCACCATTGGATACCTGGGGCGAGGAGATTTCCTTCGCCTCTTGTGAATTTTTTTGTCATTTATCTTGGGATCCCTTGATCTTCCATGTCAAAGGATCGTCTCCTACGGTTTTCGGTATTCTGACGATAAAACCGGTCGATGATGGAGTTAATCGATACCCACGGAATCTTCCTTCTCCACCACAATCCTCCTTGGTGTCCCATATACAAGTGACAGGATCTCCGTGGGTGCCTGCCTCATCGGCCTCTGGTAACCTCCGATCCTAATGTACTCTATCTCCCTTTCAGCGTTTCTTTGGATGGTCTGGACACATCGCCTGATTCTGCTTTTTTCTCCTTCTCCAACTTACCTTTTTTGTGATTCTTATTTTTACAAGCCTTGAACGGTTTTGCCACGTCCGGGGTTTTGACGAATTATTGGATTGGTCTTTTTCTTTTATATTCGAGGACATTCGCCCGTTCTGCTATTGCTTTGCTTGTTGGTTTTTGATTGACGGCCTGTTTGTTTGTTTCTTGATTTTGGATCAACTGGCCGAATCTTTGATATCCGTCTTGGCGATTGCACAGGCGTCGGGCTTTGCGTTTATTGGAATTGCGTCTGCGTGCATTTGGGGGGTTTCTCTCCGAGCCCTAATAATGGGCTTGGAGGTTTTCTTGATGACTCTTGTTTCTTGCGAGGCTCATCGTTTTGCCGCTATTTTGACGAATCCATACATATCAGCACATTTCTTTCTTGTCCACATCCCGTATAGTAGTTCGTATCCAATTGTTTGTGTATTGTGCTGATTATACTTGATAAGAGTATACTCTGTATAAACCTAGACTCTAGAGTGAATTGAGTTTGCCGAACCGGCGAGCTCCGTTCGGCATCGGCCAAGCTGGTGGAGAAAACCAAAGCTCTCGGCATTTTTCTGTTATCGCAAGTTCCCCACTGCTCCCTTGCTTTTAACCAAACTGCCCCTCCTCACATTCCCCGACCTCCTCCAGCAACCTCGTGAGAAAAAAGTACCCCTCCAAGCCCGACATTAACCACTATACCAACCCCTCTAAATACAACATATCATATATAATGGCCCACTCCCACTCCCACTCCCACGATGGTGGTATCGGCCACTCGCATGATGACCCGTTCAACGGCCACGGCCACTCCCACGAGATCCTGGACGGCCCCGGTTCATATGCCAACCGGGAGATGCCGCTGATTGAGGGCCGCGACTGGAAGGATCGTGCTTTCACTGTTGGTATTGGAGGGTAGGTCCATCTTTAGTGATCATGGCAGATCTATAAAACTTAGATTTGCTTTGGCGCGCCCCGCTTGGAAGTATACTTGAGAGTGAGAGCTTGGATGGAGCTGACGATACATCCATCAGGCCTGTGGGATCTGGCAAGACGGCTCTGTTGCTGGCTTTGTGCCATGCTCTGCGTGATGAGTATAACATCGCCGCTGTGACCAACGATATCTTCACCCGGTAAGATCTAATCTGATCTGATCTACACAACAAGCCCTATCCTCCAGACAGGACAGGACATGACAAGCTCATCGTGCATGCATGCTAACACATCCATCTTCCAACCAAACAGCGAAGACGCCGAATTCCTAACCCGCCACAAAGCCCTCGCCCCATCCCGCATCCGCGCCATCGAAACAGGCGGCTGCCCCCACGCCGCCGTCCGCGAAGACATCAGCGCCAACCTCCTCGCCCTGCAAACCCTGCAACGCCAATTCAAAACCGACCTGCTCCTCATCGAGTCCGGCGGCGACAACCTGGCCGCGAACTACTCGCGCGAGCTGGCCGATTTCATCATCTACGTGATCGACGTTGCTGGCGGTGATAAGGTGCCCCGTAAGGGCGGGCCTGGTATCACGGGCTCGGATCTGTTGGTTGTCAACAAGATTGATCTTGCGGAGGCTGTGGGGGCGGATTTGAAGGTTATGGAGAGGGATGCGGCGAAGATGAGGGAGGGGGGCCCGACTGTTTTTGCGGTTGTCAAGCATGGGAAGGGCATGGACCATATTGTTAATTTGGTTATTAGTGCTTGGAAGGGGAGTGGGGCTTATGAGGAGAGTTTGAAGAGGTGGAAGGAGGGTGCGCCCAAGGGGTCGGGGAGTGTGGATGAGTAGATGATGAAGATGGAGATGATGAGAGGCCCTTATATACAGGCTTCGAGGTTCATATTTGGATTGCCGTTATCACATAGCTGATGATGATACATTTGTAAAGACAGTTTGCTTTTGTTTTTCCGGTTCATAAGTAAAACAGCCCTTCTATACAAGAAACATGTAAGATGATGAAGATTTCCCCCTTTCCAACGCCTGAAATGCAGCAGCCAGCGAAGTCTGCGCGATGATGTTTCCAAAAAAGTCGCGGCTGGGTATCTGGATGCTCGACAACAAGCCAAACAAGCAAAGCAGAAACACACAATCAAGAATCCAGGTTCTATTTGGCAAACCGAGCCAAAGCAGGACCCAGCTCCTGTCGATCCTGACGGATCCGATCCTTGTTGCGTGCCATACGCTCCTTGTGAAGCGCCTCGGCCTTGAGCCTCTTCTCGTCGATGACGTTGGTGCGACCCTTCTTGCGGAGATAGTTGCGCAGAGCGCTGTTGCGGCCACGACCACGGTTCTTGAGTTTCTCGATGGGATCTTCGGGCTTCTTGTCCAGGTCGCGAGCTTCCCGGACCTTGTCGTCGTGGATGGTGTCGAGCTTTCCGATAATGTTGGGGTCCAGCGAGATCATGTCCGGCTTCAGCTTGTGGAGCAAGCTGTGCACCTCGGCCTCCTGGCGCTGGCGGGTGTTCTCGTACGGGTTGGCTTCGAGAGAATCGAAGTTGGGCTCACCAGCACCAGGAACGATTAGGCTGGCGAAGCCTTGGTCGTGCCCGACACCGAGGACATCTTCGTACGGGCACCACCGGAGGTTCTCGATGCGTTGGCCGTCGCCACCCCAGGCCATGTATGGGCTTCTCACCTTCTGAGTGTCGGCCTGCGCAGCCTCGAACAGGCCCCGCCACACACTGACTTGAGTGCCCCAGCCGACGGCGACGAGGTTGCGGTCACTGATAGATACCGAAGCACCGGGCTGGTAGCATGAGTACGAATGCACCTCCTTGAACATGCGGATATCCCAGATATTCATCTTCTGATCCTGACCGGTCGAGACCATGTAGCGGCCTTGACGGTCCATGGCTATAGACCGCACAGGTCCGCGGTGCACCAGCGCCTTAACGAGTGGAGTTTGAGAATTGGGCGACCATAATGTGACTGCACCGTTCTGGTGTCCGCAGTGGAGGATGGCGTTGTAAGGGTTCTGGGCAAGGGCGGTCGGACGGCCAAGCTTGGTTGGCAGCTCGGCGACCAATTGGCCGGTGGAGGTATCGGTGTATTTGATGAAGCCGGCCATAGTCTGGAATTCGTATAAATGTTAGAGCCAATTCCAATGTTCAATGGAAATCACAAGATACACTTACAGCGCTGGTCAGCAAGAAGTGGTAGGGCAGGAATTCGAGGAAGAGAGGCTCCAGATGCTTCTTCAAGCAGTGGAGCTCAACACCGTTGTGGTCGTAAATGTAGGCATACTTCTTCTGCGCGACGGCAAAGAACTGGTTGTTGTGCAACCAGCGCGCATCACGGACAGTTTCTCCCAACTGAAGCTCGCACCCCAGCTTACCATCACGCCAGTCCATCGTCGCAACATGTCCCTTTCGTCCCGCCAGCAACAGATTGCGTCCATTGCGAGTATAATCAGCGCGGTAAGGTCCGGCCTCGGTCAGCCTCAGTTCGAAGCCTTTCTTCGCCGTCTCCAATCCAACGCTGTCCTTGATCTCATCCTGTCGGACCTTGTAAGTCCTCTCAAGCTCTCCTTCCGTTTCCAAAAATCCAGCCGAGTGCTCGAGAAGAATCTCTGCATCCTTGGCCTTTAGAATCGCATCTTTATGTCTGTTTTCCTGCTCCTTGAGGGTTCCTCGGATCTTTTTGTCGCGGACGCTCTTGACCGAGTTTGCTTTGCCACGCCCGTATGTCTTCTGGGCTTCAGCGAGTCTCTGTTTCGCAGCGCGGTCTTCGGCCGTGACAACAGCCTTCTTTGAGGCTGAATCCGCCATTTTTGTGAGTGTTCTGGAGTATTCGTCGACCTGCTAAAAAAAAAACTCACGAGCGCGGAGAAAAAGCTAAGCAGAAAAATTGCGCCAAGATTCGCGCTCACCGCTCGCTTATCCTCTCCACTGCCGAATTTTGTTTTCTTATCGCCATTTTTTTATTTTTCTGTCCAGCAGATCGAACACTTTCGTCTCGTTATTTGTTCTTGTGAGATTTCTGGGATTGAGCTATTAGATAGCCCGTCTTTGCTCACTTCAATCTGGACTCCCTGCCTTTTCGATTCAAAGGGTCCAACGCCAATATGGCGCCCACCCAGGTCCACCACCATCGGTCCACCACCAAGGCTGCGAACAAGCCTTTCAAGACCAAGCATGCCTCTAAGAGTGCTTTGAAGGAGAAGGAAAAGGGTGAGAATAATCCAAAAATATATCGGCATAATATAATCCCACTTTTCATCCACTAACACCCTGACAGGCAAGGTCGAGACAGAGCGGGGCAGTCGCAAAACCCCCCACCAACAATTGAAGTCGAAACTCGACCGCCGCAACCAAGCCCGTCAAAAGCAGCTATTGAAGCAGCAAGATAAGGCTCAGGCCACCAGCATTTTCACTGGTCAACATGGAGCTCCTCGCCATGTCGCCATTGTCCCGCTTTCCGCCGAGATTGATACCAATGCCGCTATCCGTGTGCTGAATGAAAGTGTCGATATCACTACCGAAATTTCCGCCGAGGGACCAACGCGGGTGCGCGTCGACCGATTCCGCCAGAGCCTCCAATATATCAAGTCCAAATTCGACCTTGTCAATGCTATGGATGTCTGCCGCATGGCCGACTTTGTGGTTCTGGTCTTGTCTGCCGAGGTCGAAGTTGAGGAGGAAGGCGAGCTGCTGCTGCGTGCCATTGAGAGCCAGGGTATCTCCAACGTTGTCACCGTTGTTCAAGGACTGGATCAGGTCAACCCCGCCAAGAGGCGCCCTCAGGTGGCCTCTTCTCTTAAATCCTTCATCAACCACTTCTTCCCCGCGGTTGAGAAGGTCATGTCGCTCGATTCTCGGCAGGAGTGCTCTAATGCCATTCGCTCTCTTTGCACTGCCACCCCCAAGGGTATCCGTTGGCGTGATGAGCGTAGCTGGATGTTCATTGAGGATGTTCAGTGGCCCAACGCTAGCTCGGAGGTCGTCGACGACGTTGTGATTACTGGTGTCGTCCGTGGAAAGGGCTTGAAGGCCGACCGCATTGCTCATATTCCTGGCTGGGGTGACTTCCAGATCGACTCGATCACCGCGGCTCCATTGCCCACGACTAAGAGCAAGCGTGATGATGCGATGAATGTCGATGCCACTGACGGTACACAGGTCTTGGAAACCCCCAGTGCTGATCAGGATGACATGGCAGTCGTGGCCCCAGAGGAAATCGAGATGATGGACGACGACATGGTTTCTGTGGCCGATACTGAGAAGAAGGGTGTTCTGCTTGATGACCACCACTACTTCTCCGATGATGACTCGCACATTCCCTCGAAACCCAAGCGATTGCCCAAGGGTACCTCCGAGTACCAGTCTGCTTGGTACCTCGAGGATGTTTCAGACTCCGGGTCTGATATTGTTGATGAGGATGACGACGAAGATATGGAGATGGACGTCAATGGTGCGCCCGAGGATGGCTTCTTCGCAGACAAGGAAGACGCCATGACCGAGGGTGGTCCCTCAGAGTACCCTCAGTCCGAGATGTTCTTGGACCCATCCCCGGAGGACGAGGCCCAAGAGTTGGAGGACTACCGTAGGAGCCGCCGCACCGAAGCCGAAGAGGACCTTGAGTTCCCCGACGAAATCGAATTGCACCCCAATGTGCTTGCCCGAGAGCGTTTGGCTCGCTTCCGAGGCTTGAAGAACATGAAGATCAGCCCATGGGAGACGTCCGAAGATCGTCCATATGAGCCTGAAGACTGGCGCCGACTCCTGCAGTTCGGTGACTACAAGGGCACCAAGAACCGCATTATCCGCGAAGCTCTTGTTGGCGGTGTCAATCCTGGAGTGCGCGTGGAGGTGCATCTCCGTGCAGTCCCTGCTTCTCTCCGCCATAAGGCCCAGCCTCTCTCCCTGTTCTCTCTCCTGCGCCACGAGCACAAGCACACCGTGGTCAATGTCAACATGACCTTGAGCTCCAGCGTCGAGAAGCCCATCAAGTCCAAGGAGGAGCTCATCGTGCAGATTGGTTCCCGTCGCATGGTCGTCAACCCTGTCTTCTCCGCTGGCGACAACACCCCGAACAACGTCCACAAGTTCGACCGCTTCCTCCACCCCGGCCGCAGCGCCGTCGCTACCTGGATTGGACCCATGACCTGGGGCGCTGTTCCGATTCTCGTCTTCAGAAACAAGCAAGTCGAACAAGACCCCGAGGAGCTCGAATCAGCCGATGCCCAACCGGAGGCGCTGTCTATGGATCGTCTGGAGCTTATTGGTACCGGCACTGTCATCGCTCCCGATCCCAAGCGTGTCATCGCCAAGCGTGCCATTCTCACCGGTCACCCGTACAAGATCCACAAGAAGGTCGTCACTGTTCGTTACATGTTCTTCAACTCCGAGGACGTGCAGTGGTTCAAGGCCCTGCAGCTCTGGACCCGCCGCGGTCGCAGTGGATACATGAAGGAGAGCCTGGGTACTCACGGTTACTTCAAGGCCACCTTCGATGCCAAGATCAACCCGCAAGATTCTATTGGTATCAGTTTGTACAAGCGTGTCTTCCCTCGCCGCGCGAGAGCTTTGGAAGAGATTCTGTAAATTCAGCCTTCTGCTGCATTGGGCAGATTGGCTGGGATGATATTTTTGAACGTATGAGTTGATGAGAGCCGATTGCCTCGATATCTGAATTCCGAATTACTAGGATTGGCGTCACGATGCATCTCCCAAAAGTAAATAGACTTGAAACTTCATAATGAATTACGATTTCTTCTTACTATCATTTTCGTTTAATCATTCGCATCCATTCTTCTACACAACTGTTCATCACCGCAACCATTTCAAGGTCAAGACAAGCACCAAAACCTGTATTCGTTTCCAGTCCGGACAATAGTGTCAAAAAGGCGATTAGATACGCAAGAAAGCATAACAATTGGCAAGAAAACATAACAATTGGCGAGAAAAAAAGTCCACCAAATAACGAGACATTCCTTTGCACAGCATAGGCGGGGGAATCAAAGGAAGAAAATAAATACAAGCACCGTCTACGAGAAGTCCTCCTCTGCCTCTTCGATATTGCTCTTGACCCGAAGCAGAAGGGTGGTCTTCCACTTGTCCAGCTTACTGAGCTGGTCAAATTGGAAGAGCTTATCAGCAAAGCCCTCCTGATCACCGGACTCTACGGCCTGGAGGAGGTCAACGAGAAGTTGGTGCTCCCGGGTCGAAGCGAAGGCAGGGTCAATCTCGCGGTAGGTCTCGAGAGCTCGTGCGGTCTCAACCAGATCCTGGAGATAAAGTCAGATTGGTGGTTTATATAGATAGTGACTGAGGGAGTATTTCTGGACGCACCTTTGTGGCGAGATGGCAGATTCCTGCCTTCAAGAAGTAGTCTTTCACAGACCACTTCATGAGGTTGTTCGTGATTGACTGGCGGGCAATACGCTCATAGTTTGTGATAGACTTGTAGTAGTCCTCTTCCAGGGCAGCCAGATCGGCGACCTTCAGGAAGTGCTTGTTTGCGAGACTGGATTCAGGACAATCGTCAGTTATATTGGTCGTTCTCCAGTATCAAGGAGGAGTGGATGCATACGCCTCGGCATTGTCACCCTCGAACCAATCCGCCGCCTTTTCATATGCCTCCAAAGCCTTCTTCATATCGCCGAGTTCGACCTCGTACAGCTCGGCCAGGTATTGCTGCTGTGTTGCAGCACGGCGCAAGTTTCCGCGTAGTACATAGTGATTGATAGCGCTAGTCAGGACACGGGCTGCATCCTCCGGGTCGGATTTGCGGTAGACCTTGAACGCTTCCTGGAGAGTGTTGGCGGCGTCGTCGGGCTCGTTGAGGTTCTGAGTTTGAACGGAAGCTGCTTTCTCGAAGGCTTGACCGGCTTCCTTATCTGTTGCGCAGGTAGACAGGGCTGTCAGTAACAAGTAACAAGGGACATGGCGATAGATGCCAGCGGGCAGCGGCTGTGGCAACGTGTGGGGTAACTCACTCATCTTCTGTACTCGAAAGGCATTTGCAGCCTGAGTATACAGATCGGCCGCATTTTCATATTTCTCTGAGCGTCCACCGAACCAGCTAAAGCCGCCCGAGGCGCTGGAAAGAGCTTTATCGGCCTGATTGCTCGCGGGGTACGAGACGTGGTCAGCTATGCTAGGCTTTCGTCATTGCCTGGCTAGAGGCACCGGCGAATGGAGAGGATACGGAGCGAGCTCACTTTTTGCAGGAGGGCACGAGGATCTTGGGCCATGGTGGGAAACTTGTTTGCGAAAATCTGCAGAGGCGAATCTGCAGTTGATTTGTAGGGAGGGGAGAGGAAGTGTTGACCAGGTGGATCGGTGATGTTGATGAGAGCATCGATCGGCGGGTCCGAGGCGGTGTCTTTTTAGGCGGCCCGCAGCCCGCAGCTTTACCTTCACGTTCTCCCGCGCGCAGAAGCACTGATCCGGCGATTATTCCTAGTCGCAAAGCCCCTGCATTGTTATGAGCTTATACTCATTACCTGTTGATTACTACCCCGAAAATGGCCAGATACCGTGCAGGCACCCGGCTGTGGCAGTCAATCACTCGCAATCCGTGTCTCCGATGCCGTTACTCGTCGAAACCCCAAACCACCGACATTAAATCGATCCTGGCTGAACCAAGCTGGTCTGTCCGGTCTCTACTTCCAAATAAGACAGCAGACCTATCTACAGCTTCTGTCACTCCGCAAAAATTGCGCCATCTTCTGCGCCTATCAGCCCTACCTCAACCATCCACACCAGGAGAAGAGCAGTCCATGCTACGGACTCTCGAGTCACAAATCCACTTCGTGCAGGAAATGCAGCGAGTCGATACCACGGGAGTCGAGCCGTTGCGCAGTGTCCGGGATGAGAGCGCTGCTGCAGTGAAGGAGACGACGATTGGGCTTGACCGGCTCAAAGATGCTTTTGCTAAAGAGCGCGTGAGTGGGCGACGGCGAAGAGTTCAGCGTGTGTCAAGCGCAAGGAATGGTCACCCCGAAGAGGCCATTTGGAAAGGAAATGCCCTTGACTCTGCGTCTAAGAAGAAAGGGCCTTATTTTGTTGTTGAGACGGGCAGTAGCCAGTCTTCTTAATTGCGTTGGCTCTTATCGCCTGGCTACGCACCGCCTGCATTCGTCAACTGTAGTCGTGCAGCCTGTTTGATTTTCCATGTACTATATTATACTATACCCCGGGGCAGCTATTTTCGCTGCCTCTCGTTTTATTATCGGGCTCATGCTTGAATGGATGATCTCTAATGTCTGCATTTGTTGACTCCGCTTCTACTCGGCTCGATGCTGCCAGTGCATAACTCATAGCAGTCATATGTAACTTTATATACTACCACGCCCGGTCGTATATACATCGGACCGGCGAGGGTGATACCGTGGACTTTCCGTCATTTCTTCCCAAACACCATGCGGCCCTGCCACTGCCTCATCCGCTTCCCATATATCTGAAGGAACAGCATGAAACACAGAGAACCGAAAGTGATGGCTGCTTGAATCCCAAGAGCTTTGGCAGGTCCGAGGTGCACCACCCAGTCAATCTGAATATACGTCGCCATGAAACCTGCCCAATTGCGACTGGCCGTGACCCATGCGCCGACCTCTCCAGATCCTTCGGGGTAGCAGTCCAATAGGTAGGCATTGATGGCTGTCGTGACGATCATGACGCCGACACATTGAACGGCCGCAAACACTGCAATCACCATATAGTGCCAATGCTTCTCAAAGGCAAGCCCCAGGATGATCAAACTTGCACAGCAGATGAGGGTTGCAGGGTATGTTATGATTAGTCGAGCTTCGGGGTCAAGACGGCCAGAGTGTCGCTGGGTGTAGAATCTTCCAACGGCATCATGTAGAAAGTGGCCCGCAAACCAGCCGATCAAGCAGCCGACGATACCAAAGAAGTAGAAGTAGCCTACTCGAATGTCAGTTCAACACTGATTTGGAGGTGCAATCTGATCCAGCTGAAATGGAAGCTCACCAATTCCTCGCGTTGAGAACTGATAAAAGTTGGTCAACCAGATACCAATGGTAGTATTCACGCCAATGACCCAGGCAAAATTCAAAAAGTAGTAGATGAGAATGAACAACACAGGGATCTTAGTGATAGCGACCACTGGGCGTGCCATGCACTGAACAAAGTCCTTCGACGGAGCCTTGGCCTGTTGTAACCCAACCAGCCGTGAAATATAAGATCCCCGAGAAGGAGGAGGACTCTTCCGATCGAAAAGTGTTTCATCCAGGAAGAAGACTGCAACGAGACCAACTCCCGCAAGAATCGTGCATACCCAGAAAGCCCATCGCCAGTTCACCTCCGACACAATGAACGAGGAAACCAATGGACCCAGGTACGGACTGAGGATGATTGAGAACTCGACATAGTTTATGATCTGCGGGTGCTGGTGAAAGAAGAATAGATCTTTGATCCACATTAGCGCTCCGCCTTGTCCGACACTGCAGAAGAAGCCATTGATTATGCGCGCTGCAAGATATGAGCGAAAGCTTGTTGCTGCAGCTGACCAGGCACACGTTCCTAGCATGACACACTGGAAGACCAAGGTGACTGACCAGCGACCAAAGTAGCTGGCTAATGGAACGACAAACAGTCCACATGCACCGATGGTGAAGAGGTTGCCCACAACCGCTCGCTGGACTGACTCTTGGGACAATCCCCATTCCCTATATTATTCCTTAGCGTTATAGAGAAACTATCCTCTACTTTCTTACTTACATTGATTGAGGGATCACTGTGACAATAGCCGTACCACCCGTGTAGTCCGCCAGGAGGGCGATATAGGCGATGATAGCCATGATCAACCCCTTTCTACTATTGCTCCAATTCAAGGGATCATTGGGCATGTCTAATGGCTGTGGGATGAGAACATAGCGACCATCGGCACTTGTTTTCAGCTGGGAAGCTTGATTTGAATAACGACTGGGATCAACCACGTAGCCTTCAAGGGCTTCCAGTTCCTCGTCGATCTCGGTGGTATCAAGATGCATGTGTGATTTTTCAGCTGGCACAATTAGCTGGGAAGCCATTATGGAATATTGGTAAAGGTAACATGAACAATGAATGAGGAAGGGCACGAGAAGGGAAAATGAGAACAACAGGGTCTTCGAACTCTAGTCCACGACGGTCGTACGGGGACGCCATGACAAGGCTAAGCACACCGATATCCCTAGTAGGGATTTCGTCAAAGCACTAGAGTGTTCTCAAAGTAACGCCACAACTTATTTGATATGATCAGGCCCTCTGATACCTCTTAATAGGTTGAAAGGGGTCAATCCAGGGGCAAATCGGGCGTTGATTTATCTCCGAAACCATGCGTAGGTTGCATCGAAGTCCGGGATCACAACTTGCAGTACATCATTCAATTGCCGCATTTTCAAGATTTCATGTGTTTGTCTTCCCCTCTTTGTTCATGATCCCTACTGTTTTCCAGCGGTTGGGGGAATTACAAACAGTATGGAGTTGCAAGCGAGCAAAAACGGCCCAGTTGAGAAGGGGTTTCGAAGTTACATGATATTTGGTTGGCAAACCCCTGCCTTGGAACTGCATGTACGCTGTATTTATGCTTTATTTGTAAAAATCAAAACCAAGTTCTTTCGGAGGTCGTGGTTACAGACCTCCGTGCATAGTGCCTCAAGGGATGGTTTGCTAGAGTAGCCACCCTCCGGTCAGCCCCCACCGGCTAGGGCGCGCTAGGTGTGGGAGATTGACCGGGGACTCGGGGAGACGGCTAAATTAGCTTAAGCCTTTACTTAGGTTTGGGGTGGAGACGTGATGTATCGAATGGTTGGGCCCACTAATCTGAGCTGCCCAGAATATCTCGCAATTGTACAATGAATGTACTGTACAATAATTGTAACACATAACTGCATCCAGCAGCGACAATGTCCGCGACTTAACTGGCACTCATTATTAGCTAAGCATGCATTGCCTGATTGGGAATTTGGAAGGGTTGATGCTCGGAAGGAGACCCTTGGAAGGTTTGCTTGCATCGATGACAACCATTGACTAGCATTTAACAACAAATACAGACTTATTGTCTTTGTCCAACTCTTTTCCTGCCATATTATGCTCATGTTCCCCAGTCTCTTGCTCATGACCTCCGTCGCGCAGTCATGACGCAGTCCTTGAGTGTCTCCTATGGAGGCAAAGGCCCCTTGATTCTAGGGGTGACTTGGGCAGAGATGAGTCTTGCCTTGGTACTGTTCATTCTGAGGGCCAAGACTGCTTCGGTATACCCCCAAGGCCAGCTTTCGTCTGGTATATTTGGACTACGATGGGATTTTGTGTGGGTGATATTGGCCTTTGTATGTGGCTCCCCTCTATACCCAGCCTCACAAGGGGTGAGTAGCTGACCTGGTTAGACTGTCGCCTTGGCGGCCCAGTGCACAATGACAGTGAGCGCCCGCTACGGACTCGGTAATCATCAGGACCTTCTTTCCTACGACAACATTGTCAAAACAAACCTATGGAGCTGGATCGCTCAGGTGCTCGCCATTATCGATCTAGTCATTGCCCGGATCGCCGTCATCGCATTCCTCATGACAATCCAGAACAGAACGATGAGCAAGAGCAAATATCTCCTTTATAGCGTTGGCGGTATCCAGGCTTTGATCAACTTCATCGAAATCATCTTGATCTTCAAACAATGCACCCCAACCGAGAAATTATGGGATATTGACATCCCAGGCAAATGTGATATGATTGATATCTGCTCCAAAGTCGGGTTTGTTCAGGGCAGTACGTGATCTCTGTTAGAGCTTTACGATTGTCAATTTTCTGATCTTGTTCAGGTATCGGAGCGGCCGCTGACTTCTTTTTGGCCGCGTACCCTGTATACATCATTGGAAGGCTACAATTAATGAAACTATCGACCAAAATTGGATTATGTCTCATTATGGGAGGAGGTTTAATGCGAGTCATTCATTTGGACCCGAACTTACAAGGCATGTCTAACTTTTCATAGTGCTGGTATAGCAGGAATCAACAAAACAATTGCCATTGCCTCCATCACACACGTCGAAGACCTGACCTATGCGATCTACGAACTCAACACATGGGTTCTGACCGAAATGTGGTTCATAATCATTTTCGGATCAATCCCTGTTCTACGGCCATTCTTCGTTCGATTCACACAGGATATCAAGAGTGTGACTGGCTACTCATCGAAGAATCGCAGCGATACTGGTGGGTATAGCGATGGAAGTAACAACAAGCGGGAGTCTTGGGTGCAATTAAACGAACAGACCCCGGGGACATGGGCTTCCCAGAGCTCTGCCTATGCCAATGCAACTAACGACACTGAGCGAGCTTTACGTGATGATTCGCCTCTGAATGATAGTCGGCATATCTTGGTTACAAAAGACACGAGTGTAGTTTCGGAGCACTGTGATGGAGAGCCGAGTTAAGGAACACAACGTGAAACTTCGTCCTGGAGGGATGTATTTGCTGATCTCGAGTAATATAAAATGTAACGAATCTTATTGATATTCTTCATATCCATTTTATTCTCTGCCACATGGACGCGTTCTCACGGTGTTCAACTTAGGTACGAAACAAGTATAATCAAGAAATGCCTAGGAAAGTATAGCGAATTGGACTCACTCGAAGATCACCGGTCCATTTGTACGGTCTGTACTGTAAGTAATTCGAGACGGATACCAGCTTGTCACTAATGTGGCGATCCGCATATCGGGGCAAACTATCAGGCGAGACCAGTTTTCAATGACCAGTTTTCAATGAACTGAATGAGGAAACAGGGAATGTCATGGAATTAGTTGAGGTGCCCAATGGATGTCTAAGCCACACGGCATTGCACCAATGTACATAGAGTGCCCAACCTTAGAAGATACTAGGAAGGTAGATCATTTTCGGTACCCCTTTCAAAAATCTCTCATGATTTTACTCTTCGCCAAGGCTCTAGATGGAATTGGTATTCTTTCAGCTGCGAGATGCCTGCAGAATGTCACTGGTTGATACAGTCAGACTCGGCCTCGCCAAGCATAAGCGAGCCAATAGACCACACCTACCCATACCTCAGCCCTACGCTAGTAGTAATGATGTTTCTCTCCAGGTGCGCCATAAGATGTGTCTAGCTCAGATTCCCTCAATATGTTCTATAATAACTAATTACAAATGATGGCGATCTATCACCACTACGCAAGGAAGCTAAAGAGAGAGGAACAATCTAGTTCGAATACCTGGAGAACTATCTCTGCAGAAGAAGAAAGGAAACAAAGAAGGGAATCTCGAGTGAGATCCCTATCGGATCTCTATCAACAAATGTGATAACAACAGAGTTAGAAACGGAGCAGCTGAGAGCATGAATATCAGTTATAGGGAGCATCGCAAACTATACGATTACGACCACTAGGATTATGCCAGAAATCGCACACCTTGAACCATCCAAAATAGACGACCACCATCACAGAAATGAAGCAGATAGTATATCTCCTGTTTCTGCTGTCTCCAGTCCTTGCGCTCATTGCACAACAGTGCGAAGAGAATGTGAATGTAAAAAGTCATTGTAAGTGGTGTTATTACATTACAACGTTCCTAGCCTCTTACAATAATTGCTCACCTGCACGTGTAGTTAATGAGACTATGTATTCGAAGCTCAGTGCCCGCGTTCAGGGCTGGATAGTAGCTATTGATCAAGCCCGTGGTGAGGTCACATCAGGGGTCGAGTTCTCTGCAACGAGCCGCAGTCCAGACGCGATAGATTTAGTTTACTTCCATGGTACTGGAGAGGGCGCCCCTCTGACTCAAGCGTGCTAGAATCAGGGAAGCAACTGGAAGACCTGCCGTGTGTTCCAATATGTGTTTACTTACGTGGTGGGTAGCGGTCGTCTTACGGCTATCTCCCGCACACCGGAGCGCCACGACCTGTTCTTCGTGCCCAAAGGGTATAAGGTTGTTCACGTCAAACGCTGGAGGAAGCATGGAGGCTGATGGGGTGGTACCCCGTCTATTGGCCAGAACGTTGACCCGAGTACGGCCTTTGGCGTCGTCTCCAGAGGTAGCAACATGCTCGAGGGCTTCTGGGTTAGGAATGACCGGACACTTATGCATGCCTACACCGAGGACGACGGTGACTCCTGGGTTCGCGACGTGGTCTTGGACGCGAATGTCAATGCCAATCCGTCATCTGTTACCGCCGTGTCAAGAAACGCGAATAGTATGGTCGTGGCCTGGATCACGAGTAAAGGGAAGCTCGAGGTGGCCCGCTACGAGCCAAGCACCTGGACGAGCACCCCAGTCACGACTGAAATACCGTTACCGGGGCTAGCAAGATTGCCACACTTTCAATCACACCTAATATGATGAATCTCTTCTGGATCGGGACGGATAGCCTGGTTCACCAATCCAACTGGACGTCAGGCATGTTTAATGACCAGTGGACAACAACCCTGATATCGAGCTATCCTGCCAATGCCGGCGGACTATCCGCCGTGTCGATGAATAGCAACCACATGGAGGTATTTTGGACATCACCTGGTGGTACTCTCTAATACACCAATTAATAGAAAATGGTTGGATATGACGCCAGCAAAGTGCTTTGTCATTCTGCAGGGTTCTGTCATCGTAAGAACACCAATTGGGTTATCTGGGGCACCAATAATGTATTTGGAGTTGTACATATGAGCCTCTGTTAATGAAACCATGCCACGTTTGTTTGACGGGTAAATAAATGCAGCGGTTGTTATAACGATTCCTACTCTGCAACATCCATAGACACTAAAGCACTTTATACTATGCCTCCATATCCGAGGCCATAGGCCGAATAACTCCGCCATGAAAAAAGTCCAGTGCGGTGATCATTATTGATTCAAGGGATAACGAACTCTGTGTAATTAAGATACAAGGTTACCCTATCTACGAGGCTGCGACACAGTTAGCTTATCACGTGGCTTGCACTCTTTATGCAAGGAGGGCTCAGACCTAACTTCAATTCTTCGTTAGTCTATGCATTCAAGCGCCCTGTTCCCGAGGCCTGGAAGTTTGCACTCGCAATATTTTTCTGCCTGAAATTTGTGACTAAAGACCTGGTGGTCAACTAAGCCGTGGACACAAAATTTTCAGCTAGCTGGTGGGATAATGGGTGCAGCTTCGACATGTTTTCTCCCGTATCAAATAATGGCCTCCGGAAGGACTCCACCTTACTCGAAAGCAGTTCCTTGCAGTAGTTAGCATGCGGTGCCCCAAAATTCGATGTATCACGTTCCCCGCTCTCTATAATCTTTGTTGTAAGAACGGAATTTCCCGCTTCTGACTTCAACTTGGCATTCTCTACATTATTGGGTGGCTCTCGTCTCTCTCATCTCTATATTGAATTTCTTCGCCCATCTATAGCTTCGTCCTGCCAACAGCATGGCCTTGTCAGAAGCTCTGGCAAATGTCCAAACTCTTGCTGCCCAGGAGGCCGCGGGGAACAAAGATTCCCATGCAGATCTTCTCAGAGCAATTCGTGAATTGCAGCTAGCTGCGGAGACCCCTCTCGAAACAACATCCCGACTCAACTTTCAGGTAAACCGGACTATGACAGTGCTGACTTTAAATCTACTCATATCTGACATTTTGGTTACACAGATTATGCAGAACATCTCTATTCGTGTCGCCGTTGAATATGGATATCTCCATGTCATCGCTGCCAAGGATGGTCAATCTATCTCGGCCACGGAGATTTCCAAGGAAACCAAATCGGATCTTCTTCTCACAATTAGAATTATGCGCGTGTTGACAGCCATTGGTCTATGTGACGAAACTGGTAATCAGCTTTATGCTGCCAATGAGAGAACTCGGTTCAAGATTTTACCTGGGTCGGTCGCGGCTGAGAAACACCAGTAAGTAATTATACCCAATTCAGACTTGTTACCATAATCCTTACTGACGCGATTTCAGCTTTGATTTAGATTTTGGAATGGTAAGACTTATCCTTCTAGATTCTATTCTCGCATGGTTTGACTAATGGTGAAAGGGCGGGAAATTGGTCGAGTACATGCGAGGTCCTGGAATTCAACAATTTGCAGACGAGCCCAATGCCGTCACTCTATTCAAATACGCACATGGAACAGATGTGATTTTCGGACTCTTAGAGAAGAATGCCGAGCAGAAGCAAGCCTTTGATGACTATATGGCTGCGCGGCGCGTGGATGACATGCCACAATGGTTTGACATTTACCCTGCAGCGGAGAAGGTACGGGATGCTCGGACAGAGCCTGGAGCAACCCTTATGGTAGACGTGGGTGGAGGACCAGGTCAAGAGATTGCGAGATTCAAAGAAAAGTACCCCGAACTTCCAGGGCGATTCATATTACAAGATCTCCCGTTGACCCTGAAGCGAGTTGAGAAATTGCCTGATGGAGTGGAAGCCATGAAGTATGACTTTTTTACACCTCAGCCGGTCAAAGGTAGCATTTCCTCTCACTCGAAAATTGAGATATGATTCCTTACTAAAATGATTGCCAGGGTCCCGTGTTTACTTCCTACGCGACGTCCTACACAACTGGTCTGACGCCAAGAGCGCTCAAATCTTGTCTCGAATTGTTGAAGCAATGGACCCCGAGTACTCAACCCTATTGATTGACGACTACGTCCTCCCCGACACTGGCTCTGAGCTTCGGGCTGCGGAGATGGATATTCTCATGTGGCTTCACACCGCGGGCCTGGAACGAACCGTATCACAATGGAAGAGTCTTTTCGGTCAAGTAGGCCTGGAACTTGTCAAGATTTGGGATTCACCCCGGGGCAACGAATCAGTTCTGGAAACAAGGGTGCTTCGATAAGTATGATGTTCTGGAGATACCTTCCAAAGGATATCGAGTACAAATATTATGAGATTTCATGATTCCAAAGGATGAACAGGTGAACATAGTCAGTCCTTACATGAGTGTTCCTGAATAGCTCATATGTAAATAAAAGAGAGTAAAAGGGATTGAATCGAGACCATATTTGCACTATCGTCGATGGACTATAGCTCTGGAATTGTATTCTCCTTGATCATGGTCCTCCTCCCATCGCTGTTTTCGTGCATATCTTGATGCCTGAGGCTTTAACAGTGTTTCGGCCCCCAGGTAAGATGCCTGGCCCCTCTTGAACGTTACTTCCAAGCCTCGCTACATCAATCTGTTAGGTAGAAGCTCAGTTGAGGCTCCGTCAACTCCTTTTTTCTTCATCCCAATGTTCAAAAACTTGAAAGAGAAACATGGATCTTTCTTCGAGACCAAACAACCCACTGCATCCGCGAGTGCGGGTAATGATCGTGGACAAGATCTGACGTCAATCCTGGACCGGTCGCAACGCGCCGACCTCACAGTGTTGGTAGCTGAGATCGCGGAGTCAATGCGAGTTGGCCTCCTTGAGATATTCGAAACACCCGAAGTCAGATCTCCAACGAATGAATGGTCTCCTAGTCAGAGTCCCAGTCTTGAAAAGAACGACGAAGAAGCACCGCCGCTACCTACTAGGCCACAGAATGGGTCAAGTGAAGAGAGCGCGGCACAACCACAACAGCGACAACGGTCCGGCCCTAGAAGGAATGCTACTGCTGCAGCGGCTAAAGCTCGTGCCAAGCAAAGGACTCTCTCGCATTTTCAGAATTGGAGAGATGCGGTTCTCTTACGAATTGGCGAAGTCGTGAACAGGGATGATGAAATCCAGGATAAAGAGAGTTCCGAAGCTGCCAAGTCTGATGATATCCCATTTGATGAGGACAGACAGAGGATCGAAAGATTGCGTCAAGTTTACCACCCCATTGAGACACCTCTACTTCAGCTTCCGAAAGCCACAAGGTTGCTCATCCTGCATTCACTTCTATTATTGCTGCTCAGTCTGAAGAAATACAGCGCGTACTCTCGAGTGTTGTTGCTGTATGTCTCGTCAAGCTTAGACATTGATGTGAAAGTACTCAACGAGAACGAGGTCAAAGTAGCACGTGGACTCCTAGACACCGTGCTGGCAGTCTCACAGCAGCCAGAGAACAAAGCGGAACCCAAGAAGAAAGACAACACCCGAATGTGGAAGGTTGGTATTGCATCAGTTGCCGGTGCTGCTCTCATCGGTATCACAGGTGGCCTTGCTGCGCCCTTGGTAGCGGCGGGCATTGGAGGGATCATGGGTGGACTGGGGCTTGGTGCTACTGCAGCGGCCGGGTATCTGGGTGCACTTGCTGGTAGCAGCGTGCTTGTCGGTGGTCTGTTCGGTGCCTATGGTGGTCGAATGACCGGTCGCATGATGGACAAGTATGCCCGCGACATCGAAGACTTTGCTTTCATTCCAATTCGAGGGGCACGAAAGCAAAGAACAGAGAATGAAAGCGAGGCTGCCGAGCAGGACCACCGTCTCCGTGTCACAATTGGTGTTACCGGATGGGTGAAAGAAGAGTCCGACTTTGTGGTTCCATGGCGTGTCGTTGGGGCTGACTCGGAGGTGTTCGCCTTGCGCTGGGAGACTGAATCACTGATGAACCTTGGGAATGCGATATCTGCCTTGGTAACGAGTGCTGCATGGTCAGTCGCTGGACGAGAAATTCTCAGCCGAACATTTTTCGCAGCTATCATGAGTGCGGTGATGCTGCCAGTCGGCCTCATGAAAGTCGCCCGCGTGGTCGACAATCCGTTCAGTGTGGCCAAAGCCCGAGCCGACAAGACTGGCGAGGCTCTTGCCGATGCGCTCATTAATAAGGCTCAAGGTGAACGACCCGTCACTTTGATTGGCTACTCCTTGGGATCCCGTGTGATTTACTCCTGTCTGCAAAGCCTATGTAAGCGAAGTGCATACGGACTGGTTGAGTCCGTCATACTCATGGGATCTCCTACTCCATCGGATGGTGAAGCATGGCGCCGAATCCGCAGTGTCGTGAGTGGTAGAGTTGTCAATGTTTTCTCGGAAAATGATTCGGTTCTTGCCTTCCTCTACCGAACCAGCAGCCTCCAATTTGGTGTTGCCGGACTGCAGCCCATTGAAGGTGTGCCTGGTGTCGAGAACTTCGATGTCAGTGAGAAGATTAGTGGCCACCTTCGATACCAGTATCTGCTCGGAAGCATTCTCACAACCATCGGGCTGCAAGATCTTGACCAGAAAGAGATTGAACGTGAAGAAGCTGCCTTGGCAGATGAAGACAAGAAGCAAGAAGAGGAGCGACTTCGCAACGAGCTTGAGGCAGGAGTGGAAGATAAGGACTTGTCTGTTGCCGCTGAGAAGCTGAAGGGCGAGAAGGGCTCTCAGGAAGAGGGTCGAATGCAGAAGCAGGTTGAGACGCAGACCGAGGACCATATGGTGCAACATCGAATCCAAATGCTGGACTTGGATGACGATGATTACTCGTCTCCTCTACCTGATCAGTCGGGCAAATATTCAGCTATCTAGATTTGAGAGCGTCAGAGCCTAGAGAAGTTCTCGTACTGACGTAAGATCACTAGAAAAATGCATTCTATACAAATTGCGTGTTGTTCGTAAAATTTGCAATCATTCCTTCTCCATGCTCTCAAATATCCACGCCATACTCCTGGCTTTCCAATGAAAACGACACGAAGCAAAAAACAGTAAGAAAGAACAAGCGCCCATCTCCGAGATTACATGCCATACTGCATCCTGTAGCTCTCCTGCGACTGCATGGGATCTGCGGATCTAATCCGACCCTCCCGAAACATACTGTACGTCGATGTGATCTCACGGAAGAACTCCAATGCGTTGAAAAAGGCTAGCCAGGCGTAGATACCGAGAGGTCCACCCTGGTATTGGCGTGGCTTGTATGTCCTCCCCGCCTCGGTTTCTTCGACAGCGAGATATTCCTGGGCATTGCCATACCGGAGGTTTCCACCGTCCACCCGGTAAGGCTTGGTAGAGTATGCGAAGAGGAAGAAGAATGCAAATGGAACCATCTGAATGCAGATGAGCATAGTTGGAAGACCGATGTATACGTCGGCATAGGTCAATTTTGATGTTTCCTTGAGGACGTCTGTTGAGTGGAGAATCATGAAAATAATCTGCGACATGTTAAACTTCTGTTCAACGAAAGATATCTAGCGGCATACGCCTTACCTTTTCCAAGAAAACCAGACCAACGACCATCTTAAAAGCAAGGAGCTTTGTCAATGGCTTGTGCTCTGTCATGTGGGACTTGAGGTTGGTGTAGAATCGAAGGATGGACATGACGGCAACGCCGACGGATATAACTTGAATGATGTTGAGCTAAGAACAAGTCAATAACCAACTACCAATCTCTTGGGTAAATGATCTGTACCCAAAGATGAGCAAAATATCTCTTGTTGCTTTCCAGGCAGTAGACATTCGCGGCTTCAGTTATACATTGTACGATGGCGACAATAACGGTAATGACGGGGTACTGAAGGACAAGGTACCATGTTTGCTGAATCAGGAAATATTAGCAGGCCTTTCAGACCTCAAGCAAAAGGTATGAATGACCAACCTGGAGCCAAGTCAACCCGTCAGTTGTCTTGGTTTTGTCGGTCCTACCGGGAATCCTCAAAGACGAAAAGAAGACAATTCGGTTGCGGTCATTAGGAGCAAGAAAGTCACAAAGTAGCATGAGGAATGTATATAGGGCAATTCCTTGGATGACTTCGACCCAACCCACCAGGTAGACATAGACATTGGGGAAGCAAATAGAAATAAAAGAAAGAATGGAGTAAATAGGCAACAAGGTAGCGATTCGCATGATCCTACAAGGCACTTTCGTCAGTAATCAAATTAAGTCTGCCAGCTATCGGACGTACTTGAGCTGCTCGTTGGGATTGCTGAAGCATAAAGAATGCTTGATCATCACAATCAGGATTACCAGACAGGTAGTAGCTGTACAGGCACCGGAAAGAATCATGTTGAATTTGTGGAAAGTATAGTCGCCAACGAAATTTTCGGATGCATCTGGAATTCTTCGGTTAGCTTGATCACTGCCTCCAGATTGCTCTAGATTAGAAGGACGAACCAGCCACCAAGGGCCTAGGCATTGGACAAGTTGTGTTGACATTGCTGGAATGGTCAAACAAGCCCATCTTGCAAAGTCTCAATATAGATGCGCAATAACTGAAGTTTTTATGTGGCGCAACTTGAGCAAAATAAGGCCCAAAACTCGTGGAGTTTAATGATGTCGCTGAGAAGAAGCAGATATCGTGAGAATGAGATGAAGAGCACTGGGCTTGCTCAAACTTTTATATCCTCAAAATCCAACAATAATCTCATCTGACATTCTGCGCAGCCACGTCGGTTTAAGGCCTTCTCCATGATCTTCGCTGGGCTTTCCTGCAATTCTGCAACTTCGGTGGCCCCGAAGCTCGAAGATTTCGCCAAACCCGGTCGATTCCCACCTCTCAGCCTCGACAGCAACGGCTCAGGAACAAGCCTCCTTGGCGCTATTCCCTTCGGGGCAAGCAATGCGATCGTTGAGTTCACGATGATTGGCTGAAATAGGCAGAATTGCAGATGGGGGCGGGAACTAAGCCTTTTGTAGTAATGGATGCGGTTGTCCTATCAGCATTGAAGCTTTGGGGGCTGTGAGGCGGTGATGTTTATCGATCGTCGCTCTGCTTCAGCTTTCAATTTTCAGCTTCAACGCAGAGTCCACTTTGATATTCCTTTAAATGGGGAGACCCTGGACTGCTCAAAATCACGAATGTGGTAGTTGACGCGCTCGGAGCCCACTAGTTGACCATAATGCCTAACAATCGAGGCCCAAGCAAAGGCTGTCGACGGTGTCGAGAGTTGAAAGTCAAGGTAAACTCGCTAGTTGCTCGTGCCTTCTACTTCTTCATGCAGTGGAACTAATGATCTTCCTAGTGCGACGAGACCAAACCTTCCTGCCATCGCTGTCATAAAGGTACCCACGAATGTGTCTACCAATCCCAATTTGACATCTTCCACCGAGACCAGAACACATTCGCCCAGACGGCTGCGAGCAAGAAATGGCGCCAGCGAGCGGATATCAAACCAATTACGAATGTTACAGATATTTCCATTCCAAGGATGCTTAGTCCTCCATTATCTGAAGTCGCATATAATCGCCTTTACTATGATTTTGTGATCCCTTGGCCGGGAACTCTCACTACACTCCGCCAACAATTGCGGGAGGCCTCCCCAAATTCCTGTTTGGTTCCTGTGGTAGCGGCAGTGGCTTACGCTAATTTTCATGGGCGATGCAACTCGCCAGAGGCCAAGAGGGCTAGTGGGGTGCACTATGGATTGGCGCTGCAAAGATTGGCAACGACGATGACCGATGCAGTGGAGATGCAGAGTGATGAGATTCTGATGGTCATTTGGCTTCTGGGGATGTATGAGGTATGTCATGACCCGATATCTGTCGCTAATTCTTTACTCCTTACGCCGAGCTGACCCATTGGTCTCTAGATGCTCACTTCGGGCAGGCGCGATGGCTCTTGGATCACACACATACAGGGTACACAGTCCGTGATCGCACATAGAGATAAGAAACATTTGACAGATGGCGATCATTATCTAGCTATTCTATGTATGAATATGGTAAGATGCTCACCCTGTGCTTTTTTCGAGATTACCCGTTTAAGAACTGAGACTGATTCTCACCAGGTTATATACTACCTGGCCGAGGCTAAATCCCCTCCAGCACACCTACGACATTGGATACAGCAGATTCCATTCCCAAAGGACTTCAAGAAACAACTCGTCTCCACCATGGCTGAAGCAGCAACAGCATGTGCAAACTTACGAGAGCGGGCAATTCGCAGGGCCACCAACAACACTGACGACTTGATCTCAGCCGATCTCATACTCGTGCAGGACGCGCTTGCTGTGGATCTCAAGCTCCAATCTTGGGGTCACTCGCTAGACCCCGACTGGTCACATATATCAACACATCCTATCACCAATGAGAACCGTCCATCATGGGTCAGAGAACTCCTCGCCTCCGCCGGTGCACCCGAGTACTCTACCCGATACTCGAATCGCCTCGCCGTATGCGATTGGAACAGCTGCCGAGCCACACGAATCAGACTCCATCAAGAGATTATCTCATTTATATCCACGTTTCTGTCTCCGATACATGCTTTAAACACGATCAAGTCGCATAGTCTGGTACTGCTCATCACTCTGGCCGACGAAATTGCTTGCTCCGTGCCTTATGCTCTTACCATCTCACCCGATGGTACATCTGACCTTGCCACTCCGGAGGAAGTTCCTGGTTTGTGTGCATATAGAATTCTTTGGCCCTTGTTTACTGGTTTGGTGTGTTTAGAAAATGATTTGGTTAGGGGGCAGGACTTTGCTCAAAGAGCTCAGTGGTTTCGAACGATACTGAGGTTCTTGAGAGATACGATGGGGATTGCCAAGGTGGATATATTCTTGAAGGAGCAGAGGAAGATCTCTTGAGGGGTTTTAGTTGGATAGAGATAATGATCGAGACCACATTACTGAAAGTTGAAAGTGTATACAAACGATGTAGACACCTCATACTTCAGGCTCCAAATCGTGCGGCCCCACACTGTTTATGCCGTGAAGCTATGACCACCTGCTCAGATCATCCTTAAGTCATCTCCCAACATCAAACATCAAACACCAACACCAACGGCCAAACAACCTCCACAACCACTAGCAGGAACAACCTCGGACGTCTCGCCTCTATTTAATCACTCAATATTGGCACTAATTCCCATAAGCCAAGGACCCCCATAACCCGCCAATCAATCGCCAAGTGATCCACCAACCAACACATCAATCAGGCCACATCGGGCACCACGGAAAAGCAAAGCAAGCACCACTAGGGTACCTGGACTCCAGGACCTCCCTATCAACCCACCCAACATGTCCAATCCACAACCTCCCCACCCAGACATCCTCCCTCCAACTCCACCACCCACCAACATGAAAGCCTGGCTCTACTCATCCACCTCCAGTGGTCTCGAGAAGAACCTCGAACTCAACCCAACAGCCCGCGCACCCCCCGCCCCACAAGGCTCCCAAGTCCTCATCCAAGTCCTCTCCGCATCCCTCAACCCAGCCGACTACAAAGTCCCCGAACTCGGACTCCCCGCACGCCTATACATCGGTACCCCCGCGTCCCCGGGGATGGACATTTGCGGCCGGGTCGTCACGACGGGACCGCTTGCGCGACACTTCCGTGAGGGCCAGCTTGTTTTCGGGTCTGCGGCGACTCCGATTAAATTCGGGTCGTTGGCGGAATACACGCTTGTCACTGCAGATCAGATTGCGGCCGTGCCGGAGGGTGTGGATGTTGATTCTGCAGCTGGGGTGGGAATTGCGGGACAGACTGCTTTCCAGAGTTTGGAGGGGTATGTGCGTGCTGGAGACAAGGTGTTGATTAATGGGGCTTCGGGGGGATGTGGGACGTTCGAGATTCAAATTGCCAAGCAGATGGGGTGTCGTGTTACGGCGATTTGTTCGACGAGGAATATGGAGCTTTGTTTAAGGTTGGGTGCGGATGAGGTTATTGATTATACGGCGGAGAAGGATCTTGTGGGGGTGTTGGCGGCGAGGGGTACTGTGTTTGATCATATTCTTGATCATATTGGGACGCCGGCGGAGATGTATTACCAGTGTCATCGGTTTTTGAAGGAGGATGGGGTGTTTGTGCAGGTTGGTGCGTCGAGTATGACGACGCAGGCTGGGCGGTTGACGTGGCCGGCGTTTTTGGGCGGTGGGAGGAGGAGATATGTTGTGTTAATGTATAAGCCCGTTCAGAGGCAGTTGGTGCAGTTGGGAGAGTGGTTGCAAGAAAGGGTTGTCAAGGTGCAGGTGGATAGTCTGTATGAGTTTGAGGAAGTGGTGAAGGCGTTTGAGAAGCTTCGCTCGGGGAGAGCAAGGGGGAAGATTGTGGTGCATGTTGGGAAGGATAAAGGGAATAACTATGAGCCTTTTGGAATTGGGATGTAATAACATACAGAGACTGGATGTCTGTTCGAACTGATTTTATGGAGCTTTAAACGATATTGTACACTCTACTACAAGCATATACAAGACCGTGATATACATACCATCTACTCTTTTCTCCCCAAGAACGTCAATGCTCCGAGAGCCATCGCATCCACGCCCGTCCGCAGCGTCGGTTCAATAACCGGCGCAAAAAACGGCGAATGATTACTCGGCGGCTCATTTACCGTACCCTTCGCGACAGCTTCATCCCAAATCCCCTCCTCAAGCCCCCCAAACACCCACAACACATACGGCGCCCCAGCAGCCGTCGCCAACAACGAGAAATCCTCATTGGCACTAGGCCTCTCCATCTCCACCGATCTCTCCCCAAAATACCCCCTCAAACACTCCCCTCAACCTCTCAACACTCCCTTCATCATTAACAGTCGCCGGCGCCGAAACCGTCCCGTTAATCCTCGGTTTCTCCACCTTACTACCAGCAATACACTCCCCCTCAACAATCCTCACAATTGCAGCACAAACCTTCTCCCTAACCTCCTCCTCAAAAGTCCGCACACTTACCTGCAAATCCAAATAATCAGGAATTACATTCGCCGAAGTACCCGCCCGAATACTCCCACACGAAACAACCGCAACTTCTCCGGGGACAACCTCCCTCGAAACAATCCCCTGTAACCGCATAACAACAGCCGCCCCGATCAAAATCAGATCAATAGTCGTCTGTGGCGCAGACCCGTGTCCTTCCCGTCCGAAAATCCGGATATCAAATGCTTCCGCCGCTGTTAATAACGGCCCCGATTGGAGATTTATCGTTCCCGCGCGCATACGCATGACATGTTGCGCGAGAACTATATCCGGCTTTACCTGTACTTTCTCATAAAACCCATCTTCCAGCATCGCTTTTGCCCCAGTGAGAAGTTCCTCAGAAGGCTGAAACACGACAATCAGCGTCCCGCGCCAATATTCGCGCGCGGCATGTAGTAGCGTCACCGTCGCTCGGAGACACGTAACATGGCTATCATGCCCGCAGGCATGCATCACAGGGATCCGGGATCCATCGTCTTCGTCGGTGACGAATTTAGTGCTGGCGTAGGGGGGTTGAGTATTTTCTTCTACAGGGAGGGCGTCCATGTCTGCGCGGAGGAGGATTGTGGGACCGGGCCCGTTGTGCAGGATTCAGGCGAGGCCGTGGCCGCCGATGCCTGTGTGGACTTCATAGTCTTGAGGGATTGGAGGTGGGTGGTTGCTAGGTGGGCTGTTTGGGATTCTTGGGCGGAGAGTTCGGGGTTTTGGGTGGATGGCGCCGTAGATGGATTCGAAGGGGGGTTAGGCCGGGGCGGAAGGTGTTGATGAGATCTTTTAGATGGGTTTGATTCTTTATTTGGGTGATTTGAGTGGTCTGTATTGGTGTTAGTGGGTGTGATTCAATAGAGTGGATGTGTAGATTTAGTTGGTATATGCAAGCCGAGTCGTTCATAAGCAAGGAGGCTCTGTTTCATACATGATGTAGCCCTATGGCCTACATCCAAGCCCACTACCTAAGGTACACCTGCAGCGGGCATGGATCAAGGGCTTGCACCCCACTCCACTACCTAGGTAGCTAAATCTCCGACCGAGAATTGTAACAGCCAGTACATAGAAGAAATGTCGAGGAAACTACAAAACAAAGAATGTCGGCAACATTGACTTGAACACAGTAATTACGCCTTTCTTTCGTAGAATATTAAATTCTACAATAATACCCCGGGTCGCGCATAAAACAGGTATTGGTCTAATCTTTACAGGCTACACCATCTTAACTGCCGGAAATATATTCTGCAAGTGCAGCAAGACATATGCTGGCACTGCACTGCATCAGCCTCCTCAAACAGGGATTACTGTATGTAGTTTACTAATCCCCTGCAGATGCAAGTCAACCACATTATTCAAAAAGAATATGATCTGCATGGCTGCTTACCAACATTGATGCTTATTATTCCAACAGACTCGGGGGCAGATAAACCCATGTCCAGCTGAAAAAACACACTTTCAAGTCTAGATGCGGGATAGCACACTCTGCCTTGCGCATTGACCGACCACCATAACCGTCTGCCTGTTTCGACAAAGTTAGTGTAGTATGCTAAGTACTACTGTAGTAACTCTTTGCTTTTTCTATCTGACAGCCATCCTTACATCCCAAGTACCATTACTCTCGGAATCATCTGCCAGTACGGCCCATTTCCCAATTGATGTTTTTTTCTTGGCGCTTACCCGTTCTTCTGATCGGGCCGATCCCCACTTGGTGGGGGCTGTTCCTCCGCCACAGCCACTCAGAACGGCCCGACACCATGAAAAATGCAAAAATGCCAAAAAAAATTGCAAGGCAAAAAAAGAAAGAATCTCAGGTTTTTCTGTAGGAATAGCCGAACGCGGGGGTCGAACCCGCAACCTTGAGATTAAGAGTCTCACGCTCTACCGATTGAGCTAGCCCGGCAGGGCTGGTTGAAGAGTCGATGAAGATATCGGGAGACATGCGTAGAGGGGTTAGAGGGACGGATGAGAGGCATAGAGGTTGGCTGCCAGGGTTGCCCTGAATGTAGGGCCGAGTTCTCAAGTCCCGGTTTACTGGGAGGTCCAGGGACGGTGGGAAATGCCGATAGGTAAGCTGATGAAGGTATCCAACCCGGGTAGAGAGTGGATGGACAAGGGGAGCATTGATCAATCCGAGGTCAAGTCGATTGGGGGCAAGCCCAGAGGACACGGTATTGCTTGAATGCGTTCCAGGTTGCGCCCGGTCCAGGCATCGAGATAAGAGCCATCAACACGAGGCCCATTCGCGGGGGCCTGGAAGGTAGGCAGAAAGGAAAATCAGAGAGGAGGAAAGACTAGGAGTGGAATGTTAGAGAACCGGACGAGAATAGCCCAGTAACTAGATTTCCAAGTATATCCGCTCTCTCGTTGATCAAACCAACTGGTCTGGCCCCAGAAGAGAGATAGAGGGAAGACAGAGGAACGAGGGTTGGCAAGCGGTTCGAGCGGGTGGCTCGTCCAGGAACGAGAGAAGGAAAGGTGTCAGCAACGAGGACGGAGGGGGTGAGACCGTGGCTGGTGAGTACGGGGGATCGAATCACAAGTGACGATAAGTGGTTTCTGTGGCTGGGGCTTAGCAGGATCCTGGCTTGAGAGCACGACATTTCAACCCGGGCGCGATGAGAACTGTGGCTTGGGGCTGATGAGATGAGAGAAACTAGAGAGGGAAGTGGATGGTGGTCGAGGAGGTCGAGACTAGTACACTCCTGGAGTCCTGTGTCAACTTGTAAAGTGATGGACGTGGGGTCCGAAACGAAACCATCGGGGGAGTGATCCCGATCGTCGGGCCTATTCTTAGAGTAGGGTCGAAAACAGATTCGAAAGTTGAAACACCGATTCGTATCGTTTAATTTTGGCATCAACAACGGCTAGGAGAATAATAATGCTTTTCACAGGACAATGGGATGTTTTGCATTTGCATAGCCGTTGCAGTAGACGCTGGGTCATTAAAGACAGCGGCAGCGGGGCAAATCAGCGGGGACTCGGGGGAGGCCGTGGAGACTCGAGAGGAACCGTGAATAGAATCATAGAATGACAGAATGGGCGCGTCGGATCAACTGGTCCTGGATGCAAGTTCACGGGAACCGGTCTTCTGAGATGATTAGTACTGAGTGTGTATGGTGAGCAAATGACGTGAACCTGTTTTTTTTTCCTTTCGTTTTGGGGGGTGTCCCCTGAAAGGAACACGAGACTTGGTTGCGGCGCAGGAACACGAGAGGCTCAAGCCACAGCAGGGGTGGGAAGAGAGAGGAAGAGAAGTGCCAAGGATGACATCTGTAGAGGAAAAGGCGTAGGCAACAGGGCAGATTTGGAGATGGACAAATGACGAAAGGGCGGAAGAGGGGGGGGAAAAGGCGGAGGAAAAGGGAAGATACAGAGTTATCAACTCTGTCATTTACACTTCTAACCTACTATTTACTGAGAAAACATGATGAATACTCGGTATAGTCTGTAATTCAATGGTAAACCGACTGGCATCACCAGTCGAACAGACCGTCGATTGGGGGCTGCCAGCCAATCAGAGACTCGGGCCTCGTCCACACGGCGGTGTCAACTGAGCCACACGCTAGCGGCTTAATGGAGGGAGGAGTGGAGATATTCTGGTATTTAGTCTATTATTGTATGTATTGTTAGTTAGTCTGTTATTTGTTACCAAGTACACTTCGCACGAGATCTGCAAACGCCAGGACCCGCCAGGCTGCCAGGCTGCCATGACCCTATCATCCTATGGTCTAGAAGTATACAAAGTATCAAAAACTATAAAACACCTCCCTCCCCCACCCATCGTGATTCGATTCCATACTTCACACCTCAACATACTTAACTGTCCAACGTCCCACACTTTATACCTCCACTCACATTCATATACTCCCTCATCGACTGTCTACTCATCCATCACCAATTCAATCCATCTCTATCATACCTCCTCGGCGGTCATCCACCGTCTCTCGCGTGATCCTCCAACAATCCGTCACGGTGTCGCCCAATCGCCCCACCACCAATTCTCTTACTCCCTTCTCGCGCGACGATACAGGCAATCCTCCTCGTCGCAGCTTCACTCGACGCTTCTTCAGAATCGGCCGCTCCAACACCATGCCTGGCCCCATCGAGATCGTCGAGCCCCCCGTCGTGGTGCGCGACCTCCACGACGACGAAAAGCTGGTTGTCGACGACTTTGAGCGCCATGTGAGCCACTGCACTCAGTGCGCTCTGGCCCTCGAGTCCGCCAGCGATTCCCTCTGTGAGCGTGGCCAGCACCGCGCCATCGATGTCACCAAGTACCTCTACAGCGTGGATGGAAAACACTTCTCGGTTGTGGACAGGGAGAACAAGAAGCCTATGCGGGTCAAGCTCTTGCGCCAGGGTTCGCATGCTCGCACGTTGATCGAGAACATTGACAAGGGCATGCGTCTGACTTCTCCTCGTCGCGGCCGTGCCCCACCAGTCATGCCTCCTTCTACTCCTCCCCAGTCCTCTCATCGCCGGTCAACTTCCATCCGCAGCTCCTACGATGCTACGTACCCCGTGGGCCCCCGTCGCTCCGGCCCCGTGGTTGAGCACCGTGAGCCTCGCACTCGTTCCAACACACAATCCCCTCAACCCTCACCAAACACCCGCATCATCGAGCGATCCCCGTCCAACAGCAAGCCCCGAGTCGTCGTCTACCCTTCTCCACACACCTCTCCCAACCGCAGTTCCAACAGCCGTGGCTCGCTCTACAACTCGGACCGCCAGGACCGAGTCGATCGTCAATACGAATCGACTCACGTCCGCCGTCACCCCGACTACTACCGTTGAACACCGCTTCCAGCGCAATCTATCTACGAACGCCCCGAATTTGTCGAACCGCTCCAAGATCCAGTTGCTACCAAGCTTCAATTCTCTCCGGACATTGACTGTCCCTCTTGATGGGCCGCAAGCCGGCCATCCCCCATAATGGGAAACTCTTCAAACATGAAGTGGTTCCTCCCATCTGGGCACACCCCCGAATCCGATACAGAACTACCTACAAAATGGCGCTCTGGGACGCAGCCCTTGAAAAAAAAGACGCCCATTTGTTCAGTTCAGCACAATTCGATTCAAAACAGTCATCGTGGGAAATACGTCGGACTCCTAGTCTGGAATCTCCGACGCGGGACTTTCCCCCCTACTGGAATCTCTATACTTCCATTGGGAACCAGTTGGCTTTCACCATTATTGGTCTGCACCCTGTACTGCTCCGCATCTGCATCGATGCAGGAGGGGGTGGGTGGTAGCCAATGAGAGTATAAGGGTATTGTAACCCTTGTTTTTTTGTTCATGCATTACGGTTTCCTGCATGTTGTCATTGGACATTGATTTGTGACTCACTTCTGTGAGAGAAGTGTGTAGTTCATACTGTACTGCATGACTTTGGAGGATTTTCCTGTATTCTCTGCTATGCTATGATATTTTTTTCCTTTGTTATTGTGATGAAAGTGGATTATGTGCAATATGTCCTGTTACGATGATTACTTTATGTGTTGCTTTGATGCCTAGATAGTCCGAACGGAACAAATACCAAACACGTCTGTGTTTCCAAACTCAAAACAAGTCTTCCTTATAGTAAACAGTAATACACTATGAATCAGTGGAGCAACTAAATTTACAGTTCATACATCATACATACATCTACCGAATCCAGCACGAGCCACCCTCAATTCAAGTCCCCGACCCGACTAACCCTGACAGGTGACTCACCTGCGGGGTTCCCTACTGAGTTAAGTTGTGTGTGTGTGGCTGATCTCCGACAAGGCGCACAGGGCTGATCCAAGACATGGAAAACTCTCCTACGATAAGACCCGATTCTACTCTTATCCATCAGTCATACTCGAATCCTCTCGAATTTGAGACTAGGCAGTAGTTACTCAAAGAATCTATTTGATTCTAATGAGGGGGTTTTACCCCTCTTTTCGTAAACTTACCCTTACCCTGGGATGGACAGTATGTATTTTACAAGTGCATTATGTGCCTGCCTGCCTGCAGTATTGATTTACCCCACCAAGCCAGAGGCTCGGCCAGGCCAATCTTGAGTGGACTCGCTGCCTAGAGTCTCGAAACTAAGGTCCACTCTCCCGGAGCCTCATTTGAATCTCAATCTTGACACTTGGACCACCCTTTTCACGATCGTCGTCTGTGCTTTCCAGATCGATATATACAGTTGGGCTGGTCCACTTTGTATATAGATTTGACTTTGCCCGATCGGGTACCCGCTTTTCATACTCGGAGTCTGGATATGGATCCCGCTGTGGCGCATGAAGATGTAGTCATGGCTGATGTTGAAGTTGTAAAGTGTGAAGTGTGAGTGGAGCTGTATTGAGTGTATTTATCACGTTCATGGGAATTCTTGCTACATTTGTGATATCACAAATTGAATGGTGGCCTTGGCTATACTAGTTAACTAAGCCGATTTTCTCATGTGAGAGAGTCCAGTAGAGCGAGCGAAAAATGATGTCCAGTTTAGGGAATGTAGAAGCTATTCCAGAAGTAATGTCATACTGGTACCGGCGGAGGATTTTGCACGCATATGATTTGATGATTTACAGTTTGAATAACCAAGACACAAATGTCCGTAGTAAAGTAATTCCTAATCATCTCAAATATTTACACCTACCCCATCAACAGATTCTCATCATATATACTCTTCGTACTATATCCCAAAGGCCCATAAGCGACCCGTTTAAGCACTAGCACACTGGCCGCTGCTGCAGACCAATTCATCCGAGCAATCATCATTAGAAGAGCAAGAAGCACCTAGAAAAAAAGCATGTTAGTCGAGAAGTTTAATCAATTATCATAGAACCACCATCTTACCAGCACAATGTCCAGCCCACGAGCAAGAACCACCAGAAGTAGACCCCGACGCCGCACACTTCCCACTCTTGCAAACTAGCGCATCAGAGCAGTCATCGTTAGAAGAGCAAGAGCTTCCTATTGTATCTATCAGCGACTAATAAACGGTACACAGCCGGAGAAGGGAGAGGAGTCTTACCAATACAGTGACCAGCCCACGAGCACGAGGTACTAGTCGAGCCGGAGCCGGTGCTGGTAGTGGTAGAAGAGACCTTGGTAGTCAAGGTGGTAGTGGACGGACCGCCACCGGAGACGAGGTTGAGGTTCTTTGCCAACGCGGTGATCAGTTTGTCGCCCATGGAGCGGAGGGTGCTGAAGTTGGTGACGTAGTTTTTGTTAAGGGCGCTGCTGGGGAGGACTGCGTCCTTGCCGGTGAAGAGAATGTCTGTTTTTAAAGGTTAGTAGAGAAGATGGGAGGGTGGACGAGGTTGGAGGGTGGATTAGGTAGGAGGGTCATAAACTCACAGGTGACATCGACACCACCGTGGCCGCTGTTTCCATTCAGGTCGTCGTTGGGGAAGCAGGTGCGAGCCATCAGCCACGAAGCTTCTCCGATGACTTGCGGGCTATCGCCGTCGGTATCACCGTAGATACCGTAGAACATCTTGCCATTGCTGCAGAAGATAAGCTTTCATGTTTGATTCTAGATAGGAAAAACAAGACTTACCAAATGACGGCACCAATGTTGTTTCCAGGGAGGACGTTTGCATAGGTCGTGCCGAACTTGTCGGGGATCACGAAGAAGGGGACCTCGTAGGCGGCCAGAGCACCGAAGTTGGTGTTAGGCTGTCCATCTGGGTTGCCCTTTAAAAAGAAGATATGTTAAATTAGATTCCTATCAGGCATTAATAGAGTACCTCGCTTACCTTGCACTTGTAGTCGAGGCCATCACAGTCCACATCCATATCGGCAACCCAGACAAAGGCAGCACCCTATCAAAGTGGCAGATTAGATTGGTGATTCAAATACAATCAAAAATCTCTCACAGTTATAAATGTACCTCGCTGAAGTTGGTCCAGTCACTGTGAATAGTAGACTTGGGAGCTCCGCCATCACCATTGATAGGATAAGTGGCATCCTTAGCCGCAGTGCTCGCCTTCGCAGCAGCACTCTGCAGCGCCGCAACAGGAACAGTGGTAGCAGCAGCAAAGAAGCTAGCAGGAGGACCAGCGGTTGGGTTATTGTACTGAGAACCATCAACGCTCTGAGCCAGAGCCGAGCCAAACAGCGCCAAAGAGGCGAGGACAGAGGACTTGATCGCCATCGTGATTATGTGATTATGAATTCAAGATAGACGTGAGAGAATGAAGTGGATTGAACTGTTTCAAGCGAGCACCTCTTGAGCTTTTATATACTCGTTTTCCACCTCGGTCACGCGGAATTAAATAGCCCTCCGAGTATCAGCTTTGCCGGACGTCACCTTTACCGCACGAGCCACCCAAAATGGGTGTGACAAGTTCGCTCCGCGTCTCGTATAGGGCAATTGGTGTTCCTGGCCCCCTGCAGAAGACGCTAAACAGGGTCTAGCCGGGGCGAGGGATACACGTGCAAGCGATCGGTGAAGATATACCGTTCGGGTATATGCAACATGCGAGTTAGCGGATGACGGTGGAGCCTGTGCTCGACGTTACTTATCAAGGCGCCACATTTGGAGGCCGAGTGAAGTAAATGCATGATCGTGAAAGATTGGAGGAAATATCACTATCAGAATTGTTTAGTGCTTCTGGATGAGAGGTTCAACCATGAGGGAATTCCCTTCAATTGCAGGTAGCAACCCTGACTTCAAGTCTACAATTCCCTTCACTCTTGAAATGACAGGAACCTCTAACACGCCTCCCAAATCCGCGACGAGGAGTTGAGGACCCTGGATCCCTGTTTCAGCCCCTCTCGCCCGATGTACCCCTGTATCGAGTCCAGCCCCTCCCATTGGCTCCTCACAAGCTTATTTGCAGTCTGGGGAAAACCCGAAGGTAACCTCCTGATTCCTGAAGACTTATCAATATCCACCACACGAATAGGGAAAGACACTGCGCGATACATCCCACTAGACCAAGAACGCACTATACGTAACCATTGAGCTGTATGCTATTATCCATTCTTGGAAGGCGTATTCTCCACCAAGTCTGCATCTCATTCCTGAAGGATTGCCAGATGATCAGATCACCCGCTTAAGCGAGGTAAGATAGTGTACACCGTGGGCCCAGCATGTGGCACGATTGAGGAAGGTTAAGCAATCGTGTCTCAGGCTTGGCACTAGCGAGTGTTGATGCGACCTCGCAGCAGATTTCCGGGCGCAAAGCACCACAATCCTTGTTCACCGGCCGAGTTCGCCGGTGGTATTCGCCGGTGGTGATCGGGGTCTGCTAGGATTCCCACCTGCTCATGAAAGTGTTTCTCAATCGAAGTTGGTTTGTATCTAGGAAGAGTAAACACCAGAATATCAAGAGCATGGAATACGAACACATAGTTCACGGGCGGCATCCTGCCTCAGGCCCGAGGGACCACCGCTAACTACATGACTAATGAAAGCACGTGACACAACCAGTCGGAGTGGACGGTTTTGCCCGACGCCCGCGCTTCGAATTTCCATCTCATCGAACAACGACCCAGTCTCCACGGGACGTCGAGCAAAAATGGCCAAGAAAGGTACGTGACAGCATCCCTCACCCTGCCCCAAATTACTAACCCTTCAAATTCGCGCCCAATGGCTGGAACTCCCATCTTGAACCCGACCCCGGAGCGCAACACCATCCCCGAAGTGAAGCCCGCAACGACGAAAATAGTACCCTGCTAACAAACATGCTCTGAACAGCAAAGTCACGTACCATCACCGTCCGCCTGATCTCTATGGCGATGACGGGTTTTTATCGCACTATGATCCGGCCCCGTGCGCACCGCCCGCTCTCCATGCTCAAGTACGATCCTGTCGTGAAGAAGAAGGTGCTTTTCCTTGAAGCAACCAAGGGTGGAAAGGCGAAATAAGTGGTTTCGAAGTTTGAAAACGATTTCCGATATACCATATTCATCAACTCCCGCGACTCTCTCGGCGTTGGCTGTGTCGAAAGCTCTCGCGACGCAGTTATCGGCCATGCGATTGCCTTTCCCCTTCGTCGAATCGTTCATCTCTGCGCCTTTTGTCGAGGATTGTCTCTCTCGGCGTGGATTTATCTCTGGAGGATACCTCGAGAGGCTGTGTTGGTTATGAAAAGGGGATGTCTGGGCTGAGTGGCCCTATTGTGTACATTATATCCTGGGAAGTGTTGATGAGAGCGATTCTCTCTCAACTGCTCCATTGTACTTCCTTTTGATGGAGCATTGTGTCTGGCGTTTACGAGCATTACAGCTTTGGGTTCTGAATTGGAAATAAATCTTTAATTCCGCTACATAACCTGCGACTTCAAAGTGTGTACTCGCTTTAATGACATGGGGTGGGTCGGTCGACCACAGTGGTAAGGCATGTGCGACAAAACGGATACCTTCCTCTCCAGACATATCGATGACATATACAAATGTCTTATACTATAACATGCTAGCGACTCACGTCTCCCTCTGCGACCGAATGAGCCAGTGCGATCATAACACTAAACGTCAGGAGAAAGCGTGAGGGCATTGTCGGCCAACCGAAAGGAGACCATTTCCGGCCGACAACCTCTAATACTTGAGGGCTCACCCTTCCTGACTGAATCGGGCATTGTAACGGTCTCCTGTTTGCAATAATCAGGACTGGAATTCTCACAAAGCCAAGGAAGGATGATCATTTACCTCGCGAACACCGCTTGCCTCGGCCCCGGGTATTGGACCGACCTACTGCTTCGCTGGTGCTACTGGCAGAGACAAGGCCCTTCGGACTGGCTCGCTGCGGGCCTCTTGTAGCCCGTGTCGGCGGCGCTGTGAACTGCCCCTGCTGGACTTCGATCCCTGAAGCCTGAACCCGACTGTAAGTCCATTTATTGATATGCTTCGTGACTTTTGTAGGTCGCTCCTCTGTTGCGTTCTCGGCGTTCTCGGCTTGGGTGGAGCTCTGAACTTCCGTGGAGGGGACACGAGTGTTGAGAGATCCCTTCCTCTGACTCTCAGTGCTCTCTGTTCGGTGTGGTGCAAAATTAACTGCTTTGCGCTTCGTATTGGCTCGCGTGGGAGGCGGTTCGTTGTCCTGAGGAATATCAAATACCTTTGCCGGATCAGTGACTTCAAGTGGCTTTTTGCTTTCTTCGGTTGTTGCTTCTTCTTGACGGCTCGGGCATGCCTTGTCTTCGTTGACCTTGTGATGTGGCGTTGCGAGCAGAAGCTCATCTGACATAAAGAGCATGGCAAAGTCCGCTGGATCTCCATAGGGCGAGGTGGCTCGCAATGGTGAAAGCTGGCTCTTGAGAGCTGAGAAGGGAACAATGTTGGCTGGAGGCACTCGGGGACCTTCTTCCTCTACAGATGGAACGACAAATGTCTCCTCGAGCTCGTGGATTCTTTCTTGGGCCTGCCGGAGTTGCTCTTGGAGGCCATTCCTTTCCATGCACGAAGCAGCTTCAGCTTGCTGGTACTTCTGGAGCTCCAGAATTTGAGCCTCTACTCGCGCCATGTGCTCGGAGCAAGATTGAGTGAGCTGTTCAATCCGTTGGTCTGTCTCTTGGGCCTGAGTGGATTAGCTGGGCTCTAGAGGATTGAGTGAGTGACATACCAGTGATTCACGCTGTGTTTTCTGATCATCGAATAGACGTTTTGCTTCAACCTTGAGGCAATTAGCTTTATTCCTGCAATCAATGCCGTCAAATGAACTGCCAAATGAACTGCCAAATGAACTGCCAAATGAACTGCCAAATGAACTGCCAAATGAACTGCCAAATGAACTGCCAAATGAACTGCCAAATGAACTGCCAAATGAACTGCCAAATGAACTGCCAAATGAACTGCCAAATGAACTGCCAAATGAACTGTTAAATAATGACTCACCAAAGCACTCTGAACACCGTTCATTTGAGTCATTATCAGCTCGGTATTCTTTTCAAGTTCGTCCTTCTCCGCCTTGAGAGTTCGTAGCTCTTGCTCGTATTTGGCTTGCATCTGGGTTTGGGAGGAGTTATGTTTGGTGGTCAATTCGTGACGGATTCTCTGATCCCTAAGCTCGATTTCACCTTTCAAAGCCGTCTTGTCGATTTCCAACGCCTGATTTCGATTATCAACAGCTCTGCACTTCTCCTTTGCGTCTGTCAGACATTGTTGCAAGTTTTGAATCGTCGCATCTTTTTCGCTTGTCAGTTGGTTGAGACTGTCAATTTCCGAGGCCATCTTGTGGAGTCCTAGTTGGAGCTGCGTGTTCTCGGCAAACCTATCTGCCAATTGTTTCTCAAACTCCGGATTTCCTTTCGGCATTTGAGCTTCCTCTAGCTTTTTACCAAAGTCACCGAATTGTCGAGCAAGCTTGGTTTCAGAATCCAACACGACCTTCACCGAAGCATTGAGGTTCTCCAATGTCGGCTCAATGGCTCCAAGCCTGCCTTTAAGCCATCTGTATGAGGTGCGGCACTCGGCAAGCTGCTGGAAAAGTTGTGAATCGGCACTAAGATGAGACTCAATTGCGTGCAGACTGTCCTGAACGCCCTTGGACACGCCAACATTGACCTTGTTACTGGTCTCAATACTCTCTGTGAGCTTGGTTGCCATGGTGTTGATTCTGGAATTGAATAATTAGCCATGACTTCGAGTTTTTCGCAATCTTGTCGGTGAGACTCACTGAGAAATCACATCTTGGGTGCTGCCTGTGAACTCCTGGACGGAGAGCTTTTCTTCAGAGTACTTTTCGCTCAAGGTCTCGATGGAAGTGCGGCACTGATCGAAAACTGTTTTGGTTGCCGAAAGAATGTCGCACTTGAAAGTGGTCGCATTGGTGGCAATTGACTCTAGCCTTGCATTCAGGTCTTGCATGAGCTTTGCCTGATCTTCTTTGATGAGACCAATCTGCTTTGCTTGAGTCAGAGCGTAGTTCTGGATATATGATTCCAGAGTGGAGCTGCGATTCCGTTCGCTGATCAATTCGGCTTTTGTGCAGTCGTCCTGATCTTGAGCCGCTGTCAAAGCCTGCTGTAGCAGAGCAATGCGTTGTTCTTTTTCGGCGATCTCCTTGCGCTGCTCATCTGCCCTTCCCTCTGCTCGGGCAATCTGGAGCTTTGCATCATCAATGGCTTGGAAGAGCTCGCTCTTCTGCTTTTCCAAACTTGCAGCAGTGGTATTAAGCCGCTCATTGTCCTCTTTCAGGGAATCATGATCATGTCCCAATTCATCAACAACCTGTTTGAACTTGCGGATTTTCAACTTCCAGTCTTCCAGTCGGGTTTGATGTTTGTTAAGCTCCACTTCATTTTTCTGCAGCTGCAAACGACCAGTTTCGAGCCGATGGTGAAGATCTCGATTTTCTTCCTGCAGCTCCAAGATCTTTGTCTCCATTTGGCGTTGAATATTGGCAGCTGTGATCTCATTCTCCTCGCGCTGTCTGATTCTGCCAATGAGCATTTCGAACAAGGTATCCTCAGTGAGCTGATGAAGACCCGATTTGTTGCCTGAGATCGATCTTTGCTGCCGGGTGAGAGCAGATCTGCGATTCCCGCGCCGAGACTTGGAATCTCGGAGGCTCTCCCTTTGTCGAGCAGGGGCTCGAGGTGGGGGATGGTTCTGGACTGCTGATACATGTCGATCCCGATCTTGCAGAGGACGGGATGCGGTGTCTCGGGAAACTGTGGCCTGTTTTCGATTAGAATTCATCAATTGATATCTTGTCTGGCATTCTTACCGGAATGCTGCTGTTGGCGACTGCTTGTGTGGTCAAGGCAGTCTCACTTTCTGCTTCCAGATCGATGACCTCCTGTCCCTTTGCCGAATTTGCATTTTCCGAGTTATCTGGGCTTGCGCCCTCGGTGATCGGCAGGTTTGAATCCTTGTGAGCGATCTTTGAAGTCTGTGGATGATCTTTGGGCTGTGGACATGGAGTACGTTCAGCAAGATATTGCTCCAGGCTCGGCTGTCTCGGATTGGCGATTGACTTAGATGAGCTATTGCGTTGCAATATGAGTCACCAAACTCATCTCAATAATGTTCAAGGTTCAACATACACTTCCTTCTCCCGTCTCGCCATCTGCTTCTGCGACTCCACCCCGCCAACTTGCTCAAGGGAGGTACGACCATGCGGAGGCAATCGGGGCATTGGCTTCAGGGTGAATCCCTTGGGCTGGTTCGCCGGTCTAGCAAATGAGAAGTTTGTCACATCGATGATGGAGCTCTGGGGACGTTGCATGAGGGCTGGCTTCTTTCTGCTTGGCTGACCATTGGATAGTGGCAGGGTTCGTTTCGGAGGAGGGAAGTGAGGCGAGACATCCTCCGTTGGCAAATTTGACAAATCTGGCTCCATTTGGAACTCAATTCCTCACAGAAAGATAGGCAATGAATGTTTTTCAGGAGTCGTTGAGTAAGATGAGGATTGGACGTTGGATGTCGAAGTACAATTGAGGCAGGTACGGATGTCCCGTGACTGCGCCCATGACTAGCGACGAACCTCCGTGCCGACATTCCCATTGTGATATATTGAACAGACCTGAAAATTCAGATCTCTATGGAGTAAATTTGAGAAGATTTTGAGTTGATCGTACTTTAATTTTCGGTGCGAGAACGATTGAAGCAGTATGAGTTTCCTGAGCCTAGTCGAGCGACCCAATTCCATGTACACTTCAGTGTTATGGTATTGGCTGAGCTGAATTGGCTCTGAATATAGTAAATAATTCACTCGTCACTATCCGAGTCAGACTAAAAGCGTTAGAGATGTAATTGGCAGCGAAGCCCGGACGTCTCGGGTATGTACAGCGGATACATGCGTGCCCGAATCGGCGAAATTGCTGAGCTGTTACTCAATTGGAATTGTGTGTTGAGAGTGACCTAGTAACTACTGTCTTATTGAGACTGTGTAGTCTGTGTAGCATGAAAGCTCTATAGTTGTAAAACACACAAGCCACTTCGTCATACGCGACTGCCCTAATTGTGGATGAAGACACATGAACTCCGCAGCCCTATCATACTCTCTTGACAGCATCACCGCCAATATGCCAAGGACACTAAGATTGAATTTCACCTACGCAAGCAAATGAAAATGTAACCCGGTAGTTGTCCCACTATAGTCCACCATCAGAAGATCAGTGGGCCAGGCCGAAGGCCAAGAAATGCTGAGCTCCCAAAGTAGGCGGGTAGAGATACCTCAGAACTGCCCACTTTGTTTGTTCAACTTCGACCCTATCAACACATATCATCGTTAGAGATAGACTCACAGAGTAGCCGATCATGATCGGAGTAATGTCTACATGTGGCGCCATCCACGAGGATCTGATTCATGCGACTCATACAATCTAGGGACTAGGACGGGTACGTAGGATGAGCAGCATTACGGAGTAAGAACTATTATTTCGATACTAGCCAATCCCAGCCAGCCCTACCAAAATATCTCCATGAAATTGAATCCCTGACCATCAGCTCCAAACTGACAAGGATTCTAACTTTCTCCATAGCCCCCAAAGGCGGCGAACTTGCGAACCTGAAACCGCCCGTTTCAGCGTGGACCACATCTTCTTTGTCATGGCGCAGATGAAACAGCGGACTGGGATTCTGTCGATTATTGCCCACTGTGGAACCAGGAGTAGGGAACGGTGTGGGAAGTGACCAGTCATTCTGTACGAGGGCAGGAAGGTCTTTCGAATATTCCGCGGGTGTTCCACGGATATTCCTGTGTGACTAGTCAATAATCAGCACTCCGTAGAGTCTGATCAATCATCCGTCTGACTACAAAGGGGTGGTTCTTCGGCTGAGCTCGTCAGCCGAGATGCATGAGCAGTCAAGCCAGTCAAGCCCTCTGGTTGGCTTGCATATGCGATTGAGGGCGGTCAAGAACGTGGCGGCCACGAGACACGAAGATCGAAAGTCTCGAAGAATCAAGAAACTCGCGTGGCGAGAAGCTGAGGTCTTAAATTGAAATTCGCACAGTAGAAATATTGTAGAAGGAGATGGCGAGTTCATGATTTATTTGTCACCCGTAATCTTTGAATCAATTGCCTGACTATTGAATTATTTGTAGCAAGGGCTTGTACTATATCGGCATCATGCTCCTCATGGCTAGGCCAATGTGCTGCAGGTGCATGCCGGGATCTGGTTGGCTCGATCTCGGGCTGCATTAACGAATAACTAGTCCAGTCTTTGATGCGCGTCGGAAGAAGTAAATCAGACATTCATGTTTGGTGAGACGAAGAGGAACCCGGGCGAGACCCCTCTATAGACTACAGCTCATGCTCAATCCCGATATCTTCCTGACCATTGGACCCCACTCACGAACTCTGTCCACAATTTACCTGACAGGTCAGCATTGGCCGTTTCGGAGAGCGAAAACAGTCTCTTGGTCAAGACGTTTCTGTGGACAAAATATCCGAAACTATCGTAGCCACTATATAGCCCAATTGATATGGCCGCAGTTGGCGAGCTCGCGACTGGCTGTGGTAAAGTAGCCAGCCAGTGGTGGATTGGGCTATCCAAAAGCCTCTCCACCTGGTCAAGCCGCCGTCGAACTAACCATGATCCTCGCCCCATCCACTACTGGGGGAAGTTGGCTTTCTCCCTTTTTTTTTTCGCCTCCCCGTGGGTCCCTAGTTCTTCGCCTGTTCCGGTAATGCTCGACAACCTCGGGATAGCTAAACAGTATTATGCTACTGCTGGACGGGGAAGTAGGAGTCGTGATCCTGTGATTTAAGGCCTGGGGAAGACTAGCATGGAGATGGAAAGGCGTTCACCATCATTTTAAACATAGAACCAAAGGGGTCAGCCTAGACCAGAAGAGTAGAAGAGGCATGTAGATCGGCGTCAGACCAAGACGACTTCGTGTTAATTGCTTTCCAGGTTTCCACTACGGAGTACTCTTTCTCCCCTCCTCCCCCCCCTATTCTCATAATTCATGATTCTGTCTTGATTGGTTCTGGTGAGTCCAAAAAATACTGCCAACTGACCTGTTCTGCCTGTTTCCCTGACCGCTCGGCGCTCCCCTTTCTTTCCCGTTCAGACAAGACGCAATCGAATCTGGACACGACGAGCTGCGAAACCTGCGAGCTGCGAGACATTTCAACCACTCTTCTCATTCGACCCGTTCCATATCCCATTGTTCCTCTCCGATCCCGCGACCGTGGCTGACTCTCCCGATCCTATCCAACTTCCAACCCTCTCCCGATCCCGTTCCAACGGCGCGCTTGGGACTCCCCTTCGCTCTCGGGCCCTCACCTTGTTCGCGAAATATACATAATCCAGTTCTTCTGCTGCAGTCCGGTCAATTTTGATTTCTGCATCATTGGAACCATTCGGCAATTCCCTGTCCACCACCACCTATCATTTTTCACGACCCTACCTGCTCCTCGACTTCCCCGTCTTTGGCTCGACCCGAATCATTGAAACCCCCGCTTCGTGATCCTACCTCCGGGATCCTACATTCGACCTTTTCTCATGGACGTCGGAGGTTGAATTCACCATTTACAATCTCACAACTTCCTTTCGTTTGTCAGGTTTCCTTCATCGGCGCATTTGACCTGGACGTCCCATCTTCCCGAGGTTCCACAAATCAGTGTGATGTGGCTAGGAAACATTTGGTGGAAATAGTTTATCTTCGGTCATCGTTTGTCCCCCGTTCAACAAGATGGGTAATTCTCAGGGGAAGCCGGTGGCTTGCGATGATGCGGGTATGTTGAGCAGAAACCCGTTCAATTTGCAAACCGAACACGCGTAGAAGGGCTCCAGAAGCCCCGACGGCTCGGGTTGAGAAAAGCAATATACTGACCTCCCGCGAAATAGTCAACCTCAACCATTTCCGCCTCCTTCGCGTGGTCGGCAAGGGTGCTTTCGGCAAAGTCCGTATTGTGGAGAGGAAGGATACTGGGTTAACATTTGCTCTCAAGTATATTCGCAAAGAAGAGGGTATGCTTGAATCCCCCCGCGATTCCCGACATTCCGCTATCCGCAGCCCCCAACTAATTCCTTTTTATTCTAGTTGTCCGGTCAGAAAGTGTACGAAACATTATTCGTGAACGCCGAATGTTGGAGCACTTGAACCATCCGTTCCTTTGCAACTTGCGGTACAGCTTCCAGGACATGGAATACATGTGAGTCTCGGCCCTGCTATCCATTTTCAGCTAGTGTGTGAGAGCTGACCCCTCTATTTTAGCTACATTGTAGTGGATCTGATGAATGGCGGCGATCTTCGGTTTCATATTTCGCGGAAGTGTTTCACTGAGGAGGCAGTGCGGTTTTGGATGGCAGAGCTGGCTTGTGCCCTGAGGTATATCCACTCTCAGGGTATTATCCATCGTGATCTCAAGCCCGACAATGTGCTGTTGGATTCGGAAGGACATGTTCACTTGGCTGATTTCGTATGTGTTACAATCCTTGAATGTCTAACCACAGGGTCACTAACCGTCCCTATCTCATCTAGAATGTCGCGTCAGACTTCCGACCGGGAAAGCCTCTCACGAGCAAGTCGGGAACATTGGCTTATCTAGCTCCGGAGGTGTATGAGGGTGGTGGTTACTACTTTGAAGTCGATTGGTGGTCGTTAGGTGTCACCTTCTATGAGTGCATCTACAACAAGGTATGTGACTTTTCGACATCGGCCCCTTATCTATCCATCTAGGCTAACACCTTGCGCAGCGACCATTCGAGGGCCGTAGCCAAGAGACTCTCAGCGAGAACATCAAGAGAGCGCAGCCCAAATACTATGTCACCAATCCCGCTGTCTCCGTCCCCTGTCTCCGAGCCTTGTCAGCATTGATGGAGAAGGACCGTAGTCGACGTATTGGCGCCATTGGCTTCGAAAGTTTCACCTCGCACATGTTCTTTGCAGATATCGACTTTGATGCGCTCGAGCGGAAAGAGTACTCTCCTGTATTCCGTCCCTCCAGTGATAAAACCAACTTCGATGCAACCTACGATCTGGAGGAGTTACTGCTGGAAGAAGCACCCCTGGAGGCTCGCGCTCGTCGGCAAAAGCCACGTGCGGAATTGCGCGAGGATGCAACGGCCAAGGAGGTCCGTGAGGACGAGCTCCATCGTTTGATTGAGACGATGTTTGAGCCGTTTGATTATACCCTTGTTAGCTTCCAAGTCAAGGCCGCGGAAGCTATTGCTGCGACAACGTAAGTGGACTAGTTTGACGACCATGCTTACCGACTTGCTAACGCACCCTTTCTAGTAACCCCGAAGACTGCTTCCCCATTCCTACCGCGACCTCCACTTCTCATTCCCGTCAACTTTCACAACCTGAATCCTCCGCTCGAAACTCGTCCCCACCGCAGCATGAGCGTTCCTTCCACGCCATCTCCCACAATGACAACCTGACAAGTGTCAGCGAGAACCTCGATCCCAATGACTCGGTTTCTGGTCATCCACCACCCTCACCTTCGACTCGTGCTTCGCCCTCGCCCCCGCCTCCACCAATGCCTCCGGCCCCGTCTTTCCACCGCCCATTACCCCCGGCGCCTCGGCCCGGCGGTGCTACAAGAAAGATGAGCAAGGGAGGCGGTGTACAAATGGTCCTGGAGGAGGCAGGCAGCTGGAGCGAGCTCGCAAATCACAGCTCTACCCTCCCAGCCGAGGGCTTTGAGGGTGCGGGCAAGGGCAAGCAATCCAACAGCGGCATGCTTTCATTCCTAAGCAGAAAGAAGGGCCGTGATCGCAGCCCCAAGCCTACAGAGCCGGGTGTTTTGGGCAAGGAAGGTGCCCGACAGATCATCAGCTGAAGCACTTGATCCTCCAAAAGAAGTTGGGCCCGGCGAACATTTCCCAGAGACAAGCTTCTCTACGAATGAGTCTTCAGGCTCTTGTTGCATTGACCGTGGTTTACCTCGGACATAATCTCACCCGACCTTACTGTGTGTATCAGACTCTCGCGGTGTTTGCCTCTTCAAAATTACAGGGCCGGACGTGGTCAGTAGCCCGCCCAGTGCGATCTACTCCACTCCATCGCCCTGCTCGCTGCCAGTCTGATTCGCTCGACCGTCGCAATGACCACCTTATCATAATGTTGGGCAGACTATGCCTGGACCGTACTTGTGGATAACTTCGAACCACGCATTCATTCCGCATTATCTTCATGCAGGAAAGATCATGGATGGTCTCGCCTGTGGCAATCCACTGCCTCGATTTTCATTCTTCTAGATTCCCCGGACCCAGCGACAAGTCAAATTTATTGATTTTTATTTGATTTCTTTTGCCTGTTTTCTTTTACATCATACTCATTCATGCTTTCATCTTCCATACTCATCAACAAACTGTACAGATGGACATGTTCCTCGATTGACGATTCCATATTGTCAATGACCAATGCTGGTAGGCTTTCTGAACCAGGCAGTTCACCTTTCGACGCTACGTTTTTATCAATCATCTGTGACCATTTCTTTTTCTTTGTTGGAGTTTTCATACCCTGATTTTATTGATTGATACAACACACACGTTTCCTCTTCGGTTTGTGTTTATTCTTTTTTCTGTCTTCTGGTGTATTAGAAAGGATGGGAGCTTGCTGCATTGTACTTGGAGGTGGTCAGTGAAATAAGTGTATTTTAATGTGTCCTCAATGCCATGTCTCAGTGAAATACGATATATCGTGTCAAATCTTCCTGAGTAATATTTCCAACTAGATAGTTAATGTACTAATGTAACTTGAGCCCTTGGCATCAGCAATTGACATCATAATGTTTTAGGATATGGGCAAAACCAGCTCAGCCATGCAATGAACTATTTCGGCATCAAGATCCACCCGAATTAGTTGCTGCGCAACGAGAGCTCCACCAAGATCACGATATGGCAGCATCGCGAATCTCAAGACCAAATAAATCATCTCGATCGGACTCCAATTCCTCGTCTAATACCCGGCCAAGCAAGCCAAGCGCTGCCAACACGGATTGCGTGTCCTGCTTTTCCTGTTTACGTCGCCACTCTGCACTAACACGCATGGGGTAAAAGCAAAACACCAAATCGCCGAGATTCAACCTCCAGCTCAGCTCAACACAAGAAGCTACACTCGAGCTCAGAAACAGCCTCGACCACGACTGATGACCGCCTAATTGACGATAACTCAACTCCAAAGGCCTAATCCCGCACCGCATACCACACGTCAACCCCCTTCCACGTTTCGTTTCGCGGGGAAATTACCCACCTCCACAAGCATCCCGCGGCCAGCATTCCTCGCCCACGATCTTCCCCTGAACAGTCGAAAAAGGTCAAGGATCGGCCCGGCGCAGGGCACGAGGCCCCATACCAGCCATTCACGGCGCATACCTAAAACCAGACAACTCGCATGCCGGGTGAATCACGCAGCCGGGACCGCCACGGCGGGCGCGAGCGCGAGCGAGACCGGGCACGCGAGCGCGAACGAGAGCGCCGACGAGAACGTGATCGCGAGCGCGAATATATCCGCGGCCACTACGATGAAGACAACGAAGGCGCGGCGTCTAGCCCTGGCCAGGCACGTGGCAAATACAGATTCCGCGGGGAAGAGGGCTACGAGTCTTACGATAATGGCGAGCGGGGTGGGAGTGACTATGATGAGCGGCGAAGACGGGAGAGACGGGAGAGGAGACGGCAGCGTGAGCGTGAGGAGGAGAGGGGGTATAGTGATGCTAATGCTGTGGAGGGACGGCGGAGGGAGAGGGAGAGATCTAAAGCGAAAGAGTCACCTGCTACATCACCGATTAAAAAGCGGGATCGCGAACGAGATCGGGATGGATATCGTCGGCGCCGGGATATTGAGGACCAGGGGAGTCCGGCGAAGGATGTAAGGGAGAGACGGCATAAGACACGTGGAGAGGAAAGCGAGAAGGAACGGGAGAGATCGCGGGATGTTGTTGAGTCTGAAGCTCGACGGCAACGACGGAAAGCTCGTGAAAGGGAGGAGCGGCGCGATCGTGAATGGGAGCGAGAAGCTGCTGCTGCGGCGGCTGTTGCTAGTAAGCATCGGAGTACGGAGTCGACGAGCAGTGCGTCTCATTTGCTTAGTGCCGATGCAATGGCGCGATTAGCGTCTGAGCATGAGGATGGTGATCGGCGCGAAAGATCTCGAGATGAGGATGAGGCGAGACGTGAGCGGCGACGACAAAGGAAAAAGGCCGCATTGGCTGGTGCAGGAGTTGCTGCTGCGGGTGCTCTTGCTGCAGATGTGGCCGAGGGGAGATCAAGGCATAAGTCTGGAGCTCGTGTTGTCTCCGGCGCATACCTGGAAGAAGGGAGGAGTCCTGAAATGAAGATGCGTCGCCGTGGAGGAGGTGGGCCTGCGATGGAGGATGATTGGAAACATGAAGATAGCTGGGAAGGCAGTCATGACAGCGGCGATCAACAGCCAAAGTGGAAGTTTTGGGCCTCTTGGTCGAAAAAGAAGCGGCTGGTCGTTGGAGGTATAGTTGGTGTGCTGTTGCTGCTGGCTATTATCATCCCCGTCGCTGTGCTGGAGGCGAATAAGAACAGTGGTTCGGACTCTTCGAGCAGCTCGTCCAGTTCAGGTTCATCTAACTCGAATCTCGATGGGATCAGCCGAGATAGCATTCCGGTAAGTCTGATCGAACTCTACTTTGATAGCCCTTCTTATTGACTTCTCTATAGTCTTATGCCCAAGGTACGGTCCTTGATCCATTTACTTGGTACGAGACCGAAGGGTTCAATGTCACTTTCACCAATGAGACTGTTGGCGGCTTGTACATCATGGGCCTCAACTCAACATGGGATGACTCTGCCAGGGCAAACGCGAATGTCCCACCTTTGAACCAAAAATTCCCATATGGTTCACAACCAATCCGCGGTGTTAACCTCGGTGGATGGCTCTCCATCGAACCCTTCATCACACCATCTCTATTCGCGGGGTACTCCTCCAGTGTCATCGACGAATGGACGCTCACAACGCAGCTGGGCTCCGCTGCAGCAACAACGATTGAGAAGCACTATGCAACTTTCCTCTCCGAATCAGACTTTGCCGAGATCAAAGACGCTGGAATCGACCATGTCCGCATCCCATATTCTTACTGGGCCGTGACAACCTACGACGGCGACCCCTATGTTGCCAAAATATCCTGGCGCTACCTTTTGCGCGCGATCGAGTATTGTCGCAAATATGGAATTCGCGTGAAGCTGGATCTTCACGGTCTTCCTGGCAGTCAGAATGGATGGAATCACAGTGGCCACCAAGGGAAAGTCGACTGGATAGAGGGGACAAATGGTGCCTTGAACCGAAAGCGATCGCTGGAAGTTCACGACCAACTGTCCCAGTTTTTTGCACAGGATCGTTACAAGAATATTGTGACAATCTATGGCCTGGCCAATGAACCTCTCATGCTCTCGCTTCCTGTCGAGAAGGTTCTAAATTGGACTCAAGAAGCGGCGGAGCTTGTTCGCAAAAATGGAGTTGAAGCGGCGATAGTCCTCCATGACGGATTCCTTAACCTCGACAAGTGGGATAACATGTTCAAGGATCATCCTGACAACATGTACCTCGACACCCATCAATACACCACCTTTAACACCGGCGAAATCGTCCTCAACCACACCGCCAAGATCCAAATCATCTGCAACAGCTGGTACTCTATGATCAAGAATATCAACAGCACCAGCACTGGGTAAGTTCCATCATCCTCCTCCCCTCCTCTTCCATCCTCAGCCAAACTAACAGCCACTAGATGGGGTCCCACAATCTGCGGCGAATGGTCCCAAGCCGACACCGACTGCGCCCAATACCTCAACAACGTCGGCCGCGGTACCCGCTGGGAAGGATCCTACGACACCAGTTCATCAACCGCATACTGTCCCACCGCCGACGCAGGGACATGTAGCTGCAATAATGCCAACGCCGACGTTGCCGATTACTCGGACGAGTACAAAAAGTGGCTTCAAACTTACGCCGAAGCTCAGATGTCTGCTTTCGAGACCGCGCAGGGTTGGTTCTACTGGACGTGGCGGACAGAGTCTGCGGCGCAGTGGAGTTATCGTACGGCGTGGAAGAATGGGTTTATGCCGAAGAAGGCTTATTCGCCTTCTTTTAAGTGTGGAGATACTGTGCCTGATTTCGGGACTTTGGGTTTGCCGGAGTATTATTGATGTTATTGTCATGATATAAGTGATGGCATCCAACCTTTGGATGTGATTTTGTTTTGTTATTGTTATTTTGCATCTGCATTGGTTCATCTGCATATCACCGTGCATGTTTTGGATTTGAGTGCAATTTTAGATCATCATACCCTGGGGATTTCAATTGAACTTTATACGGTTATGGCTTACTGCCAACAAGTACTTCAGAATCTCGCTTCGTTCTGATTGGTTCAACTGGAGGAGGAGCTACTTACAATCTAGATAGAAGTTAACAGTCGGCCATTAATAGATCGACGGTAAATGTTGCCTTCCAGCCTTTAATTGTTGTCGACCATGAAGACGCTCTACAACTCTCCAAAACACTCCTTCTGCATCTCCAACACCCCATTCAACATCTTCACCTTCTTCGCCCTCGTCTCCGCCGATATCCCCACCCCGTACGCCTCCTCTGTCTGCTTAACAACCGTCTCCCTCCACTTCTCCTGATCTCTCCCTTCACTATCATCCCGACTCATTATTTCCCTCTCCTCCTCCGTCAAAATAACCGGCTGCCCCAACTGCCCCCAAACATCTTTCACCGTCGGCGCTAACTTCTCCAAAAACGCACCTATCCCACCTTCCCCACCGCCAGCATGATAACTTTCAAACACGCCGCTACCAGCCCAGCGGGGACCCAGACTGGATGTGACGATTGCGTCAAGATCACGGGCTGAGACTACGCCTTCGCCGACAAGGTAGCATGCTTCACGGAGAAGGGCGAAAGCGAGTCTATTTCCGACAAAGCCGGGGATTTCTTTTTGGAGAGTGACCGGGCGGTAATGTTGTGATGATGCTGATGCTGATGTTGAAGGGGTTTGAGATGTAATGCTGTACGATTGTCCCGCTCTTGGTCCTGGAATAGCCTTGAAATACTCCTGGACAAAGGTCACTCGGTCTGGTGCTGTGTTTGGGCTAGGCACTACCTCAATGAGAGGCATGATGTGTGGGGGATTGAATGGGTGGGCGATGAGGAGTCTTGCTTGTACGTCGGCTGTGCATGTCGCCGCCTGCGCTGAGGCGGGAATACCGGATGAACTACTCCAGAGGTGGGCGTTTATGTTTGCGGAGCGAGTCACCTCGGCCCAGAGGGCTTGCTTGGAGGAGAGCAGTTCGGGGGTTTGTTCCTGGATGATGGTTGCATTTTGGATCGTTTCGTGGATGGAGGATGCTAGGCGGAGGCGGTTTGTGGAGATGAGAGTGTCGATGAGGGTATCTGACGATAAATCATGTAAAGAAGAAGTTGGATTGGAATTGGAGGAGGTATATTGTGAAGAATCGAGGAATGAGGGGAGTTGTGCGCGGAGTTGGTCTTCGGCATCGGGTCGCGGGTCGAAGACTGTTACGCGAGTATCGGGGCGTCGGAGGTGCATGGCTAGCATTGACAGACCAATGGTGCCAGCGCCCAGGAGGGCAATATGATGAGGGTATTTAGACATTGCAATTTGTAGTCTGCGAGAGAATTGGAGCCCTATACAAGAGGGATAAAATAACGAGGAGTATAGAGGGGGGTTCGCTAGTGCGGGGAGAGTAGCGGACCAGGTGGGGAGGATGAGCCTCGGTAAAGTTGTTTGTTCATACTAACCTCCAAGAGAGGCATATCTATGGTCAATTAGGGATTGAAACTTTATAAATAGCTAACGTTAGATTGATATTGCTTCTTTTTGACATTTATCTAGAGCAATCAAAGAGAGTAGCCGGTAGTACCCTTATTCCTCTCATATTCCAGGGCACTCGAATGGAAAGCTTAATAAGCAATGCTTTGGACCTGGCCAGGTTAGTTAGGTACCTAACTACCCGGAGGGTGCAGGATTCCTCCTCATTTTGTCAACTCCTGGCTCCATCAGTCAATCTCATCATCAACACTCGACCTGTTAGCGAGAGCCTTTTGCAGGGCGCATACCTCATTCCAGCTATAAGAAGGCTATTCCAACTATCGCGTAACCCAATCCCAATCTCCATGGCGCTTCACTCGAAGTACCACCTCCGGTCAGAGGCCGGATGGACGGTCTGGATAGGGCACATTCAAGCAGTTGCACAGATGAAGGATGTATGGCACTACATGGATCCAAATCTGCCGGATGAAAGCATCACTAAGCTACCTGGCTGGCCTGAAGAGCCCGAATTCCCTGATTTTGCTCGCCCGGATTCAGACGCTGACATTGATTCGAATCTCCGCAAAAGGCTCATTGATAAATACACTCGAATGGTTGAGGAACACAAGAAAAAGCTTCATCAACACGAGCACATCCTGGATTCTCTCAGCAATTTGAACGTCCTCATTATTCAAACGGTTTCTCCAACTTTACGCAAATCTTTAGTCATATCGAAGACTCCTCGAGAGAAGCTAGTGACGTTAGCTCGAATTTTAGGGACGGACCGTCGAATAGCCCCCAAAAAGGCGAAACCGCGCATCCCGTATCATGTCCCGCGACACAAACAAAAGGAGAAGAACTCTGAGCGATCAGATCAGGACGTTGACCTTGGACTCATGTCAAAGCCCTGGGAATGCCGTCTACGCTCCCAAGCCCAGTGGATGCGCTGGATCAGGTACATACAAATTCGGGCATCTTGTCGCAAAATGTGGCCCTATATAGACCCCGAGCTATCAGAAGATCAGGTCAAGAAGACCCCCCAACGGTTCGAGGAGCTGAAAATGCCTCACCCTAGTGATATCAAACCAGGCGTCCAGAATGAGGAAGATCTTGAAGACGGCGATTATGAGAAGTTCACCCGGCTGGTGTTGGTGTATGAGATAGAAGTCTCTCACCGACGGTACTTTGAGGAGAACCTTTCTTTCGTGAATGAGTTAATCGTACTCTCTCTAGCTGCAGAGTATCATTACCTGATCGCCGACCGGCAATCTCCGAGAGACAAGCTGTTGAGGTTAGCAAAGCTCTTTCGTCCAAAGCCGAAAATACACCAGAACAACATACGGAACGATTGGAGGAAGATGATGCTCTCATCACCATCAAAAAGCAATGTGGAAGCCTGGATATGGAAATGGTTGCCTATCTACGAAGACGCAAAGGCTGCCAAGGTCCCTGAATTTAGCTGTGGGGACAAGCCACCTATCTGTGACTTCCTATCTGCTGTTCTGAAAACCGGGCCAATGGGCGAGTGCTTCTTCCTTCTGTGGCGTCGTGAAATTGAAAAAGAGGAACATTCATTTCTTGACGTGTTGATAGCCTATAGTCACACTCACTAGGCCGGGGTGTATACTATGTACGATCCATTGCTTGAGCTGGCCTCATGGCTACCCTCTGCCCGTATTTACTCCAACAAACCGGCGCATTGCCCAAAAGAAGATTTTACATAGCTGCAAAATATGCCTGTTTGAATTCAGTGAATTTTCAGCTCGTCAACGTGTGGTATTTATGAATATGTAAATGCTGTCTAACTATGTCATAACCCTCTTAATTATTTCCTGCGAACCAACCACCCTGCTCCCACATCCCCGGTCGATAGAAACATGAACGTCGTATTTCCGTAGATTTTACACCTCCAAGAAGCTCATAAATTCTTTGAAAATCAATGGGTTTCATGATCCATCCATCAAAGCCAGAGTCGATGTAAGTTTGTCGGTCCTTTTCCAAGAGCGAGGCAGAGACCGCGAAGATTGGTACATAATCATGGCCCAAATAGGCCTGGACCTCGTACTCTCGAATCATCTTGGCAGCGGATAGACCATCAACTATTGGCATCTAGTGCAATAGGTTAGTTTAAGACTTTCAAAGGTTCAAGGGCTTTTTCATACCTGCAGGTCCATCAAGATCGCATCATAGGAGCTGGGATTCTCACGGTACACAGCAGCGCATTCCTTGCCATTGCCCGTCAATCGAATCTGGTACCCGAACTTCTCCAATCGTTTCTTCAGGATGGTACTGTTGACAGGGTCGTCTTCGGCAACCAGAACGTGCAATTTGGAGTTTGCGTTCATGTCGGCTGTCGTGGTCTCGGGTTCTTCAGTTGGCGCCTTGGGCTCTTTGAGCAGAACACGAGTCTTTTCCTCTTTTTCTTGCTCAGGAGCGGTGCAAAGACCCTAAGGCAGCAGTTAGCCTCTTTCTATTGACTCGAGGATCTTGTTGAATTGATAGACTGTCGGTTGTCACTCACTTCTATGGCTTTGGTCCTTTTGTCTGATGCTGAGTGCGGGGCAGCCAAGGTGATACTGCGGGATTCGCCGTTTGTCAGATTAATCTCGACATCCAAGCAGTTGCTGTCTTTTTGCCCAGGTCCAGGTCCAGGGAAGCTGTCATCGCCACAGCGACATGGTATGCCGCTCTTTCCCTCGGCAATACTCTCAGTTGGAGCTTGGTTTGTGTCGTTCTTTTGGTGACATGCTTGGTGTCCACAGCTGCCACCACCCGCCACATTGGTTTTGGCACCTTCCTCAGACGGCAATGGGAACTTGAGTCGAAGCTTAAAGCAGCTGCCAGTCCCTTTTTCAGACTTGAGGCTAAGCTGCCCATCCATGTTCCGCACAATGCGTGCAACAAGGGCAAGTCCCAACCCGAGGACACTACTGGATTCCATAGCACGTGTGTCGCAGGTTCCTCCACTCAAATTTGGCTTTTGAATGTACTCTTCGTTGGAGACCTGTTCCAGCTCGCAGAATAAAGTCTCCACTGTCTCCTGAGACATTCCGGCGCCAGTGTCGTGAATAGCGACCTCCACGGAAATGTACCCAGGTTCGCACGGCTCGGGTATAATGCATGATTCGATCGTGACAGCGCCCGACGAAGTGTGTTGAACGGCGTTGCTGATGAGATTGGTGATGACCTGTCGTACCCGTCGTTGGTCGCCGAGTACCGGAGGCAGCTCCGAATGCTGCACGACTTGGAGATTTACATTCTTTTGCTTGGCCTCCTCCCAGAAGATATTAGTCGCCTCACAAAGAGTTTCAGAGAGATTAAAGACCTCGTCCTTGATGAGTCTTTGTCCGTTCTCTGCGTTTGTGAGATCCAGGAGATCGTTGATGATGTATACCAATGACTTTGACGCTGAATGAGACCTAGATAAGTTCTCCCTGGTCTCTTGATTGAGGGAGCTATCTAGCGCGATCTCGAGATAGTTGATAATGGCGTTAAGTGGTGTGCGGAACTCGTGTGCGGTGTTGGCTAACAGAAGCCTCATCAGCTGGTTATTCTGCATTGTGACCTCTCTCTCTTGCCAAATATTCGTGAATGTTCGATACAAGAGCGTCAGCATCGAGGCCTTTCCAAATTCTGCGGCCGACCATTCTGATGGTCGGGATCCGAGGCCGAGGGCATCGTTGTCCTGGTTTACTTTCGGTTGACTCCGAAAGAAAACGATAAAGTCATGCCCATTAGCTGACAATGGGATATAGAGCAGGCTAGCCAAGTGTTGGAAGCCGGGAGAATAGTCGAGATCTTCAAAATCAGACGCGAGATCCGTGGACCACAGGACTGTCTCAATCTCTTTAGCTCGTAGGTATTCCAGAAGAGCCAAAAGTTCTTGCGAGTCGGCCGGTTTACCCAAGACCTTTACTTTTCCCAGAATGGACGCCGCGGCATAATCGGAGCCGAAGAGGCCTAGAAGGTCACCAGAAGGACAAACGATCTCCTCCGAAGTTGACTCGCCGGCTGGTGAATTCTGATCTTTTACTTGGAATGGCAATGTATACGAGAGACGCTCGATGTTGCTGGAAACTGCTTCACCAATCAACCAGCTTGCTCGCTGAAGCAGAGGATGGAGTCGCAGCTTCTCATCATAGGATTGGCAAGATATTAAACCCCATAGCTTGCCGAAAACTTCAATACTGATGGACAAGCAGGCACAGGCCGAAGTTTTGGTGGAATTACTGGCAGGGTCATCTGGCGTTGCTGTCAAATAGCAATGCGACAAGTCCAGAGCCGTCTTGTTGGTAGACACTCGGTAAACCAGCTCAGAGACATCGTCACCCTTTCGGTAAGAGAAAGCAACCCTATCCCTCAAGTACTGGCGCTTGAGATCCTCGGGGAAAGTGGATTCCTGGAAATGTATCCATTGGAAGGATTCCAGGTTCCTTGGTGGTTCAAGAGTATCTGCAACGACGATACCATTTCGGTCGCCGTCAAAATGGTACACCGTGATGCGATGAAACTTGGTCATATCCTGAAGCGTCGAAATGGTATTTTGAATCAAGACATCCAGTGATTGGGCGCTTGAGATTCGCTTTAAAATACGCGGAAGAATATTCAAGAGTTCTGAGTCCATGCTATCTGCCTCTTGGGGGGGATTGTCGTATGTATTAAAAAGGCTTTTTCGTTGGGGGGCTTCGTCTTCAGAGAATTGACTTAGGGGTCGTGGTCTTCGATGTCGCAGGCCTTCGGAATCGACACTGTCCATGAGTTGCCGGGAGCCTCCAATCTCAGGCTCCAGCTCGCAGATGATGTAGTTCTTGTATGCTTTACTAGTGTGCATTGTGCACCAGAGTCGTTGAGTGCTTCCATCTAAGGTTAGTAGACAGAAGACCTCAGGGCCAACTTCTTCAACTTCATATTCGTCACTCAGGACATAATTGGCATGTGCTCGGAAGATTCGCGATTGAGTCTCGGAGAAAATGTCACTGATGGACTTTAGTTCAAATAGATTGTCGGGGGTAATGCCGAAAATCTCCTCCGTGTTGCTGCTAGTGGCTTCCACGGGGAAATCATCATCCGACTGTGTGACGACTATTAGTGCACCAAAAGATTGAATGATGATATCGTCTTCGTCTTCATGCGAGAACCGTAGTCCCTTGGACATTCGAATCGGTTTCAAGATCTTGGCTCCTTCGCTGATTGAGTTGTGCAACCTTTCATATGGTCCGGTACTCTGATGGGAGTTTGAGTTTCCATTCGAGGATAGAAGACGGTCGTTTATGGAGGCAGGGCGACTGAGGGTTGGCACTCTTGAGGATGGAGATATTCCAGCAAGCCTTTGGCTCTGCTCATGCATCTGACTCAGATATTCTGGCCTCGTAACTCGCTGTTCTCCATTGGTATCTCCATTTGTCTGCTTTGGTGCATTGCCGTTCGCCAAAGAACTCCTCCTTAACGCCTCTGAAAACGGTGATATAGGGCTTTCGAGCTTGTCTAGAGAAGGCTTTTGTAGGGCAGACGAAGGATTCGAGTCATAGGAGACCATCGATCGAACTGGAAATACTCGCTCCGTTGTCTCGCTGCCTAGTTGAGGTAGCTCCGGCTTCAACTCCTGGGAGGGCAGCTCGGTAACGGTTGGTATTTCAGTCTTTTTGTCGGATGAGATGCTGAACTTTGGGAGTGAGAATGTTTGTGTGCCGCCCTTCTTCTCACCCTGGCCCTTAAAGATGGCCTTCCAGCCACCATTGTTCTTGGCTTCGTCGGGTTCGCTCATTTCGGGTAGGCCCGTACGGCCAATATCGGATTTAGTGGGCGTGCATTCTGTAGGATGATAGCGGTCAGTTCAAATGACTCGATCATACAGGTAAATAGGATTGAAGAGTACGGCTTACCACGATTTATTGAATACTGAAATCTATCACGATAGCTCCGTGGAGAAAAGGTTCAAGAAAGCCGTTAGCATAGATAGAAAAGGCAAAAGGTGAAGAGATGGATTAAACCAGTGTTTCCGGAGGCAATCTCGATTTTTGCGGAGTTTGAGCATGTCTTTGCCTCTGTAGCAAAGACACCTATCCGCTCTAGAACTCAAGTTACCACGAGACATGTGTTTCCGGTTTTTGCATCTGGTTCGTCAGGGACTCCCACCGGGAATTCGAGTACGATCCATGAACCAGTGCACTAGAGCCATGGAACTACTTATGCAGGAAATAATGAAAGTATAGGCTATGAATCTAAGTCTGGAGTTTCGGGAAAGACCAAATAGGAAATTCTCGGCCGAAGTCACTAAGGGTTCATGTTCTCTTCTAAACTTTCTAGTATCGTTATTAGGGAGAACCGAATAAGCTATGTAGGTTGGACATACTCCAACAAATTCTCCGTTCTCGATCCTCAATCTCTACACATGGAGTGGAGGACATGGCAGACTGGAGGAAAGCAGACAAAGGTATTCCAGTCTTGCTATGCCATTTCGTGTCTCATGGGCGGCGATCCAACCAGGCATACTAGGAATGCTTAAAGGGGAAGTAAGCTCAACTAAGCATCTCACCCAGGGTTGATGGCTGGTCTAGACAAAGGTCTGCACCAACACTCCACGGTACTCAGCCGGCCTGATCGGGTGTACCTTACACGTTGATAAAGCTTGATGAGCTTGATAACATCAACTGGCTATCCATTGTCGTCAACAGTATGTGCGCTAAGCTGGTTATCTAAGATCATTCAGCATACCTATCGACCTTTTCCCGGGCAAAGGCAATCACTTTAGCATTGCCTACTCAAGAGGACATTTGTCACTTATTTTACAATTGGGCAGCCGTTTCCAAAATCACTCTAATCGGTCCTGCTTTCCGGGCCAGTGCGTGGTGGTTGCCATCCACACGCATTGCCTCAGAAAACCTCACTTGTGGGCATAAGTTCCGAATGCCTTTGCCAGCAAGCCTTGGATCCTCTAGTCGTATTTTTAGATACCCGTGACCGATTCATTGGTCGTAAAGGATTCAAAGCAAAACACAGGCAAGGTTAGGACGAAGATGTTAATCTGCGGTCTTGTCTCACCGGAGAAGTCCGAAGTTTACATGCCATGAGGTTTCATGAGATCACAGAGAAAATCATTCATCATGAGTATCAACAGAAAACCAAATACCAAACAAGAAACATCCAAAATGATGAGCTCAAGATTCCTCTACCCCGATCCAATGAATCCATCCATCAATTCCCAAACCCTCCAAAATGCCTTCGTAACGCCTCCTAAAAAAGCAAATGATCTAAACAATCACGCCGGCCTCTCACCACCGCCGACCGTACACCGAGTCCTCAGGCTTCAACCGATTGGAAGGCTGCGGACGGCTGCGGTCGCGGGATTCCGACCGCACTGATGACTGTGAGACAAGCCCAGTATCATCAACCGAGCTCAAGAGCCGAATGGGCTGCTTGAAATCCAGGGTACCCTGCTTATCTTGGAACTTGTGCTCGGCGTCACGGCCGAACAGAGCCATCATATCGCGCATAGTCAACTTGCCGGCGGCAGACTTACCCTCGATGGTCATATTTGCAAGCTCACGCTTGCGGTCTTGGAGATCGACAATGCGCTCTTCGACGGTGCCCTTGATGATCATCCGGTATATTTTCACGTCGATTGTTTGGTTCAAACGGTGGACACGATCGATAGCTTGTTCTTCCACAAACTATATAGATATTAGTAAATGTAGAGTGAATAGTTTCATGCTGATAATAGATGAAAGTTTCATAGATAGTGTCAACTTACCGGATTCCAGAAAGGTTCCATAATGACAACCCTACTAGCAGCAGTCAGGTTCAGTCCCAAAGCACCTGCACGCAGACTGCAAAGCAAGACGCGGGTGCCACTGTTATTGCGAAGCTTGTTGAGACTAGCCTCACGCAGGTCATTCCTCATCTGACCATCGTATCGGGCAAAACCAATGTTGGCACGCTTCAAGAAAGGCTCAACCTTATCCAACATCGAGGTAAAGATGGAGAAGACGATGAACTTGTAGTCACCCGACTCCTTATGGAGGAGCTTCATCAGGTGGCGGATCTTAGCAGAAGGCAATTCTCCGTTTTCACCCTCGGGGTTCTCGTAAATATCCTCCTCTGTCTCGGACTCGTCATCAGAGCTATCGAGAACGATAGGCCGGCCCCTTTGCTTGCCGTTGGGAGAGTCGATTTCATCCTCGTCAGATTCAGAGCCATCAGAGCCAATCCATTCTCCACCACCTTCGGCGTCCTCGTCGTCATCATCGTCACTATCAATAATGACTCGACGATTCTTTCGAGAGCGAGCAGGCGTAGTGGACTGTTCCTCCTTGTGGGCCTTCTTTGACTTGTGCTTCTTCTTATCCTTCTTCATGAAGTCCGTGTTCAACTCGGTCTCGCATTCGCTGCAGCGAGTAGCCCCCTTTGTGGTATCAGCCTGCTTGAGGTCTCTCTGGCATACGTCGCACTTCTTCGTCACGACACTTAGTGCACCAAAGAGATCGGCAACGTCGTCGAGATCGGTTGACTTGGACTGCGAGGATTGACTGTTGCTATTCTGAAGAAGAACATCCTTATCGGCAGCTAGTTCACTCTTGACTAGATCAGGGTGGTTACAGGCTTGGCGGAGACGTAGCAACAGTGTCAAGGCACCAGCATAGTCGACCTTGGAACCACCCATCATTTCATCAAGCCGGTTCTCAGTACGCTTTTCTAGGCGGTCATAGAACTTCTTCTCACCGTCCATGAATTTAGCGTCTACCCGGATGACTTCACGCGCGACGATCTTGAAGCCATTTGATGACTTCTTCTCCGGATCCTCTGACTCGCCAGGCTTCGGTTTATCATTTTGCTTCAGAACATCCTTGGTACGGCGCTTCATGAAGGCCTTGAGATAAACCTGTAGACGCTGGATGGCCAGTCCTCCGCGGCCATTGGCCAAAGGTCGACTGATCTGATCACGCCAGGTAGCGAGATCGTTGAAGGGCTTGATTCGCAGGAATTTAATCAGACTTTGCAGCTCATCGAGATTGTTCTGCATGGGGGTTCCGGTCAAGCACCAGCGGTACTTGGCGTCCAAAGCACAAGCTGCCTGCGTAGCCTTGGCATTTCGATTCTTAATGGTGTGAGCCTCGTCGAGAATGATGCGATACCAGTAGTTCGCGAAAACGCCAGACTTTTTAGCTTTGTCAGCGGCGGCAGTTCCGGACTCTGACGTTAAGGTGCCATAGGTGGTGATAACGACATCGTAGGTGTGGAGATCCTTGGAGGTCTTCGCGCGGTTGGCTCCATGATACAAGCACACGCGAAGCTTGTGTGTTTTCTCAATCTTGTCGTCAATCTCCGCTTCCCATTGCTTGATGAGCGCAAGGGGGGCGACAACCAAAGTGCTCTTGGAAAGCTTGGAGGCGGGGGGTGCCTCATCGTCGTCGACTTTCTTCACGGATGCGTTTTTCTCGCTGTGTTCGTTTGCGGGTTTGCGATTTCGGAGCATCAAGGCAATCGCCTGCACAGTTTTGCCCAGACCCATATCGTCGGCAAGAATGCCACCCTTAGGGAAAATTCCCTTGGTGGTGCGCAGACCGGTCTCTTTGTCGCACATCCACTTAACCCCCTCAATCTGGTGAGGCAAGAGGGTGACTTTCAAGCCTTCCACGGACCCGTCATCGTCGTCTTCATCCTCGTCTTCGTCATCCTCATCCTCCTCTTCATCGACCTCAGCATCGTCGTCTTCCTGCTCGGCAGCAATACTACTGTCTTCATCTGCCTCGGATTTATCATCGGAGGCTACACCTGACTTATCGGAGTCTGCTTCAGGCTCGACTAGCTTCGGGTCATTCACAGTAACGCCCTCGAGTTGAGCAGCCAGGTCGTCGAGGTCGTCGGTCTCGACCTTCTTGGTCGCTTTAGCAGTCTCGCCTAGGTCGTTCTTCTTGGATTGCTTCTTCTTGTTCTTGCCCTTCTTCTTGCTCTTGGACTTTTGACGAGATTGTTCCTCCTCATCTTCAAATGCACCCTCTAGCAGGGCTTTGATGTTTTCGGTCGCTTTTTCGGAATCGACATAACCGTACACATCCATGGCACCAAAGCTTGTGGGAACAGTTTGAGAGCTAGAAGAGGACTTCGTATCATCTTTCGTCAAATCAATGAAGGCTTGAAGATTCTTCGATGCATTCGATGGCTTCGGTACGGTTCCCTTCGACATAAAGAGGGCCCTTGGAGCTCGGGGTGTCGTCCAGTCCGTATTTTCAGGGCGTTTAATCGGGGTTGCCCCTGTGGCATATCCCGATCGATGATCATTGAAGGCTGATCCTCGCACGGCCTTGAAAGGATCAAAAGGCCCACGCTTTGCAGGCGTAGACGCGACCGTGGGCGCGGGTCGCTGGCCTTGGGGAGCTCCATATCGCTGCTGTGCATATTGTTGACTCGGGTGCTGAGGCTGGCTTCGAGGCTGGTCACGGTGATGTTCGGCGCGGGGGCGGTTCGGTTTGGGGATGTTAAAAAGATGATTTGATGCGCTCGATCTGTTCGGCTGAGAGGGCTGTGTTGGTTGTGTGGGCTGGTGCTGAGGCTGACCCATCGGCGAAGGTTTGCCAAACTCGGGTTGCTGAGACACCGAGGGCCGGTGCTGCTCATTCGGCTTCCCCGGAGTGAGGGGCTCCTTTGGCACGTTGCTTTCTCTAGCCATGTTTATGGGTCAGGCCTACTCGGAGACCTGCGGTTATGAGTAAATGACAAGGTGATCTTCGAGATCAAAAGAGGTGAGGGTAATCAGGTTGAATTTCGAATTGTCTAAAGTGTGGCAGTGCGATTATGTTGTCGAGTAACGAGATGCTGCTTCACTGTACGCGTGTGATGATTGTTAGCTTGGAACTGCTAAGGTTGTTTTGCTGGATTGATGACGATCCCTCTTGATCGTCAGCGAGCACTACTCGCCAGATGCACGATTCGAGCGTCGAACGAGAGGATTGAACGAGAGGAAGAGAATAGAGAGTTCCTGAATAGCTTCACTCACTTTAGATCACTAACATGTCGGTTGCGAAAATGGTTGGCGAGACTAGTGGGGGAGGGGAGGAGAAAGAAACGCGGATTTGACTATCGGCAACGTTATCGATAATCGTTTTTTTGTTTTGGGCCAGAGGCGGGCCGGATTCCCCAGCAACGCTCCCAGCCTGAGGCATCACAATCTCTGTGGAGGTTATTGGGCTGCTTTCGTGTAAGGAAGGACAACAATTATTTTCTACTTCTCATTAAATTGTGAGTCTATCTCTTAGAAATAATTTTTAATCTTCAGGCTGAAGCTTGTAAGTGGAGTGCCTTGTACCTCGTGGTTATATGTCGTTACAATTCGCTTGTATATATAGTCTCTACCAACCTCTGAGATGATGGATACTCGATACTCACTATCACGTTCTTATACTCATCAAACCTCTCCAATAACGCTCTTCAGGATCTCCGGTACAATAATACTCGCATCACCCTGGAAGAACCAGTCACACGTCCCTTGCCCACGATTAGGCATATCTTTCTCCATATTAACCACCACGACTTTCGCGCCACGGTTCCGGGCCACATCAACATACAACGCTGCCGGATACACGCTCGAACTCGTGCCAATCACCAAGATCAGGTCAACAGGAGCCGATTCGATCCAATTGTCAACATTCTGGATGGTATCGGTTGGGAGGGGCTCCCCAAACCAAACCACACCTGGCCGCAAAAGACCCTTGCACTCAGGGCACTGCGGTAGGTCTGCTGGACTCAACTCGGGAATTGGATTGCTTGCGTCGGAGATGTCGACTTCTTTGGCTTTGATTGTCTCTTCTAGGGCCTTATGAAGCGATTTGGATGCTTCTTCCCCCGTCTTGTCTGTTTCTGATGGAGACGGGGATGATGATTGCTTGGGTATATCCAAGGCAGGGACAATAGGGTCTGTAAAATCATTTTGGCGAGTGTAGTTGCAGTAAAATGAGGTGCATTTGATGTCGTATAGAGACCCGTGAAGCAGATTTAATTGCTCGGGGGGATGCTGCGCCCGTTGTGAGAGGCCTGGAACATGTTAGCATACGTAGATTCTAGCACCCATCAAGGAGCTTCAAGTGAAAGCAAGACAGTGAAACTTGCCATCGACATTTTGAGATAAAGTGATAAAGTCCTTGTTCCTTCGGGCTAGCTCTGCCAGCGCGTAATGAGCTTTGTTTGGTTGGGCCTGCAGAGCCATATGCCTTCGATAACTGTAGAATTGCCACACCAGCCCTGGATGATCTTCGAAAGCCTCGGGCGTCGCTAGAGAGGTGGCATCATACTGGCGCCATAACCCTCCAGCACCGCGAAATGTTGGTAGACCAGAAGCCGCAGAAATGCCAGCTCCCAGCAGAGCGAGGATTCGGCGACAGCCTTTCAAGTATTCGGTGAATGATTGAATGTCTGTGGAGGGGGCAGCAATCACTTTTTTGGCCTTGGAGGCCATGTTCGCAGTTTGCAGCGGATGTAGGAAGTAGATATCAAGTTCGAACAAGTTCGAATTTAGTTTATCGACGATCGGAGCAAGAGATAAGTTCCGTTGGAGCTCATGACGTGGGGCTCGTCAGCGCCGATCGGGTTGTGTTTGCGGGGACTTTGGAGGACTTCGGCACCCAACTGAGCCCCGCACCTTGACCGAGCAGAAGTATATGTAGTCCTTGCAATGGTATATCTACAGCCATTTGGTAAGGAACTACTCTATAGCCATTATAGATATTGAAAGCAAACAAACTGAACTGAATTCAAGGCTAATTAGATCCACATGAAGGCCCTTTCTAACAATCAATCCAAACCTAGCATTAACCATGGCCAAGGCTACTCAGTGCTGCTCCTCGGCTGGTAGAGTCACCTTGATCGCCGACTCTGCCAAAGCGCGGTTCTGCGCATTCTTCGCAGCAATGAAAGAGGTGATATGCTCCGGAACATCGCCGAGCTTGCCGTCACCACTGGGGACGGGCTGTCCATATGTTTCCCAGACAGGAACTACGCCCGTCCAGATGCGGTTAGTAATCTCCTCATTGCCATAGTCCTTTTTCTCATCCGAGACACCACCGTCACGGATTTTGCCACTGCCATCCACGACCTTGACCTTCAGAATGACGGTTGATTGCATCTCCGCACGGTCTGGGGGCACACGCGAGTTATCCCAGCGATCGGTTAGGACCGAATTGGTGATGAGCTTCATTGCCCACAGCTTCTCCTCTTCATCGGTGACCAACTTGGCATACCCGTGGAGAATTGCCGAGCGGTAGTTGTAGCTGTGCGAGTTGGGGGTAAGAGACAAGATTAGGCCGTCTACTTTGCTGGTAGCCACGCAGATGGGCAGCCCTTCGCCCTCAGAGCTACGGGCCAGATTCATGATGCGAGAGCTGACATAGCCGTGGAGGTAGCAGTCTAGTGGCTCATCAATGCTCGCGGACGGGAACTCGTACGATCCCATCTGGCCGATCATGGGAAGGATAGCTGGGAACGGGTCCTCGGGACCTGGATTGAAGGACACATGGAGAACTTGGGAGTCATTAATGATAGAGTGAATGGGACCCAAGTCGTAGGTGGCTATTGAAAGATCGTCAGTTCATTTATCCCGCCAACATGAGAGTAAAGGGTGAATGGAACAAACCACGATGCTTATATCGATTGGCGGTATTGGATACCCGCTTAGGATATGTGAGTGTTCGTCCCATGATGATGGTTGTGTAGGGCAATAGAGAAATGTCTGTATGCGAAAGTGATGGAATTAACCAAAAACCAGATGGTCAGCCCTAGACGGAAACAAGCTTCAATATATAGTGCGCCAGTTTGTAAAACACGATAAGGTCGCTTCGTTGACACGCTTCCCGAGACCCTAACGAGAAGGTGTATCCGTGTCAGCGTTCCCCGCGGTGGGCGATTGGCTGCCACGAGGATGTCTTGACTTGGTAAAAGTTGCGCTATGAGTCAATGCCATGGTTTAGGGGAAATCAGCGGTGATCTAGCGGTTCAAACGGGGGAGTCATTCGCTCGAGAGCATGCACTCTGACCGAATTACCAATCGAGGGTAACCTGACTGATCGTAATTGATCTCAATGATAATAAAGGATGAATGTGGTAACGTGGGGAAGTAAATACGACGATGCAAATCACGAGGAGGTGATTGGTTCTCACCGCCGACTCGGTCCCCGACGCCAACCTTTTGCGATATCTCCGGACAACATCCAATCGGTTGGCCGAGTCCTCAATCACGACCGTTGACTCCCAGTTCAAAGCATGGCAGCATGCAGATCGCTCGCGAGACAATGCGCTCTCCATCTGCGCCCTTCGCTCCGCTCCTTTGCGCGTCCGGCGCGACAGTGCCTCGCTCGTGGTAATCCGCCACTCCGCAGGGCGTATGCAACTTCCGTTGCGGCCGCGGAGCTTCAATTCGGCCAGCCCTTACACGAGACACATCCCCACCTCCTCAGTCCCGGTGAACGTATGTGACACTCACCTACTGCGGGTACAGCTTGCCCGAGTTGAACTGACATGCTCGCAACTTAGTAACACCCGGAATCACCGCCCTCGAATATGCCCAACGTCGGTCACGTCTTGCCAACAAACTTCCCAAGGGGGCTGTCGCCGTACTCGCAGCGTCAGAGGTGAAGTACCGAGCTTCAGGGATCTTCACCGAATATCGACAAGAAACGAATTTCTTCTACTTGACAGGTAAGAGCGAAATGGTGAACGCAAGAAAGGACACCGACTAATCTTTACTTGGGTTTCCCTTTCAACAGGATTCAACGAACCGAATGCTCTGGCAGTGATCGCAAATGACGGATCCGGCGACAATCATATCTTCCACCTCTATGTGCGCGAAAAAGACCCCAAGGCAGAGCTTTGGGACGGGGCTCGGTCTGGCACGCAAGCCGCGATGGACGTTTTCAATGCGGATGAGGTGGGTGCCCTTTGCTTTGAAACCATAGAAGCGCTGTGATTGACAACCGAGAACTTTAGACAGGAAATATTGAACAAATCGGAGACATCTTGCCCAAGATTATCGCCGGCGCTACCGAAGTCTACTCCGACATTCCCGCTTTCGATGGATCTAGATCTTCGCTCCACAGATACCTCTACGGCCCTACCGTCGCATCAGAGAAATTGAAGAAAATCGTCGACCACCGCAGAGTCAAGCCGCTAAAGCCGCTGCTCAACGAAATGCGGGCATTCAAGAGCGAGAATGAGGTTGTGCACTTGCGTCTGCTGGGTCAGGCATCTGGAAGAGCATTCACCGATTCGATGCGGAAAACCTTCGAGACTGAGAAAGAGTTGTCTTCATTCCTCGAGTACCAGTTCAAGGTCAATGGCTGCGATGGCAGCGCCTTTGTTCCCGTTGTGGCAGGTGGAAAAGTATGTACTGTACTTGCCCAAGGCCCAACTTCCAAGACTAACAGTCACAGCATGCCTTGAGCATTCACTACACGCGGAACGATGATATTCTTCGGTATGTATTGATGCATCTTATCATGGATTAAAGCTTACAGGATGGAACAGTGACGGCGATTTGGTTCTGGTAGACGGCGGTGGTGTACGTTCTTTTTCCTTGTGGCCGATCTACTTCAATAGCTGACAGATTTTTAGGAACACGGAAGCTATATCTCGGACATCACTCGCACCTGGCCTGTGAACGGGAAATTTACGGATTCCCAGCGGGATCTGTACAACGCCGTCCTCAACGTGCATCGGACTTGTCTGGCCTTGTGCCGTGAGAGTTCTAAGCTCTCTCTGGACAAGCTCCATGGGATCGCCGAGAATGGTTTGAAAGAGCAGCTCAAGCAGCTCGGATTTGATCTTTCTGGAAATGTAGATGATCTGCGTCGTTCTATATGAGATCATTGCTAACTTGATACAGGCCATGAGTGTCCTTTTCCCTCACCACCTAGGCCATTACATTGGCCTGGATGTGCATGATTGCCCTGGATACTCTCGAGGATATGACCTCAAAGCTGGAAATTGTATCACTATTGAACCGTGAGTCGAAACTTTCCGCTCTGTTATCCAAATGCCCTGAGCTGACCCATCTAAGTGGTATCTATGTCCCCGACGATGAGCGGTGGCCCGCACATTTCCGGGGTATTGGCATTCGAATCGAAGACAGCGTGTGCGTGGGTGATGACCATCCCATTGTGTTGACACCTGAAGCTGTCAAAGAGGTAAGCTGCCTACGATTTCTTGCTTGAGCCTGTATTGACTTATTGTTTAGGTTGCCGATATTGAGGCTCTGCGTAGTTAGAAAGGCCATTTTGTATTTATAGTTGAAGTCAGATACCCTCAAAACCCAATGTACAACACGTTTATCAACACCAGCCATTTATTGATTTACCCCAAGTAGTAGGAAGGCTGCTTGGGACTTGCTTCGTGGTGAATTCGCGGTGGCTGGTCGAGGAGGTTGGGGTAAACATTTGCAGGTTACGGTATAAACAAGTACAGATCGATACGATACATTTGGAAGAGATGGGATGACCACCTAGATACCAGAGGTATAACTAGATCGGGGACCGATCGAAAGTATGAATCATCTCAAATTCAAAAATTAAAGCCACGGAGAAAAGGCACGTCGCGCCCGTCGATGGAATGTAATGTTGATGTTCATGCTTCGCGCGACGCCGTTGGTTGTCCGGCGCACGCCCAAAACAAACTTGGCCGGGCTCCACACCACACGACTTTGCCCTTTCGACTTGCCTCTTCCCTCCTTACCCCAACTCTCTCTTCCCATTCACCAACCCTCCTCACCTTCGTCCTCCTAAGCTGGAGGGTTAATCTTGCCCCGTTCTCTACAGTTCTCTCTCAGCTCTCTTCTGTATGACCATGATCCCTCTGTGACCTCGTTCGAGCCTTGCAAGACGTGTAGCACGTCGCGTGCTCGACCTCGAGTACCCCTCTTCTAGGATCGCTCTTTGTCCCTATACACCCAAGCTTCCTACGCGTTCAACCTCGAGGAATTGATCACACATGGCTGCCGTGTTTGTGCCGCCGTCTCCTCGAACCTCCCTGAACATGTCGACTCGCCGCCCGCTCGCCAACGTGCCGAATGCTACCAACTCTCCCCATCGGGCTGGGCTCGTGCCAGCTAAACGAGCACGATCAGGTCAAATTGAGATTCCTTTTGGTCAGCCTCCACCAAAGAAGCAGGTGATGGACGCGGTGGAGCAGGATCGAAGTCGACTCATTGTACACCAAGGAACCGAGTCCAAATTGTTTGCGCGTCGGAGTAACAACGCCAATCCCAGCGCGTTCGAAAAAAGTTGGTGGCTGCAAGGGAAAAGGAGAGAATGCCTCAACCAAAGGGTTCTAGAAATGAGAAGCCTTCGGCAGATACCATGGACACGATTCGACAATGGCAGCGACACTATCGCAAGGCATTCCCGCAATTTGTCTTTTACTTTGACAGTATCCCCGAGGATGTTCGCCGCAAATTCTCGCGCCAGGTTGTTGCTCTTGGAGCTGTAAGTCCACACTTATTGATTTGTTTTCTCGTTATATCCCTCTCGTCAATCGACGTGTTTGTTCGAGTCTCGGCGTTTGCTTTTAATCTCTTGTACTAAATATCAACTTCCTACATAGTGCGAGGAGAAGTTCTTTTCTCGCCTTGTGACCCATGTCGTTACTTCACGTCCTATTCCACCGGAAGCAACTGCTACCACGAGTCCGACCGACGATCCCGCCACCGGGGCAGATGGAGCCAATGGCGACAACATGCAGACTGTGAACCCCTCGCTTCTAGAGAAGAATGCCGACTCCCATATACACGTCTCGCTCAAGACTGAAGCCCGTCGTGACCAAGGAAACATGGATGTTTTACAGAGAGCCCGCCAGATGGGAATGAAAATTTGGGCACTCGAAAAGTTGCAGCGCATGATCACCACGATTAACGACAACGATATCGGTGGTCAAAATGAGAGTGCTTCTCGAAGCAAGAACGTCGGTGGAAACACTACCCAAGGTCGGGGCGAGAACGACCTCTCCCGAGTTCTTCGACAAGAACTCCTCAATGGGCCGTCTGATCGTGATCCATTCGCATCAATGGAGATGGTGATGTTCAAAGGACCTTTCATCTATATTCACGACATGAACGAAAAGACAAAGCCAGTCATGGTGCGAGAGTACGCCCGAGTAAACAAGCGTCAGGATGGCGCTTGGCCCCAGTTCCGAAGTGCCCCCCTGGGCAAATGCCCCTTTATCGACGAACCACCAAGCCGGAAGGAATATGACCGACAGCGGATACGTCAAGCTCAAAAAGAGAAGAAGCCGGCTGTTGCCAAGGTGGAGGACTCTCGCAGCAAGCCATCCACGGTTGCTCCTACGGAGCGCACTGTCGAGAACAAACTCGTAACCGATCTTTCAAAGCCCAAGCGACCAGAAGACCAACCGTCTGCAAACCCGGTGGACGTCTTTGCCAAGCCAGTATTTGAGGATGGCCGTGAACGCAAGAGCTCAGAGAGCTTGATTCCTCCCCATTTCCCTCGCACTGGCCCGTTCTATACAGGCCGTGAACCGGCTGCATCAGGTGTACAGCCATCTAATGTCACTTCGGCCATTCGCTCCCAGATGATCTCATCTACAGCTGCCGCACCCGGTGCCAAAGCAGGGTTGAGCAAAGAAGTCCACGGACTGAAGAGGAAGGTTCTTGAAAAAGGCACCGGTAGCATCGTGGCAGGATCAATGGCTGCACCCCAACGTCCCAGCACGGGATCTGCGTCGTTCTCTTCAAAGCAGAACGATAGCAACAAGTTGGCCGTTCTTGAGAAGAATGGCCATGCGGACGCTCACCAAACAGAAGGAGCTGGAACCAAGCGGCGAAGGGATGAACACAATGATACCCAACCACAAAAACCGGAACGAAAGAGAGACCCGAAGCCTGGGTATTGCGAGAATTGCAGGGACAAGTTCGATGACTTTGAAGAGGTTTGTCAAGATTCAAATCGCACCGAGCCTTGAGCCCCTTGAGTATACTGACCAAAAATTAGCACACCATGACAAGAAAGCACCGCCGGTTCGCGCAGAATGCGTCCAACTGGGGTGAACTCGACGCCCTTCTGTTCGAGATTCAACGACCCCTGAAGGAAGAATACGACTTTGAAGAGTAGTTGATGTTCTCATTTACCGCCACGATTCGACCTCGAAATTCTTCAGCCCTTGTCAAAGCCATCATCGCATCCTGGTGCCTGTCGGACTTTTCTTCCCCGTTTTTGTTCCCTCTTGTTCTTTTTCATTTCTATTTCTGCATTCTACTTACGATGCCTTGCTTCATGGTATTGTTACACCATGGCTTGCATGACCATACCCGTGGCATCAGCACATTTGCATATGGGGAGTTTCTTTTTTCTTTTCATCTCGCATCAGCAGTACTGTGCAACCGACAGCATCCTGACTGCACTGAGCCTGCAGTTCTTATCAGCTGTCCTTAGTGGAAGCTAGTTGTCCGCTCGTTCATTATCCTTTTTTTCTCCACCTTGTATTTCCTATTATCGGTTTATTCACTCTTGCATCAGCAGCCAAGGACGTTTTTGCATGATGACTTCCTGTTTCCTTTTATGTTCCGAGGGTCTGGTGATGGAGCTGACCTGTCTACCCATCAATCAATATGGGCTTGGCAGGTGGATGGCTTCTAACAATCGAAAAAAATTTCGAGTTTTGGGCATGGCATGCCTAGGTTTATGAGGGATCTGATGGCTACGTGCTGCATCCTGACATGGTATCATCTGTCAACGAAATGCCTACGGGCCTAATTGTTCTCCGATCTAGTTGTCTCTTTTCTTTGTCGTCTTTCATCCGGCCGAGTCTTGTTTGTTTACAAGATGGGTGATTATACCCGGCGCAGGTGGCGGAGGTTTCTCCGAGTGTGCTTTTTGATTGATACTCCAGCTTTACTTAGCTTCAATGCATATTGACTCTACTAGATATCTCTCGTTTTCTGTGTGCCCTCTGTAGGAAAGGTTCTTGTAGCTGCCGTTGATCTTTCGGCTTCTGGTATTACTATACAAGTCTTGACCCTCTTCCTTTCAGGGCTCTCGATTGCCTCGAGAAGCCCGAGGCAACAGGGCATACCCAAGTAATCTTCAGCTGCGAGAGCGTTCATTTTCAAACTCTTGGAACACACAATTGAATGAAAAGCCATTAAATACCGAATTTTCCACCAGTCAGCTTACCCAACCAGCCTCGCCCACTGTATCTAGCCAAGTCATACAACTCTTTCCAAGCCTCAAGATTAGGCTGCGTCTCCGGAGTAAACCCATACTGCTGAATCTCCTCCTCATCCCACTCCCTCGGCTGGCTAATATAATCTCCATTTGACATCCTCTCAATCTCACAAGTCCGCTTCGCCCCCGCATCTCGCAGAATCCGTATAACCTCCGGGAAACCCCTGTACGATTCCGCCGCCCGCGCTGGCGGACCTTGACTCGGATCGTAAACAAGATCAGATTCGAGTGCATTCGTCCGAGCTGCGCCAGCTTTGTAAGATGCTAGGTGTTGGATGTGCATACGACGACCGATTTCTGCGGAGTGCAGGGCTTGATCTAGGGCTGTCCAGGGTGGGGTTTTTGATGTATCGGGTCTGTTGATTTGACTGGTGAGGCCTATGGAGAGGAAGAGTTTCACTGTTAGTGGTTTTCCGCGGCTTGCGGCCGCGATGAGGGTTTCGTGGCTGTTTGTGTTAGAGAGATAGTGCTCTTTGTAGGCTTGTTTGATGTCGGAGTTTAGTTGGAGGAGGAAGGTTTGGATTAGATCGCAACTGGCTTGGTCGGTGAAAACGACGTTATTGGCAATTGAATAGAAGATGTCTCGTTCCCAGGCATGGAGGATGAGGGGATCTGCGCCCTTGTCAAGTAGGAATTGGCCTCGGCGGGCTGGATCGAGATTTGTCTCTAAGGCTATGGAGAGTGGAGTTTCTCCACGACGGGCCTTTGCGTTGATGTCTGCTGGTGTTGCGTGATTGAGTAAAATCTCACATGCTGCCTCGAATTCATCCTCTGGGTGATAAATCGTTGCTAGCAAGTGAAGCGGGGTGTCTCCTTGAAATTCGTTACTGATGTTTATGTTTGGCATAGCCTGCACGAGCTTTTTGAGAGTCGGCAGGTAGGACTCGGGATAATCCAGACGGGGTCCCACGGTAGAGACCCAACCATGGAGCACTGTACCCCCGCCGCCAGATATAATCGATATTCCGAGATCAGCTCCTGCGTCTAACAGTGCGCATATCATTCCACCATCCCATACTCCCAGATCGGCGGCTGCGGCCATGGGACTTAAGCGAGGGTAAACCTTGTCTTTGACATCCATGTCTGCTCCGGCCTTGATCAAAAGTTGAACCAACTGTGACATCTGGGTCAAATGCTTCTCCCAAGGCCCATGACGGATCCAATAATGCCAGTGATGAGGTAGGTAGCCATGCTTGTCGGGGAAGTATTTGGTGATCCCATGCAGAGTGTTTCGTCCGTTCGAATCAACCAGAGTGCCGTCCGCACCATGAGATATCAAGTAACTGGCTATCTCGGGCTCACCAAAATATGCCGTCAACGCAAGTGGTGTCGATGAAGCATCAGAACCGTGATAGAATGCGTTTATGTTCGCTCCGAGGGAAAGAAGAGCGTCCATAGCTGCCGTGTGTCGGAAGAAACATGCCCAATGAAACGGTGTGCCATGGGGAAGTTCAAACGGACTAAATTGTTAGCTTGAGATTGATCAAATATGGGGAGCAACTTACTAGTGGAATATCTGAATCTTTTCTGGATATCCACCGCTGTTTTCCTTTACGACGGGCTCGATGACAGCATTGACATCAGCCCCTCCTTCGACCATCAATTTCGCAATACGATCAATTAAATGATCCGGAAGCATGAACAGCCAATGCAAGGGAGTGATATTCTGTCGAGTCCTGGTACGCGCGCTTGCACCATGTTCAAGTAGGAGCTCGATAACATCTGTATGGCCGGCCTGGAACGCCTTGTATAGGGATGTCTCAGCTTCATCATTTTCCACGTCCACTGCTACTTTCGCCGAGTCCAGTAGCTCTTGGACAACATCAGTCGCGCCCAAAGCCGAGGCAACATGCAGTATTGTGTTTCCTTTGCGGTCAACCACAATGCCATTCTTAGATACCCACTCCATTGCCTTTTCGGCGCTCATAGCTGCTTTGACATCCTTCTTGGCCAAGAATGGATCTGAGCAAAATCCACCCTGCTTCCTGAACTTGTCTCTTGATTCCTCAATTTCCTTCTGTCCGTATCGGGAACCTTCAAAGAAAAAACCTTCAGAGACAGCTTGCAACGTCCATTTCTTCAACTCTTCTTCGCTGAACTCGAGTGGTTGATTATGCGCCTCCATGATTTGTGCATATATAGCTCTAGCAGGTGAGAATCCCCCTCTCGCTGCATCCCCCATATACATCAATAAACGGTCAAGATATGATGGCTTCGCACCGGTGATGGTTTGTGCAATTCCAAAAAGAACATTGCCTCCGAATGGAGGGGCATTGCCATCTTTGCTGAGCGCATACTGTGTCTCGAGCTCAGTGCGAATGCTTTGATCGAGTCTGTACCAAAATAATGGACCTTTGTTATAGACAGGGTCAATGATGCCAACGTGGGTGCCCACAGAGCTTGACTGTATTGATGCAAGCCTAACTTCTGAGTCAGTGGTATAGCAAAGCAATTGTAAAAAAAATCAATGCACGTACCAGGACGCATATGCAGGGCTGTCGACTTTCAGCAGATTTGGACTTGGGAGTTTTCGATCTCTGGGGTCTTCGGAGAGATGATTCAAGATACCCTTGCGCAACTCCATACGCATATCTGAGTTTATGTCCTTTTGGCTGTTGAGCAGCTTTGATACCTGATCCGGGACCTTTGCGGGTGTCTTGTCCAGATCTGGCACCTGTCCATTCCCTGTGAACAAAGACAAGAGCACCAGGCCAAAACTGTATGCATCAAATCTGAACATCAGATCCGGCGAAAATCCTCCAAACTTTGAGACATCTTCACGTTCCCGCTCAGGTGCCAACCAGGCTTTCGTGCCACAATAGTCAGTTAGAGAAAACTGTCCATCAGAAGCTTCCAAATCAAGACAGACACCAAAGTCACTTAGTTTAGCCCGGAAGGGCACACTTTCACTGCGACCAGTAAACACAAGCACGTTGTCGGGCTTGATATCTCCGTGAATTATTTTGAGGTGATGAAGCGCTTCCAGTCCATTGGCTATATCCAACGCAAACTGATACCTTGTATCAATTGACCTAGCCTCAGCGCTGAGAAAGTCCCCCAAAGGCATAATCGCCGCCTCCATAAACAGCACAGGTACGGCCAAATTCGCAAAAGGGAAATCAAACCCCCATGCAACGAGACTAGTAATGTTTGGATGTGTGCGCAACACAGGATTGCAAAGAGATAAAATCTCCAGCTCCAGAGTTTTGAGTTGAGTGCGATAGTCGTTACTCGCTGTAAAGCGTTGCTCGGTCCTACTGGGAAGGGAGACATTGACGCGCTTGATGACCTCTCCTTCGAAGATCGGGTCCTTGTATACTGTAAATTGGGCGCCCGCGCCGATCTTGGTAGCATGTGCGGTTAGGTTGAACGCTTTGAGGAGACGGGGTCCATGAATGCCTGTCTGAGAAAGAATGGCGGTGAATTGCGAAAGTGTGCTTAGGACAGCCGCTGACCCGTTGCGGGTGGCTGTGATGGCAGATTCTAAAGGGTCAACCCATGATGAATCAGAGCCAGAAGAAAGGTTGAAGCTGTCGAGGTCAAACTCTTCAACGTCGGCAGAGTTAGACCAGGCTTGAAGCGAGGGGGATAAGTTGTCCCCCTCGAGAGAGTAATAGTTGTTATCGTCATCGAGCGAGTTGAGGATATCGTCGTAGTCGTCCGACATGTTTTCTTCACTGGGTCTCGTAAATTGAGAGACGTGATATGCAGAATTTAATAGAGATAGTTGGATACGAGGTGGGGGTTAATGCTATTGTCAAGTTGATGGGCCTAACGAAAGGCCAAGAATATTCAGCCAATGACTGCTGGACAACAATACCTGCCTTATCCCAGTTGGTATCTAGCGCTGACAGCTTAAACGCCATGTTTGGGGGCTATTGCAGAACCCCTCCAAAAGCTTTCTTATTCCTTTGGCTCCCACTTTTGGGGTTGAATTCAAAAGAAAAGAGCAAAATGGATTTCTACGGCACTGCTTCGACGGCAATTACCCAGATCTACCAAGTCACGGTATTCATCCAAGGCGTTATCTCCGACATCAAGGCCTTCGACGATGACCGCGCCGACATTCGTCTCAAGTTGAACCTCCAAATATCCTCCCTGCTTTTTTTCAAGAGAAGCTTCTTCCATCCTGAGCATGGGTTGATGGTCCCGGGGAAAGTAGACCGTTTCATCGCTGACACGGTGGAAGGGCTGCTAATGCAGATGAGGAGGACCTTGGCCGAGTATGAGATTGTGGCAGCCAAGTATGGCCTCGTTGATGAGGAGTTCACCATCGAGCCTGAGAAGCCCAAGGCACAAGAATCGCTTTTGGAGCGAGCGAAGAGCAAAGCGAAATCGCTCAAGATGAAGGGATATGACTGGTCACTCTTCGACAAGAAGAAGCTGTATAAGATAATAGAAACTTATACTAGTTGGTCCGCAAGCCTGCGAGACATCATGCAGCACATGTCTCAGGAAACACTGGCTAAGCTGGCAGAAGGGGATCAACAGGGTCTGAAAGACAGTGGTTTGGAACCGGTGATAAAGCGACGGATGCTGGCCGAGGCCAAGGCTCCAGCAGACTACCACAGCTTGACCGGAACCCTCATAGAAGAAGGAAAGTCAATCCGAGGATTCCAGCTTGGAAAGTGGTCTATTGCTGGATCAGAAGCAGAGAAAGTCATTGTGGAATACCACGATTACGAGAATGAGCTCAAAGGCGACGATCTAGATCAGGAGGATATTGACAGGCTCAAAGCACCAATCCGCACTTTGGCCTGGCTGCTTCAAAGCACTACGTTTGCCAGCAAATCATCCGATTCGCTTGACCAGCCCAAGATATATGCTTTGGAATGCCTCGGTTTCGTTGATCAACCCATCGAAGAGCGTAGCGCCTTCCTCTACAAGCTACCCGCATCCGAATCCGATGACGGTACATCTCTAACAACCCTGCACGCTTTCATAAACGCGGTCGACAGTACAAACAAACGGCCCCTCAAGAAGCCGTCTCTGAACGACCGCTTCAGCATGGCACATAGTCTTGCTCTGACGGTATCCAACCTCCACGCGTCAGCTTGGGTTCACAAGAACATCTGGAGCAGGGGCATCCTTCTCTTCCTCGAAACTTCTTCCGGAGTCAGCACAGCAGGTCTCTACGAGCAACGGCTGTCCACACCTAGTCCCGGAAATAGAATAGTCTCGTACCTAAGTGACTGGGGCTACGCACGATCAGTCAAGCAAGGCACCGACATGCGGTCTGACTTTGAAGTCGAGCCTAATTTCTATCGTCATCCAGACCGACAGGGCCGCCCGACTCACCAGTTCAGTCGTATGCATGATATTTATGCACTGGGCGTGGTGCTTCTTGAAATTGGGCTATGGGTGACACTCTCGCGGCTGATGGAGGCTAAAATTAAAGAGGCGGAGAACAGTGGAAAGCTGCCAAATCGGAAGAGAATTGCTGGGGACCTGATAAACTTGGCAGCACAGCGGCTACCAATGGAGATGGGTGTGGGGTATACAACAGCTGTTCTTGCTTGTTTGAAGGGAGACTTTAGAGGGACGGATGGTGCAGCTCTGGCGGTTGACTTTCAGGAGAAGGTGGTGGATGTATTGAGAAGTGGCATTGAGCTGTGATTAATAGCTCTATATGCGTACAATTTCACTTTACTTCAGGCTGGTTAGACTCAGTAGAGCATATCCATTCTGTGGACCATGAATGCTCAAGAACTACCTTTAGATTACTGTTGAAAGATCTTATCAAAGTCATGCTCAAGCCAATAACTCTCCGGTTGGACGCCGGCAAGCTTCCAAACACCATCAATCCTCTTATACCAATGCTTCACGCTGCCATAATTATGGCCCTGGTAAGCAACCGTAGTCCGATCAATGTCCACATACCGCTGATGTGCAGCACGAATTTGATGAACCGCCGTTATTTCAGAGTGGGATACCTTCTCATATCTAGCACCACCCAGTAGGTGCTGAGTGCGGACCAGGGGATCTCCTACGAGTGTAGGAGAGCTCATCATAGCGAGGAAGTCCTCGGCTTTCATGTCAGGGAAACACTGTTGACCGATGATGCTGTAATCCACCTGGCAAAAACATTAGGAAAACAGTAACTTGCGTAGTCTGGGTGATTTGATGATACCATCAGGGTTGGCGCTAGGATACGTTGAAAGCGGTTCCACTCCTGTGTCGAGTCAATCTCATGAAATTTCACCAGAAACACAATATTTACTCACCTTTTTGTCGATGCTATCAGCCCATTCAAATGCAACGGCATTTGTTGCAAGGTAATCTAGGATTGAAGCTTTGTAAGATCATTCGACAATGTCTTGAACAGAAAAATTTACCTTCAAACGGGATGCTCGCCATCATGGTAAGGGTTTATATTGTGATAATAAGTTTGAAAGCAACTCAAAGTGATCTTTGAGGATGTCACAGACTTGCTGAATTCTCTAGCGAGAAATTTTCTGTCGGTAGCCAGAGGAAAAAGAGAAGAAAAGGTTGCGCAGGCTGATCCGAGACTTAAAAACAAGGGGAGGGATGATTGATTTTCTCACACGGGACGCCTGAACATGCATGATGGCCCCCACGTCTACAGAGTGACTAAATTAGGCAAATAATGAAGCTGCATCGTGAAATTGTTTCACAGGAAAATATAAATACTAGCTATTGTCGATGTACAGCAAGCGCCATATCTAAGCTATACCAAGAGTTGACTTTCTTCAATACGCGGAAAGCGAGAACCCCCAAGATTCACAGGGACGTTACGTCTATATCTGATGGTTAGGTAGTTGACGAGTCTACTGACCCTATGAATCAGATATAAAGGGTGAAGTTGAACCTGTGTACTACGCACATACCTAGCTGTTCATTCCTGAGACTGTGCAGACCTCGCAACAGACCTAGAATACATCATCAGCTTGATTCATAGAAAGTAGAGATTTGACCTTATAAATCACGTATATGCGAGGCTATTGTTTTCAAAAATAACATTATCTCGTGATATGATTAATCGCTTTTTCCCCAGTCTTTAGATTTGTCTCACTTAGTAGAGTGTCATCCCACACAATGTTGCCTAAAATATTTGATAATAAGGCAACAAATCGAATCTTATCGAATGCACATCGGCTGCTGAATTTGCAACATCCCTTCGTCCGACACCCAAAAATTATTTTTCCTCCCAAGTATACGCTGTACTTCGTAGCATGCTGCATGGGGTGCCTCTCTATATACAAAGTAGCCGCCCCGCCCTAGTCCCAAACAGGTAATAACCTCGGTGTAAATCAGGAGGCGGTGAACCCCTCGTTCCTCGGGCGGTAAAGTCATCAAGCTGTAAAGGCTGTAAATTACGCCGAGGAACGACTGATCTATAGCGAGGGGTTTTGTTCTAGTCGTATGAAATAACAAGCCATTCGTTTTGAGAAACTAGAAATGTGATCACTTCTCGGTATAAAATGCGGGGAAATGTTAATTTCTTAGTGTTGTACACAGCCGATCTCCGAGCTATGCACCATTGATACTTGGTATACTATGCATAGCTGCTAGCTAGACCGTGGACAACCGAGCCGGCATTCCTTCCGTGACAGCCGCAGCGGCAGTATGGGCGCCTGTGACCAGCGAGATTCCTCAACGCCCGCAGCCCGCTTTTTTTCTTTACGGAGATGCTCCCATCTACGCCGCATAACCCAGCACGTTTCTTCGGCCAGATGGAGAGATTGATTTCAGAGCTGCTATAATTGTCGCGTCCTGCTACTCTTCCAAAATTAATTCTACTATCATCATTTCAGGGATTGTCTTGTCCTGTGGCGCAAACCGATTGGCCTCGGAATTTTGAAGACAAAGTGAGGTCATTGCCGCGCCATTGTGCAGGATACCCGCCCAAACGCCTTTTCACTGCAGAGAACCCTGGCAGATTGGATATTGGAATTGGAAGTCACTTTTGTAAAGCTCTCTCGGAGCTTAAGCTTGTATTGCTGAGCTTGTACATTCCCTATCCACGCCGCGCCGGCATCCTCGATAACCCCTCATCGCAATGGCCGCGCCGGGAGTTACACTGCGGCCGCTCTCGCGGACTGTCTTGACTGCGTCGCCTGCCCTTAGCACGACCACTCTTCGCATTGTGCCTCGCCGATTTCCTCAATCCCTCCTCAACCGTCAATCTCCCTCCCTTCATTCCGCTTCGCGCTCGCCGCTCGTCCCCCACACACAGATCCGACACAGCTCCTATCACTCGCCCGAACCCTCACCCAATACACCCAATGCCCGGAAGAAGGTCACCATGACCACGCTGCGCAATCTGTACAAGAAGGGAGAGCCCATCGCCATGATCACTGCTCACGATTTTCCAAGTGCCCGTGCCGCGGACGAGTCGGGCATGGACATGGTTTTGGTCGGCGATAGCTTGGGGATGGTGGCAATGGGTCTGGAGAATACCACGGAGATTGTCATGGAAGAGATGCTGCTTCATTGTCGGAGTGTGGCCCGAGGCGCGAAGCATGCCTTTCTCGTAAGTTGCTTTGCGGGTATCTGGAATTCTGGATCTGGAGGCTGATTGATACACGAACAGGTGGGAGATCTTCCCATGGGGTCATATGAAATTTCTCCTGAACAAGCAGTCGGGTCTGCTCTCCGTTTCATTAAAGAGGGCCGCGTGCATGGAGTGAAGATTGAAGGAGGCGAGGAATTGGCTCCAACAATCAAGCGTATCACTCAGGCTGGTATTCCTGTCGTGGGTCACATCGGTCTCACACCTCAAAGACAAAATGCTCTCGGTGGGTTCCGAGTCCAAGGTAAGACTTGCGTCGGCGCGATGAAGATCCTGCAAGACGCGCTGGCCCTGCAAGAGGCCGGTGTGTTCATGTTTGTCTTCGAGGCGATGCCGCCAGAAGTCGCCGCGCTCATCACGTCGAAGCTGAAAGTTCCCACCATTGGGATTGGCGCTGGAAACGGTTGCTCGGGACAGGTGCTGGTGCAAGTTGACATGACCGGAAATTTCCAGCCTGGCCGATTTATCCCCAAGTTCGTCAAGAAGTATGCCGACGTTTGGGGCGAAGCAACCCGTGGCATGATTCAGTACCGCGAGGAAGTCAAAAGTCGAGAATTCCCTTCCCCGGAATACACCTATCCCATCTCGAAGGAGGAGCTTGCCAAGTTCGAGAAGACGGTCGACGAGATGATCCAAAAATAACGAAATGCCTTGCCTCTGTATAATGCCCAATTTTTCATCGTTTGCATGTCCCTCCTACTGTATTGTTATTTCCCTGTCTTGATCATTCATCTGTACATAGGCTTTCATTCGTTCGTGCTGTGGGCAGGCTAGTGTGGGTTGGTCTCTCCCGCTCAGCCGAACGCCGGCGTCATGGAGTAAGCGACAATCAATTGATCATCTGTTTTGAAGCACTGCGAAAGAAATTAGGTCGATCAGTACATAGCCCCTAACGAAATCGTGTCAATAAGTAAACATACCCGCCAGAGCCCACCGACACCTTCGTCCAGACCGGGCGCAAACACGCTATTCACATAGCAAAAGACCGAGTCTGTGGCCTTGCAGTCCAGCTTCTTGCGAAGGAAATTGACCACGGTCTCAAACTTTTGCGATGCGCTGATCTTGAAGACCCGGTTCTTGAGAATGGGGGCCGATGGGAGTGGCTGGAAGCGGACGGTCACTGGAGAGCTGTGTTAGCTATATCGGATCATCCAAGCTGGCTGTGAGCCCTAGCACCACTCGAGTAAACAAAGATGGTGTCGTAGAGAAAAGAGACGCTTAAAAGTTATTGCTAGTAGAAAAAAATCCCTTACCTTTGCCAGCATCAATAGCTTCCACGTCCGCGAGTGCCTGATGAGCATCGCGGGGTAAACCCGTCAACATGACCGACGCGGTCATGTTCATCGGGAGGTCGGCACCATGATCGTCGTCCGGGATGGGTGTATCTACCATCCTGGGCGATACAGACTCTGACCGCGCTCCTTGACGACCTGGGCTGGGATGGTAGCTGAGGGTGGTGGACCCGGGTGGATTGATGGTGGGGGAGTCGCGCGAGGAGCGTGACGATGGTGAAGAGGGATCCATGATGGACGAGGCGTGGAGTGGATCCCGACGATCGGGACTTTTGGAGGTCGGAGGCTAGTAGTCTACAGGGGTGGAGATAGTGTGATGGCGAATGGGTTGTTGTTAGCTCGTTGGGAAAGAGGATGAAGAGGAACCATGGCTGCATTGCGTTTTGGCCGAGTCTAATTTATCTGGCGGCGGCCGATAGTCCGGGGTTCTACCAGGCTGCTCATTTAGAAGTACAGTAGTCGTAGAATACGATGTAGATTATATGGTAATTGAAACTTAATCTGCACATTAACATCTCTTCTTTGCCTTTATTCTGAGAGATTTGAGGGGGTTAAGGGCCAGAATTTTGCTCGATAATTAAGAAAAATACCACTATCCAGGCAAGCAATCCCAGCCCTAGCAGGATACTTTGAATAGCACTACATCCGGTATATTGACCAACTAAATCACGCATAGATAGTAAATCCTGGCCTAATGGTCATCGACGCATCTCCTAGAACTATAGACTTCTTTCCAGGGCCCGATAGGTGAGCAATGCCCATCGGAAGCGATCCTCCTACTAAAGATAGCTATGCCCCAGCGATTCAAGATTGCAAGATACTCTGCTCGCAGTTTCTCTCTGGCCACGTAGTACAGATACAGACCAACTGGTTGCCCAGATATTCTCGTGTAGACAGCCGTTGAATTAACAGTACGGAGTAGTGGCCCGACGGAAATCGAAATCGGCACCCTGGCCTAGCTGCAATCAAGCGGTGATTTGCTCGGCGAGCTCAGTTGTGGTCACTAGTCTCGTGGCGGTCCATGAGCAGTTGCGCGATATATGCAGACTTATCGTGGTCCCACGTTAGCGGGTAGAAAAGGTAAATCTAAATCCCAGAAGACCAGACAATATCTCATTGGACTATATCCAATTGGGAACTGAAAAGGAGTCAATCCGTGGATGATGCGCCTGATACCCGCTGACTCATCCAGCCATTATGATCGTCACCCAACGGAACTCCCCTCTTCTTTCTTCTTTCCTCCTCCTGTTCACTTGGATTTGTTTGTTTCTTGGATCTCTTATACTCAGAACTTACTCTGTGTGCTTGCTGAGCTACTATTCTCACCCGTTCCCGACTGCAGCCGCCTGCCGTCGCCTACCTTCCCCCACCGGCTCCTTCCCCGCTCACGACTTTGGGGGGTACTCTATCTTGCCGCCGCGGTGACCTCATTACACGGCCTCCAACCCGACTGCTTTCGAACCCCGCGACAACCGACACCACCTTTGATACCGCAAGACCTCGACCTCGAAAAGGGTCCTTCACCGCCATCATGAGCAGCCCTAAGCGAAGAATCGAGACCGACGTGAGTTCCCTTTCCGGAGCTTGATACAGCGCTCAGGGTCCCCGCAAATGCTAACCGGAGGTTTTACTATGCCGACAGGTTATGAAGTATGATCCCGGAATCTCGATTGTCTCAAAGCTGTGCCATATCAGAGTATTAACTAACCTTCGGCCAGGATGTATGCGCGCCGATACCCTCCCCCGAGCTCACTACCCCGCCCGGCACGCGATCAATCATTCGATTGCTAGACATGCGGTTGCGTTGGAATTGTGCTGACGGAAATAATAGGTTGATGAGTGACTACGAGGTTACTCTGGTCAACGACAACAGTGAGTGTCTCTTTGCATTTCCGAAGTATAGAAAGAAGGGCTAACTTGGATCTAGTGTATGGGCCCATTTCCCTCAACCAGCCATCGGGGATGTTGCTAACGACTCCATGCAGGCAAGAATTCTACGTTCGCTTCAAGGGCCCCGAAGAGAGTGTGTACCACCTTTCCCATGACAACCGAATGTCACATCATAGCTAATGAGCCTTTAGCACCCTTCGCCGGCGGCCATTGGAAGATCCACGTTGAATTGCCCGACCAGTACCCTTACAAGAGCCCCAGCATTGGATTTGTGAACCGGATTTTCCACCCAAACATTGACGAGCTGTGAGTGGCCAACTCACCATGCTATATCATATGTACTCGATTATTGACTGGCGATTCAGCTCGGGATCCGTCTGCCTCGACGTGATCAATCAAACATGGTCGCCAATGTACGACATGATCAACATCTTCGAGGTCTTCTTGCCTCAACTCCTTCGCTACCCCAATCCCTCGGACCCACTCAATGGCGAGGCCGCCGCACTGATGATGCGCGAGCCCAAGGGTTATGAGGCGAAAGTCAAAGGCACGAAAGTCCATCCCCTCCACCTCCACTATCCCGCCATTAACCATATATGAACAGAATACGTCGCTAAATACGCCAGTAAAGAAGCCGTAGACGAGGCAGGCGAGGACACCGAATCCGAAGGCGAGCTCAGCTCCGCTGGCAGCTATGAATCTGATGGTGAAGAGCCCGCTGGCGCAATGGACGATGTCTAATCGACCCACCCAGTTGCTTTGGCTCCTGCCAGCAGTCTCGGCCCAGCATCGGGCCTGCACGAACATATTGCATCCTCAACTCTTCTATATTTGATTTTTCTAATCTCATCGGAACAGGACCAGCGGGCGTTGCGTTCATCGCGGAGTTTATCTATTATTATCATCTCCTGTGTTTCACTTCAGCATTTACTATGGTCGTCGCTGGAGTCAAGGGGAGGACAAATCGACGCAGGATTTCTTACAGCCTAGCGGATTGATAGTTCTGCTTTTTTTAACCTCGAGGTCTTTGAATAAATTTATCTTTTATCTTTTTGACTACGTGACGTCGTCATAGCACGCAGCAATGCTGAACAATAGCATAACAGTACTCCTAATGAACTGATACAGGTGAGATGTGCCACGCAAGTACCTCTCAATTTCGTTTTGTTCAATTGAGTCTACGTCGACAATATGAAATCCAGAATCAGTGTTTCAAAGTTGAACCCAGGTTATAAATGCCCTGTAATGCTATCCAAAGAATAGGACCCCAGCGCCAAGCCCCGACAAAAAGAATACCATTACAACAAGAAAAGAAATTGAGACCGAAACTCAAAAAGAGAATAATGAGATCGAATGATTGAAACAGTTTGCACCGTGGGTATTAACAGACTAATGAAACAAGGAAAGGTCAAGAGAGAGTGGGCTACGTAAAACGGGAAAGAAAACAGTCGGCCTGCGATCCATGCAAAAGAAACAAAGAAAGGGCAATAAACAATGAGTGTAAGAAAAATACAAGGGGGTGACACTGTAGTGTACTGTAGTGCAGACTCGAAAGTCATATGAAAATGTGCGGATTCTTCCCTTCTCATACTCGTCATCGTACCCCGTCCTGGTCCTCTTCGTTGTGCTGGTCGTTGATATCATGATCATGCGAGAAGAGGAACTAGCTTGTCAAATCTTTGGCCAAGCTTAGGTGACCTTGAGAACACCAAAGACGTCGCGGGTTGCATTTCCGTCGTCCTTGAGGTCGGGGCGAGAGCGCTTCTTGTTGGTGTTGACTACTACTTCGCCCCAGTGCTTCGGGGCGGTGTTGCCTGAGGTGGGACGCTTGGTATCCTTGTCGGTGGTAGATACCGTGAGGGCTGCATTCTCGCGAGATGGAGTGGGAGAGTTTGCTGCAGAGATTGGGCCGGGGAGGGTGGCCTGGGGTTGGAGGTGTGGTTGAGGTTGGAGCGACCAGATATCAATGACGGAGCTGAATATGATGCCAATGGTTAGCAAAATGTCTCGTAGAATGACTGGACAACAGAAGCCAGATATTGGATCGCAAATCTTCGTGCAAGGAAAACTATACTCACTCTGAAGTGCGCTGGCAGATAGCATCCAGCGCCTCCCGCTCACGCCTCACATATTCCGGATCCGGCTGGTTGGCCTGCTGCGTATGAAGCGAGCCATAATTGTAGCCCGCTTGGTAAGGATCCTCATCCAGCAAGCGCGAAGACTCCGGCTTAAAGTGATACTTGTCAGCACAATGCTCCTTGAGACACAAATTCCACGCCTCCCGCATCAGACCGAGGTAATGCGCGCTGAACATGGCGATATCCAACATTAACACTCTTCCAAACTCACCTCGGGTGACTCCTGGCGATTACCGCCCAGGCACGAAGCGCAGATACCCATTTATACCGGATGGGTCTTTTTCAATTCAAAGCTCAGAGGGGCACGATGTAACAGGCACGAGGCATTAATCACCCCAATCGTCGATGAAGCGGTGGAACCCTTATCCCCTCGGACGGGGAAAGTGGGCGATGCGGTCAATAGCGACGAGGGATTTAGTGGTGGAGTAAGGAACGTGGGTGAGATGCAGAAGACAGGAAATAGCGCGGTGATCGATCGAGGGAATGTAACTCCGAAGGTGAGAGCGGGAATAATGTTCAAGACTCAAGAGAGCAAAGTTTCATATGTTGTCGGGCCCAATTGCTGGATGGCTGGGGGTTGGTGAGTCCGTGCGCTGGGCGTCATGCGATAAGAAAGTGCGTGGCCGGAGCGTTGCATTATCCGGCGGATTTTTGGGGTCTTGCATCTTCCGTTGTGCAACGTCTGTTGAGGGACTGTCATTCTATCTCTCTGCGCATCATGTTCGATTTACCAGATGCTAAACGGTGCGTCGCTTCCTTTGTACTCTAATTATTGCCATACTGACTGTGTCATCTAGGGTCCGTCGTGATCAGGTCCAATCGCCTGCCTCTTCTCGTGAACACTCGCCCGTCGATGAGACCGACCTCCAGGATGCCCACGCTCGACTGGGCAAGCTCCTAGATTTGGATGGATTGATTGGGGCCAACACAAGTGCCGAAGAAGATAAAGATGCGACACAGCCTGCAGATGGAAACAATGACGAGGATGAGCAGGAGTTCGAGTTCCGCTTGTTCAGCGCCCCCACAAAGCCTAAAGATGCTACGCCGAAGGAGCCCGGAACGAAGGATGGAGACCGAACAGCTACCAAGGGGGATAAAACAGAAGGGAAGGAAATCAAGGTTACTACTGCAGGAACACAAAAGCTCCGCATTCGATTGCGGTCTCCTTCACCATCTGGCGACCCCTCGGAGGGACGCTTCGTCAAGGCCTTCCGTGGATGGCAGTACTACTTCTCAACACCTTCTCTCCTTGGACTAGATGAAAACGAGGAAGTTAAAGAGACGATAGCCGAACAGAGGCGCCAATTTGAGGATATGGCTGTTACTGGCGAGCATATCACAATCTGGGCCAAAACACAACCATGGGTAAGTTATCCCCGTCAAGAATACACACATGCTGGCATGGATCACTAATCCATGACAATAGCCTGGCTGCGATCTACCCTGGCGGGTCATCCATCTCAAGCGCCATCAAACCAAGCTACCGAAAGATATCCCCGTCTACGCGGTCGAGGGTGCTCCCGTATCCAAGTCCCCGCTCACACGCAAGAAGCCCGGCAAGAAGCGCCGCCTTCAATTGCGTAAGAAGGTTGCTGCGGCGGCGGCAGCTAAGGAGTCCGAGGCTGAGAAGAGGCATCGCAAGAATCGGGAGCGCAAGCTCAAGCGTCGGCAAAAGGCTCGTGAGCAGAAGGCCGCGGCTGGTGGTATTACTGGTGATGGGGATGTTGCTATGGCTGACGGAGATGGAGACTCGTCTGGAGCTGATGAGTGAAGTGGCGCGTGTTTTTGATGCTGATATGAGATTATGATACCCTGCAGGAATGGAAGTTGTTTCTTATATTTTGTGTTTTTATATTTTGCAATCTAGTGGATTTTGTGATTATTGCCATGCTCGGTACTAGAGTCAGGGATACTCAAAAACACGTCGACGAAACATTCGTTGCTAGCATGTTGTATATAGAGCTTAAAGTAAAGGGTTTTCCGGAATCTGAACTGCTCTAATTAAGGAAATACTGGATCTGAAAAAGGAACCACCCCCCCCCCCCAAAAGAAAAAAAGGGAAAAGAAGAGGAAAGGCTCAAATAGACATCATCGAAGTACCATATAACTTGAAAAAAGGATAGACCGTTGTCGCGATCAAGTGTCCTAAACTCCAACCATCAGACACTGTCTGTCACAGCAAGGAAAAAGACTTCCAACTCACCGAAAATGAAAAACGTCAGGCCAAAAGCAGCTTTGAAATTCTGCGCGCCGATCAAAATAAGAAGCATAAGACAGACTGTCCAGATTGAGAGACCCCCCTGGTGTAAACCGGGGGTTTGTCTGAACTTGATCGCCGCCTCTTCGATTATAGTATGTAGGTTGGCAGCTGTTGTTGTTGCCCTGTCCAGCAGAGCCTGTGATACCTGGGTATTGAATCTGATTGCCTCTTGTGCTTGTTCTTGGATAGCCAAGGCATCAGCCTGGAGACGTTGAGCTTTTTGGAGCTCGACTGCTTTCACTTGGGCTTCATTCATCGATGTGTCCATGGCTTGGAGTCGCTATTGAGGTTAGCTATGATTATGGTATGAGAATTTCAGGAGTACAAACCTCAGCCAGCTTGCTTTCTTGCTCAAGGGCAACCATTACTCGGCTTATAAGCCATTCCTGATTCTGTCAGCATGGGCCCAGTTCAGTGGAGGGAGATGAACATACCAAAGCGACGTCAACGTTCGCCATTTGTTGAAAAAGCTGCGTGACATCTGTCTCCGCCAGGGAGCGTAATGAGGAATGAAGATCAGTTGCAAGTTCCTTCGCTGCGAGCGAGTTCTCCTGCTGCACTCGTAGTGCTTGGTGATGTCGAGCAATTGTATCTTCATGAGTGGCCCGCAAGACCTGCTGCAGGACATCAACTTCCGAAGAGGTGTTTTGTATATTCTGTATTCTAGTTAGCACACGTCCACAGTATTTATCATGAATATTTGAGTGACTGGGTGACTCTGACCTGGCTCAGGAGTGATGTCTCCATTTGCACCTTCCCAACCGCTGACGTGAAAGCCGCAGCTACTGTATCGAAGCCAGCTTCGATGTCATTCAAAAAATTCCCGAAAAGACCACGAAGTACTGACCCCCTCTCTTCCAGCTCACTTGAAATTCGGTCTTGTAGCGCTTGAACCGTCTGAAGAAATGCTTGGTGCTGCGCTGAGGTTTCCGCAGCCTGGCGTAAAGCTTCCTGCAGCCCCTCATCAAGCTTCGTAGTGCTTTTTGCAAGAGACAGATGGAGACCCAGCATTTCTTCCTTCTCAGCTTCGATGCGAGAGGCTTGGCAGATGATCAATGCATTCTGCCTGTTGTTGCTGTAGGAGGTCCACCATTGAGGTCTCGATTCGAGGCTTCTCAGACACTGCTCCAAGTCCTTCTTCGGGAGTATAGCTTCGCCGCAATCCATAGATCTGAATCGCCGAAAGAATCGGAAACCCGAGGCTGACGGTGAGGGAGGTGGAACTGTTACTGGAACACACGGTTGAGGCACCCCAGCGCCAGCGCCTTCAAGCTCACAGATCGCCAGTCGAGCAGCGTAGACAGACCGAATCTGATCGAGAGCTTGATTTGTGTGCGGATCAGTGTTGCCCTTGCCTCCGAGGTCTTGACATGAGGTGACCAGTCTGGTTGCAGCCACACGATTGCAGGAGGGAGATGAGTTCATGGACTCTAGTAGTTGAACTGCTTCAGTGAAGACTGATTCTCGTTGCCGGGTACTGGATGTAAGATATGTGACCGCGTTGCTGTCATCCGTTCGATCTGTAGGAAGGCGGGGGTTGCCTAGCTCAATCAGCGAATCAGGTCAATCATGTTCTCTGATGCACTTACCGTGATGGGATGATTCGACCTCAGTCGACCTCACCAGGCCGCATGTGAGGGCGGCGCAGACTGAGCCAGCCAGAAAACGTGATGTGAACCACTTCATGGTGGCGATATATTTTTCGTTACCCTCGTGGAAGCTTTGGTGATGTGCCTGGGCCACTCTCATCGGCGCTGTTGCCGATTGCGCGTGAGAGAGCAAGTTCCTGGGGAGCGATGGTGGGTTGAAGAGTTGGGAGTTGAGGATGGGTGAGTGAGGAGGATAATTACCAAGTGAGGGAGATGAAGACCAGGTGACCTCTTATGGATGGCTCAAGTCGGCACGATTCCTCACTTGTTTTTTGAGCCAAAAACAATGGCAGTTCCGGTTGAAGAAAGAAGTATTTGCTGTAAATAAAAGCCTGGAACATCAAACGTGAGATGCTCACCCGAAATTTGGCCCTGAAAAAGAAGTGTATGGCTCAAGTCCTGACTCTCCTATTGAGATATGGGATAGAAGGTGAGAGCTGAGCCAAATCAAATGCTACACTAAGATTGATAAGATAGCACTACCAGTGGTGCAAACGCGTTAAAAGACATGTTAATCATTGCATTCATAGTCTACCACTCAAGGCGATCATCATAACATAAGTTGACATCAAACTTCTCGTCCCCATTCCACAGCTTGGAAGCAGAATTGCATTTAGCAACAATCTCTCTTAGATCACTCAACATACCGCCAGGCCCGCTAGCAAATATGGATGTTGGGCCCGTGATTGTGTTATCCAGGAATTCAGTGATCAACTTCTGTAAATCAGGATGCCTGCTCTCTGCCGATCCACCACCAAGCTTGACTGGGACATCCAGGTCACAATCGCAAAGGTCAGCCTCGGATGAAGATTGCTGTAAGGCTTGCATTGACTTCTCGTCTTCATTCTTGGCTGGTAGAATGCTTTCTCTGGACGTAGTCGGGGTATTGGTGTCTCTGGTAGCGAAGATACGGATTTTCAGGTTCATTGCCTTCTTGGCTTTTCGGAGGAGGTCCAGCTCTTGACGGATCCACTGGACGTTGCTTGTGTGCTTGATTGCCCAGACTAAATCGATTTTTCGATCCGGTGAAGATGGCTGCTGGGCAAGACTGAGCAGTAGGGGCAGCACGTAGGTAATTCCTGTTCCGCCTGCAACGCAGATAATGTTGGTATTTGGTGCCAATTCTTTGGTGATAGTCTCTCCATAAGCACCTGTCAAGATGACGGGAGTAGTCAAAACACCATTCGCAGCCAGATCTGCGATCTTTCTTGTCTCGCCTGTCTTGGCGCGAAGGATATATGAATGCTTCACCGTTCCCTTGACGATCTCGGGTGCATTGAGAGGAGTGAATGGATGTGATTGCCACACACTTCCCTGTGGGAAGCACAAGTAATAGTGCTGACCGATGTTCCAAGGTTCCTGTACATTCTCCAAATCAAGACGAATCACGTCGCCATGTTCCTCGTCTGAAAAACGTGTGATGGCAGCTTCAATAGACTTGAAACCCAGCATTCCTGATTCTTCGCCTGGGTGATAATGCAGAACAGCGGTGCGAATTAAACGAGCCCCTCGATCGAGGAACCAAAAGATGAGAGATGGAAGCAAGAAACATTTCAGTTGTTCCCAGTGACCCCAGCAAGCGCCGATAAAGACCATGGCAAGGACATAGTGTAACTTGCGGAAGGTCTCGTATCCGGTGAGTCTGATACCCCACGGGGTACTGAGGACGAATATCAAGAGCAACAGAATCATGGCTACAATGCCCCAAATCATGTATGTCTGTGTGATCCACTCGATTCCGACCTTAGGTTGTGGCTGGTACAATCTCAACTCAACTATACACCAACCGATTGTGTGGAGGGCGCTTTGGACAAAGATAATATAGCCCAGCCAGCGATGCAAGAAGTTGAATGTTTGATAGGGCAAGCCAGTGATCAGAGAGAGGAAAGACTCGCGGCTGCTCAACATCACTGAAAGAGGAGTGAGTGCATATGCAAGAACGCCAACGCGATCCGACCACGGGCCGATGCTAGACCGAGTGTTATAGACACCATCCATACCGGACACGGGGGTGATCCAGGTGTTGTAGGTGATGCCGACAAAACTGAAGATGAGAAGATAGCCGGCCAGAGCTGCAAGAACGAGAACTTGTAGGCGCGTAGTGCGGCCAAAGATGACGCGGACTGCGTCGGGGAGAAGATATCTACGGCTGAATACCGCGAGCGACACTCGAAGTTTGCGAAGTCCAGCCAATCGTGGAACAGTCAAAGACGGTGATATCGTTGGCTCGTTGAAATGTCTCAAAATAGCCCAAATGAAAAGGATTCCTCCCAGGGTCGACCAGAGGATGCCTGTATACAGCATTCCCCGATCATGGGCCGAATATACGACATCGAGATAGGCGCATGAGCCGGCATCGTTTGTGCAAGGTACAGCACGGTCTGCGTAGCCCCAGTGCGGCTCTAACGTCTTCGCAGCGGTCAAATTTTGGATGTGCGCGCGGACATCCAGCTTGGAGAAGGACATCTTGCCCTCTCACAAGCGAGGTAGAACGGATCTTGATAACCAGTATGGAGTATAAGTCTCAAATAGGTAGAATACCCATGAAGAGATCCTGGTGCTGGAAGAAAGCTTAGCCAAATTGATAGAATTATGGTAGCATAAAGAAAGTCGCGTGGTATATGACTGAGAAAAAGAAAAAGAGGAAAATATGCCCAGGATATAGCTGCGTGAAATTGAGAGCAAGGTCTTGAAGAGTGAATCCTCTCTCAAACCACTCATCCTATCGCAAGCCACATTTTGAGAGCAATTGAGCAGATTTCAGCAGGACTACGGAGATTTGCTCCACTTAGGCCCATCCCCGCGACATGGTTGCGAGATTCTACAGCCGAGATCTATAAGACCACCATGGTCTCGTCTCGAAAGTAGATCATCTCAACCCACTACTACAACAGACTCCTCATATACCCGCCAACCTACTTTGAGCAGTCCAGAATCAAAATGCACGGCATGGATATGAGCTCGAGCAGCGACAGCACCGAGTGCCAAATCTCCGTAAGTGCCAAGACTCGCTCGGTTGGCCGAAAGCCGCCCCGCTGACTCGACTATCCAGATGCTGTTCAACTGGTACACAATAGACGCATGTTTTCTCTCTACGGGATGGCAGATCAAGAATAACGGCATGTTCGCCGCTACTTGTATCGGAATTATTCTGCTCGTTATTCTTGTCGAGGCGTTTCGTCGACTTGGCAAGGAGTACGACACGTTTTTGACCCGCCAATTTCAGCGCCAAGCCGCGGTGCTCGCTGCCAAGAAGGACAATTGCGTGACCAGGGCCGAGTCGGTGGGGCTCGGGCTCAAGTTTCGAGTCACGCCTTTGCAGCAGTTGATGAGGGCTGTTATACACGCTTTGACGTTTGCTGGTGCTTATATTATTATGTTGTTGGCGATGTATTTCAATGTCTATGTGATTATATGCATTTTTATCGGGGCTGGATTGGGCAAGTTTTTGTGTGACTGGATGGTTGTTACCGTTGGGATTGAGGGGATACGTGAGGAGATTAAGGGAGTGGAAGAGACCACGGTATGTTGTGGTTAAATCTTGAATCTAGCGTTGATATAAAGAAGGATCGAGATCTACATACAGCTCGAATGATTCAATGAAGCTCATGACATAGATATACATACAATTTGTGCAAACTAGTACGGCCTTGAGCTTAATCTCATAGGTTGTAGTATAATTTTACATTCTATATGCGGATCACATTCTTTCAATACTTCCTCCTGGAAATCATTTCAGTCCATGGGGTCGATAGTAAGGATTTACCGTCATCATTGTCAGCTCTGTTGGAAGTATGCGCGGCGGAATATTAGCACCGTTTATCAGGTACTTTCATGTTCATCAACCTTGACGTGTACTATATTATTGGAAATCTAATTGGTCTGATCAATTCAAACTCCATGTTACAAAAATCAAAGGCAATTCAAGAAATTGCACGAAACACTAGTCGACCACTTAACTAGTCTTCTGGATGGACTGCCTGATCGACACCATAATATCCAGGCACCGCTATAGCCGCGGTGATAAAAATCACGTGAATACTAACCCAATCCAGCCCGCAATTTACTCCAACAAAATCATCGAGTCCGCATCACAGCCCGAATCAAACATACACACCACCATGTCGTGTCTACCCCAACGCTGCGCCCGGCAGCTCATCCGCGAGCCCTTCCAGCGCGGCTCATTACCTCTCTTCCTCACCCCGGCCTTCTCCCCCTCCCGCACACAATGCTTCTCGACTTCATCGCCGATGCAATCCCGAGTCGGCGGCGCCGCGATCTCCGTTCCCCCCGAGGTGTCATTGAACCTGGTTGATATCCCCAAGTCTGCGACCCGGGTTCGCGGAAAGGATGTGCCGAAGTTTACGGCTGAGATTAAGGGGCCTAAGGGTATGTTTGGTGATTCTTTAGGAGTGGATGGTTTGGTGTTGGGAGTTAAGCTAATACATTTTTTTTAACTGCGATTGCAGGAGAGATGTCTCTTACTATCCCCTCGTTCTTGGATGTGAACTACGATGCGGCAAATTCGAAAGCTACGCTGTCTGTTTCGGACTCGGAGCAGCCTCACCAGCGGGCGATGTGGGGTGCGTATTGTCGTCGAATATTCAAGACGCGCCATACTACTTTACTATAAGTGGCCGTGAGCTAACAAAGTGGTTTAATTGTCCAGGCACGACGCGCGCACTCCTCCAGAACCACATCATCGGCGTCTCCGAAGGTCACATCTGTATTCTCAGTATGGTCGGTGTCGGTTACAGGGCTACCATCGAGTTCAAGGCCACCACCGTGACTGCCTCCTATCCCGGCCAGCAATTCGTCTCTCTGAAGGTCGGCTTCTCCCACCCCATTGAGCTGGGCATTCCCGAGGGTATCAAGGCCAGCACACCCCAGCCCACCCGCATTCTCCTGGAGGGCGTCGACAAGCGCAAGGTGACGCAGTTTGCTGCCGAGATCCGTGAATGGAGACGGCCGGAGCCGTACAAGGGCAAGGGTATTTTCGTCAATGGCGAGACTATCAAGCTCAAGGCGAAGAAGATTAAATAGGTGGTGTGCGCTCGTATGTCTTTTGGTTTTTTTTCCTGGAACATTGCGTCTTGGGTTCCGTGTATTCTTATTTTATACTCTATCTCTGTCATCATATATGTACGACGTACTTCTTCAATAGCACTTTTTCTCCCTCATTTCCTCCACGTGGTATCACAAGTGTACTTTGGACGCATCAAGCGTGATCTTAGCCAGTAGCAACACAAACCTCCAACTTAAAGCTTAAGGACGACCTTGACAGCATCAATGACCTGGTCCTGCAGGGCCTTGGGGGCAGCAACAACACCCTTGTTGGCAGCCAGGGTCCGGCCCTTGCTGAAGTCCAGGCGGTTGCCGTAGATGTCGGTGACCTGACCACCGGCCTCACGGACAATGATGTCGCCAGCCGCGTGGTCCCAGATCTTCTCCTGGTAATCCTTCTTCACGGGAAGACGGAGGTAGATGTCACCGGCACCGCGAGCAATGGAGCAGTACTTGGCCTGCGAGTCCAGACGGACACTGGGGGCAGTGATACCGAGACGCTCAGCGACGGCAGCATTGTCACCCTGGGCGGAATGGGCAGCCTCGACACCCTCGCAGAAGACAGCCTGGGCGATATCGGGAACAGGACGCATGGAAATAGACTTGCTCTCGGCAAGAGTGCCGTTGGACAAGGGACGGCTGGTAGCGCCCTCGCCCTGGACGGCGGAGAACAGGACACCGTTGGCGGAGGTGCTGGTCTGCTGGGCACCAGTGCTGGCATCGATGGGGGCAGCATCGTCGACGGGGAGGTTAGGAGTACCAATAGCTCCGACCTTGACATCACCGTCCACGATCAAACCAAGGCAGACGGCGTACTGGCCGCCGCGAAGGAAGCCCTTGGTGCCGTCAATGGGGTCCAAAGCCCAGATACGACCCTTGGGACCACCAGCACTCTTGCCCTCATCGATGATATCCAACATGCTCTCCTCGCTGGCGATAGGACCGCCCAGGATCTTATCACTCTCCGCATCCTCCAGCTTGATATCCTTGACCAGACGCCAGATCTCTGCGCTCAAGGCCTTGTCCTCACGCAGGGAGCTAGCCTCCTCCTCGGCGACGATCTCGTCGTTGGGGAAGTTCTTGCGGATGGCCTGGATGATGAGGGCCTGGGCGCCGAAGTCGCCGATGGTAACGGGTGACTTGTCATCCTTGGAGACGGTACCCTTGGCCTTTTCGAAGAAGACCTTCTGGGTGAGGATGGAGGCCCGCTGAACAGCGAGCTCGGCGATGTAGCGTTCTTGTTGGTAAGCCATTGTTGGAATTTGGGAGCTGGAGAATGGGGAGGAGGGTGAGAAGGAGGGGAGTAAGAGGGAGAGACGGGAGCGGGTCTTGAGAGCCACGCTGAGGGCCAGGATGAGGGTGGAGCAGATGAGGAAGCGGGACAGGACGCGCAATAAGCTCGAGGGGCGATGGTTTGGCGGGGAGGGGGAGGGAGAGAGGGGCATCAAATGAGGTGATTAATTAGCAATTCCAATTGAGCTCGAAGAAGCAATGGCACTTGGATGTCTGTATCTCTTCTCTCTCTGGTTGAATTGCCTCGTATTGATTACTTTCTTTAGTCTCGTTTCTTCATCTCCAGTGGAACAAAACCCCCGCCCTAGTCCCAATTGGGGTCCGCCCAGTCACGTTCTTTAGTCTCAAACTTTCGTTCTTTTGTAGCGTTTCATTGTGGAAATTGGAATTTACTTCTTCTTGAATTTTCGATCGACAGAGTTGACTGGCTAGAGGTGTGGCACATTGCCAGTCTTGTGAACCCCGAGTGCCTAACACTATCTCAAGCAGGCAGGAGCATCAGAGTCTAACAGACTACTTGAGTCCACTTGCAAACCCACACTTGTCTCCAGCCCGGTGATCGGCCTGCCGAGGAGCGCTAAGAGCCTAAGAGGAAACCCTGCGGCCTCCGACGTCACCGTCATCCACGCGACACAGTCACCCCATTGCTCGACCTCTATCCTTTGGTCTCGTGTTCTCAAAGAAGGAGGACATTTGGGGATTACTGGGCACAGTTACAGCTACAGCGTGGTATCGTTGCCTGCTTACCCTGTCTTCGTTTCCCGCATCTTGCCAGTGTGATCCGAGCCGTGCGGGGCTTGACACGCGAAGGCCGAATCCCTAAACGCGCGGGGTAGGAGACTATTCACTTCATGTTCAAGGAATCCAGACCATACTAACTGTCCATTAGGTTGACAAGAATCTTCTTTATTCCCCCAAGATGTTTCAATCCTCGGTAAGTCCTTCATACCGCCGCGATAAGGGGTCTTGTGACCAACAACAACGCTGACATGGTCCACGTCTCGAGGTAGAAACCCTACTCGGCCGTTACGGTCCAAATAGAGGTCCTCACCAGCGAACAATATGAGGTGGATGACTGGAGTGGTATCGTCGATCTGGTAGAGGTTGTTCGCATCCAAGCCAGTGGCCCAACAGAAGCAAGCCGGGCTTTGCGCAAGAAGCTGTGGGTAGATCGCAACCAGTAGCCTACGGAACTCGGACTGACACCTCTTCCAGGAAGTACGGCACCCTCCACCGACAGCTACGCGCCCTCACTATCCTCGACTTCCTGATTCAGAACGCAGGCGAACGTTTCCTGCGCGAATTCGCCGACGAGCCCTTGCTAGAACGCTTGCGCATCGCTGCCACCGATCCCGTCTCAGACACCCAGGTGAAGCAAAAGTGCAAACAACTATTTGCGCAATGGTCGGTGACATACAAAGACACGCCGGGCATGGCAAAGATTGCGGCGCTTTACAAGCAACTTCCCAAGCGCAAGCAACCGGCCACCCAGGCCAAGGCCAAGGTCCTTCGTGAGGGTTCATCAAACCAGAATGAGGTACCCATGGGCCATACAGTCACCATCTCAGCCGGTAATGGACCCGCCACAACGCTCAGCAGTCCCAAACAAAAATCCAAATCGAAGGAGAAGAAGAGGGCAAAGACACTCTCGATCAGCTCGAAGAGCTTCAGTCTAGAACGGGAACGCCCGCAAATTCTGGAGACTATTGCGTCCGCGTCGGTGGCGAGTACGAACTTGCTGAATTCCTTGAAATTGGTCAATCGCGAAACGACTCGTGTTAGTGATGATGCAGAGTGTAGCCACCGATTCGACATTTGCAAAAAGCTCCGTCACCAGATTCTACGATACATCCAACAAATCGAGAGTGAGGAATTCCTCGGAGGACTGATTCACGCCAATGAGGAGCTTGTTACTGCATTGATGGCATATGAGGTTCTGGATAAGAGTGTAGATTACGACAGCGATAGTGACGACGATGTACTATCTGGCAACTGGCGGTCGCGCGCTGACATCGAGTCCGAAATGAACCAAAGCTTTAGTGGGTTGTCCGTCAACCCCCCGAAACCACCCCGGCCTAGTCTACCCATTGCTTCGTCTTCACAGCATGGGCGGCAAATATTCGAAAGTGAGAGCGAGACAGAGGAAGAAGATGACGATGAGGACAACCCCTTCGGAGATCGAAATGCGATCAAAACGCCTGGAATTGAGAAAGCTGGTTATTCTTGGTATGCATGTGGTCACTGTTTTAATGCTCGGCAAGTAGCTAACAGACGTGTAGGAAAGAAGTATGATCCAGGCTTCATGGAGCCGTGGTTTTATAAATGCGTTGCTGCTTGAACTTGACTTTATTGTTAGATTGGGTATGTCTTTACGGAATATCCAAATGAGCCTATGGTGTGTGGGTGTTGATGAGACATGCTTTTCTTTTTTACCTCGATGCGATGTTGTATTCTATCGTTCCGGGAATCAATGCATAGCTGGAAATGAATATACTATAATCACCATCCGTCCTTGAATTTTGTCAGGATCAGGTCTTTTTACGTCCTGCTTCCCCCCAACACTCAGAAGCTTCGGTCTGATCTACAGGCAAAACAGCATGCTGTTTTGCTAAAGCCTTAGAGTGGATTGGAATACAAGTCATTTCGCACTAGTTAAACACGAGTAACACCGGCGAGCATCCAACTATGAAAGGTAAGAGCTCTAGGGGCGATAGTATATTATACTGGCCGTGGAGAGTTTTGGCCCATATCTGAATATCTGAGTAACCAAAAGGGGCATACGCTCTCGACCTAATCCACCCGTCGTATGGTCGTAAGAAATCTTAAACTAGGCCGCTATAAATTAAAAGACCCCTTTCTATGAGAATATAGGATCGTTAGTCCCACTCCTCCCGCTACGGCCGTATGTCTTTTTCGCCTCTCTGAGATCGGCATTCAGGAGCATCAAAATGTAAACTGTAATTATTTTCTGTTGGATAATAAGAGACTACTCAAAGTGATAAAAAACTCAATTCATGACTGAGTTCAGCGTACATAAAGCATCGCATCTCCGTCTGGAATGATTTCAGCCAGAGCTTAAGACATCAAAACACTCGAATCCATTTCAACCTTTGGCTTCGTAGGAACTACCTACCAGGCTAGAGCCTTTCATAACAAAACCTCCGAGAATATTTTACTTACGCAACTTTGCATATAAAACCGCCAGTTCAACGATCACCGACAAGATGACTGTCTCTGGTTTTGGACTGCTAGCTGCTCTGACCGCCACCATGCTCTCCTTAAGCAGTGGAGTCCTATGAACGGCCTCTATTAGCTATACCTCCTAGGGCATTACAGTCTCTAGCGGAGAATTCACCTCCACTATTCCTGGACATATTGCACAATATGACGCTGGCGATGGACGAGGTCTCTGCTACGGACAGGAGCTCATCGGAGACGGTGTTGAAGCTATCAATACCAGTGACGGGTCGCAAAGTTTCCACTGCGACAATGGTGACTGGGTGTCGGCAACCTTTTGGATCACAAAGGATCAGTGCTTGAATATTAAAGTTGATGGCCAACACCACTACTGCTGCGGAGAAACACTCACTAACGATGGTGCTGCGGGGTGTTATCTTTAAGGGAGATATGGTGAAGACTCGGCATTGGATGCAATTATTGAATTGGGAGAGTGTTTGGTCCTCTTGTCTTCGGGGGTACGTCAAAGTCATTGTCTGACAATGGAATGTACCCAACTCTTGGCTCGCCAATGGGCTGTTTGTCGGATCGTTTAAATTTGCTGCGGATGGGCATGATGTATCTAGCAATGATATTGGACGAAATGGACCATCTAAACACGAATCAATTGGCTCGACTATCCTGGGTAGTTGATTTCTGAAGCTCATTATATTGAGACTCCGTGACAGGTGTTTTTTCCCCTCCACAAAGTTGCGGATAGATAGAATGTGATGTAAGATTGTAGTCGGAAGGACAAAGGAAGATCTCTTGCTCCTCGACTAGTGAAGCATATCCGTCGGTATAAACGACTCTTCCAGGACGTTCCATCCCCCAGTCTCCCCATTGTTGTTCCCCGGTAGTGAGATTCTCACAACACAGAGCGAACACGAAGAGATCTATCAGCCAAACCCTGAGAGACCCATCATAGTGCTCAGAAGAATCGTTTTCCGGGTTATTTCGATCAAAATTACAGTCGATCAAGTTGACATATCCAACCAGGCCAGACTTGTTATCTGGCTCCGAGCTCGCCAGAATCGACCGGACTGCACGCTCATCCAAAAAAGGCAGTAGTCAAAACGAGGTATTCCCGAATAAAGATGGAACCCTCGCCCTTCGACCCACTGTATATGTCGATGCCGAATAACGTCCGTTGAAGCGCCTTCTAGGCTCGGATCTTGAACAATTATATTTCGATAGCCCTCACGAACAACTTCGTGGATATTAGGCTGACACCAGAAATGTTCTCGGTCTTTGTCCAAAGGCATTTGGAATAGCAATATCGGTCAAGCTTCTCAATAGCGGCGGTGAAGTCTTCATCAGAAGTGGCCGTATAGCTCGTGCGATAGATAACATAGCCCCACGGCCAAGCTCCATCCATCGTAGCCTGAAACCGGAAGAATCGATGAATCCAATTGTTCCAGGTATTATTGTCCCATCCTGGCCTTCTACTGAATCGTATTCTTCTCTCAAGGGCGGTTTCCTCGGGTGGAAATTCTGATGAGCGCCGCGGTATAGTCCACGAGTCGTCGTGAAAGACATTCGTATTTTCAGACATGACGCCTGAGCGCTCGAATTGTAACAGAAATCAGACAACAAAAATAATAAAAGGCCGGCTGCTTTGCTTAATAGGATTGTGTCTGCTGGGTTTGTCTGAGCTAAGAGTGCGCTAGTTCGCTGTCGCCCTAGCGACTGACTCATAGCGACACATGCCTGGCTTCTCCTTGATATGTCACACAATCAATGAGCCAATCCCGGATCTTGATAATCTGAGCAATGAGGGCTCATCAAAGGGGAACTTGCAAGATGGATGATCTGAATGTGGGCAGAAGTTTGATAGGATGAAAACTTGAAAAACACTCGTTGTGGGGGGCATTGCCGTCAAAGAAGGAATGACCTACAGGCGATGACAAGGATATCCTGTAGAATAATGCGCTAACCTTATTAGGATTTGCCAGGGAAGGGGCAAAAGTTGTATTGAAAGACGAGTGAATTATCAACAGATCGAGGAACTGGATGCCTGAAGTACCCATTACTACAATGAAATTCTAGAGGATCTAGGTCTAACCTTGGGCGATCGTGGATGGAAAATTGCAGATAAGCCCATCGGCTTCTCCTTCGGGAACTGTGCATTGCGTATATTTCCATGACCTTGGTGAATAAATGCGGTAGAGCGCGATATACAGAACGGACATAACACTTGCTATAAATTGAGCGGAATGTGGGCACATTTCACTCAAAAATGAACACCATGAACCTGCTGCTTCGTCTTCTTCACGTTGAGATCCTTCCAAAATAAGCCAGGAAGCCAACGTGATTAGATAAAGGCACGTGGCAGTAATTAGCATAAGATTTTGAGTCTCCTTATAAGCATGATCGATCGCATCGCGAGTAGCCGTCCCTTTCGCGTAGGATAGCTGGGTAGACAGTGAGCCATAAATGGCCGTAAGTTCACCTTGAGCGGATGAAGGAAGGAACTCTTTCAGCTTCACGGGAAAGACTCCAGTCCACATTGCAACGGCATCAGTACTTCCAAGTGCACTTCCAATGCTGGCTACCACTCCCTCAATAGCCAGTATAGCCGGAATGTTTCTCTGGGCAGAGATCGCCATAACAGTCATCTGCTCACAGATCACGAGAGTGCCACCTCCGAAAGCAACAAAAATCAGGCACATCACAATGTACCCAATGTTCGAATCTGGCTGACGGAACTTGATCATTAGAACGACTCCCAGGATAGTCAAAGGAACGCCAAAGCAAATAGCCCACCACTTCAGACGACCATGCTTGCGAAGGACAGCGCCGAAGACAAGACACCAGAAGCAGGAGCCGATAGTATAGATGTTTGAGATATATGTGGCATGGGTCACCGTCTGGTCGAACATCACCTGCAAGAGGGAATAGAAGTAATTGTCACAGATATACCAGGCGAAGTAGAGCGAAACAACCATAGAGAATGCGAAAAATACAGGCCGGTTTTGGATCAGCTCCCACGGCATAAATTTCACTGGTGCGAGGTACTTATCCCAGAGGGTGAAGCAGACAATCAAGCAAAATCCAATAACAACAAAGCATATAATCAATGGAGAGTGCCACTCTCCAGGCTGATACGAGTATAAGCTGAATGCCAGCAGGAAAAAAGAGAAGCCTGTCGCAATAATGAGCAGTCCAATCACGTCGAACCCAATACCATAATGGATGATAGACTGCAAAAGGTTTCGTCCGCTGCTTTGCTTTTCCGTCAAATCCGTCTTTTCGGCCTTTTCTTGAATGCAATACCACAGGCTCCAGAGTGGAGCACTGACAATAGGCATGACAATTGCAAAAATACCGAAGCTCCATCTGTATCCAATCCCGCCAGGGGCCACGATCTGGTCGGCTGCGTAACCGTAGATCCAGGGTGTAATAAGATATGGGGAAGCAGCATAAGCAATCCAGAATGCACGGTTCTTTAGAGCCGTGGTGTCGGCGGTGAAAATCGTCATGGAGAGATCAATCATGCTAAACCCGGTTTGGTAAAACACCTGAGCAGCACAACAGCCTCTGATAGCTTATATAGCCTGTATTGATCTCAGAGGGAAGTTGTCCTCTGATATTCAAATCATCTCGAATGGGCAAGACAGGGCATACTGAACGGTGAATATACTACAAGTCGGAAGACTGTGACGGAAATAGGGCTATGCAAAACCATCACCAAAATGGGGCGAGAAAGCTTGTTCCCTGTGTCTAGCTGAGAAGCGGCAAGTCAATAATTTGTTTAGGCTTCCTAAGCTTGTGCCGAGGTGGCCCGACCTACGTGGTATTTTACAGTTGTAGAGGCGGAGTACCCAGTGGGCTGCATGCCCTTCCTTCCCCTGCAATGCATATATCACGCGATCAGGATTAATCAAACAAAGCACAAGGGAAACTGCGGATCAGCTAAGCGAGACTAAATTACATTTTCCTTGAACTTCTTTCAATACATCTTCTCCACCAGCGACCTATCCTCCACAATTTTACCCAACCTTTTTGGTAAACGGTTATGTTAACTAATCCACTTAACCAAATCAAAAATGTCTTTCTTTTATGCAATGGAAACTCCCGAACGGGTAAAGAATGCCAAAGTCAGTATCCTCGGATCAGATACAGACCTTTTACCGTATCAGCGAATCAATCCTGCCCCTCCTCTACCGCGGACCCCGCAAGAACAGGCTCATGCTAACTTCCACAAAGGGCTTACACCTCATAACCTCTCTAACTCCAAATGGAAGAAAAGTCCACATTCTTCTCGAAGAACTAAAGGAGGCCTACAGCTTTGAATGGACGACAAGTCTGATTGACCTCGACAAGAATGAACAGAAAAAAGACTGGTTTCTCAGACTGAATCCTAATGGTGCCTCTTTTGCTTTTTCGTAAATTTATATGTCATTTTCCAGAATGTAGACTAATACAAACCCATATAGGGCGTATCCCAATCTTGATCGACAACAATACACGTCCACCTCATGTGGTAATGGAATCATCCGCCGAACTTTTGTATCTCGTCAATTCAGCAGACGAAAACAATCTTTTCTGGTTTTCAGACCCGATTAATCAAAGCGAGGCACTCCAATGGCTAACATTCTGGCATGCCTCGGGGCAACCCAATCAAGGGCAGTACAATTTCTTTCGGAACAATGCAGACCAAAGTCCTCGTTAGTGCTATACCCCTGGAGCTTCGATTTCGCGCTTTCTGAAAAATCCTAGATGCACTGGCTCGCTTCAAGCGGGAACTGCTCCGGGTTTACGACGTCCTTGAAATCCGACTTTCGGGGAGATATGGTGGTGGCGCGCGGGAGTACTTAGCTGGGCGAGGCAAGGGGAAATATAGTATTGCTGATATCAATGCCTGGGCTTGGATAAGAAATATTCGACGGATTGGATTCTCAGAGGAGGAATTGGATCGGTTACCTCATTTACAACAGTGGGTGGATCGCATTGCGGCGCGACCGGCTGTGGAGCGAGGTCTGGGAGAGTGGTACGATGAGGATGTGCATCCAGAGTTGTTGCTTGAGACTCGATGACTCTAGATAAACTGCCCTATGCGTCCCGCGTTAATTCTGCCATGCTGAGGGTGTAGGGTAATTTAGTAATATACCTTTCATTTAGAAGCTCAATAAATGTCGCGGCCCTGACAAACGATCGCTTAGCTATTTCACATATAATCCCCATCCTGCATATTCCGTCATATGTCCCAAATACTATGTCGACTTCATGAGCTTTTTAACTGAGTAAATCCTCATATTCTTTGTAGAACCCATCCTTTATGATGCCGTGATAAGATCAATGATAGCGGGAAAGTAGCATCGGATTGCGGGGTGTAGGTCGTGCAGTAAATTGTGAAGCCCCAGTTTGGTTCTGTTAATTGGAGCCAGTCATAGAGGCTGCGATACAATGTTCTTGCTAATTGGACCTGCAGCATGATGTAGATAGTAAGATGGTAAGATTGGGACCTTGTATCGCGGCATCGGCATCTAGTTTAGGAAAATGGGGTTATCAATTCATTACTGTAGGTAGTATAACCGGCCACGCACGAATGGTTGCCTCAGAACTCCACCAACCAATCCTGGTTCACCTCAATACTCGGGACGCCGAAGAGCGATATTTCGAAAATTCTACGTAAGAAAAGAATAACTTTAAAGATAGCGTGATAGACGCGAAGTGCCTAAGAAGATGGCTCCTTCCTTACTTGACAGTACGTAGTTTAACATTATTTAGAGTACGGGAAAGCTAATCTAGGTCAAAGATTTCCTTACAGATTTTTACCAAACGTCCACCTCTAAGGAGAGAGGCTGGCATAAAGAGTGCTAGTCCTAGGAGGCAACAGGCCCCGCTTCGTCGTTCGGCTAGAATTTAGGCACGGGAGCAAGTGAAATCGGTTACATAGTACGATTTCAGCCCAAATCCAGCCTAACATGCAGCGGCGCACAAAGCCTTAGCATTATCAAGATGGGGATGATGCAGCGTTTATTTTATCCCTGAAGATGGACTAGTTGTAGATCATCTCTTATCCTAGAGGCATGTTTTGTTTATTTGACCGATTGCACTAAGGCAACTATCTATTTAGTCACGTTTCATGATAAATATGATTATAATTATATTTTCACCTACTCAAATTGACTCTGCCAATATTGCTATAGATAAATCCTGCTTTGAATCCAGAATTTATATCGTTGTAGACATAATTTCCTCATGATTATAGCAGGATGATTTTCAAAGAGCGGCAATTCACTAATTAACTTTCCAAATTCTTTAGTATACCCCGGTCTTATATAGCCTTACAAACGGATAACGAAATGAAATTCTTCCTTTCCTACTATACTCATCTAGAAATCTAAGGTGTATCTTAATTTGCCTCAATCGCCGGTAAAGTTCGGTAGTCTTGTATTTCTTTAGTTCTAGCGGAAGGAAACGCCCTAATCATAGTGATAAACCCTAAGCTCTACTGTTAACTGTAGAATAATGATCGTTTGCGTATTTCTATGAATTTACAACGCCACCCGTGTTGTAACTACCTTTCAAAGTATAGTTATAATCTTACTAATTCGAAGAAAGAATCAACTCTAGTCTAGAGGGAACGATTGCACTAGCTATCTTGCTAATGTTAATAATTGTCGAGCATCTAGCGATACGAATTTTTAAGCAGCCTGTTACGGTGATCAGAAGCGAATCCATGAAGGTAGCTGTATCATTCAACGAAGCAACTAAATCTAAGGAGAAGAGAAAGGAGAAAGCTCCATGTAGGGCCTTATAGATCTTTATGGTGCTTTCTGCCAGCAGGATCCCTTTGTTTGGGTTCTGCTGCTGTACACCGCCTTCCTTCTTTGGATGCCCTCAAACCTCCGATTGTCTCCATCATGACACAGCCTTCCGTTATTTTCAGTGATGCGCTTTTTATCGTTGATATTGGTTGTATACAGATCCTTAAGGGATGATTAGCTAGCGCTTCCGGTTATACTAAGCTCTTGACTACTTAGTCACGTTCTATAGAGATTATATCTTCCACTTACCAACCGCGATATACCTAACATTGCCGTGTACCACTGCTAGCTAGAATACAGAGATTACGTTGTTGAAGGAAATAGTAGTCGTCACGATTGAAGCCCGATGCACGTTAGCGGGCAGTAACCTATGGTTAGATCTCACCAAGAGGTATCAAGAATACCCCTGTAATTAGGTGATATATCTGGACGTAGTTAGCAACCAACATATTATAATTCATTGTTGCCCAGAGAGGTATGGTTTTACTTCACCTGGCTAGACGAAGAGGGAGGCGCAAAACTGACTCTATGTACAGCCCCACCGATGGTGCTATGCCCTGAAACGAGCATAGTGAGAGGAAGGGTTTACCCTTGTTTGTAAAATACTTAATCTTTGATATTGTTATTAGCCAAATTCTTGTTTCTGGTTCGTCTGGCCCTCGTGTCCTGTTTTCTCATTCACTGTCACTCTGTCCACGCTCTCTCCTGATTCGGTTTCTTTTTTGGTACTAACGCTGGCGCTTTCCTCTGCAACTATTATCGAAATTCTTTTCCTTTCCAGGCAGAGGCAAGGAAGGAGAGCAGCGCAGAACTTGAGAAGCATCATCTGTGCGATAAGAGTGTGTTAATGGGAAAAAATTGATTGAGGGCAACTGTGGCGTAGGAAATTACAAAAGATGTCGAATTGAAAGGGCTTCTGAGACCTTTCATGCCCCCGCCTTAACTAGGCATGCCTCGACCTTTGTCACAGATGAGGAACTCCTACTCTATGAAATTCCGTATACCAGAGCTTCCATTGGAGAATGAATAGCGTCTAAAAGCAACTAGTACACCAAAATCTCCTCATCTTTTTCTCCCTCGTCCCTCCATTTATTAAGCACCTTCTTCATATCCGCCGCGACATTCTGAGCATAGTCAGGCCCAGCGGTCCCGGCAGGCAATTGCGCTGGGTTCCCCCTCACCCAAGCAACAGGTTCTTTAGCAACACCCGCGAATTTCTTCTTAAGCTCTTCAACCTGCTGAGGCTCATAGCCGCGACCGAAGATTACCGCGCGAGGCAGCCGGCTGTAATCGTGGGTTCCGATCTCATTGGGGCTCCGAGACTGAGGATCGTGACCTGCAAGCAGATGCGGGAGCTCAGCGTCTGCAGCCTCATATGACAGGATGAAGTGGATAACTGAGGAGCATTAGCACCATACTTTGTTTATTTCAGGGATGTATATCAAGAACCTTCATATTCAGGCAGCAGGTGCTGGGAGATTGATTTCCCCATTGCGGGTATTCTGCCGCAGGCAACTACTGGCATCGGCTGAGTGAATGAAGACATGTTGCAAGAGCTGTACGCAGTTCGCTACGGATGAAGATATTTCGGAGCATTGGAGATGGATTACGGAGTAAGCTGAGGTCAATGATTCAAATTATATTCCTCGTTGCGGTGCGCTCGGTCTTGATGATGAAATTGATGACGTTCGGACAGAGAGCATTGTACAGTAAAAAACTCCTTGAGCCGCTTGGCCATGAACTTTGGGCGCAGTCCGGGCCATTCGTGGCGACCCACCGATTTTTCGATTATTCAACAGTCCGACGCGCCGACGCCCCCGACCCCGAGGAGTAAAGCAACGCCGTCACGTCCTTTTCGCGTCCTCAAGATTATCCATTACTTCACTGCATGTCTTCAAGTAAAGAAAAGGCCTCAAAAGCAATACACGATGGTCGAAGCAATGACTGACGCCCCCGCGCCTCGCAAGAGAGGCCGGCCACGAACTGTGACGGTCGATCAGCAAGTTCCCGATGTGGGTACATACCGAACAACTACCGAGCAAGTAGGAACTGACTCAAGGAATCCAGAGACGTCGAACGCAGCTTCGCGTCGCGCAGCAAGCATATCGCAAGAGAAAAGAGACCACGATCGTCAATCTGCAATCTCGCGTACAGGAACTCGAGTCGGGCATCGAAGACCTCAGCGAGTCGTTCCTTTCCTTCAGTAATCTTCTGTTCGAGGTTGGGATTCTCCAAAATCAGCCTCGTGTCACAACTGCTCTGCAAAAAATTACACAGCAATGCGTGTCGCTTGCCAAAAGTGGCTGCGACGAGGCCGAACAAGCACCTGCAGCGCCGGCGGACGTATCGCCATCGACGTCTCCCACAGTGAGCGATACACAAGATATAATCTCAAATGACAATCCGCTCATAACGCAACTTCCTTCATTGCCAATAATCGGTGAAGCTTTCCAGTCCACGTCGGACCTCGCGGCTCAATGGCCTGGACTATCGCAACTACCCCCTACGCCACCCTCCCAAGAACAAGCAATTCTACCGTTCGGAATAGTCTTGTCGTCTCCGAATATCCCCTTCTCATCCATCCCTAGTCCCGCCCTGAATTTCCCGACCATAGTATCGCCCGATAATCTCCTAAAGCAAGGGCGCTGGACACTCTCACACCGTCTGGTCCGACAATGCTGCGAGACTGGATACTATCTATTAACAAGCTCATTTGGAGACGATCCAAGGGTCAAAGCAATCTTCGGCAAACGATTGACCATAGACGAGCGCAACCGCTTGATCTCCGGATTCGTCGATGTCATGCACGACGAAATAGGAGACACCATCGAGTTGAGGGCAAAAGTTCTCAATTCAAGGAGGAATAGCTACTCGCCTGAACAACTCACCGTTTCCTCTCGAACGTGGCAAATTGTCAATGAATCGGGTGCTGATGAGTGGATGGATGCGAGTGGTGTGCAAAGACTGCTACAGCAGCGAGGGATTCGTATTCAGGACCTGAGCTCGCCCCTCTCCGGTCCCCGATTCAATTCGGCTCCGCAGCTCAACGTAGCGAGCTTCATTAAATGTGAGTAATGCCGAGATTCAATGGTTCTTCGTGTCTTCTTGTCCATGTATTTACTGACCTTGTGGTAGACCTTTCCCTCGGTTGTATCTGTCTCGGTCGCGGACCAGCGTTCCGAAAACGCGATGTTGAGAATGCCATTCGCCTTGCAACTCTTGATGATCCTTGGGCGTTTAACGCTGTGTGCGAAATACCATGAATTATGTATACTAACATTAATTGTCTTCAATAGATATAGTCTCCGCTTACTTTGAATGATACGACGATTACAAGCAGGATCCCGCTGTGGACTTGAGGAAATTCTTCCAGTGCATATGTTCCCTATGTCCGCAAAATTTCTTTAAAAGAGCGCCCTTTGCATCCCGGCCCTTCGTTTCCTCTGAAATCCAGGGCCGGACTCCAATAACACCTATATTTTCCATTTACAATTTCTCCTTTTTTGGGTCTCAAAAATGCGCAGGCACATTTCTAGTCACGTCGCCGCCAAATAGAGACTCTGTCATGGATCACCCCATTCTCACCCATGCCCACAGTGTGCGTGCGCTCTGGCTGCCAGTGCGCTACTCTCTTCAGGCCCGCCTTGCTGGGCTCTCGCAACGGGTCCGCATCGATAAGACCCTTATCGTTGTAGGGGATCTTCTCACCCGGGTGGCTCAGGTGCTCCATGTAGGCCTCGGAGGGAGAGGCAAATGGAGGGCCGGGGGCCAAGGGGTCCTTATGACGAGGAGACTCCAGGCAGATCAGATTACCTGCAGGTGAGGGAGCAAGGAGCTCAGTGTGTCGGAGAGCCCATTTAGGACGGTGCTCTGGGTTCAGAGCACAGAAAAACTAGATGGTTGTTAGAAGGAAAGACCAGAAAGACCAGAAGGAACCAGAGTGGGTAAGAAATGGCACATCAAAAGTCCAAAGACTGAGAGCGAAGCATCTTGCAGCTCTCCCTGTAGAATGCAGAGTACAAGTGGAGAGAAAAAGAGCAATGATGGAATGAGCCCAACAGCGGCAGTTAGTGTACGTACCGTGTAATCATAAATAACATCAAATCCATTTCGAGGAACTCCAATTTCCTTCAACCAGGTATCATCAAAGAAATCCCCGTGGACGAAAGTGACCTTCCCTTTCCCAACTTCCTCGTCTTGCACACGGTACAGGCTATGGTTCTCCTTCTCCTCCTTCTTGCACGCATCGACAGCCGTGGCACTGCACTCCAGGCCATAGGCATCATACCCAAAGCTCGCCAGTAAGAGTACATCGACTCCACGTCCACAGCCCGGCACCAAGGCCTTCCGCCTCTGACCGTCCTGGGAGATAGGCCCGCCAATGGTGCCTGCTCTCTGGACCAGGGTGTCTTCTAGCGCAGGGTTGGGGAAGCCACGATCCCAGGGCAGATTATCACCTTTGTCCCAGAGGGAGGCCCAGCCCTCAACATACTTGTCGTCTTGATATTTGGACCAGTGTCCTTGAATATCCTTGGGATCAATGCTGGTAGGAGTCGTCATGGCTGTGGGGTGGTGACGTAGTTTGGAGGGGGAGGGAGGGTTGGAGGTGCTCGCTCTGGCGTGACAGTGATAAATAGGGCAGAAATTAGGGATAGTACAGAGTGGTCAGAAACTATTAACTAACACAGGGAAGTAAATGACTTTGGTGCACAGCGTCTGTTCTACTTATGCCTTTCTACACTCGTAATTGAGAATTGAGTGTCTTTACGCTGTGATTACGAATCATTGTCGATAGACAACCTCAAGCTCCGACCGCGAACCAATAGTCAATTAGGTGTTGGGTCGAAAGTCAATCAGCCTTTATCTGTTTATTCATCATGATAAAAAAGATCTGTTGAGATAAGTGGAGGTTTCTATTACAGTGGTGGTCTCGAGGGAGCTGAGGGGCATGATCTTGGATAGACCAGCTGTGGAGGAAGTTACTCGGGACCCAAAGGAACCTGGTATAGGATTGGCCTAGGCGAAAATCTCGGGCCCGCCGTTCTCTAATAATTGCGCCGCTCTCTATTTCTAGTCACTATTCTCTCCCCGAAAATTTTTCCCTAAAGGCTTAATTGTCATTCGGGCCGACTACAATCTACACTCGCTTGAATCTACTGTGCAAAAGTCAGGACGTTATGATTAGTAGCGACGCAGCCAGGGGACCAAAAAGATAAGGTTTTGACTAATGACATCAACCCTAGTTAAGGATGCGCCACCCGGAAATATGAATAAACATTTCGAGCAAAGGTCTGATTTGTCTGATCCGAAGGGAGTAGTAGTTAGTTAGTGGCGATTAATAACAACTTGGGAAAAGGCAAAGATGAGTATGACCATTGGGGACAAGTGGGTTCAGTCGGTCTTCATTGACGCACTGAATTGATTCTAGTCGCTCGATCATCGTAGCTCGCAATGAATGTGAATGATTAGTCGGTCTAACCGATCTACGAGGCTAGAGTTTATATGGTTAAACCCGCCCAAATAAGGCAGGGGGCTCTAGAAATCAAGCCCCACTATTCATCGTATCTACTCCGTAATGAGTTAGTGAGTTAACTTAATTAACTAGAGCTAGGAATGTATAGTAATCAATCCGAGCGGATAACTAAGTTATGCCTGATGATTCCACAGAGACGGTTGAACTGACTGTTAGGAAAATCTTAATGCACGAAATGTTCACTAATCACCCCATCCTTCGAAAAGAAGTCCGATGCTCTTCGTTCAGCACCTTAATAGGGGAAAAGACAGAGGGCTTCTTTGGGCTCCTGGCCTTGAATCGGATTATTAATCAGGAGCTAAGTTATGTTCATATATCTAATTATTTTTGTTTTTATATCTTGTGCGTGCTGTTGCTACTCTCCCACCGGCAACTCCAATCGTTTGATCTCCAGCATCTTTTTCCATCGAAGTTCTTCTGCTGTCAAAGTCTAGCAAATTAGCGAATCCGAAGAACTACAATATGGAGGTCAATCGCGACCCCGAGAAAGCGATTTACCAGACGAGTTCGGTCGGAAAGCCCTCCGGACTATCTCCCTCCCCAATGGCGGACCCTATCGTCAACTCCAGAGCGGCGCAGTCAGACGACGAATCTGGCCAAAAGACCGACCCCCGAGACATCTCACAATGGCCCATCACTCCAGATATACTACAAATACGACAACGTAACGAGACTAACGGTGGGAAATTGAAGAAGCTGGGTGTGACATGGCAGAACCTCACAGTAAAGGGCGTCAGCAGTGACGCGCTTTACAACGAAAATGTTCTCTCTCAGTTCAACCCGTTCGGGAAGGGCAGTAAGAGCCCACCCCTGAAGACTATTATCGACAATTCTTCTGGATGTGTTAAACCCGGTGAGATGTTGCTTGTTCTTGGAAATCCAGGGGCCGGATGCACAACACTGCTTAGCGTTCTATCAAACCACAGAAATGGCTTCGCAGAAATTACTGGCGACGTCTCTTTCGGTTCCATGACCAGTCAAGAAGCCAAACAATATCGTGGTCAGATCATCATGAACACAGAAGAGGAGATCTTCTTTCCAGCTCTTTCAGTTGGTGACACCATCGACTTCGCCACACGTTTGAAGGTGCCCTTCCACCTGCCACCGGACATCAAGAACGAGGAGGAATACGCCCAACTATACAAAGAATTCCTCTTGAAG